CACTCCATCTAGGATGCTCTTAGTAAGGCGTTTCATAATCTTTATTTGAGCACTGGAGAAAATTCTTTTTTTTTTTTTTATTCTCCGCTTTGTTTACATTTGGATCTGATTGAGTAACAAAAAAGAAACACAATAACGCGCTTTTTGAAATTATCTGCATTTGAATCTTCTTCTGTGGCAGCAGAGGTGCAGTTCTTGTGCTGTTGCTTATCCCCTCCTCCCCCCCTGCCAACACGAGACCTTGGCAGGGACTGGAAAGGAGCAACCTAATCCGAGTCAAGAGAATGCAATTGGGTGTAAGGGGAAGTCATCCGAAGAACAAAACATTTACGTGTCTGTGCCAACCAACTGCTTCTTCTATGTTGATGTTGCTTCACGCCTACTGAACAAGGAAGGACCTCAGTCAACACAGTCAGCCTAATTGTAACCACAACAAACAATTTTAAGCCAGCTTTTACTCAATTCACTTTCCATTGTTTTGTTAACAATTCTTTCTTTTGGAATTACCGCTTCTGTATAATTGATATACCCTTCTCTCGCCACATGGTGCACGTGCTCTACGAACAAGAAGTGTACGTTTGCAAGTAAAGGAAAATGTATCAAATGAGAATTTCTGGCGTTGCCTAATGCGGAAGAGTTTCAGGTTCCTTCTGATATCTATTGCTCTTATCTTTCCATTTATAATGGCCAACTACCTTTTTATCTAATCAAAAAAAAACAAAAAAAACAAAAAACAAAATTAACAGACAGCAACTTTAAAACTGGCTTGCAACATTCTATGACGTTCTGTAAGGTTCGTCCGACCTCATGCACGTATTTTCCTCTAATCGCTACACAAGTTTAGTCAACTCTAGTCGAGCGTCAGAGCTTTAGCCATAGATTGGAGAGTCTACATACAGGAAATTAATAGTGCGTGAAACTTACATACAGGAGTAAGAAGTCAAATCTTTCTGCCCCTATGTTGCGTCGGAGGTAATTTTCAGTGAGCGGAGTTAGATACCGAAAAGATCGGTAACTTTCGGATATACTGTAATTGGTATAAGCCAAGAGAAAAGAACAAAAAAAAAAAATAACAAGGAAAAGTAATTTTTATGAAATTGTAATTAAAAAAATATTAAAATAGCAAAATTAACTTCACGTAGAGATAAGCGGTATGGAAGGCAAAAGATTCATTCCACATATCAATGAAATAGAATGTCAGATGTAATGGTGATCAAATATGGTAATGGAGGTGACTAATTTGGAAATAGTTGGTGAGCTGCTGTGCTGGTCCCCCTTCCTCTGATTCATACTCGTGGTAGACCGCATTTGTTATTGAAAGTTTCTTCTGTAAAATAAACCGAGCGGGTGCGGGTCGGGCTCCTCTCGTTTCTTTTTTTTTTTCTCTTCTGGTTTGAGCAAGCAAACGTTTGTTTGTAAATTGTTTGTTTTGGTTTGTTGTCTTTATTATTGTTTATTATTGTTTATTATTGTTACTGTTATTATTTTTCTATCTCTTGTGCTGTGGTCGAGAAAATAAACAAACCTAAATAATAAACAAAGGGTACTACTACTGTAGTATGAAATTTTCTGCAATTTGTAAGACCAAGAGAAAAGACCGGATAAACTGCAGCATGTGAATAAGAGGAAGAAGAAGAATTACTTTTATCGCATATACAGCAAGTAAGACACGATAAACACAGTAGAGTCGCTCCTTCTCAGCATTCCTCCCGAAAGCCTCACAGATTAGCTACCCACCCAGATCTGTGGTCTTTTTAGTTTTGCGCGGGCAATGAAGGGGGGGGGGACGGCAGCTTGGGCGGCAAAATAAATTCTCTAACTAATTTCTATTGTTGTATTATTGCGTTTGGGCAGAGGGTGGTGCAAAGAGTCATAAGTCCCAAACAATATCTTCCTTTGGTGACCTAAAATAGGAGTACGAGCTGAGGCTAAAATGGGGGAGAGGCCCGATAGCCATAGCCAAATGGCACGAGACTGCTTGACAAAAGAATTTCTTTTTTATTTTGTACCTCCACATGCTTTGTTTACCCTTTGGCAATGAATTGCTATTTTTAACACTTCGTATACAAAAACAAAGCGTAGTTCTCAATCGGGATATCGAATTTCCCAAAGCAGATTTAATTGTACACAATACACTACTTCTTTTATATTAGCTACTGCACATAACCACGATCTTCAATTGTTATTTTTTCCAAAGTAGTGCGTGTACCAGATACAGGACAATATCAACGTAACACAAAATCTCGACTTCTAATAATATTAAAAAATATAGCTCAAACCCAAATCAGGCGGCAAAATAAACATATGTTCGTATGACTAAAAGATACACAGAAAGCCGTCTTCTCTACTCTGCGCAAGCAAAAAAATAATTCACTACTGCGGCCTGCATTGTTTCGTAGTGTGATTGACCGCACCCATTTTTCCCATCTTGAGAAAATTTTTTTTTTCTTTTTCTTTTTTTTTTTCCTCTTCCTTCAATTTTTTTTTTGATTATAAATTAAGTCAAGATTCCCCCCCTGCTAAGACTTTTCCCATTTCTTCTTTTCTTTTCTTTTCTTCTCTTTTTCTCTTCATCAAACCTTACACTCGCTTAATCTATATATCAAAAATGCAATACTCAAAAGTCGCTATCTTGTCCGCCGTTGCTGGTTCAGCCGTCGCTTCATACAACTCAACTGTCACTGACATTGCCACCACCGTTGTCACCATCACTTCATGTTCAGAAAACAAATGTACTGAAGTCCCAGTCACCACTGGTTTGACCACCGTCACTGACGTTGACACCATCTACACCACTTTCTGCCCATTGTCAACCGAAGCCCCAGCTTCATCTGCTCCAGTTTCCGAAGCTCCATCATCCAAGTCAACCGTTGCTGCTGAATCATCTGCTGCTCCAGGTGTCTCTTCTTTCGAAGCCGGTGCCGGTAAATTGCAAGTCGGTGCTGCTTTGGTTGGTGCTGCTGCTTTGTTGTTGTAAGTTTATTAGAGAAATTACTACTTCAAAATACGTATATTTTCTATAGTTCTTGATATAATTTTCTAATATAACAATAAAAAAAAGCTGTTTAAAGTTGTTCTATTGTAATTGCGTTGTTGTTGCACTTTTTTTTTTATTCAGGGTCTGGTTGATCTTGGCATAGTAAGTCTCTGCCGAGGAAAAGTAGGAAAAATTACATTGACGAAAGGGGATCAACAATCAAAAAAAAATAAAAAAAACGTTCAACTTTATTATTTTTACCCAAAGTGTGCAAATAATATCTCATCATGGTAACCCACTGACACACTACCTGTCAACAGACACTTATGCCTTCATTTGTCTCTTCAGCCTTGTAGTACTTTAGAAACATATACAAACGCAAAAATAAAAAAAATTATTTACTCTCTACATACATTAATGCATCCACACTGACTTCTCTTCCCCCCTTTAATCATCATCATCATCTTCCAAATCAGTTTCCAAATCACACATTGTTCTACAATTAGGACAGTAAAACTGCGGATAGCTCTTGATAATGATCGGCCTGATACATTTGTAATGCCAGGCATGCGAACAAGGGCTTATAAATAGCGCTTGACACGGTTCAACCTTCATTAAACAAATTGCGCATTCACTGTTATCTGAACTTTCTCCTGCAGGCACAGCTGACCCCGATCCATGTCCGCCACTGGCCAATATATTTGGGTCACTGACACTCAAGTTTCTAAACTTTTTGTGAATCTCTAAATTGAATTGATTCACCTTACGTTGCCAACTCTTGTTAAACTCACATCTCATCTTAACGCATCGGTACACCTCTTCTGTTCCCCCACGATAGTCCATCCCCAATTGGATTATATCACCATCAATAACGGGCATCAATGAACTTTCTTGTGACGCAGGCGAAAGTCTAATATGGTTCAAAAACGTGCCCAGTGATGATTTACAATCCTTTAAAAACCACTGTCCATCCTCATTGCAATCCAATAACGCATGTGTACGTGAAACAACTTTCGACTTGAATACTATGGGTGCAGATGACCCCTGTGCTGCATGAGCAGCCGCTTTGTTTTTCTCAGTGTAACGTCCAATACTAATCTTGGCTCCTGGCTTGATTTTACGTATAATGGGCGAGAAATACAATCCACTTGAAGATGAAGAGTGATCAATCAACGGAGTTAAACGAACCGAGTACGTGCCGTCTTTTTCCTTACCCTCCTCTGACCCTTGTCTCGTGTCTTGTGCTGAAGACAAAATTGGCTCGCTCGATACGAGATTAAAAGACGATGATGATATAGCAGTGGTGGTTTGTTGTGGTTGAGGTCTCAAATTGTTGTCAACAATCGCAACTGTAGTATCAAGAGGCTCTTCAAGAGGCTCTTCAAGCGTATCATGAAATGCGGTGGCATTTGCCTCGTTGATGTCCTCATCGACATAGCTGTTCAAGTTGCCCAATGTGGGACTATTTGACATCAATTGAAGAGACGCATTTTGCAGTAGATGACGAGTAGGAGGTTGTGGTTGTTGTGGAAGTTGCATCGGTGAGACTGTGCTCAAAGAGGCATTCAATAGTTGCGGTGGTTGTGCGGATGCCCCTGATGTCGAGGTTACTGTAGCCAGTTGTGGTTGTTGCTGTTGTGGTTGTTGCTGTTGTGGTTGTTGCTGTTGTGGTTGTTGCTGTTGTGGTTGTTGCTGTTGTGGTTGTTGCAATGGTGGCGCCGACTGGGCTGCCTGATACGGACTAGAAGTTTCTGATTGCGGTTGCGACCTCATGCCAAAACTGCTCAAAAAATGCAATCCAAAGGATGGTCTTCTTGAAACCAGGGGTTGTTGATGCAGTCGTGCTCGTTGTCTTTGAGCTGGTTGTGCCAGTTGCATTGGTTGTGGAGGTTGTGCCAGTTGCAGTCCCACCAGCTGTTGTTGTTGCTGTTGTTGTTGCTGTTGTTGCTGTTGTTGTTGCTGTTGTTGTTGCTGTTGTTGCTGTTGTTGTTGCTGTTGTTGTTGTTGTTGTGGAGATGGACGATGCAATTGCTGTGAAGCAAGGGACGGATTAGTATCAGTCGACACTAATAATGGCGATGGGGGACTGCTTGACCCAGACGACGAGTTTAAATTATGCGAGGAACCTGATTTATTAGTTGACAATAATCTAAGCGGTTGAGTAACGTGTTCTTTGATCAAGATTGATGAACTCTCAGGCATCGTAGCAGCAGCAAACTTTCCTAAATCTTCTTCTCCTTGGTGAGCTTGTACTTTGTGCGAGATTCTTTAATCAGACACAAGAGTTTGATAGATGATGGTAGTGGTAGTGATGTGCTTGATGCGTGTTGCTAATTTCGCAGGGCGTGCTTTCTCTCCAGTTGTGTGTGCTGTGTGCTGTGTGCTGTGTAATTCTCTCCAACTGGCTGTATCGTACAGTTTAGGAAATTATTTTTTTTTCTTCTGTTTCAAAATGAATGAGTTCATTTTTCGTTTTCATTTTTGTCTCAACTTACACGAACTACTGAGAACGATATACATTCAACTACAATATCCCCTAGTTTTCAAACTACGAAACTGTCCCACACTCACTTCATACACCTCAATACTCTTGTTCTCCTATCAAACGCAACAACAATTGTTGCAACTCTTTTCTTCCTTTTGAACTGCGCCAAATAAAGTGGTCACTGTTTTCAGCAATAACCCACTCTGCAGTTCTTGAACTCAATTTAGTCAACTCTCTTTGCCATTTACCCCAATTCAACGATTTCTTAATCATGAAATCAGAGGAGATGACTCCAACTTGCAACTCATTGATGTCGGCATCTTTGATTTCGTTGTAAGACAAGATTCCCGACACTAATTGTTCTTGACATCTAGCACGAATGTATTTCGATTGGTAATACATGTCCCTACCGAAAATTCGACTTTTGCTTGAAAACTTCATTGGGTGGAAAAACCAATGGAAGCTGGGGATAATGCCCAATGGTGAAATAAAACCTTTGAGCCACAACTTGATACCAGTTATGTTGTCCATCACCTCCAACGAGTGTTTAAACACTTTGGTTGATTCATTCTTCTTTCCCGAACCGCTAAACGGCCATTTCTTGAGTAGGTCAGCCGGCCATGAGTCAACAAAAAGAATGGAGTGGATCTTGGCTCGGTGCCTGCTGGCAAATAAACGAGCGTATAACCCACCAATATCAAATCCAACCACAGCAAATGGGCCCTCAATACCCTGCGACTCCAATGCTTCCGTGAGGTAGTCAACAACAATACCAATGCTTTGTGGTGGTGGTGCTGAGTCGGAAAATCCGTACCCTGGTCTGTCCCAAACACAATATCTTTCAACTTTATCCAACAGGTGCAACTCTTCAATCCACTCTTGAAAAACTTCACTTGAAGTCAATTGACCACCTTCAACCAAGACTATTGGTTGATCCGATTTCTTGTCGTGTACATCACCAAAGCATGCCAAATGTACTCTAAATTGATTATTATTCACAGGAACCAACTGACCCCATGGTTTTTCATGCGTATCAAAACAGTGCAACCAAATGGTTAAACTGATACACCAAACCACCCACAATATAAACAACTCAAACAACGTCTTTACAAAGATGACAAACAACTCTCGAACAGATTTCCGTTTTTCAATTCTTCCAGTGTATCTAATCTCTTGATAATGCTTAGCTTCCTCCACCCAATAGTCAATTAGTGAATTAAGCAACGAAGTAAGAGCAGTCCACAAGATCAAAAAACTACCCAAAAACCCTTGCTCTTGTCTCGTTTCAGGTATAGTAGTAACCAAAATCAAATCAAGGAGTAACAATCCCAGGACAATATACCCACCAATCCGCTCATAATAAGCAGGCACAACAAATGACGCATTGTTTAACCCGTTTAACAATAAAGATATCAACACCAAGTCAATTTGCAAAAATGATTTGCCTCTATTGTTGAATCCTGGGATGGGGAAAAAGTCACTAAACAACAACACAAAGAATAACACAAGATTGACAAATACTAAAATCAACTGAATGTATTTAAGTAGTTTTATCCTATCCAAGTTTAGTGGCGAGACTATTGGGTCATCTGGGTCTAGCAATGCTTGTGTTTCCATATCGGATGAGGAAAGCCGATCCTCAGCAGGCACGCAGGTGGGACTAACGGGCTCTGGATTGTTGCGATGTAAGCGCTCGTGTTCGCCTTCGTGGGGACCATGGACGTCTGCTCTTCCATTATGATCACCAACGCCACTATTTGAGTCTGATTGGTCTATTGATTGATATTTTGACATGGTGTCAATGGTGTTGGGAGAACAATCAAACGTGGAGAATGATAGTTTTCAATTCGCAGCAATTTAAGAAGACAAGAGAAAATGTGTGATGACTTTTAACTAAGAGAAACAATGATTGCGCAGGACAAGCAAATACGATACAACCGTATCCCCAGTGCAACATAGATACACACCCATTACTCTACAACAACAGAGTTCTTGGAAAACTGTATACGGGAAGCAGGAGATGTTACCAATACTAATTAGGTAAAGCTCAGTAGAAGTTTAGATCAATTCTCTTGACATCCGTGGTGAACGCCAAAATTTGGATGAACTGTAATCCAATACCAATTTATCACCAAGCAATTCAAGTAAACACCCTGTTTCCTCATCAACCCGAGGAAGGATAGCACGGAATTGACTATCTTTGCCACTCACTGTTAAAGATCGACGAATACGCCGTGAAATGTCGGATGAAGCCACACACAATTGACGGCGGAAAAAAAAAAAATATATATATATTAACCCACATACACCACAGCCATACAACACGTAAACGGCCCTCTCCTTTTCCCAGTACCAATGTCAATAGCGATACCCACGGAGATTGATATAGATGGATCGACATACTATCAGATTGATATAAAGCTACCGCTTAGATCCTACTCCATTAAGAAACGATACTCCGATTTCGAACAACTAGTCGACACATTGTGCCATGACTTGGGTATCAACCACAAGGACTTTCCTTATACGTTACCGGGTAAGCGAATCAACTGGTTGAACAAATACAACGTGATTGAAGAACGGAAAAGGGGGCTTACGGATTTTCTCAACGGAATGATTAATGACCGCTCGTTGCAGAATGAACGTGAATTTCTAAATTTTTTGCAATTGCCCAAAAACTTCAAGTTCCAAGATCGCCCTCAAGTGAATAATGAAAACTGGCATGAATTGTATCGAGGTGTAAAGACTGAGCTTTTTGATTTGTCAAATACGTATGGGTCAAATGTAATAAAGTTGAAGGAACAAATTAGAAAATCCATTCAGCCCTCGATAAATGACTTGATAACAAGTAGTGGCGTCGAAGATAAGACTGAATCGCTGAGACGAAGAAGTATGATTAGTCAACTACAGTCGAAAATCGACGAAATGTTGATCCAACAACCACGACAACTGAGTGCGGGAGCTTTTTCACGAGTGTTGGGAGGGGATGGTGGTGCGGTAAATGCAAAAGAGACTGAGGATACTTTACCATTAAACAACAAGGAGCTTCTACAACATCAGGTGCATATCCATCAAACACAAGATCAGGAGTTGGAACAATTGCGAAAAATCATTGCTCGACAACGACAAATTGGCGAGACTATAAACGCCGAAGTTGAGGAGCAAAATGCAATGTTGGACAGGTTTAATGAGGAAGTGGAGCAAACTACGGATAAAATCAAACAAGCAAGGAGAAGAACAAGGAGAATATTGTGAAAAAAAAATAAAGAGGGGATGTCGATAGGGCTACAAACGAATAATTACGTTTACAACATATTTACAATCTTGATATTGTCGGCCAATGTTTTCACTTGGACATTTGTACCATGTCCGCTTTCCTGGATCAATCTTTCGGCATCTTCATTTTCAATCGTGCGTGCTGCCTCATTTACTTCATCAAAAGCCTCATCCGCATCAACACTCCAAAACCCACCAATGTTTCTGAAAAACCTCGAAATACAAAACCTTCTCGGCGGGAACGCTCTCCCTCTGCTCGCCAATTGAAACACACTCGGATGATACTGATGATAGAATGAAGCTCCCACAAAAGAGCCCAACATCGACCCCGCAATCACATCGCGCAAGAAATGCCGATTATCACTGACTCTCGTCCCAGCCACAAACGCAGCACCCAAAAGTGGTGCAATGGTCAAGAACACCTTGAATGAGTTGTTCCTCCTATCAAAAGTCTGCAATTTTGCCGCCATGTTCAATGAAGTGATGATCATACCACAAAAGACCGTTGATGCGTGTCCACTAGGGAACGACCTGAATCCTTCCATTACCACATTCCAATTAGGTTGAGTACATATAGCCACGTTTGATAATTGCGTAAATGGGATACTCTGAACCATTGGCTCGCATCGCTCAATCATATCAGGACGAGGAAGCCCCGTTATGTTTTTCAATAATGACACTGCCCACACTTGAGTTGCTTGTGCTCCAAGTAGACATAAACAACCAGCAAAAAAGTCCCACAATCGACGTTTTAATGATAAGGAGCGGAAAAAGATTGCACATAGCAAGAATTGGAGTAGTGGGATTCCAGCTGAAATCAAGATCAATAACCACACGGGAACTGTTGCTTGTGGTAAGAATGTGTAGCGTAAACTAATATCGAATAACAGAAATTCATGATATATTGGTGGAACTAGTCTTCCCAATACTGTTGAAAAGATTAGAATTGTGGAGTAGAATATGAAATCAAAGATGTATGAAAGTGTTGAAAGACCTGATAGTTGTAGACATTTGTAGGTTATCGCCCAATCACGCAACATGGTGTAGGTGGTTGGAATTGAATTGCAAAATATGAGGCCATTTTGGTGCAAAAAAAAAAATAGAAATAAAAAAAAAAAAAGAATTAAATATAAAAAGTATAGACAACGAAAAGTGAAGCAAAGGAATTTTGATATGGAGCTTTTTACATAGAGGGGCTTGACGGTTTGTGAAGTAACCGAATTAAGCAACAGAGTTTCCCTTTGGAACTGTATCTTTGATATTTCGTTGTAACCCAAATTGCGTACAATTCTTCCATTCATTCATCCTTGGATTGGAGGATTTAACAGAATATGTTCCATCAATAAGAATAGGCTATTCCTTTGCATCTTGCCCTAATTTCCTCCACCTACCTTCCTAATCTTCCTTCATTGTATTCGTTTCACTTTCAATGGTCAGTGTCTACTGTCGCAACCTTTAATCCTAAATGTACACAATACAAACATATCGATTTTCAATGTATGAAAAATTTTCCCTTCCCTCTTTTCAAACTCCCTTCTCCTGCTTAGCATCTTCACCTACAGCTAATTGACAATGCGCAAACGGTATGTTAACCCCAACACAAGTTCAATCTCCCCCTTCTTTCTTTCTTTCTTTCTTTTCACTTTAGAGATATACCATGATGATAACGTTTTCGCCTAATTCTCGAAAATTCATGAGATTATAACAAACAATATACACCAAGATCTACGCTGAATGTATTCTTAAAAAAGAAAAGGAGAAAGAAAGAGTAAGAGGAATGTGGTTGCGTCTTTTCCATAGTATAGTAGTTACTAACTTTCTACATAGACGGAGTGGTATTACAGCATAAGCAGTAAAGAGCTTGCTGCAATCGTCTTTGAGCAGAATAAGTTGAGTTTTCCGCACATACGCAAGAAAGTCACCATCCTTTATAAAGGACCCACCCCTTTCTCCTTCTATTTCTTTGACAATTCAGCAATAGTCTCTCCCCATATCTTGACCCCCTCTTCAATTTCCTCCGAGGTCAAGTAACTAATACTCAATCGAACACAATGATCACCCCAATGCTGTCTATTTTGTGGCCCCAGCACCTCAAACCCTTCACCACTAGGGATTACGACTCCTTTGGTGGCCAATTTCCCAATCACGGCACGGTTATCGATGCCATTTGGTAATCTGACCCAAAGGAAATATCCTCCATCACCGCCATAAACTTGTGTTTGCGGTGGCAAATACTTCTCAACACTTTTTTTCAACACCTGAGCTCTTTCAGCGTAGATGGACTTGAAATTGGTGATGATTGTGTCCAACTTACCCGATTCAATCAAGTTGGCAACGACCAAAGTCGACAATTGCGAAGGCGTGCCTCCTGACTTGTTAGCACCAGTGATGCTCAATTGTTGGACTAATGCCGGAGTAGCTGACTCTTGCCAACCAACACGTAAACCCGGTGCGATAATCTTGGAAAATGTGGCGTTGGAAATCGAGTTCCCGTATTTGGACGATACTGTCTCTTGATCAATTTGATTAATCTTTGCAGCTGGTGGTGGTGGGATTGTTGATGGTGAAGAATAGTCTAAAAACTCATACACATCATCACTAATGAGCAACATGTCGTATTGTCTCGCCAATTGTAGCAATTTCTCTCGAGTCCGTAAAGAGTATGTCACTCCACCGGGGTTTGAAAATGTGGGAACGAGGTACATCACAAATTGGTAAATTTTGCGTTCACCTCGAGGATCTTGTACAATGTTCTCAACCCCAACTTCGCCATACTTCTTCAACTCGGATTCAAGTTTCTCCAAATCGAGCTCGTATTCTCCCAGTAATGTTTCATTTATGGCAATCAACTCATCTCCCAAACCAGCATCCACAAATACATTATTGATCAAAAAGTACGTTGGCGTAACAACAAATGCCTTTTTCGTAAGCTGTGGGGTTGTAGTTGATGCCAAGATGTTGGCAACCCCATAAGATGCACCAGCAGTTAGGTTTATCAAATCAGCCGTAGTTGATGTGATATTATATTTGTCATTGATCCAATTGGCTATGGTAGTCCTGACGTCCAAGTTTCCAGGATCGGTGCCGTATGCTAATGGATGCTGATTATTTGGATCAGTATCGTATGAGAGATAGTCGCTGTCTAGTAAGACCCTGTTGTAAGCATTTGCAATCTCCTTGACTGGAATGATGGCTCTGCTCGGATGACCCTTGAGGAAATTTATCATAATTGGAGATGATGATGTAGTTGTAAGAAGAGCTTGAGGGAATCGAATGAAGCCACAATTTTCGCAGGAAGTTGGTTAGCGCTAATCATTACACAATTGCCGCTCAAGATTACGATATTTGTGAAGGTGCCACTTCCAAGACCAATACAGATGAGAGAAGTAACATTTGGGTCCTAGGCGCTACTTTGATATCTATAAACACTCTTGAAGGTGATTCCAAGTTGTAATTGGCAATTTTCTAAATTCTTACACAAGTAGACTCCCACGACTCTCCTTTTGAGAATCGTCCTCCGCATATACATTAGAGTGTCCAAACCTCACTTGCCGCGCAAGCTTAAGTCCATTGACAGGTGTAAACTCGTCTCTATTCCCAGCTCCTATTCCTCAACAACAAATTGCTGCACTTTACAGACCAATGAGAAATGGAGCGAAAAAAAAATAAAAAAAAAAAGAAAAATTACCTTAAAGGTCAAAACAGTCACTACAAGCATTCACCTAACGCATACTCCACACCAAACATGCCAACAGTAGGAGGATTAGCATTCAGCTTAGCATCCGGAGCAGCAATAAGGCTTTTCCAGACCAGTCTCAGCGGCTCACCTGGTAAATTATCACAAAAGTTGATTGGATACGGATCCATCATGACTTTAACGGGCTCGCTTTATTATTTCGTATTGGATCCACAGATTGAACAGAATAGGGAGTTGTTGAGTAGGAGATTGAGTGCATTGAGAGAACAAAGGGAGCGTAAGCTGGATTTGGTGAGTTTTGAAGAACAAGAACTGAGATTGTTTACTGCTAGGGATAAAGGAAGATTCTTTAGATTGTTTGACAAGTACAGTCAGCCTTATAAGTAGTTTATATATATACATATATATATGCATATACATATACATATACGTGGGATTGAATAACTATTTATTGATAACTGAGGCAGGAAACTCACTTTACAACTTGTAAATGTTCTCCTCTTCATTCCTCTTTGGATCGAGTAAATACCTCATCGTTTTCAACATCGTCATCTTCTCCTTCCGCTCCTGATGCATCTTCATCTGCACTTCCAGCTGCACTGTCGTACTCTTCTGCAACATCGCTGCCGTCGTCATTACCTTCAAAATCCGCATCTTCATCATCATCATCGTCGTCGACTTCATTATCAGCAGCACCTGCGCCAGCACCAACAGCTTCATTTGCATCGGCACCTCCAGTCCCTGTATTTTTCTCTTTGTTGACGCTGTTATACGAGTCATCGCTGATTCCATGAAGTCTGATAAAATTGTCAATAATATTGAAATAAGCTTGGTCAATCATACTAAACTCCATTGGCCGTTCTTCGTCCCTGTCATTAAGGACAACAATATTCAAACTGAATGTGTGTTTTGTGATACTCGTATAGCTAGCACGTAACACTTTAGACAATTTGAATACCAATATGGGTTTCTTGAATGCAAAAATGACATATGGGGCATTATATTCATTTTGTTCCAAAAAGATCAAATTGCCATCTCTTGCTCCCTTGTGACATTCAACCATGATAATTTTGGGATGGACGCCGTCCTCACTAGTTAAGGCAACTGCGGTATCTTCATTTACAATATACTTGTTGTGGAAAATGCTTGAGCACGGTAAATAATTGATCAAATTGATGCCAACAAGTTGAAATTGTCGTTTGAAATAGTCAATGATTCTTTCTTGTATAGGGTTCAACACAACCTCGTTTTTATAACTTGATAAGTCAAATTGGGATTCTATATCACTGGGTAATTTACCATTCTTGATCATTTGTTTCTTGATCATATCCAAGTTTAATTGACAGATAATTGGATCTTTAGACACATTTGGGTCAGTGTAGTAATGGTCATGGATCCAAAAACACAACATGGCAATCCCCTTTTTCTGAGAGTTTGTCGAGTTTCCCAATATAGGCAAAGCAAGACATAGCCTAACGGCGTGCTTTAAATTGATAAAGGACAATTCGGGAGCATTGTTGGCTGGGTTGACTATAGACATGACTGGTATGGGCTCACCGTTTTGTTCAATCAAGTGGAATGTAAGATTCATTCGTTTACGAAGGGGAGAGGAAAATGACACTTGCTGTATTTCAAATATGACGGAGTCCGGATGAATTGAGGAGGATGGAGTTAATTCTTCGTGTCCACCAGCACCGGCACCAGTGGCTGAACCGTTCCCATTTTCCGTATTTACATCATGTCCAATTTTCCTTCGCTTGTTGTTGTCAGATAAATATTGGTACAATTCTGTAAACACTTGCTGTGATGTGGGATTTTGGTGTGTTATAGCGACAATTTTACTTTGTAAAGCTTCGGGTAGTTCCAGTAGCCAGTCCATGATTAGTTTTTGTTGATAGATTTGTTTGCAGTGGAGGGACAGTTTTGAATCGTGGGTGCAGATGTTGTTTTGATTTTATTTTTTGCGATTCGAGGTTTTTGAAGATGCGATCAGTGTGTGAGTAGAAGATGCCAAGAGAGAGGGAGAGAGAGAGAGAGAGAGTGTGTGTGTGTGTGTGTGTGTGAAGCGTAGAAGGACGAGAAACGAGACAGTATAGAAACGCCAGCGATTTCTAGCTTTGGGCGCAAATAACGTCTCTGGACAGGACTAGTACTTTCGATCATATTTGGTGATTGTGGAATCCGTGACAACTGGTGGACAGTGTAAGACTGCCTCAATGTGTAGAGACGAGTAATAGCCCTACTGAAAGAGCAAAACTGTTTCTAACCCCCAGGAGATCTCCAACTGTGAGGTCTACAATTGTTGGTGTTGGACTCAATTCGACTACTGCAGAAAACCCAAGATTGTAAATTCAAACAGTCGTAGATATGGCAGGTGCAATTGTGGTTGTTAATAGTTGTTATGGATGTTGGCGGCTATTTGTGAACCGCTTCTGGGACAGATCTACACGAAAGAAAATTAACAGAATACTATATAATCACTAAGAGAAGCCTAGTGAACATACAAGAGTGCTAAGTTAAAGCATTATTTGTACAAATCTCTAATGTAGACATCTTTATGTAGTCATAACTATCCCTGACTATGTGTTGATCAAGGAATGAGGTTTCCAATGAGAGAGCTTGCAGACTGAGAGAGCAACAGCTATTGACAGAGTCAGAGTCAGAGAGAGAGAGAGAAAAATTTTTTTTTGAGAGAGAAGCACAGAACTTTCAGAACTTTTACATACACAGTCAGATTCAATCATCCAAGCTATTATTCTTCTACTGGAGATAGCACACATTGTAATACTACTACTACTACTACCACTACCACTATCACTATACATATACATATACATACACATACGCATACGCATACATATACACTTGATACCACCTCCAATCACAGTTGCACACATTTAATTTGCCTGTTAATACCCGTCAATCATTTTTTTTTTTTTTCATTTTTTCTCAATTATTGGACCACTGTTAAAAGAGATCCTCCAATATTGTCCATAAATTTCTGAGGAAAAAGGGGGTTTTTCATGTATTAATCTATTAGATCAACAACTTCCACAAACTTAGACTCAACCTAATCACCCACTCACACCTTGCTTGCTTACCTGCACCCCAACTTCATCCCTTTTTTTTTTTCTTTTTTGCATTGATCACTTGAACTTTTTTATACTTCATTTTTCACTTTTTGTCCGTCTTTCATCCTTGAATGTCAGCTCCATCCTCGTCCTCTACTACAAAGTCATCGTCTACTAGATCAAATACCACGTCAAATGGAGGAGGAAGCGGAAATCGCCTGCGGTTTCGTGGAGATGCAGCTAGTTTTTCACCTCGGAATTATGCCGCTTATCATTACCCTCAACAACCTTATCCTCCACAACCCCATGTATCGAATAAGCTGTATTTTTCATCACCGTTGCAGCATCAGCTTACCCCACAGCAGCAGCAGCAGCAGCAGCAACAACAACAACAGCAGCAGCAGCAGCAGATGTACATGCACTACGCTTCCTTTAATTACCCAATGATGACAAATCCAATGTACATGTATGTACCCTATCCTCAAGATGTATATCAACAACAACAGCAACCACCTCCACCAATACCACCACCACCACCACAGCAGCAACAGCAGCAACAGCAGCAACATCAATATCAGCATCAGCAACAACAAGCACCTCCGCCACCACCTCAACAAGCATATATGATACCGCCAACTTTCTCACCACAACCAGCAACTCCTCTACAGTCTCATCATCAAAATTCACAAATACCCCTACCAGTGCCACCGGTTAATTCTCATACACATCTTCTGCCACAGACACACCTGCAACCCCAGCTGTATTCCCAACCACAACCACAACCACAGCCACTGCAACAACATTTCCAACACCAACATCCAGAGCAGTCACATCCTCAGCACCAACACCAGCACCAAGCACGCTCGTCACCTGCTATACAGCTGCCGCTTGGCACAGGAACACCAACTTCGTCAGAAACTGCTGACTCATTACCGGGCACAAAGGTTGAAACACAAGATGAAACTTCAAAAATGCCGTCGAGAGACTCAACCGCTCTCCTGGCGACGCAACAACAAGTTCAAGACATTCATTTGTCAAATGAAGATGCCAGCACCAGCTCTGACAGCACCAAACTGAAGGTGGAGACGAAACTTGGTGACGAGGAGGACGCAGGACTTGAGCAGAGTGAACTCGAAAACAAGGACCACGTGGTACACGCTCCTACACTCAATGGGCACAAAGAAACCGAAGATCAGGAGACTGTGGATGTTAAATTTCCCTTGTACATAAACGAATCAAAACCAAGCTTTGATAATGTATTTCCTTTTGTAAAGGAGAACAGAAAAATGGACGATATTGACAGGTTAAACAATTTGGGAAACAAGGTTAACAAAGATGAGAAGGTGATACTTTGTCTCGCATACACCGCAGTCTTGGATATAAACACGAACGAGTCTTACATCACTGATGGCAAGTCGGTAAAGAAAGAAGAAGAAGAAGTTGGAAAAGTCGAGCCACAATCTCATGGAACAGCTCAATTGGTGCATCCAACAAGGCAGAGTCCAACCCAGACTCAAACTCAACCACAAAGCACGAACTGGGCTGCAATTTTGCAATCCAGTGCACCAATAGCAAAGAAAACCACCAAACCAACAAAAGCCACTACAGCTAAACCAGGAAACAACAACAACCAAATAAGTCATACCGTTCCCACTCACAGGTCTAAAACGACTACACCCGATGTGTTCGATATCGAGTCGGAATCGGCACACCCTTTGGGAATATTGCTACTCAAAGTCATGTTTGATAGCAACTACTCCTTGTCCAACAATTTCCCTGTTTTTGATATAAAACCCAAAGGACTCACCAATACGGGGAACATTTGTTTTATGAATTCAATCTTGCAATCATTACTATATTGTAAACCTTTTAACAGACTACTCAAATTGATTGAGTCCAAATCAATTGGAGATTTAGTTGAATCATCACAGCCATTGATCGACGCCACCATCAAGCTTTTCAATGAGTTTAAACCTAACGATGTGAATAACAATACCAACAACAACAACAAATCACCACCAGTTTCAATTGAGCCATTTTACGCTGCGTTATCCAAACATAAGAATTTCCAGCATTTGAAATGGGGACAACAGGAGGATGCAGAGGAGTTTTTAGGGTACTATCTTGACGCATTGAATGAAGAAATGATTGGCGCTTTGAAGAAATTGAATACTCCACAGGTGGACCTGTTGATACAATCATATGCGCAAGACGATGTGGCCAAGTTCAAGTACAATGTCAAGACTTGCATCAAGAGGATAAAGAAGGATGACGGTAGAGAGGAGGGAGATGATGATGGTTATGATGATGAAAGTGAATGGAGTGAAGTTGGGTCCAAGAAGAAAACGATAACCAAGATTGAAGTTGAACCAACTCCGTTAAATATGATCTTTGGAGGAGAGTTTAAATCAGTCATTACCATTCCCAAGGGCTCGTCCTCCTCTTCATCTTCGTCATCTTTTCAAAAATCAATTACGTTGGATCCTTTCCAACATGTTCAACTCGACATTTCAAATTCAAATTCAATAGAAGAGGCATTTTTACATTTGAACGAAATGGAAACTATCTTGTACAGGGGACACAATAACAAGGAAGTTGAAGTTAAAAAGCAAACTTTCGTTGAGAGATTACCCCAAGTGTTGATTATCCATCTTAAAAGATTTAGTTACTCGAAAGACCAAGAAAATGCCATTGAGAAATTGGCCAAGAACATATCCTATGACCATACATTGACGATACCCAGAGAAATACTATCACAAGACCAGCACCAGCACCAGCACCAGCACCAGCACCAACAACATCTACAGCCTCCATCTTTGTCCAACCAGTATCAATTGATATCTGTCGTTTACCATCACGGCTCAAGCGCCGATGCAGGACACTATACCAGTGACACGTTTGATTTTGAAAGTAACCATTGGTGGGAGATTGATGATACGATTGTGAAACAAATCAAAGATGATGAGGTGTTGAGTTCGGGTATTAACAATGCCTATATACTATTTTATAGTAAGATTTAAAATGATCTAATATATATCCTATATATGTATAGAAAAGAAATAAAACAAGGATAAGAAAGTCCTTTTTTTTTTGGCCCCTTTTTTCACCTTTATTCAACTTTTCTGGAATATGATAGGAGAAAACACATTTAACAATAAAACAAAATAATGCCTCCATTCTTCTCCCACACTGCACATTAGGCAGTGAGGCGAGTAGCCAGCAAAATACTACAGGCCGGCACATGAAGACATGCTGAACCTGTTTTACCATTTCAGCTTACCACCAGTAAGGGCGACACCTTTAAAAACAAAACAACCTCTCTCCTCTAAACCACCTTTTCAAAACCAACACCATCAGCATCAGCATCAGCATCAGCCAGGTTATCAACCATATCACAAGCCACAGCATCAAGCCAAACCCATAACAGCGTATACCTAGCTTCAGGAGAAAAAAATATGTCTAAGTTCAGTGGTCTTGAAGTAGGACAGACCTACTCCTCCACCTCCAAACATAACCTGACAATGCTGTAAAACATACGGGAAAAAAACCTGCTTGCGCAGATGAAGAAAACCCAGGTGGATAATACAATCACTTAACCATCACATACCATTTGTGGAAATAATGTCCTTAATATGTAAATTGCAAGCAGATGATTATATGCAGGTCCCCTCTTGCAGTAGGTTTTTTCATTTTTTTTTTGTTTTTTATTTTTCAGTGAGATGAGATCTATAATTTTCCAGCCCATCTCATCTTTGAATTAATAACCCACAGCAGTAATAATGGCCAGAACCAGATCGAAAGGGCCAGCCTCACCTGTAGCGAACAAGGTAAAGGAACAAAGCAAAGTTACCAAGCCAAAGAAAACAACCAAACCATCGCCTAAGAAGGACTCCAAACCAAAAGCTGATCCTCAAGAAGAAGATATTGTTGATTTGAAACAGAACGATGCGTCCTTCATAATCAGCAACAAGGTAACTGACAAGGCAATTTCAGAACTCAAAAGCTATATAGCAAGAGAACAAAGCAAAAGAGAAAAAAAAGCCTCTCAAAATCCATCTTCAAAGTCTCAATTGTTTGATGATGAGGATTCAGACGACTCCACATTGACCTTAGTCGTGGAGTCAAAAAAATTTTTGAGCTCAAAACCTCAATTCAAACCAAAGAGCATAAAGTTGTTCAAGTCTATAAATGACGCTTCAATAAAATCGTGTTTGATAATTCGGGACCAGCTTGTCAAGTCCGATCAGGAAATTGAAAAAATTGAAGAAGCAAACTTGCCTACAGTCTCACAGATACTACCATTGCAATCAATAAAGACAGAATACAAGCCGTATGAAAAGAGACGTGAATTGCATTCGAGTTTTGATTTGTTTTTCGTCGATGACGCCGTGTTAAACACCATGCCAACCTCATTGGGTAAAATCTTTTACCAAACAAGCAAATATCCACTTCCTGTGAGAGTTAGCACTTCAGGAAACAAGAAGGAGTTGTCGTTGACTACTTTATCAAATCAGTTGCAAAAGGCTTTGTCCAGTACAAGCTATTTGCCACCCCAGGGAACCACCGTGTCGATCAAAATTGGCTCCATCAATGACGAATTCACACTTGAGGATTTGAACAAGAATATAAATGCTGTTGCGTCTAGTTTCAACATTTCCACTATTAAATCCATCATGTTGAAGACGGCAACTTCCCCTGCATTGCCATTGTATTATACAGATAAATTGTATGACGAGGATGATATCTTTGTGGAAACCAAGGAGGAAACTACAAACGGAGATGAGCTTTCAGCTTTCGAAAAGGGATTGTTGGAATTGGGTGATGCTGAGACAGTTGCCAAGGTTATCGGTAAAAAGTTAGGGGAGAAAAAGAGGGCTGCAGCAAAGGGAAAGGTAAAGAAACTTAGAAAGTAGATAAAAAAATATACGGAAGATTAGTTGTAATTTGGTGGCTTTCGATTAGCTGAAAAAAAAAAAAATGCACACAACACACACCCACAACACACGCGAGCCAAAGTAGGACACTGTTTTCTTGCAATGCAATGTGGATTGTGCACCACCAGGGAGACACACACGGAGGTGAGTAGTAAGTCAAAACAGTGTCCTTATACGTCTACTAACAGTTGTACTTAGATTATCGCATCTTGTTTCCTGAAAGGAATTACAAAGTGGGCCGTAACGATCAAGTAGATTTCGTGTTTAGTTCCCGTAAATCTGCAAGAGAGTTATTGCAACTTGTCACCGGCCCATCTTCACGAAAAACTCAATTGAGCTTATGCGTTCAATCCAGAGCAAAGACAAATGTGAGTGGAGCAATACTACGACTAAATAAAGGAGAAAGTCCAAGGGAAATTGATTACACCAACAGCTCAAGCATCACCATCACGGTTGAACCTGATTCCGATTCAGAAGTCAAGGATACTCCAATTAACGTTGAATGGGTAGATGTGAAACTATTTGTGGATACAAAGGACGAAGTTGTGCAAGAATTGAAGCAGTCTGGGATCGATTTCGCCTTTGTTGATACGTTGCTGGATGCCACGCATTTCTACACAACTCAAGCCATACCGAACCTGGCGGACTTCAAAAATGCTGTTGTTAAAGGGATACCCATAGTTAATGATTATTGGGCCAAGACTATCATCAGAAAACCAAATGAAGTAGACAAGTGGTTGCTCAAATGTGATTACTCGCTATACCTACCCAATGAAAATAGTGCCTACTTGCCCGAGCCAAAGAGAAAGCTTCTTGATACAAAGTTGATATCATTTGAGCCTATTGAGTGGTTGGATACGACGGTAGTGGAAAAGAGCGAAGAGGATATCAATGCACATGTGGGTACCAATGAGTTCATCTTGATCAATTCATTTAACGTATTTGGATTCCAGGCTGTACATGAAGCAGATCTTTGGAACAAAGTCATGTCCAAAATGGTAGACTCCATACCAACGAATAGGGTAAAGGAGCCAGAGTCTTCACAGAAGAGGCCATCTTCTGCTGAAACCCAGTCCGGTTCCAGAAAACGACGTAGGTATGAAAAAGTCGACAAGCTTCATTTCTTTTCACCAAGCGCCACGTCAGTACCTGTAGTTGAGAGCCATGAAGGCACCCTTAAAGAGAAACAAGATACCAAACCAAGTATTGGTAAGCTAACCCCAAAGACGGCACCACCGAAACCAACAAAGGTAGAAAAAGCACACAACTCACCACCACCTGCACCAGAGGAAAACCTTGCTTCACCACAGCCTAAAATTGAAGTCCCGGAGAACCCCAAAAAGAGGCGAAATGAATCTTTTACGGCACACAAGGCTCCTAAAATTCCCAAATTTGTACCCAAGGTATCATTTGCTGATGCTGTCATGCAAACTAAAGAGAAAACAAAGGAGTTATGGGAGAGGGAAATGGGCATCCTGGAAGAGCCAGAGGGAGTCACGCAAAACTTGTCAAACCTAGCCATCGTTGAAGTTGTTGATATTCCAATAAGGAGAAGTCGAAGCAAGTATCTCAATGGAGCTGATAATGTAAATACCGAGGGCAAGAATTTCAAAAAGTTTGTCAAAAGCGTACCAGTAAAAAGACAAGTGACACGTCCACACATTGACATGGTTATCGAGGAGACTACAAACTTGCTTCTACCTAAAACAAAGCACAACAGGCAGTCGACCATGGATGAGGACTTTAATGGTGTCATGAGTGACGTACGAGGGTACGAGCCGAACTTGTTTGTCGCTGATGACGAGTCTGATGACGAATCAACGACACAACCATTCTTTACAAGCCAGACAAATACAAGTAGTGGAGACGGAATTAGAGGACGTCGAAACCATGTACCTGTTAATCGTGTTGACCGAGACGACGACGCTGGCGATGATGATGGCGATGACGATGACGATGACGAAGAGGATCAGCCAAGGTTTGGATTTAGTCGGTAGTTACTTTATGATCCCGCAAAGTCCCATCTTTCGAAAGTATGTGATATGTGCTTGTAAATAGTCGTGTCTGTCCAATGCAAAATTTGGGAAATCATGTACAATACAATCCTGATTTGCGCCATCAACACAATCCACAACTTGCTCCAACGGCGGTCTTTTATTCATTGTTGAACAATTTAGGTAAATTTGGTTACCAAACTGATGATACTGGATGAAAGGATTTCGACTTCTGGGTATTGTTGTAATAACGTCATTTTTATGTATCACTCGTAGAAATTTTCTCTTGAATTCGTTATGCTTGAGTTCACTCTGACTGCCCAATACTCCATCTGCCCAATTTACAAAGTCATGATTGCCAGTTAATGGTTGCCCCATTGTGACTAAAGTCAATTTCTCATACCCAATATCGAGATAATGCAACCCCAATAGCAACGCAATGCTCCCACCCAAGGAATGGCCCACTATGACTAGTTCGTAATCTTCATCGCCAACTTCATTGATAACGTAATCATTGATATTGTTCAATGTGGTTTTAAAGTATTTGTAGAAACCATCATGGACTTTGCAACCACTTCCACACGACAGCAAGTGCATTCCGGGGTTGGCGTATCTTGTCATGTCCACCTTCATATCTGCATAGGTGTCAAATATTGACCGTGTGCCTCTGAGGGATACAACCACCGTCTTTTTTGGCAGGGAGGTATCGTAATTGAAAATGTTGTCGTATGTACTAGCGACATAACCAGTCACAGAGTCAGGGAAATACCATTGATAGACCAATGTCATATTGGGAAAACGTTTCTCACAGTTCAAGTCACATTTGAACGGGGGACCTATACCATGTACCTCTGAAATGCAATAGGATATATCGATCAAGTGGGCGTAGGTATACAAGTTGGAATAAATTTCAGGGTCAATGGGATAAACTGTATCTCCACGCATATCAAAATAGACTTTATTGTCGAGCGGGAATGGAAACGCTGGTGTGAGTAGAACGTATAAGACTAGCAGCACAATGCCATATAAGGACATGGTGATGCATGCATGTTAGTTGCGTGGAATGCACAACAGATGGTCACGAATAGAAATGAAAGAGATCGAACATTTTATGGTGCGGCTTGCGTATATCACAAAGACTCACATAGTACGAATTTTACAATTCATTAATTAGACCAGTACATTTTCGTAGATATTCAATTGGATATCCTGAACTTACCAAACGCCATGACAAGTTGTAGGGTGAGAATAGCCGCAACTACTCCCAAAGCTAATGGTGCAATCATGACAAAAGAGATCCTGACTATTTTCACAACAAAACGTACAAAGGGAATGGCTATCACCAGAAGAACAACTACTGCCATGCACAAAAGAACCCTGCGAGTGTGGAAGAATGCACTTGCAATGCAATCATAGCTTGTGGATGCAAAAGCCAGGATTTTGTGTGCGACGTTTGGAATGAGGTTGGCAATATATTCTGTTGCGTTATTGGCAAAGTGTATAAAAGTCCAAACTCTTGAATCGAATGCTTCAATGGACAGAACCACTTGTTCAATTCTCTCTTCCAAGCTCTCCAAAGAGCCGCTCAACGAAGTTTCGAATGACGTTAGTATATTTTGGCCCGATGAGTTTAAATAGAGCACAAATGCTTCCGAAATATCTCCCAAAATGATCACAGATTGTTCATCGACATATTGTCTTTGCACATGTAAGCTTTCAATGTTTTGGTTTATCATTGCACCAATTGAATGCATTTGAAAGACGGTGTGCTGGAACTGATTGTCTAAAGATTCAAAATGTTGTTTGGTAAAATTCTGCAATGCCAACATATGGTCGTTTATCACTTTCCCATTCTCTAGAGATTTATTTTGCTGATTCAAAATGATATCATTTCGGTTTTGCAACTCCTTCAGCAGAGCATCTAATCGCACTTGATTTTCTCGAATTAGCTCGCTAATGTGATATAATTCTTTGGTGAAGTAGTCGAGGTGGTGCTCCATCTCGTTCATGTTGGTGCTGACCCCTTGGTATGAATTACCTATAATTACAAGCGCATTGCTTAATGATGACTCTAGATTTTCATAGAAGACATTGAACGTCTGGTTCACTGCATCTGCCGACGGTTTTCGATCCTTCATCAACTGATCAATAATGCCCATCATGAGATCAAACCTTTCCTTTATTTGAGTTTGAATTTCCTCATTGCTAGCCTGAGACGCCACCAAGTCATTTAGCACATGCTGGAAAAGATTAGTGACGTTTGCATAAACTTCAACGATTTGCTCCTTTTTCAACGGTAAGCTAGCCTGGTGACATACCTCTTTCACATTTCTGTAATTACCACTATAGCTTGTCCAAAACTGGGGTGATTTTTCTAACGACTGAATACACTTGTCGATGTTTCTGTGCCGTATTTGTTTATCACAATCCAATGGGTATTCAATTTTGGCATTCTCCAACTCGCATATTGACAATTCCAAAGCCACTACTTTTTGCTGAGATGGGGTTACTGTTTCAAGCCCATCTAAGCATTGTGGTAGCAAAGACAGTAGAGCCTGCCTACTGCAATCATCTTTCCAAACCTCAAGGGCGGGGAGCCCGTTCAAGTAGTCACACAGCTCTCCCAAAGAGAGCTCTTTTGCTATGCCATATCCAAACAACAAAACGGTAGTAGTAAGCCTCATTAGCCTTGAATAAGTATACATCTCGCCTTGTTGTTCGGACAGCAATCTGGTTTTATGACATGTGGTGTTTGACACCTGAAACAATCTTGAAACAAAGACCCACCTTTCGCACCAAACAGACATTGGTGCTTTCGGATCTGCTACTGTTTGATGGAGTTATATACCAGTCGCAATAAAGAACTCTCGAACGTGCTCTGAGTGTAGAAGCATTGCCATCTTGGCTGCCTGTTGAAGTTGTATGTGAACGGGACCAAAACAGCATCTAGATGGTTGGATTATACTCAAGGCACTGAAACGACGGATGAAGAGACCTTTAACGAGGTCACATGGTCATTGTTACTCCTAAACTTGTGCTATAACCAGAGCTACCATGAAATGGGTGGGGGGGGGGAGAGGTTGTTGTTGTTGTTGTTGTTGTTGTTGTCGAGTCAGTAGTCATCCTCTTTACGATTTGTTCAACACATTCTGCGAAATTTTGAAAGACCAAAATTTTTCAACCAAAACAGCAGACCATCTCCAAATGCTAACAAAGAGGCTAATACGACAGTTACCTAAGAGGTATTCAACGATACTGTTTACTCCAAATGAGAATAAACACATTTTTGAGTCAGAGAGGCTAAGCCCAAGGGAGAATCACGATGCTATCCCAGACAAGCCCGACTTTTCCAACATCGATAAAATACATCATGAAATTGTGAATCCTGAGGAAGTCGCTGATTTGGTGACCAAGTTGAATACAAATGATGTGTTGATCTCCATCCTTTCAAAAAACAAGCGTCTCTATGGAGATGAGCATTATAACGTCCGAAACGTCAAGGACCTGAAGGAGCCACCAATCGTCTTCCCTTACTCAAGTATACTACTCAGTTGGAAAGAGGTTTATAACAAGCAAATTAAAGACTTGAAAGAGATACAACCAGTAACATTTACTTTACCCATTGTTGACTTCAAGTACTTGAATCTTTACAAGGGCAATTCATTAGAGGAATTTTTCCACAAGTCCAGGGCTGTTAAAAACTCCACTTCAATTAAGAAGGGCACAGTGCAGCTGACGGATGTAGACAGTTTGTTCACGGTTGAATGTGCGTCCAATGTGGTATTGAATTCCATCGAGAGTTCTGAGGCTCTAGAAGAGTTCATGGTATTCATCTCAACAAAAATTGAATTTTTCACTTTTCAGGGGTTGAAGGACTTGCTAACTCTGGTGACAATGTCATGCAGCAAATTTCCTGTGAATGGATCTTCTATGGATCAATTGGTAACTACTATGGCCAACCTGCACCCAAGAATATTGCGAGCTTTGGATCATGACACCAAGGATGTAATAGCCCACTCACTCATCGAAACCAATCCAGAACTTGCCAAAAATATAATCAAGGATCTTATAGAGGATTGTATTTGTCCATCGGAAAAAACTCTTGATAGATTCTTCGATAGCTACAAATCCAAAGGCCCTGTGACGAGTTTGCAAGAGTTGTCATTTTTGAAGTCGGTGATCCATCATTGCAAATTCAATGATACTACATTCAACTTGATTATGGAAACCATCACCAACGTTAATGAGTTGATTAAACTTGTGACACTATTGAAGAAAACACCGAACATGCTACAAGAGAAGCAAAATGAATTATACTCCAAATTACGTTCATTGACTACATCGGAATTGACAACTACTCAGTTCTTGCGCTTCTTGACAAAAAATAATGTGAAGTTGAATGAAGAGCTCAAAAAAAGAGTTGGCAGAGATTACAGCGACGATTCTAACATCATTTCTGTTCTTGATAGATTGTAAATAGTGTATATAGACTTACCGCAATCGTGGGTTGTCTAACTCAATGGACTCCCCACTAGAATTTACCGAATAATCTTCACTACGCCTGTCATCATTGTGTAGTATACCACTCCTAATTGAACCCGCAGAATGGGCACGATCTCTCGCATCATCGCCTTCACCTTCATTTCTGGTATAGAATCCATCTGTGTACACAACAAAACCATCATCACTAGAACTGTCATCCCAAGTTTGATCCATAGCTCTGTTTCGCAATATCTTCATCTCCTCATTAGCATATGGGTGGTCATAAGTCTCGAAAAATTTCCTGCTAGATATGGACCGCTTGATAAAGCACAACATCGAGGTGATCAATGCCATTGACACAATCGGTAGTAGCTGTATCCAACCCAAATAGCTCAACCTAGGAACGAATAGTAGAATATCAGCCAAAAATGCCAACAACGTTGTTAAAACAGAAAAAATCGTGAGAAACAACATTGCATTCAAATAAGGGCTCAAATCTCGTTCTTTTATATTTGTCTCGATGGTGTCCATATTGGCCCCATCTTCGTCATCAGACTTAATGTGGTCCTCATTTCCCTCTCGTCTTTCATTCCTCAAGTGGCCCAACACATTCGTCTGGCTGCGACGCTCACTACGGTCTTTTATCCTGTCCCATGTTTTCAACGCATACAACAAAGCAATCACAATCAAAAGCAAACTGGAAAAGCAGAATGCCACGACATGGACCACCAATAATTTCGAAATAGTATATCTCACATACGACGGTAGGACAACTCCACTATACTCTGTGCCGACGTCATTATCTAAATCAGAAAATGAACTATTTGAGGAAGGATATCCAATCTTGGGACTACTGCACCTCCCAGTTTGCGTGTCGCATATACCAAATACGCCAAATTTAATATTTTCAAAGTGTGAAAGATAAATGTTTCCTTTGTGAGATGTGAGTGGGACTGAAATAACAGGTAGTAGTTGGATGACCCAACAAACAGTGCACAATATGAGCAAAGCTAGTAGAGCCTTGTACATTGTGGAAAATGATTAAGATTGCTTTTAAAACCTGAAGCTGGGGGTCAGCATGAATAAAAAAGAACAGTAAGACAATGCTGTTGGTGCTGTTGGTGCTGTTGATGATGTTGATGATGATGATGATGATGATGTTCTATGATGTAACTTTTTAATCCTCAAGTTTTGTGTCATCAGCCCCACCAACTTTTCATTTTTTTCCTTTTTTTTTTTTTTCATCCCTTCAGCCAACTTTTCCAGTTCATTCTTATGCGCAGAAGCAAGGTTCTCATCTACTTTACAGCCATAGTGATAGCCTTCATATCGTTAAAGAAACTCAATTTCACACGCTTGTTAACAATGTCATCAACAACTCCCTCATACCACAAAGAACTTCAAGTTGCTACTCTTGCCGTGAAACGAGCATCGATTCTAACCAAACAATTGAGCGATTCCATTTCCCGCGCTAAATCAGGAACAATCACCAAAGAAGACAAGTCGCCAGTGACAATCGGAGATTTTGCCAGTCAAGCTATCATTAATAACGCTATAAAGTTGAATTTCCCCCAAGATGAAATCGTAGGCGAAGAAGATTCACAAGATTTACAGGACAATTCAAAACTCTCGTCAGAGGTGTTGAGTTTGATTACCAAGGTACAACAAGAGACCAGCGAGTACGACGATGTTATTGGGACTTTATCCAATGAGGAATCTGTTTTCAAGAGTATCGATTTTGGTAATTCGGAAGGTGGATCAAAGGGACGGTTTTGGGCACTAGACCCTATTGATGGTACAAAAGGGTTCCTCAGAGGTGACCAGTTTGCTGTGTGCTTGGCTTTAATAGATCAAGGTAAAGTTGTGCTTGGGGTTATTGGATGTCCAAACTTATGCCAGTATGTTGAATCGAATGAAAAGCACCACGGTACAGTCGGTGGTTTATACCTGGCTGTCACCGGCCACGGTTCATTCTACTCCGATTTATTCTTGCCAGGGTTCAAACCTTTGGATCAACAGGAACGTATACATATGTCTACTCGCCAATCACCAAAGGATTTGAAGGTGGTGGAAGGTGTTGAAAAGGGCCATTCCTCCCACTCAACCCAAGCTCAGATCAAGGACAAGATTGGGTTTGATCAGAGCACAGTTTCTGCCCAAACAATCAATTTGGATTCACAAGTCAAATACTGTTTATTAGCCAGTGGTCAAGCTGATATTTATTTGCGTTTACCGATAGATGATACATATAGAGAAAAGATTTGGGATCACGCAGCTGGTAATGTGTTGATCTATGAAGCGGGAGGTAAAGTTGGTGACATACATGGCACAGCATTGGATTTCAGTAAAGGCAGATACTTGAATTCCAAGGGCGTTATTGCTGGAAATAGTAAAATTTTTGGCAAGGTCATCGATGCGGTCAAGGATGTATTGAAACTTTAATTTATGCTCACTTTGTTGCCGCCAATGACATGCGGGGCTACCTCTTGTAGCCACGATAATTCAATGGCTGAACAATTTCTTGCGTATCCCTTTGTAGTAAAGACATACTCAATATACATTATCGCATCTAGATTTGATTTCCCAAACAATACCGATGATGGATGTATGCTGATTAGTTGCCCAGAGTTGAAGGTCCTGAATGACCTATCTGGCATACCAACAGCTGTGTTTGTAATGAACCCTTTCAAAAAGGACTTGATGATGGCTGGAATGTCCAATACTTCATCTTGGTCCTCAAACTGAGAACGAAGTTTGGACATTTGTTTATCCTTTTCAACATTCAGTGCACTATCGTCTTGTTTAACTGTGGCCATCATGTACTCCTTCAATTGATTCTTTATCTTGAGCACATTCTTGAACCCCTTGTAACTAAACATCATTTCCTGACACCACTCTTTGCCCAAAGATTGGAAAGTTTGATAAAACTCATATAATGCAATCAAGTCACCGTGAGTGTTTCCTTTTGGACAATATGACCTTCGCTTAAAGTTGATTTCGTCTCTTAATTCTCCCGAAACGTTCAAAATCAAATTGTCAACTGATAAACAGGAAACAATGTCAATCACCGGAGCCAAACAGCCCATTTCTGTAGCAGTTATCAAAACCACCGACAACTGAGGAGGTAATGGCAAAATGCTCATTTTATAACCCAAGCCAGTAATCTTTCCCGCATCATTCAACGCACCCAATGTGTATAATGTGTTCAAGGCACTTAATATCAGTTCCTGTCCGGGATCTTCAAGCCACGTCCAATTCAACAAATCATCTATACCCAACTTCTTCAACGTCAATATAGGCAAGATTATATCGTTTCTTTTAATCTCGGACTCTTGTTGCTTGGGTAGCTTCAAGTACTCGCTCTCCTGGTACAATCGAAACACTTTTCCCGCACTCTCTCTTCCTGCTCTTCCTGCTCGTTGCCTAGCCGAAGCTTGTGAAATGGGAGTTGTGAGCAAAGTAGACAATCCCAAATCATGTTTCCATATTTTAACTTTTCTTAATCCAGAGTCAATCACATACTTGACACCGGGGACAGTGATGGAAGTTTCGGCGATATTCGTAGCCAAGATAACTTTTCTGCGCCCCTTTGACAATTTTTCAAAAATTCTCAGTTGTTGATGGGGACTCAAAGCTGCATATAATGGCAAGGGGACAATTAGTGGTGCTTCACGAGGGAGCTGGGGTGCCAATTGATCCAAAGTTTTCACACAATTGTCAATTTCTTCCTGCCCTGCCAAAAAGCACAAAATATCACCTTCAGGCTCAGTCATGTTGACCTTTATCACTGAACGAATGACACAATCAACAATATCTTCATTACTCTCGTCTCCAACATACATTTGACTCACTGGATACATCTTACCTTCAACGTACAAAATAGGCGCACTGTTAAAGAAACGACTAAACAACTCTGCATTCAATGTTGCTGACATTATAATCACTTTAAGATCCTTACGAGTTCCCGAAGTAATTAGCGACTTCAAGAACCCCATGATCAAATCAGTCAATATCGTCCTCTCATGTGCCTCATCTAGAATGATTGCACTGTATTTCTTCAACTCCCGATCCAACATTATCTCCCTCAAAAGCATACCATCAGTGAGGTATTTCAATTTGGTTCTGTGACTGCTCTTGTTGGTGAATCGAACTTGATATCCCACTTCCGAGCCTAGCTTACATCCGTACTCTTCGCTGACTCTGGCTGCCAATGACGCTGCTGCAACTCTTCTTGGCTGTGTTACAGCAATAGTCTTCTTATTCTCAGGCATCAAGAATTGTGGTATTTGCGTGGATTTACCTGAACCTGTCTCACCAATGATGATGGTCACTTGGTTTTCAGATACAAATTGGATGATCTTGTCCTTGTGATGGTAGATTGGTAAGTTTTGTCGTACTTTTAGGAGCTCCTCGGATCGTTGCGTTAGTTGCTGAGACGATTGTTGAAAGCTAAAGTCGTTCGCATCATCGGAATCTGAGTCATGTTCATCATCAACGTATTTTACCACTTTAGGTTTGCGTGCAAGAGGGTTTTCGGACGTAGACTCATTTTTCAATGTAGTTAGTTTCACCTTAGTTGGGGAATCTGCATTCTCAAGTGGGGGTGTGGGCACTGGACTTGCGGATGTCGCAACCTCATCGAGATCACTAAATTTTATCTTTTTGTTTTGCGTGTGTGCTGGCTCATCTGCCACAAGTGTTGCAGAAACATTCTCATCAGATCTCACCTTGGAGCCCTTACTTCTCTTTCTTTTCCTCTTTTTCGAAACGTCCTCCTTGACACCATTTGCTTGAATGGAGTTCATCTTGGCTCACAACTCAAGCTCTGGCAAAAAGAGATGCGAAAAAAAGAATTGATTTTTTTTTTTTTTTTAAAAAAAATTCTTGAATTATTTTGATATAGAGATTAATCAATCATTCAAGAGATGTTGAAAGTATTACTAAGACAGCAATTGCGTCGACAAATTAGACTCAACTCATCAGCAACTTTACCTAGGGATACAGTGACAGTAATACCCAGCGTGTACGAATTGACTGAAGCCAAAGACTTAACCCCGGAAACCAGTCAAGACACATCTTTGATCAGCTACTTACAATCAAGACACTTGATTGAATCTTTGACCGATGATAAATTGTATGATATAACCACGAGGGACAATGGTACAAAGTTTAGGCTCTACTGTGGTGCTGACCCAACAGCCCAAAGTTTGCATTTGGGCAACTTGTTGCCTTTGATGGTTTTACTCCACTTTAAAATGAGTGGAAGTGATGTTTACGGATTAGTCGGAGGAGCAACTGGCCAAGTTGGTGATCCTAGTGGAAGGTCATCTGAAAGAACAGCGTTAAAAGTAAGCGAGGTCGAGAACAATGTGGGCAAAATTCAAAATCAAATCACTACTTTTCTATCCAACGGAATTGAATATGCCAAGTCTAGACAGTTCCCCATGAGTGCAAGCGTCGGCAAAAGTAACAGTGTCAATAATGAAGCATGGTGGAGAGACGTAAAGATGTTGGACTTTTTGGCAACCTATGGGCGTCACATTAGAGTTAGTGCAATGTTGGCTAGAGATTCAATTCTGTCCAGACTAGAGGGCGGTGGTATTGGATTCAATGAGTTTACTTACCAAATTCTACAAGCATATGACTTTTATCATTTGTACAAAGCCGAGGGAGTTAATATTCAAGTTGGTGGAAATGATCAATGGGGAAACATCACAGCAGGAATTGATCTTATCTCGAGATTGAAAAAGCAAGACGAAAAAACAAAGGAAGCGTATGGTGTAACTGTACCATTATTGACAACTTCATCAGGTGAAAAATTTGGTAAATCTGCAGGGAACGCCGTTTTCATTGACCCGCATTTAACCACACCATACCAATTGTACCAATTCTTCATAAACGTGCCAGATGACTTGGTCAACAAATTACTTAAGGTGTTTACGTTACTTCCATTGAATGTTATCGAGGGCGAGTTGATCCCAAAACACCAAAGTGATCCAGGTTTGCGTATTGCCCAACGGGTTTTGGCCAGAGAAGTGGTGGATTTGATACATGGAGTGGGTGTAGGTGATGAGATGGCCTATATTACCGGGTTCTTGTTTCCAACCCCAGACCAACCTTTCAATGATCACGTTAATGCCGACAAGTTGATTGACAATTTCAAACGCTCTGGCATATTGGTAAAATATCCCTTGGGCAAATGCGATGACATAAAATTGAGCACCTTGATTGCCAATATAACGGGCAAGTCCAAGAGCGAAGTGCGGAGATTGATTAGATCAGGAGGTGTGTATTTGGGTTTAGATAGAAACCAAGTGGAAGATCCCGAGGATGTTGTGTTATTTGACAAAGATAACCACTTGGTTGATGGTAAGTTGATGTTGTTGAGAGTTGGAAAACAACAATACTACGTTGTTGAGTTTGTATAAAGACTGTGATGTACTTGTGTATATAGAAGAAGTGGTTTTATTGAAGCCGAGGTTATATTGATAGTTCCACAAATGGAGATAAATTAAGCTTTGCAGATGACGGAGTTAAAAAATTTAGTTAGGGGGGTTATCACGAGGGAAAAGGGCGGGGGTAGAGGTCATCTTTTTAAATGAACACTCAGCCTCAATGGAGGGGATTATCCACAGCCAATGACAGATAACAAGACAGTCTAGAAACGTTTCAACAGTTGTAGAAGTGAGACTATGAAACGTGGTTTACTCCCAATCCCTTCTTTTTTTTTTGGAGTCAGCTGACTAATTACCACGGGAGGAAATGGTAGCAACTGTGCAATATAAAAATAAGCAAACAGCACACTCTTGCAATTTCTTTAATCTCTTTATCCCCTCTCATTTTTACATAAGAGTACACAGTGAGTTTTCGTTCAGGTATCAAACACATCATGTCCAAATTCTACGACTTAACTCCACTCGACAGCAAGGGAAACCCATACCCATTTTCAGAATTAAAGGGTAAGGTTGTTCTTATCGTCAATGTTGCTTCAAAGTGTGGATTCACCCCTCAATACGAAGGACTTGAGAAATTGAACAAGCAATTTGAAGGTAAACCAGTTCAAATCTTGGGATTCCCATGTAACCAATTTGGTAACCAAGAACCAGGCTCAGCTGAAGAGATTGGATCTTTTTGTAAATTGAATTACGGTGTTACTTTCCCTGTTTTGGCCAAGATTGAAGTTAATGGAAGTAATGCCTCTCCTGTTTATCAGTATTTGAAGAGTCAAAAGTCAGGATTGTTGGGATTGACCAGAATCAAGTGGAATTTTGAGAAGTTTTTGATTGATCAGAATGGAAATGTTGTTGAAAGATTTAGTTCCTTGGCCAAACCAGCAGACATTGCTCCCAAGATTGAAAGCTTGTTGAAGAATAGCAAATGAGTGGCTGGATGTTGTGCAATTGATTTAGTAGCTTGATATTTTGATTAATTTTGTATTGATTCTGTTTTGTAGATTTTTATTGCACCTGACGATTGAGCCGTTGAGTAATGCGCCTGTTCCCAACAAAGTATCTTTAACAAGTGGAGTAGGAGATGAACACGATTGCTTCATTGAATTGGAGTAAACATAGGTATGCAGACGCATTTAAAGCCTTGACACTCAGGGATGTTGTTGCATACGCCATTAAAATGTCGTCCCCACAATTTTCGGCCCCATTTGATGCAAATTGAGGAATAGTTGCGCGATAAGGTTCAGAATTGGTTGCAATAGACACTCCGGAGAGAAAATTCGACTGCCGGTTAGGGGAACATGACATGATATGTTACACACTCTCCTTCACAGGCATTGCACAATATAAACTTTTGTGATGAACCGGCAAAGAATCGTGGTCCAACAAAGGTGGCCATAGACCATTCGCTTTGGTGGTGAGTCCCTTCTTTTGAGTCATCACCTATTCCGGTGATCCAATTTTCAATTCGGTGCACTCCACTAAAATACGATAACGGTCTCCGGTACAGGGCCTGTAAAGTGAGAATTGTATGCAGTACACTCCAATGATTCATAAAATTTTTTAAATTTTTAATTTTTTTTTTTTTTTTTCACACAATAGGCGGGTGTAGAGGAGAGAGGAGAGACAGATCGAGTGAAAAATTTTCTCAACATTATAAAAACCCCCCCTTGTAATCCTTCTTCTTTCATCTTGGTTGGATTATTCGGCAATCTTCAATAAATCTACATCAACATCTATTGCAAAACCAGAAATGTCATTCAGAACCAATTCTTTGCGTATGGCTAAATTAGCCACCTCAAAAGCTACTTTGTCAAAGAGAACTTTTTCTTTGTTGGCCAATGCTACTAGAACTTCCACCATTGCCAAGGCCGCCATGCCAATGATGGCCGTACGTGGTGTCAAGACCATCAACTTTGGTGGTACTGAGGAAATTGTCCACGAAAGGGCCGACTGGCCAAAGGAGAAGTTGTTGGACTACTTTAAGAATGATACTTTGGCTTTGATTGGTTACGGTTCTCAAGGTTACGGTCAAGGTTTGAACTTGAGAGATAACGGTTTGAATGTTATTCTCGGTGTTCGTAAGAATGGTGCTTCTTGGAAAGCTGCCGTTGAAGACGGTTGGGTTCCAGGTGAAAACTTGTTTGATGTTAACGAAGCTGTTGAAAAAGGTACCATTGTTATGAACTTGTTGTCAGATGCTGCTCAATCTGAAACTTGGAACACTATCAAGCCTTTGTTGACTGAAGGTAAGACCTTGTACTTTTCACACGGTTTCTCACCAGTTTTCAAGGACTTGACCCACGTTGAACCACCAAAGAACATTGATGTTATCTTGGCTGCTCCAAAAGGTTCAGGTAGAACTGTCAGATCATTGTTCAAGGAAGGTAGAGGTATCAACTCATCATACGCTGTCTGGAATGATGTTACCGGTAAGGCTGAAGAAAAGGCTATTGCCATGGCCATTGCTGTTGGTTCCGGTTACGTTTACCAAACCACTTTCGAAAGAGAAGTCAACTCAGACTTGTACGGTGAAAGAGGTTGTCTTATGGGTGGTATCCACGGTATGTTCTTGGCCCAATACGAAGTCTTGAGAGAAAATGGCCACACTCCATCTGAAGCTTTTAATGAAACCGTTGAAGAAGCTACTCAATCCTTGTATCCATTGATTGGTAAGTACGGTATGGACTACATGTACGATGCTTGTTCCACCACTGCCAGAAGAGGTGCCTTGGACTGGTACCCAAGATTCAAGGATGCTTTGAAACCAGTCTTTGAAGACTTGTACGAATCTGTTAGAAACGGTACTGAAACCAAGAGATCCCTTGATTTCAACTCACAACCAGACTACAGAGACAGATTGGAGGAAGAATTACAAACTATCAGAAACATGGAAATCTGGAAAGTTGGTAAGGAAGTTAGAAAATTGCGTCCAGAAAACCAATAAGCGAATTGAAGCTTTCTTTCTACACCCTTTCAAAGCAACAATTACACATATTTTAATGGTCAATGAATGACTTGCATTTTATTCAATTCTGAACATCACTATTTTCTTTTTTTTTTGTTTTTTTTTTGTACTGTATCATATCGAAGTTATTTATTATGGGTTTATAACAAAACAAAAACAAACAAACAAACACAATCATATAGGAACTTTGCATATAGGTTTGTCGAATAAACACTGTGTTCCGTTATTAAAATGAAGTTTTTTTTGGTTTTGTTTTTAGTAGGATGGTGTACATGATGCTTGCCGGAGTTTGATATCGTTTTCTTTCGCAGTCGTATAGTTTCATCTTCAGCCTCATTAATTTTTTTTTTATTTTTCTTTCTTTGCTTTACAGCCGAACTTCATAAATTTGTAGTGATTCACTTGCAACAACTTCCAAAAATCTCACACCGTTCTAATATATCACTCATCATTTGTTATGCCTGAGGTTGATCCAATAGATGATGGAGAAGATGCATGGGACTACTCGTTCCCTCCTTCGACCGATTCACTCCCACTAGAGCAATCTTCGACTTTGCAGCAATCACAAGCAACAAACCAAAGACCATCAGGATTAACCAGAAGCGACTCCGACGAACAACAGCTGCGACAGATTGCTCAACAGATTGACATAATCAACAAACTAAGGCAAGCAGAGAGCTCAGAAGTGGGGTCAAATGGCGTCAGGTCATCGTTGTCATTAACATCTACATTTAGCAAAACGCCATTGAATCCATTGACAACAAAAGAGGATGCTAGTTCTGTCATATCAAAGGACTCAAGTACCAAGAAATCCACAAGCGAATTGGAGAACAATGACAAACCTCGTTTCCTCAAAAACCTACAAAGCATTGACGCAAATAATCAGACAACATCACCAACTTCAAATGAATCAAATGATCTTGACCGTAAATTAGGATCACCAAAGATAATCGCATACCGCAAATCAAGGAGAACTATTAGTGAAAGTACGTTTGATTCCTTTGATCCTTCAACACTGTTGTCTACGCCGCCACCTACAAGCAAGTTTGACACTCGTTTATATGTGGATGAGTTTTACAAGGATTCGAAATATAGATACGCCACCATCAAGAGAAATGTCGAGTTTCATCAAATGTTCAATTCACTCGACTTGACTGATCGATTACTAGATGATTTCTCATGTGCATTGAGTCGGGAGATCTTGCTTCAAGGTAGGGCATATGTTAGTGAAAGCTATCTTTGTTTCAATTCAAATTTGTTAGGATGGGTTACGAACTTGACCCTCAAATTCGATGACATTGTCAAGTTTGAAAAACGGTCAACTGCTGGGTTGTTTCCCAATGGGATCAGCGTCGAGACTGAAGATGGCACGGTGCACACTTTTGCAAGTTTTTTGTCTCGAGACCAAACTTATGATCTAATGACTACTGTATGGAAGGGAAAAACGGGGAGAACGAACCGAGAATCAGTCCTGTTTGATTCTCCAGAGGCAACGAGTCATGCTGACTCGTCATCTTTGGCCAATGTGACCTCACCGAGGGTGCAGTCTTACATAATGTCACTCGACGGTGACGACGAATCTACATCAAAAGACCAAGACGACGACACCGACCAAAACCAGGACGACTCCGATAACGATGAAACGCCGAACAATGAGCCACCGCAGCAGAATGGTGAGTTGTTACCTGCTCTTGGAATCATTTCCAAGCGTACAAAAATCACCAAGCTCAAACCAGACTCCAAGTACCAAAACCTAGGCCCTGATACACACGCGCCAACCACAGCCAAGTACACAAAGTTTCCACAAGAAGTTGATTTGATTGAAACAACAATTGATGCACCTTTGGGAGTAGTTTTTGCGATATTATTTGGACCAAACACCGATTTCCAACTTGATTTCCTAAAGCGTCATGACGGACTGGAAATATCAGACCTCACCGAGTTTAGACCATCGATTGAAGATCCAACGTTGCTAGCAAGAGAATATACGTACCGCCGTCAGTTGGGTTACTCCATTGGTCCGAAATCTACGCGATGCGAAGTCACCGAAACTATTGAACATATGAATCTTGCTGACTATGTTGTTGTCACCATCACCACCCAAACACCAGATGTTCCACTGGGGAATGCATTTGCAGTGAAGGCACGATATGTCTTCACTTGGGGCGAACTGAATACAACAAATTTGTTGATTAGTTTGTACGTTGAGTGGAAGGGCAGGTCGTGGATGAAATCTGTGATTGAAAAACTGTCAATTAGCGGGTCAACAACGACTTTGAATGAATTGGTGACGGAGTTGAAAGACGAGGTTGATAGAAATGTCTATCGTATAGATGGACCTAGTGAAACTGCCCCAAAGAAGAAGAAGAAGAAGGTTGCCGTTGATGAAAAGAAGGCTCAAAAGGTTAAGAGCGAGGTGATTACGCCTTCTCCTGGTACTGGAGCTTTGATTTCGAGGATGTTGCATCCTGGATACATCCTTGCTTTGGTTGTGATTTGGCTACAATTGGTCATCTTGTACAAGTTGATGGCTATACAAACCGCATTGCAGATGCATTTTGGAGCTGATTCACCTAGATGAAGTATCCTTTTCATACTAGACTTGCTAATGACTTATGAAACGAATCCCCTGTAAAAAACCGTAATGTATACTCTATTTACACCTGGAGGCACTATCAATCTATTTACAATGGTCAAAGATAATTCCTCACTTTCCCTTCTCAACAAACTCTCAATGCATTTTCCGGCTCTTCTTCGAACCTCTCAATGATATTCATATTCTCAACCGTATGCACCATGATCTGAGTACATTCCTCATTCAATTCAAATATGAACAATCCCGAAATGACCCTCTCCAAATCCTTTTGCTTTTCCTTTGATACTCCCATCACTGCACCTGTCAATTTACCAATCAACCCCGACAACGTCACGTTCGTACCCATCAATTTCTTTGTATCTTCGGATGACCATTTATGCGATCCGAAATGAGCATTCGACGTTGATTGCACACCCAAATGCTCACAATTGGGCATACATGTACTCCATCGCACGTAAACCTTCATTGTTGAGCTGAACATGGCTTGCGGGTCGGGTTTTTGTGAAGTTTTGATGCTTGAGATGTGGAGCTTTACTTGGGGACTAAGGATAATTGAAGTGATGAATAACGTGATGGCTTTGCATGCGCTGTTGTAAGCAATGGTTCCATGTAGCTTTGGTAGATAGTTTTCGTCAAATTGAGAAGGACAAATTCGGAGGTAGATATTGCTAGATATTAAATCTTTAGATAGATTGTGCTCTAATATATTGGGGATTTGTAATTTGAGTTTCTCAATCAAATTCAGTAAGTTCATCTTTCGTTCAAGCTCGAGTTTGTCCTTTGGTGATATGTCTTCATCGTTGTGGTTACGTAGATGCGGAAATTTGTTGAAACGTGTGCATGGGTTGACACGTAATGTTGGAGGCGTGGCAAGCGGATGGTATCGTAGTGGAGTTTGTGATTGCTGTTCATGGAATTGGGGAAACTGTTGTTGGTAAAGTCGTATTAGTTTGTTAGATGGCAGCCCAACCTCTGAATAAGTCAACGATGCATGTTTATATAGCCCTTGTCGTATCGGAGTGAATTGATGTATTCTCGACATTCAATTTGCCACAAGTATGGAAATCCAATGATATATCGCAATGGATGGTTGATATGATATTTCAAAGAGACAAATAATTTTTTTTTTATTTTTGGGGTCAAAGAAAAAATTATTGTGCTTCATAACTAAGTCTTTTGAATATAAATTAACACAGATATTATGAACTATAAATCTCTATAAGCCATATAATTAGAATTGAAAACGAGCAACTGCCACTTCAAGATTGTTCAATCAGAATAGTCGCATCAACATATGCACATCTCTGCTCATCATTTTGGGTCAAAACATGCTCGCTCAACCATTCACTAGCAATGTATCTTGCCCCACAAGCTACACACTCGCCGCTCATTGGTAACTTGTCCCCCAAAGTATGCGCGGTTTTACCCCTTGCATCATCGAATTTGAAATGCAGATGCAACAAATGCTTCTTGTAATCATAGGGTCGATTGAAATTTTGCGTCTTGTGATTGCACATTTCTCTAGGGTACACACACTGGAACCGACCAACTTCGTTATGGATTCGCATATGACGGGTCAAATCACGGCTAATGAACTTGTCACAAACGGGACAACGTGCTCCTTTGCTGCTTTTCTTTTTCGTAGCTGTCTTGGCAGTTGCTGTGGTGGGATCCTTTTTGTGACCATCTGAGCCGAGTGAGACTGCACTATGAGGAGAGCTATGATTGGAAAGTGCCTGGTTCACCGTTGGGTGCACCTCTGGATCCTCGTCCGAGTTTATATACTGGTCAACATTGAACTGCGGCGCCTCTGCAGAGTACGTGGACTGCGAATAGTTGTCAACTTCACCACCTGAAGCTCTTCCTGAAGATGAATCATTCTGTGATACATAAGAATCAGCTGGTATTTCCAAAGGAGTGAATTCACCCTTTATTGGCACCTGCTGCTCGTCACCAGCATCATCTTCTTGGAACTCTGGGATTGGGAATCCTATAATGTTGGTATCTAGTTCTTCTCCTTGCGTATTGCTGTATTCACCCGCCTTATTTAAGTAGGTCTCAAACGATTGATTGAAGTCATTCACTCTACCATCTAGACGTGTGGCCGGAGAAAAAAATCCTCCATTTGCAACCGTTTCAATGCCAGGAGTATGGTCCAACTCAAAATAGCCCTTTGTTGGTGGGTCGACAGACGGCGTCAAGTCAAATCCGGGAACAGTGCCATGGAAGCTACCTTCATGCAAACTCAAATCTCTTCCAACATCATAGTCATCACGCGTTAGTGCCATGGAGAGCCGCAGTGGACCGTGGCTGTTCCCACTTGGCGTCCTATTCCAGTAATCAGTTCCTGAATCTGATTGCGATGACGAGACGAGTCTATTCGGTAGGTTCACTTTCTTGTTTATTCCATCCAATTTCAAATGGAAGCCTGGCTTTTTTCTGGGTCTTCCCCGCTTAGCTTTGGTCTTGGGTTCAAATGGCGTCTCCTTGGTGGTTGATGTACCCGGTAGCTGGTTGGTTTGACTAACCTCAGTAGGGAAGTTTAGTCGAGGATTGTGTGAATAACTCTGCGTGGGCGCAGCTTCATTGTGTGCTTGCGAAGGTGAGTATTGAAATCCGGACTGAAAATGAGGACTTTGTTGCTGTGTCGCATGTGATGTCGTAATATGGGATCCGTGAGAGTGACTATAGGGTAGCGATGATTGAACATTCTCATATTGCTGGTTTTGAGCTTGTCTTGGAAAGGAATGAGGCTCGAATGGGATTTGCTGTGGATGATGATTCTCCAGCATCAGGTGCTCATGATGTACTTGTTGATGTTGTGAAATCTGGAATTGATTCTGGTTAAGTGGAGGATCCTGTTGCCCATAATTGTCACTATACTCCAGGACGTTTTGGTACTGCTGGTTCTGTGTTGCTTTGGTTGGATAATCTCGTTGCAGTGCTTCGTCTTGGTAAACAGGGTTGGCATTTTGCTGGTGCTGGTGACTTGATGTCAGATGATACTCATCATGTCCCTGCAGTGGTGGAGCTGAATCCAAACTCTGGTCGTAACCGTGCAAGACGCCATAATTTTGCATAAGATTGTGGACTTCTTCTTCTATCGACCTGTCGGTGTAAAAAGTCTCAATGCGAGATGACGGAACAGATATGGCGCCTCTATCCACAAAATAGCCGCTATTGTTCCTGCCATAGTCTTGATTATACTCCCCATAGTCTTGTTGGTTTAATAGCTTTGGCTCTTGATAAAGAAAATCTGGCGTTTGCCTTCCACTCTTTTGCAAAGCTTGCGCTGACTCATTGTAATGTCGAAACAACGACTTGGACAACTGCGAGTGGTAACTCGACTTGGTAAACTGTGGATTTGAGGACGAATTGTGGTCAATTTCATGTAAAGTCATTTTTTTAGCTCAAGCACATATGGATGTGTTTTCTTTTTTGTGTATATGAATAAAGTTATTATGAGTAAAAAGAGGAAGCAGTGGCAGCTGAAAAGGTGTTTTCTGGTTTGATATGTACCTCGCTTGACTGTAGTTGTGGGGTATAGCGACAAACTCTAATTGGTCATATAATGGTTCTAGAAATCGCTTTTGTAGAAGATTTTAAGGAACTAAAGCCCAAATTTTTTTCTTTTTTTTTTTCTGTCTCTTTGTCTCTACGTAATGAAATAAATTTCTTTGCTCTCTCTCTCTCTTTTGCACTACTTGAATTAGTTACTAGACGAGATTTAGTGGAGCTAGAGTAACTGTGGGAGTGGATTGAAACGCATTATGCACATCCTAATGAATCTGTAAGATCTACAATGTTTGCAATAGACTTTATAGATCTGCATATCAACATAGTGAGGCAATCAAGACTCCTTTTTTATGTCATTCCTTTGCATGCAGATGTAACATATCAAAACAATGCTGCTTTCAACACTTCAAATGTCGCATAATCGTGCCTTAAGATACAGCACTAGAGCCATTGAGATCCTGCCACAACAACAAAGCAAACACTAGATACACCTTTGAAAGAAGCGAGATTTTACATCAGTGATCATGCCACTGAAATTGTGTTTTCGCTCAAAAGATTATTAAATTAGTTTTCTTTATAGGCTGTTTTAGTTGTGAATTCTCGGCATTCTAATACCGAGTCGAGCAGCTAGCCGAAGAAGTGACGTAAACTTAAACACCACAACATCTACACACATCTGATTCACAAACTCTATGCTAATACCGAGAAAATACTTGAAAGCAGAGCTTACATTCTTACCAAATTAAGAACTGGTTCTCAATATAGCTGAAGAACTCCCCGCAAAGTGGCTTGTGAAAGACTAGTACTGTGCAAAAAAAAAAAAAAAAATAATAAAAAAAAAAGAGACTTGCTTGCACTTGCATCAAGTTGCGTTTGTTGCAAAATTTAATACATCCAACGAGCAGTATCACACTCTAGGGAAAAACTATATATAATTTTACATTTCTAAAAACACATCGAACCAAAAAAATTATATTTTTGTCTCTGTGTTTATTTCAATTGTAACAAAGTTTTCCCCTTTGTGATAGACGAGCCCGCCCACTAATAAAAATACGCAATGTTATCCGGAAATCCACTTTTTTCTCGGAAATTTCTGCGCACAAAAATCAGGGGACTTTTTTTTGTGTCGGTGCTTATTTCCGACTTAGCATTCCACCCCAGCTCTTTCCGTCCCAAAAATCAAAGAAAAAAAAGATTGATTTTCCAATTGTCATTCGAAAAAGAGTTTTCCTCTGTTATTTGCTTGTGTCTCAAGTGACATAAAAGACCCGAAACTGTAACAAATTTCCCCCTCTCCCCCTCGCTTTGCCACATTTAACCTGTAAAAAAAAACCAGAGTTTTTATAGAGCAGCAGACCAAAATCAGCTTACCCAACCATACCAAAACATAAGGGATTTCCGACCATAAAAATGCATGGAGTTTCTGGGGAAAAAAAAGGGACCGATGCCTTTGGACTAACGAATAGTCTCACATTCGTGTCTGACAAATACTACCAAAGTAGCCATGGCAAGGGGGGAGGGTGAGGAGAAAAAAAGAAAGAAAGAAGTAGAGAAAAGGAAAGGAAAAAGAAGAGAAGAAGAAGAAATTTAAAGGGAGGCTGGGGATTTTGATGCATTTAAATAATTATACAAAAATATACGCATAGCTATGGGTTGGGTGTGTGTAATATGTACACTCCTTCTCCCCACGCCTATGCCTTTGAATATATATTACAGAAACAAAACAAACAACACAAAAAAAGGAAAAAACATAGCAATGTAAAATGTATTTTCGCATGATGTTGAAAATAAATTTTGTTTTTGTATTTTTGTATTTTTTTGTTTTTTTTTTTGCGCACGTGTGTTTTCTTATCTTATCCACAGTTTTTTAATTCCACAAATACATTTTCCAAATTGCCAGTCAAATTTGAACATCAGAGGACAGAAAAGCACACACACAATGTCAAGCAGCAAAAACACTCCGAGTGGCTTCTATGGGTTCAGTAAGGAGGTTCTCTATTATCTTGGAATTCCTTATCCGGAAAAGGCATCTGTTATTGATAGAAACGATGAAACTTTACAAGTATCTTTATATGTCTATGACAATAAGTGGAGGCTACTCCCTCGCGTAGATGACCATGTTGACAATGGTTCTGATACAACTTCATCTTATCAAGAAAACACAACGCACCCAGACAAACAAAGACCGTTCAGAAGGTTCACCCCATCGATAATTTCTTGTATCTTTGGGTGGTGATAAATCAGAAAATGAAGAATAGGGTATATCGCAAGGACAAACAGACGAAATGGCTGCCGATTCAGTTGAAGATGATTGAATGTGCAAAATAACCATAACAACGTCGTATGTGTATGCTTCCTCAGTGATCGCGACTCACTGCCTTTTACCAGCAATACGTTGTATATCAATGTGAAATAATATAAAGTCAATATATTAGATAATTCTATAAAAACTGCTAAAATTCAAGAAGAGGAAACAAGTCTCATATTTATAGTGTTCAAGGACTCGTCTTGAGTGTAAAGCTCACTTTTCATGATAAAAGCTTAAAAAGTCGTGTCGCGCTCAATAATCACATAATTCCAATCAGCGTAAAACATCTCAAGTTAAGCTGACTATGCGACACGATCGCTTAAAAAAAAAAAAGAACTAAGTTTAGAAAAGTTTAACAAACACACAAAAGGTTATCAATATTAGGCACTACAGATTCTGCGCTCCGCCCCTTATTCTTATCAAGGGCAGACCACAGACCACAGACCACAGAGCACCGCGTGTCAGCTCGTTTTGCTAACTTCACCTTACAAGACAAGCCAAAACTGGTGTGTAGGTAAAGATAAGCAGCGAGGAAAGTACCATCAACGCTCTATACATTCTCCCCCAATAAAAGTAATACATACTCCAATTCTTTCACCCCTTTCACATATAGTAAACCATAACAAGCAAGAATTCTACAAGCCACAAACCGCACCCACAGTCAGCTTTAGGACTCAACTCGGGCATGCACAGTGGCACCTTCATGCATGCATCACCATTACCCTTTGTTTCAGAGAGATATGCATGTGGTTATATGGTTAGCAAATTTCTGTTTCTGAAAAAAAAAATATTGATTGAAAGAAAAAAAAAAAAAAGGGGGGGGGGGGGGAAGGGGGGTTTCTATATTTGGTATACACTTGCATGTAGATAAGTTGGCTGAATTTTGTTGGGTTAATACAGACACTTGAAGGGACAGATCCAATTTGGAGTTCAGTCATATCTGTTGATAAATTGTGGAAAAAACGAGTACTATCTCGTCTCTCCTGATTCTAGTGATAAACCTACCCTTATGCAAAAAAAACCGCTTTTCTTTCTCAGCATCACCTAGTTTCCAACATTAAACATCTCTTGGACGTCTCTGTCGTAAGAATATGCTCCTCCAACCACGTCTCTCCAGTAAACCTTAACCCACAAGGACACGTACCCCAGTGCGACAATTTATCACTCAAGTTATGCATCTTCTTCACTTCTGGATAATCAAAATTGAAATGACGATTGAGCAAATGCTTTTTGTAATCATAAGGGCGATTGAACTTGCCCAGTTTATGACGACATTGCAGCTTGGGAAATTCACAAGTGAATCGTGACTCTAACTGATGTGTACGCATGTGCCGTGACATGTCGCGTGTGATTCTCTTGCCGCAGATTTCACATACTCGATGGTCAACAAATTTGGCTTCAACTAGTGGGATGTGTGCTGAATTGATGTTTGAGTTGACGTATGTTGTCATGTCGGGGTACTCGGCAACATCTATTGCGTGCTGAGATGGAATGGCTGTTAATGGTGTGGGTGCAAATGGTAATGGGGGGCGATTGTATAATTGTTGCTGCTGGTGCTCTTGCTTCTGGTGATGTTGATGTTGATGCTGCTGGTGGTGGTGGTGGTGTTGTTGTTGTTGTTGTTGCTGCTGCTGTTGTTGTTGTTGGCCTTGGAATTGTTGGGGATGCGACGTTAGTTGCGGCATCAGCTGCAGATGTGGTTGGTGGAATTGGTCAGAAGTTTGCATCGAATAAGAAGGGTCCTGCAGTATCTGAGACCCCTCTTTGCTGTATGGTTGTGATTGAAGATAAATAGTTTCTGGCTTTGGTTGAGGCGGTCGCTGCAAACCAGTGATGGAAGACATGCTTGGATTGGAAACTGAGGAAATTGAACTGCGACCCGTTGTGGTAATGTAATTGTGCGTTTGTGCACTGTAAAGATGAGTAGCAGATGCCGAAATGGAAGTTGACGACACGTCTTGATTGTTTTCCAATGCCAGAGACTGGCCCCGGGTATGCAAGGAGCTAGCGCTAGTGCTCTCCAATTGATTTAGCGTGTCACTAGAATTCAGTGTGTGGAGTGTGTTTTCCGCGTGCAAACTTATTGAATCGACATTTGTATTTACTGATGATGATACGTTTGAAGGGGCACTCAAAGTCCCGTACTGCTCATACTGTTGGTGTTGCTGTAGTTGTTGTTGCTGTTCTGAAGTTGCAACAGGTCGCTGAAATTGCGATTGCGAGTGATGTAATGTCAACTGTTCATGAGGAAATGGAGGAGATTGGGGATACTGAGGCACAGGGGTATATCGTTGTGGCACTTGTGTTTGATACCATTGCATATGTTGCGGCGGCTGCGGTCCTTGTACGTGTTGAGGATAAAATTGTGGTTGATATTGTAGCTGTCGTTGTTGTACGGAACTCATATCGTTTGGTGGTTGAAATTGTGGTTGAAATGGTTGATGCTGGATTAATGGTGGCGCATAAACTGGACTCGTATGTGAACTTGATTCAGGTAAATGACTGTCACCACCAGCTGGGCTACTTGACATACCTTATTCTTTCAATGCTCCTTGATCTTGCCCTTGTCTACCAATTGTTAACCAAGTTGGCTCAATCTCCATTTACAGTCTGCTTCCAAGGTTCCAATTCGGTTTAGACCAAAGATGGCGTGAGTCCTCAAATACTGTCCAAACTTGTCTTTAAAATTGTGCTCAATAATTGTTGTTCTATTTTGTTGCTGTTCTTGTGGTTGTACGTGTGGGAAGCTTAATTGTACGAAGCGCTGGATGGGAGATCTCTAATACGTCTTTCAACAAACGGTTGCAACCTGACCACTGTAGCAGACCTTCTCTAGTTGCCGTGCACTTTACTTGCTCCCAGTATTCAGAAAGTAAATTTTAGGGGGGTTATTTGAAGACTTAATTGAGCGCCCAAAAATAATTTTGAAAAAAAAGTCTAAAACTCGAATTCTCGTGGTGGGAGGAGTAGAAGAAGGTAAAGCGCTTGTGGATTGCTGGTGACAGTAAAGTAACAGTTGTTGATTGATGTCACAACGTCCTAAAATGGTACAGTGAGTGTCTTTCTATGTGAAAAGTGTATGTTTTTGTTTATAGAAAAGTAGAAACTCGAGAAATAGTAGATTCTTTATATTCAATAATATGCCAAACGCAAATCTTCTATAAAAGGAATACCTGCATAAATTACTAGAGAAGAGTCCTATTGTTCCAACAACTATTCCCTTTGTTCGCTTTCTTTTACCAAAAGAAAGAAGAAGAAATGAAGACACAAAAAAGGGCTTCCACTACAGCTAGATAGACGAGTGCTGCTCTCAACAGTCACAAACAAGTTTTTTTTAAAAAAAGCCTTTTTTTTTTTTTTTTTTTTTTCTTTCTTTCTAGTGGCACTTGCCCTTCCAATTAATCTACTTTACAATCATTTTCTACTTGTCTCGTACTTTTTTTTCTTTTTTTATTTTTCTTTTTTGGCTATTGTTCTAAAAGATCCTTTTGTTTTTGTCTCTGTGTGGAAAAAGTTTCTTTTCTTTTATTTTCTTTTTTTTTCTTTTTTCCCGGTTTTGTGGTACTTGATTTGAGCAATAAAAAGATTTTGGGGTTTTTCATCATAATCCATGACGTATTTGTAACCCACTCGGTACATATTTACATCACATGGGTGATATTAGTGAGAACAAGCTTCGCTCCCATGGCAGAGGACTTGGCAAGTAACACGAGGAAGTAGCTTAACTTCCTCTGTTCTTTTGGTGCGTAGTGATGCATAGTCGACAACTTCCACAGGATACTTTGATGTCTGCAATTATCGTTTCTACATAAAACCATTTCTGGACTTTGAGACAGGTCTCTTTTGTCTAATATCTCACTCATAACCATCAATAAGCTTGGAGATGATCCTTCTCCTCATCTCGCTTAGTAGTTTAGATATTTCGCAGTTGAGTATTTAGTTGGGAGAGGGAGATAGCAACGGATGTCATAGAATACCATCTGTTCTCTACCCGTTTCAGTTTTCTTGAAAATCCTATTTCGTTGTCATACGAAACCGTAGAACTTGAATGGCCCATCTAGTTGACATCTCGCGCAGAAAAAAGTGTGGCTCAATCAACACACTCAAAAAAATAAAAAAAAAAAAAGAATGATAAAACCGCAGTGTATACATTCCCAATATCGACTATTATATGGCACAGTCTAGTTTCAATGAGCATGTTAAAGCCAACACGTGGAAATGGGGGACCTGCTACAGCACCCAAAGTTCTGGTCCACCGGGCAACGAACTTTTCATCCGTGCATAACCGCATCGCACAATACATATTACACAAACATTGTTTGTTGCGCAATTGCCCAATGCAGTAATTTCTACCAAAAAAAAAAAAAGAAAAAAGAGAAAAGAAAAAAAAAAAGAAAAACACACCTAAGAAGTGTAGTAAGAAGTGCTACATACGTCTACACATTTCACAACAATTGCAAATTTGCTTCGACTGCATATTTTCATGTAATGGTTAGCTAACTCTACGTCTTTCTTCTTTCTCTCACTACATCAGGCAGTTAAGACCCTTGCATTTGAGCGAAGACCCGATATATTCCTCTAGCTTATCTAACGAGACATATCGGAATACCTTGTACACAATACGAATAAGAAAAAAAAAGTTCTACCTTTCTTTTGTTGATATTTGTGTGCTAGATAGAGGATCTTTGAATTGTCAAAGCATAGCCCACGAGACGCTACACACTTCTTATCTTTCCCCTCGTAAAAGCTTCTTCAACAAACTTTACTCCTGAGAGAAAGTCCAAATGCTCGGAAGAATTAACATTTTTGTGTTTGGATAGAATTATAAATAGCCTGGTGACCACATTTTGGACGTATTGCATCTAATGCTCTTGTAATTTCACTTTCAACCTCATCTTTTTTTTTTCTTTCTTTCTTTCTTTTTGGTATTCCTATGTTCCTGATTATGTGCAAGAGAACGTGCGCTTTGGTGCTTGGAGTTTGTAATTCATTACTAAGGCAGACAGGTTGTGCATTTTGTCAATGCGTTTTGTGTGCGTAGTTTTCCCATAATTGGTCCACTCTAAGAAATCTTTGAACATATTTCATAAAAGTATGGAGACGGGCAAGGTGCATCCGGGTTTGTGTCGAGCCATAAGAGACCGTTCTCTCTATTTGGAGGATCAAGTGGAGGAGGGTGTGCCTTACGGGGAGAGCCGGGTGTTGTACAAAATTCCACTTTGCAAGGCTTTGTTTTTTTTCTTTTTGCGAGAAATGTTTTTGCTTGATAAGTTTGGTGCAAAGATGTCGAGGTATGGTCCCAAGAGAGCTTTTCTTCAAAAAATGGGTAAGTTTACCTTTTAAGCCCCCCGGAATTAAGAACATTCCATTTGGTTACAAGTTGCCTTTATCTTTTTGTAATCAAAACAACGTTGTTTAAGTTTCTCTGACCGTTAAATGCATTGGTCAAATATTCTACCCCTTTTGCATTTACGATAGAGTTCTCTTCACAAAAACAATTTTCTTTCCTGAGAAGACCTGCTTACGTAATTTGTTTACCTGTGCATTTTATTTGCCAAGAAAATTGTAAAATGACACTAAAAGAGAGGAGAAAAAAGAAATTTTGTTTAGGGGTGGTTTTTTTTTGGAGAGATCCTTCTTTCCGGTTACAAAATCCAAATATCAATCACCGAGATCCAAGACTGCGGCTGACTAGTATAGAACGGGTTCTAAAATAAAAGGGGAGGAAAGGACTAAATTTTAGTATATCATTCGGAAAGTACCTCGCAGAAATACAAAGTGACAGAGCTTATTTCCGGCTTTTTGGAGCCAGGTCTTCGCTAATACTTCCCTTTTTTTTTATGCTCAAGCTAGCTTTTCTCCCTCCCCCCCTCCATATGTATTCCTTCAATGCTTGTATTTCAAGATTTCAGAACAGTTCCAAAACCAACCCAACATTGATTTTCTAGATTTGTCTTGGCTTCACTTCTCTTGGACCTCCGTGTACTATTGGTAACACCTGTGAGCTCACACAAGATACCAAAAACAGCAACATAAAACAAACAAGTGATGATGACACCATTTGCGATTTATAAGCTGATTATTGTATATTCGTAGAATGCGTTACCTTGTTGACTCATGAACATAGTAAAAAAAAAATACACTTAAAACTACAATCGGTTTTGAACTTAGACAATGTTATGTTGATGTATTGTAATCTATGAAATAAAGTTTCTTGTAACACACGACCTCGTCAAGAGAATATAATTCGCAACCTAAATTAAGTTTGCAATTTGTTTCATATAATCCTTGCACTGGTGAACTTCAGAGAAGAGTTCTATTGCCAGCAGGGCCACACGGGTTTCATGCTACTGTGCGCAGTCTCATCAACACTATAAATTAGGGATTGAATTTCCCAATTTTAATTTGTTCTCAAGTTCATAATCCTTTCTGATTTTTTCTGACCTGTAAGGAATAAAATATTATCCAAAGGTGTCCATAAACAATATATATATATACAATATGTCTTTTGCTAGACTTTCTGATCCTGAATCTGTTGCTACCCCTTCTCATGGTACAGTCCCAACTGACGTTACCGTATCACCAGTTGTGCCCTTACAACAGGTATATAAGTACGTGCTCTCCAATAATCTATAGGTGAAAGGACATAATTAGCGAGTAAAGAAACGTGGTACTTACCTTGAGCGTATTTAAAATACGGGTACTCACTCTATACAGAAGTAAATTTGGTCTCTCTCTCTCTGCCNTCTCTCTCTCTCTCTCTCTCTCTCTCTGCCCAACTGCCTATCTGTCGTCGTCTATGCAAGCCCACTTCTTTTTATCATTTATTGGTGCCTACATTTCTGTTTTTTTTTTCTAAATTGCGCATGTTGGAATTACATAATCGGTGCAAAAATTAAGGCGTACTGCATATATGAGCCGTTATTATTACATTTTTGGCAACCAGCCAGCGCACTACAAAAAAGAGCAAACCAATAAACGAAACTTTAAAAAGATGGGAGAATAATATTAGTTCAACGGAAACGTAAAAAGAGCCAGCCTGTAGATATACTCAAAAGAAACAATATGTCAACGCTTAGAAGTCACAAGAAGCAATTCGTGTTGTTCTGCAAGGGACAGAGTTATTGTGCCGTTGTTTGAGTGCTTTCTTTCTTTTTTTTTTGCTTGCTTGTAAATACACATTGGGCAATACGCAACCCTATGCAGTTAAGAGTACATGTCTTGAAATATATATATATATATGGATCGACATACCTCGTAGTCTAGATCTTCACTTAGTTGTAAGAGATTGGAATTTAGCACCATTCATACTTTTTTTTTTTTCTTGCAAAATCCACAGAAGATATCGAGACAGATTCAGGTTTGAAACTACCACGAAATTTAACACACACAGACACACACAGACACACACAGACACATTTTACACCCACTTTCGTTTTAACTCACCACTAGTCATTCCTTTCCCCTATTAACACAGAGTGTTGTACTTCACATCAACAACAAACTTTAGGTATGTATTAGTTCTTTTTTTTGTTTTTCTCCCAGGAATAGCAGGGTTTACAAATTTGACTGAGAAAGAGAGAAGTAGTAATAGAATTGTTTCAGTTACCAAAAATAGAACATTAAGCCAGCATTTGAAACACACACAAGTACACAGATATAAGCACACGAGATCAAGACACGGCAACTACTATCAAGAGAAGGAATGAGACTTAGCAGTTGCAGTTACGCACTCCTTTTGGGCAGAGAAATGAGCACACAAAAGATATTATAATTTGGAGACAGATTTGAGCATGCAGAAACGACAACCTTACCAAGAAAGAGATTCCCAAGATAATATCATTCCACCTTTTGGTAGTATCCCACTGCACCATTTGATACAACTACTAGTCAAATGAGGCGAGAGGATTTTGTTTGTTTCCTATGATGATTCTACAATGAAGAGGCGATGATGAAAACAAGTTTTGAGTTGTTGGTGTTCATTACGGGATGTTACTCCTGTCGTTGTCGTGTGTGGTCTCCTCCCTGCTGTATCAAAAATATTGTTATAGGGCGTGTGACATCATGCATGGCTGGATTGTTGTGCATTGTTTGTTGTCACAATACGAATTCTTAGCCAGCATAAAAACACAACACAAAGACGCGCAAAAAAAAATTGAGAAAATGCAGAGTGACACGATATATTTTTTATCCATACACACAACACCACACAGTTCACACAACAAGAACAACATTAGCATCACACCACCCATACTAAGCATATGATTGCTGTTACTGTTACTGTTACTGTTGCTGTTAGTGATATTGCTGTAATACATACACACAGCAATACTGTATTATACTTCAAATTGGAATGGGGCGTGTTTCATGTCCAAGAAATTATCTTACTATCTTTTACGATTTTGTGTACGACGCAAGAATATGCATACCATCTAACAACACAACAACACAACACAGCAACAACTAAAGCTAACATTCACCTCCTTTTAAAATAATAATACCACCACTGCTAATAAACAAATAAACAATCAATAAACAATCAACAAACAATCAACAAACAATCAACAAACTTTTTAACAGAGAGACAGAATTTTTTTTTTTTTTTTTTACTTCCCACCAATCGTCAATCCAATCCATTTCCAAAAAAACTCTAACCCACTCATATTCATTCCTTTCTACTTCTTCCTTCTCACCACACTCATTTACAAACCAACTTGCTTTTCAAAGGTTTTAAACACTCACCTGTGTGTTGTTTCCCAAAAATATACTAACTTCTATCTAACCTCAAGTCGTTCCTTTTATATCTGAGATTATCATTTTCACAGTTAGTTCTTTTTATTTTTTTTAACAACCACATACTGTTACCACTACTACTACTTCCACTTCACATCGTCACTCCTTTAGCTTTTATCTATACCCCCACTTATACCTTCATTTGCTACTCAAACTAAGCTGAAACTATCACTACCACTGCCATGAAGTTTTCCAATTCGATCGTTTTAGCTTTTGCTGCTTGGGCTTATGCTGCTCCTGCACCATCTGTACCTGACTATTCAGGCTACTCCAACCACGCTGTTGTCCCGGGTGCTCTTGACAAGAGAGATGCTTCAGCCGATGACTGTCAAGATCCAGTTTTCCACGGCCATCACAAACACAAGAGAGCCGTTGTTTACGAATACGCTTATGTTACCGTTACTGTTGATGCCAAGGGTAACCCAGTCACCACTACTGCTGTCACCACCACTCAATCCACGGGTAATGCTCAAGAAACTGGTGCTACTTCTCTGGACATTTCATCCACCACCACCATTGTTCAAAATGACTCGTTGACTTCAAACCAACCATCTACATTGTCTTTGCCTAGTGGAACTATTACCCCATCAACCTCATCTTCAGCACCTCAAGCTTCTTCCACTGGTGGCAGCGGTGGTGGCTCTTCTTCAGGTGGCATCAATGGAGATTTATCTGCTTTCCAAAACCCAACCCAAGAATTCCCCGATGGTGTTTACTCTTGTGATCACTTCCCTTCTGGACAAGGTGTTGTTGCTTTAGACAACTTGGGATTCGGTGGCTGGTCCGGTATTTACAACAGTGACACTTCAACCGGTGGATCATGTAAAGAAGGGTCTTATTGTTCATATGCTTGTCAAAGTGGTATGTCCAAGACCCAATGGCCAGACAACCAACCAGCAAACGGTGTCTCCGTTGGTGGATTATTGTGCAAAAATGGTAAATTGTACAAGACCAACTCAAGATCAAATTACTTGTGTGAATGGGGTGCCGACAAAGCCAGTGTTGTTAGCAAGATTGACAAGTCTGTTGCCATTTGCAGAACTGATTACCCCGGTACTGAAAATATGGTTATCCCCACCGTTGTTGATGCCGGCTCTACTTCTGTCATTACTGTTGTTGACCAAGACTCATACTACAAATGGAGAGGTGGTGCCACTTCGGCTCAATTCTACGTCAACAATGCCGGTGTTTCCTACCAAGATGGTTGTGTTTGGGGCACTTCAGGTTCCGGCATTGGTAATTGGGCACCATTAAACTTTGGAACTGGGTATGCTGGCGGAGTCGCATACTTGTCTTTGATTCCAAACCCAAACAACTACGATTCGTTGAACTTCAATGTCAAGATTGTTGCCGCTGATGGAAACTCAAATGTTAGTGGACAATGTGTTTATGAAAATGGGAAATACAATGGTAATGGAAAAGATGGATGCACAGTTGGTGTTACCAAAGGTAAGGCCAACTATGTCTTGTACAATTGAGGGAGACACAATTAGCTTACGCTAGATTATCCTCGATTGTTTTTGTTTCCACGTTGCTTGTTTTTCCTTAGATGATTACATTTCACCAGTTTTCCATTCAGCTCGTATTCGTCGTTAAACACTATCACATTCTTCTAATGATTAGCTGTTTTAGATAGATACGTTTATATCCAGCTGGACTATTTAGTTTTTCTTTTTTAACATACACACTTTCAATAAATTGAATAAAACTCTCTACTCTAGAACTCTTACACCCCTCAAAGATATTCTCTAAATTATATGAATTAAATGAAAAACCCAACTCTAAATAATGTACAGTTATATACAAATGTATACGTAGCTTTATCAAACGAAAGAAATCCAAATACTTTAAATCGTCTCTCTAAGCATCCCTCCTCCCTCTCTATGCAACGACATCCCAGAACTTTTCCCACAAGTTTCTAGGCTCAGTCGACTCCCACCCCATTTCATCAACCTCACGTACTCCAGAATCAATATCACACTCATCCAAGGGCACGAAATAATCTCTCCACTTCAAACTAAACCCATGGAAGAAAATTTGGAACCCAATCCACAATGCCACAAAGAAGATAGGTGAGATATAAGCAGTAAAGAAATCAGTCACATTAAACCCATTGAAAAATGACTGGAATCCCTGAATCAATGTAATCAAAAAGATAAAGAAACAAGCATAGTACGCAGCCCAAGGCATAAACATGGCCTTGTAAGGCAAGGAATCACGACTAATGCCTCTCTTCTTCAAAACCTTGATGAACCTAATGTGGCTGGCGGAAATGAATCCCCAACAGATCAAACCGGCAGTGGAGGAAATGTTCAATAACCACGTAAACGCATTTTCACCACTACTGGAGACGGCCAAGTATCCCAATGCACCAAATGCTGCAGTCAAAGCCACGGCAAAATATGGAACTCCACCACGATTAGTCTTCAAAAAGAACCTAGGGGCCACCCCAGCTTCTGCCAACCCGTAAACAATACGCGATCCACAATACACATTGGAGTTGGCGGCAGATATGATGGTGGTTACAATAACTGCATTGAAAATGTGGGGCAAGACTTTGGTTCCCGAGTTATTCATGGCGATAATGAATGGCGAGTTTGAAGTGTAGGACCCACCAGTCAACTTGTCGTCATTGTAAGGAACCAACAATCCAATGAAAAACATGCACAAGACGTAGAAAATCAAAATACGAAACAAAACCTTCTTGATGGCACGGGGCACTGTGCGACGTGGGTTTTCTGACTCACCAGCAGAGATACCGGTCAACTCGGTACCTTGGAACGTGAATGCGGCATTGATCAAAGAAGACAACCAACCGAGGAACCGACTGGTTGCGGTATCCGAAACAAGGATTCCATCTCCCCATGCGTATCCATTTCTCCAGTACCTGAACCCCACGGGCCCAGTTTTACCGGCACCGCAAACCATGCACAATGCATAAATGATCCATCCAAACACGGCAATGACCTTGACGGAAGCGACCCAGAACTCAACCTCACCGTAAAATTTGACGGGGAAAAAATTGAACACAGTAATAATGACAAAGAAAATACTGATCCAGGCCGCCAAGGGCACGGCGTCGGTCCAGTACTGGATAACTTGCCCTACAACGGATAATTCAAGAGCAAATGTGATTGCCCAACTGAACCAGTACAACCAACCATTAGCAGCACCAGCCGATTTTGAGATCCACCGAGTTACAAATTGAGCAAATGACCCGGAAACGGGGATCAACGTTGCCATTTCTCCCAAGGACTGCGTGACTGAGAATGCAATTGTTGTCATGAAAAGGAAAGAAATGAGGGAAAGAACAGGACCGGCTGAGGCCAACGTGCTTCCTGTAGATATGAAAAGACCAGTTCCAATAGTACCACCGAGGGCAATCATGGACACGTGACGTGCTTTCAACCCACGTTTGATTTCGTTGACGGACCCATCGTTGTCTGATTCATTGTCACGAAGAAAAATCTCGTCGTCGTCTTGTATGTAGTTGGTGTTTATTTGTTTTTCTTTGATGCTGAATGGGCTTGATTGTGATGGGGTCAAGTTGTTGGCTGGGGCTGCAAAGTTGGCATTGTTGGGATGTTGTTGTATTGAGTTTGCAGCTGATGACGACGAGGCGCCTTTTTCTAGATCGTAATTACTCATGTCCACAGACTAGTAATTAACCCAAGGTGATGGATTTTGTAATTTGACGAACGGAAAAAAAAAAAAAAAGAAAAATAAAATAAATGCAAATGCAAATGCAAAAAGGTATCACGGGAATATGTTTAGATATCTAGAAGTCCCAGGTCGTAGACAAGTTTGATCAGGAGAAAGGGTGATGTGTTTTGTAAATAAAAAATACAGTGAAAAACGTTAAGGGAAAAGGAAGAGATTATATAAGGGGTATTTAATAGTTTAGATCTTTTTTGGTTTTTTTTTTTTTAATAAATTGACGGCGGTTAAATTATTGATGATGAGAAATTTCTTTTTTTTATTTTTTTTCTTTTGTATTTTTTATTGTTTAAATTAGTCAATCTATATGTGGGACCTGATAAGACAAATTAAAAAAAAAAATGAAATGTATTTTTATTACAACCGCCGTATAGCAAATATATCCTCTTCTTCTTCTTATTCCTCAAAACTTTGTGACAAATGTCGTACGACTTGTTAAAGCCCCATTTTGTATAGCCTATGCAATCGATGAAGTTCACTATTCATAGTGTGATCTAGTTTGTTGTTTGTGTTAGTCGAATACAGAGAAGGTGGAGCAATGAGATATAAAAGTATCGCACATCTATACCATGAAGTAGTCACCCCACAAAATCAGCTGGATTGTGAAAAAGCGGATTTGAGGAATTGGGGAAGATAGGTTAACCGCGATGCGAAAGAGATGTTCACTGTTAAAGCCATTAGTTCCCTTTAGTGAAAGTCTCTACGTGCATGAAAGATTAAATGATATACACCTAAAGGAAGGTTAAAGAGAAGAATGAGGCGATTTGGAACAAGAATAATAATGTATGGCTTTTGTATTAGAATATATAAGGCTATTTGAAACAGAAAACTTGTTTTTCTATTGTGCCATTTTTTTTTTTGATATTATATCTTTGTCTTTAATGAGTTACATTCTGTATGCAATGGCATCTGACTGCGAAAGAAAAAAAAAACAAAAGAAAAGAAATTTTTCTCAAATCGCCGTATCTGGACTGGTAAAAATGAAGATTGCTTTATTTCTTTTCTCGCTACATACCCACTTTCTCGAACTTTAAGGAATCGCGCATCGAGCTGAAGAAGGTTTCCCTCTTTATTTAGTTCTTCGGAGTTATATTTGTCAACCTCAGAGGTGGCAACTTCATCGATTCCCATCGTAGACGACAAGAACGGCGAATTGCTCATTTTCTTTCTTTTTTTTTTCTTTCTTTGTAATTTTGTGCCGTTCTATAATAGCAATGAGAATGCCGTTTAAATTTGAACTCAAATTCAACAGCCGAACTATGCATCCTCTTCTACACTGGAGCCTATTTCAATCTTCTTCACTTTCGATCACATATTCAGCTGAAAGGAGAGAGATATCGACTGAAGCACCATGCTTGATATGTGCGCACAACCAAACACACTAACCCCCATGCTCATAAAAGTTGCCTCGATTGAAACTATGTCTACACCAATATCTGGCTACCGACCCTATGCGGTGAAAATGATCTATTTCAATTCCAATGTCGTAGAGAAAGTTACGTAAAAGCTGGGGGTGAATCACACATTTTCGGGAATGCGTAATCCAAATACGACACGACACTCAAAGTTCAGATTTTTTGCGACAATTCAAAACTTTTTGTATCTACACACGACTAATTTTCCAGTGAGGTAATCTTATATCGATCTCTTTTCTTACAGACAGTTCGATTGCTGCAAGCTGCATCCCAGTTGTTGTCGGTTTTGAAATATGTGCCAAATGGTCCAAAAAACCACCTCTTTGTAGACTTCTTTAGAAGGTTTTTTTGAAAAAAGTTGGTGTTTATTTGGTTGCAAAATGCAAACAAATATTAAAGTAAGTGGGCCTATTCCGTATCGTTCATAACATAGCTGTACACTCAGCCAAACATAATCATGAACACACACACACACACACACACACACTACAACCTTACATTAATGCTCTCATCTTACAGGATTAAAGACTTCCATTCTAATTGTATACTGGGGGTTAAGTGAATGGCCCCCTCCCATTGTCTTTTACTTTTTTTTTTTTTTGTCCCTTCTCTTTAATTCTCGCGTGTGTTTTGTTGTGAGTAGAAAATCTTCAACAGCGTGGAAATTCTAAACACATAGCAACATATTTAACAGCATCTGGTCTCATAACAAAACTATAATTCAACAAGACTACTACATACACCTTGGAACTCATTTACTCCCTAGTCACTATTCAGCAACTTATAACCTTTCCATTCCCCACTAAATCAAGGAATAGCACCTACTTCCCCAAAAATGAGTTCGTCAGAGGATGAGACTGCCCTTAGTCAACTACCTATTGAATCACAATCAGTATCCACCACGCCGACCTCAGACGAAATTGACCGTGAAGAGGAGGAGGCCGATGTTCCATTGACGAAGAGAAGCAGGAGGAAAGTTGCTGTGGAGTCAGATGACACTGACAACGACGATGATGATTACGACGACGACGATGTGCCGTTGTCCAAAAAGGCAAAGAGTAATAATGGAACGGCAAAGACTAAACCACTGAAAGAGACAAAGACAACGAAAAAGACCGATACAAAGAGGAAAACTACTTCTAAAGTGAAAGCTGAACCGATAGCCAAGGCAACGACAACAACATCCACAACTGCTAAATCAAAAGTCAAGAGTGAGCCTTCAATGAGATCTGCAAGGGTAAAGAAGGAGCCATCGGTTAAAAGTGAAGCTAGAGCGAAGAAGGAAATATCCGTCAAGAGCGAAACTCCAGGGACTGAAGATGAAGACACGTTCAAATGGTGGGAGCAACAAACGGGAGATAACGATGGTGAAATCAAGTGGCAATCGTTGGAACATAATGGAGTCATGTTCCCTCCACCATATGAACCTTTGCCATCGCACGTCAAACTATACTATGATGGAAAACCTGTGAATTTACCCATTGAAGCCGAGGAAGTTGCTGGCTTTTTCGGAGCCATGGTTGAGACTGATCATGCAAAGAATCCTGTTTTCCAAAACAATTTTTTCCAAGATTTCCAACAAGTTTTGAAAGAGTGCGGTGGTTGTGGTGTTGAAATCACCGATTTCAATAAATTGGATTTCAGCAAAATGCATGCATATTTCGAAAAGAAAAGAGAAGAAAAGAAAGCATTGAGCAAAGACGAAAAGAAACGATTGAAAGAGGAAAAGGAAAAAATTGAAGAACCGTACAAGACATGCTTACTCAATGGGAGAAAAGAGTTGGTGGGTAATTTCCGTATTGAACCTCCAGGGTTGTTTCGTGGCCGTGGTGCACACCCTAAAACTGGTAAGTTGAAAAGAAGAGTTTATCCTGAACAAGTGACGCTCAACTTGAGTGCTCATGCTAAAGTGCCTGACCCACCACCGGGCCACAATTGGGCCGAGGTGAGGCACGATAATGAAGTTACATGGCTAGCTATGTGGAAGGAAAACATTGCCGATTCGTTCAAATATGTACGATTCGCTGCCAATTCATCAGTCAAGGGACAATCCGATTTCAAAAAATTTGAAACGGCACGGGAGTTGCGTAAATATGTCGATGCAATTAGGAAAGATTATACCAAGATGTTAAAGCTGGAGAAGATGCAAGATCGACAAATGGCCACGGCAATGTATCTTATTGACGTGTATGCCTTGAGAGCAGGTGGTGAAAAGGGTGAAGATGAAGCAGATACTGTTGGGTGTTGTTCGCTTCGATTTGAACATATTACTTTAAAACCACCAAACACGGTAATCTTTGATTTTCTTGGTAAAGACTCGATTCGGTTTTATCAAGAGGTGGAAGTTTCGAAACAAGTTTTCAAAAACTTGCGCATATTCAAAAAGGACCCCAAGCAGCCAGGCGACAATTTATTTGATCGGATAAATCCCAGTATGGTGAATAAACAATTGCAAAATTATATGAAGGGATTAACGGCAAAAGTTTTCCGTACTTATAACGCATCCAAGACTATGCAGGATCAATTGGATTTGATCCCTAATGAAGGTACCGTTGCTGAAAAAGTTGTCAAATTCAATGCAGCTAACAGAACAGTGGCCATCTTGTGTAACCATCAGCGTACCGTGAGCAAGAATCACGGCAATTCCGTACAGAAAATCAGTGACAAGTTGAAGGAATTGACGTGGCAAAAGATTCGAACCAAAAAAATGCTTCTTCAATTGGATCCCAAATTGAAAAAGAAGGATCCTAAATATTTTGAAGAGTTGGATGATTTAGTGAAAGAGGATATTGAGCATATACATCATGAAATCATTGAGCGGCAGAAACAACAAGTGATGAAGAAGTTGGAACGTGATAACGAGAAGTTGAAGATTGAAAAAAAGCCTTTACTAACAAAGAAGGATATCAAGGATAAATTGGACAAGATCCACGAGTTGGAAAAAGAATACAAGAAGGAGTTGAAAACTGGTAAACCGGAACTTCCAGCCAAAATGACTGTGGAGAAATGTTATCAACAAATTGAAGCTCTTGAGAACCGAATAGTGTCAACCTCATTACAATTGAAGGATAAAGAAGATAATTCCGAGGTTTCTTTGGGTACTTCGAAGATGAATTATATCGATCCTCGATTGACCGTTATGTTTTCAAAGAAGTTTGATGTTCCGATTGAAAAGTTGTTTACAAAGACTTTGAGGGACAAGTTCAAGTGGGCTATTGAATCTGCCGATGAGAACTGGAGGTTTTAGGAGGGAACCAAATGGCAACTGTGTATGTATAATCGCCAGAATAGACAATGAAATTGCATGTAATAAATATTGTGCTTCGAAGACCTTTTGTTTTTTTTGTTTTTTTTTTTTTTTCCTGAAAGGGTTGCGTGTAGAAGGAAATGCATCATAAAGCCACTTTACGATGGAAGGCTACACAGAACGCGTTGCAAATTGAATTTTTTTAGTTTTACTTCCTGTGGTTGATAACACAAAACTGGAATGTATGAAAATGAAGAGCGGATGTAAATCTAGGCAGTTGCCTAGGACCAGAGTGTTGTTGATATACAAAAATATAGATTGCACGATAAAACTTATATGCTTTACGGGCAGTTGAGCTAACTTCCACCTAGAATTCTTGCTCTTATTGCTTGTACCTTTAGTCATTATTTTCTTTCTTTCTCTCTTTCTTTCTTTCTTTTTTTCTTTGACGCGCAATTACTTAAAGAACCCTTTGTGTTGCAATTGCAAATCTTTCGTTGCTGGCACTAAAAAAACAAAAGAGGTTCATGAAAGAATATACGAACTAACTAAAACATAGATCGATGGGACGTGTTTGCATTGTTCCAACACTTTGTACTCTTCTTTTACTCATAACCCTTTCCCAATACAGTGAATTGATTAGAGGATTTTCCGAAGCCCGACTTGAAATTGCATTTCTTTTCAACAATCAATTAAAAAACCTTCTTCTTGCCATTGACAAGTATTTTCTTTTACTTTTTGGTTGACCATCAAGTGATAGAGACATTAACGAAGGAGCATTTATAAGGAAGCAGCGTTAAAGAGCTAGTTAAACATGGGTACCGTACCTGAGATATACATTACGCGTCATCATATGAATCACCAGCACCACCAGCACCACCAAAGGGTGTTTGCAAGTCCAAGTTTTGAAATGGACTTACCACTACCCACAAGCCTAACGCATAACCCGAATGCAACGCCGTCGCTGTCTTCGTTTCTACAATCAACACACGTAACCATGGTTACAGCTATGCCCACACTTGTTATTCGAGATGGGGAAACTGATAATGGTGGAGACACTCAGTCTGGTGCTTCCATGCCTTCACTTGCCGAAACCAGCTCGTCGTCTTCATCAATCTCAACCACCATTACTGCTATACCTAGCATGAACAACCCATATATTCACGTACCGACACTACCCGCAAGCTTAGTATTCATCATTGTTGGTGCCGTTCTTGGAGCCATCTTACTTGCGTTGACATCTTACCGAATCATCAGTTACTACATCTCCTCATCAAAAGCGCGTAGGGACAAAGAAGTTTACTACTCCACACCTGGTGCAAACGCAATGATGTCAGAGCATTATTCATTCCCTCATAGACGCATAGGATCGTCTTCATCATTACTTGACTTGTCATCCTCATCTGCTTCCACTCTATCACAGGGAAGATCTTTACAGAACCACATCCTCAGTGATAAGCAACAATTTCGTAAATCAATGTTTAATAATCCAAGTTTGGAATATGATACTTTACCATTGTATCAAGATAAGCGAAATTCGTCATCTACGGTGTACTTGCATAAATACAACAATTCATCATCGGCCTCGCTTTTGAAGCCATTAGGACCATATTTGGATTCCAATGCGGCTGTTTCGTCGTCTTATATTCTGGAAGATGGCAATAATACCAATAAGGATACGGATAGTGATAAGTTTGGAACTACGGGGACGTTTGCGGGAAGTGTGCAAACTACGTTACGTCCTCCAAGTATGTACCTTGAGGATCTCTTGAATGGGGAAATTGCGGGAGATAAGGAAAGTGGATAGGCACGACGATAGATGACGTCTTTGGCAGATGATATAATATAGATTTTTGGTTCGATTTATTTAGATTGGAGTTGCATTTATTTTTAATAGAATGATACCATTTATTGCATTTCGAATCGTTAACGACTCAGCATTTTACTGCTACATGTAGTAGAAATTGAGCATTTTGCAACTGATCCAGCAGAATGGAAGCAACGGGAAAGTGTTGACATTTCAATGGGTCGTGCAGCTAATCTAATTGTTGAACAGTAAGCAAATGCATCGAGAGTTTGTTTTGGTATCGTGTATGTCTTTGAATATTGCGTATTTATCCACACCTTGTCGATGCAGCCATTAAGCTGCTATTCGCAGGAAACATACGTTGCTCTACCACTTTCTGAGACAAGACAGACAGACATCAGCCACTTGGCCATGCACAAGCATATTATGACATGCACTCTGAGCTGCATTGACAGTCATATCAAGTCACACGATGTTTGCAAATTATCGCCAAGCCTCGAAAATGACGAGAGCGCAAAAGTTTATTTTTTTTTTTTTTGCCAAGCCCCCCACAATTTAGCATCATATGGAACAAGAAAAATAAAGCAGTTCTGCCATTATTGTTCTTCTTGCGAATTGTATTTTGGCGTGTAGACGCCATACAGTGAGCTAGTGAGTTTTTTTTTATTTTTTTTTAACGCAATTAATCAAGACGGTGCTGAATGGTTAAAAATCAATGATTTCCCTGGTCGAGAGAATCCAGTAATACCCCAATACAAACGAAGACAGAGCCGTAGCTAAAAGAATCGGCGAAATCTGCTTTACTGTAGATTTTCAATCGTTTTCATGCACAAGAGGGGGGGAATATGGTGCTATCAGTAGACGGAATTATTCTTTGCAAAGTATTGTATGACATTTTGTGGCCAACAAAGAGGCGCGGCTAAGTTTCCAATCAAAACAACTCATGATCTTTTCGTCATTACCAACCTTCCTAGCCGCAGCAAATAAATACGCTAGAGCTTGCATATATATGAGTTTGATTGTTCTTTCATTTTGCAAATTACATCAGTGTTAAGCGGAGCTCATCTATCTACGAAGAGAATAGATCACATTCATCGGATCTAAACAGTCAAAACTATGGTTATCGAATTAAAACCACGTCGTGGAGGAGGAGGTCACTCTGGAGGAGGCCACTTTGGAGGAGGAGGAACAAGAGGTGGAAGATCCAGTGGAGGCAATTCAGGGTCCGGGTCCAAACCAAAAAGCCCAAAGAATCCAAAAGGAATTCGCCCTGTTGGAAATGGTAGAGGCCATCATACTACCACTACAACCACTACAGATAGCAGTGCCACCAGTAGTAGCAGCAGCACCACCAAGACAAAGAAACACAAGAAGACAAAATCAAAGAAATCAAAGAAAAAGACAAAGGCCAAGAAGAACAAGAGGTTTCAAACTGATCCATCCAGAGTTGCAACTACCGAGTATAATGTCTACAATGACCAAGTTACTAGTTATAGCCCACTTCCAACTACGTTGATACTGAGAACCTTTGAGCAAAAGGTAGTGTCAATGGATACACCTACAATGACATCAATTTTGGAGGATCTAATTCCACATGAAACGGGATTTGGGCCAGAATTAATCTCCTCTTGTGAAATTGCTTTTTCTGGAATACCTCCAAATATGCTCTGCTATGTTGCTGGTGGTGCGGTGGCACTCATTGTTGTTTTCATTGGCGTTTGTCGTTTGTTTACAAAATCAGATGATGTGAACGGGGATTCGTTGGAGAAGGACTCATATTACATACATTTACCAGGTCCAGATGATTCTGTGGTTGCCAAGGGTGGTGAGTGTTCCGATCAAACTGAGATAGAAAAGGAAGCATTACTTGAGAAGAAATGAAGCTGTTGATGCATTCTTATGTATAGTGGTCATTCAACAATTAACTTTTGCGTTTTACTTATGAATTGACGTGCATTTCAAGACTTTTTTTATGTAATCAAGTAGCGGCTTCCAGCCCTGGTGGCCCACGCAAAGTTTTGAATACTTATTCATGAAAGCGGCCACATTTGAGCACTAACCAATTGCAATCGTCTCTTTCTTGTGATCCATGAAGGAACACATTACACTTCACTAATCCTTGTAGAACCTTCTTCCCCCAGGATCTTGCCCCACCCCCCCACATCGGCCTCATGAAGTACACAATCTCAAAGCTACCAATTTGCCGAATGATGGGTTTGTGTAATTTAATCGGATCCAAATTAATTGGTGTGACGTTGGACAGAAGAAAAAAAAAAAAGAGTAGAGAGAAGAAAGAGAGAGCGAAAGAGGGAAAGGGAATCTATACTGCACTCCGTTTATCGCTCATCTATAGAAACCATTGATCACTTATTAGGACATCTCTTTCTACTTCATTACACAGCACGATCCATAATGCTTAGACAGTCAATCAGAAGCGCTTTCAATGGCACCAACGTTGCCAGCAGAAGGTTTATCCAACAATCAGTAATCAAACTTGCTAAAGGTGATCAATCCACTATTGATGCATTTAAATTACCCTCACAAACATCAATCAATGAATGGGAATTCAAGTATGACTTTATCCCAAAGACTTCACAACCAAAAGTGCCTCCAGTCACCAAAGAAGCAGTTAAGCAGGACATTGCGCAGGAAAAAGCCAAGGCGGTTGAGCGTGAGTTATTTGCTAAGGAGTCCAATTCATCCGTCAAGGTTGAGGCTAATGATGCTAAGGTCTTGCACGGTGGTGAGTCAGTTGATGCCGAGCATGTTCTTCGAGAAGATAGAGGCAGCAATCCAATTGACACTTCAAAGCCAAATGTTTCCAATGCATCCAAGCCAAAGAAGGCTGCCAATCATGATCAGTATGTTCAATCATCAGTGAACCCAGGTATAAATCAAGCTGATATTGTCAACTTGGGTGAGAATGAGATTGATCACAAGACCGAGGAAGTTGGTAAACAGGCACAAGTTGTTGATGATCTTGAGCATGACAATTTACACCACCACGGTCAAGAACAAGCCTCAACGTCTTCAGGAAGCCCACGCGTTGTGGGGGTATTGGCCCTTTTAGGTTTAGGTGGGGCCGGCTACTGGTACTACAATTCCACCACTACCAAACCGGCCAAAAAATAGAGAAACTACGTCCGGAGGATACATTCAATAAATAAATAAATAAATAAATAAATAAATATTCATTAAATCAGTCAATTTTTATATATATATATATAACTTCTATTCACAAGGTAATATGTTTTTAATATTGTCTGGCAGCTTCTTGGCATGCTTTCAATTGTTGTAAGTAGTAGCCACATGTTTGCATGTTCCCATCATTCTCTTCCAAACATCTAGTAAAGTTTCTAGCATCCACATCACAGTGTCTTACTTGCTCTTGAGTAGCGTATGAGTTCTGTTGTTGATATGGAGCGAGGTCTTGCTGTTGTTGTTGTTGTTGTTGTGGCTGATCAACAGGGGCTTCAGATCTTCCGCCAAACATTCCAGTGATACCAGCACCCAAAGTGTGACCAATAGTGGAACCAACGGCAACACCAGCAGCAGTGGATGCCATTTGTCCAAACAAACCTGGTTGTCTTTGTGTTTGAGGTTGAGCTGGGTGAGCAGCTGGGTAATGACTTTGACCGTAAGCTGGAGGCGCGGTAGCAGCAGCAGTGTGAGCTGATCTAGTTTGTTGTCTTGGAGCTGGAGCTGATCTTCTTTGTCTAGGCATTGTTGAATGTGTTTGATTTGCTTGATAAACGTGGGTGTGAGACGTATTGAGTGGTAAAGTTTTTTTTTTTTTTTCTCTCTATATATAGAGAGACGTTTCTCTCTCTGTTTTTTTTTTGTTTTTGGTTTGGGTGGCGAGAAAAACGTGCAAGAGTAGTGCACGTTGACCAGGTCTAGTGCGAGAGTGGATATCTCCGGGAGGTCATTCAAGAGTTGTAAATAGAGGTCACAGATACATGTCATTACAAGGCATTGGAGAGGGTCAATTGACCTGGACCTGAACTCTCAGCAGGTACTTAATTGTGTCCAGATGTGAAGTCCTCAATGATGTTGAGCTATCTATGGTCAAGTGTAAATACGATCCTATAATTGAAACCTTTTTGTGTAGATACTTAGATTATGTTACCTAAACACAACAGAATATATGTTTGATAGGTAGATAAATAGACTATGAATAAGCTTGTGTCTAGAAGAATTTGATATGAAAACAAAAAAAAAAAAAACAAAAAAAACTTCTGGATATTCAGGTGTTTATATAGCCTTGCATCGGTTCTCCTCCAAATTTACCAATCGTAAGCCAATCGTAAGACATTTTGAACATCGAACGTTTTATAACCAAAGCTGCTTATTACGAGATAGTCCAAGTAGGTCGCGTGGGAAACTCTAAAAGGTTGTATATAACATCAAACGCACTTGGTAGCACTGGGGAGCCCTATCACCCATCTGTAGGTTGACCAAACTCTGCATAATTTGTAAGGTATTGTTGTATACGCAGCCTATATGTATTATCACAATTAGTAAAGCCAATTCTACTGTCTTTTTCATGCATGAGACTTCTTACTACTCCAAAGCACTATGATATACAAAATCCAATCACCGTCAAAAGGACTTTGCACTAATGAGCAAACCATCATCACTTGGATAATGTTGATATTATCGTCACAATCTGTAGCTGATCCGTCCGAAATTTTTTCTAGTTTCGGCGCCTCATTAACCTTTTGTTCCCTATACTCTTGATCGTGGTACTTTAAACATTTTCTCGTGCCCCTTAAGTTGAGACTAATTTCGAGATGACTCCCCACCGTATAACTAACCTAAGCCTCCATTTATCATGGACTGATAAGATTTGGATAGAAACTTCGGCATTTGGATCTACAGTTCGGCTTCTTGTTTTTAAATGCTCAAATTTGTTATCGCTTTGTAAGGTCGGTGACATCAAACAAACAGAACTAAACTCCTCACCTCTTTGATTGAAGAACAGTCCTCCTCATACTTCGGCACCCGAGGTTATCTCGTAGTCCCCCTTTAGAAGATAAAAAAAGAAAAAAAAACGCGTTTGTAAGCTTCCTCCATCCGTTTGCTAAACGCCGCATTCGCCGTATATAAATTGTTCTCAGTTTCAGCCCTTCTAGAAATACTGCATACAATCATCTCGCGAAAAAAAAAACAAGTTCGGATTTTACAGCGTTTTTTATGAGTGTTTTGCGTTCGGCCGAAGTGAACAAACAATACATATTAGAAATAGAAGTTTCCAAAAACTCGGGTATTACCCGATTAGGCAACGAAATTCCCTTGCAATTTTAGCACATTGTGTAACAGACGCTTTTGAGAAATTTTCTTTTTTTTTTTTTTTTTTTAAATCCCCGTTTATTTAACTGTTTGGTCTCTAACAACTGTTCTTTAAACCCCCTCCCTCGCTTTTGAGTCACATCTGGTACACCACAAGTCGGAGCCGTATTTGTTTGTGATGGTCAGTATGAGTAATCCACAAACCATGCCTATTGTACAAATTAGGGATTATACCGAAGTAGTGCGAAGCGGTTTTAAGAAGGATTTAAGTAGCAGAGGTTTCAAAACACAATAGAGTATAGAATATAAATATCTCTTCAAATAACTCATCAATTTCAAATTAAAATTGCACAGTCTTCTATACCATAGGACATACATTTCAACTAATACGCATATCAACAAGGTTTTTTACCACCCATCTCAATATGAGTCAATTATTTACAGAGTCTTTTGTTGGCCATTTTTTGTATCGAATTTCGGGTAGAAAGATTTTCTTGCACCGTGATGAGTTACCTGGCTACGTCATTCCAGAAAAATACTTGGTAAATAATGATCAACAACCGGAATACGAGTTTCCAAAAAGAGAAGGAGAAGGAGAGGGAGAGGGAGAACACAACAGCAATAACAATAATAGCAGCAGCAGTGACAATATAGAGGTTGCGAGAGGTTCAACTTCAAACGATGAGGACATTGAGAAGGAAAAACAACAGAAGCCAGACAGTGCCTCTGAAGAGACCAAAGCAACTACCGAATCCAATAACAAAGACGACGCCAAGTCAGATTACATAATAGTCACGTGGGATGGAGATGATGATCCAGACAATCCATACAATTGGCCATTTTATCTCAAGGCTATTATGGCTTTCCAAATTGCGTTTTTAACCGTTTCAGTATACATGGGATCAGCAATATATACCCCAGGTGTCCAAGACATAATGACCAAGTTCAACATCAATGAAACCAAGGCAGTGTTACCATTGACTATGTTTGTTATTGGATACGGTATTGGTCCTATATTTTTCAGTCCCTTGAGTGAAGATTCGAGAATCGGTAGGACTCCATTGTACATTATTACGTTGTTTATCTTTTGTATGATGCAAATTCCAACTGCTTTGTCTACTAGTCTTGCTGGAATGTCCGTTTTGAGATTGATTGCTGGGTTTTTCGCTAGTCCCGCTTTGAGTACCGGTGGTGCGTCATTTGGTGATTTTATTACATTGCCATTTTTTGTTGTTGGGTTAGCTACTTGGTCATTGGGTGCCGTTTGTGGTCCTAGTGTTGGTCCATTGATTGGTGCCGTTTTGGTGCAAAGAGGTGGCCATAATGGATACGAAAGTTGGCGTTGGACATTTTGGTTTATGGCTTTGATTTCATCGTGTTTTTTGATTCTTGGTTGGACATTGCCAGAAACTTATGCACCTAAATTGCTTCGTCAGAAAGCAGAAAGATTGAGAAAATTGACTGGAAACAACAAGATTGTATCTCAAGCTGAGTTGGACCACAGCTCAACACCAACTGGACAAGTTGTCAAGAAATTATTATGGCGTCCATTTGAAATCACCATCACTGAACCGGTTGTGTTGTTGATTGGAATTTACATTGCCTTGGTGTACAGTATTCTTTATTTGTTCTTTGAGGCTGTGCCTATTGTTTTCCAAGAAACTAAACACTTTACATTGGTTGAAATGGGTGTCACTTATCTTTCAGTTGTCATTGGTATCTTCTTTGGTGGGGCAATATACATTCCATATGTGTACAAGGTGTTCACCAAGCCATTGCTTGCTGGAGAGTATGAGAAAGTTACCCCAGAAATCTTCTTGCCACCATCGATCTTGGGAGCTTGTTTGATGCCTATTGGATTATTCATTTTTGGTTGGACTTCGTCTCCACACATCCATTGGTTCCCACCTATGATTGGAACCGCGGTTTTTGCAATTGGTGCATTCATCATCTTCCAAACTTTGTTCAACTATATGGCTGCTAGTTTCAAAGTTGAGTACTTGGCCTCGGTGTTTTCATCGAATGCATTTTTCCGAAGTGTTGTTGCTGGTTGTTTCCCACTTTTTGGCAGAGCATTATTTATCAACTTGAGCATTAAAAATTACCCAGTGGGCTGGGGATCATCTTTATTGGCATTCTTGTGTTGTTTGATGATTCTTATCCCTGTGTTTTTCTACTTGAATGGTCCCAAGTTGAGAGCAAGATCAAAATACGCCAATCATTAATAGTGAACGAGAGAGAGAGAGAGAGAGAGAGAGAGTGCGTGTGTGTGTGTGCTTGATTCTGTCTTTCTTATAATACTTATACATATACATAGTCTAGCAATAGTACATGAGTTAATAATAGAGAGTAATTTAGAGTAATTTGATGAGCAGTTGTAAGATGGACATATCTCTTTCTCTGTGTTGTAGTTGTTGTTATATCTTGATTGAGAGAGAGTTATGTTTGGTTTTCCGTTGGGCCTAGGCCTATTTATTTATCTCTCAAAGGGGAAAAATCAGTGAGAACGAAAAATCACGCAGTTGAGTTTTGTGTTGAACGACAATCAGCAATTTTCCAACAATCATTGACGTTACATACTATATACATATACCCCACTCATACTCATACTCATACACCTTACTACAACATACATCACACTATTATGGATTTTGAAGAACGTTTGGCTGGAGCAGAAAGATCCGACTCACCTTCACTAGTTGGTGCGTCATTAAGATCTGCTGATGACTCCCCACACCAGAACTATATTCACCCGGAGAAATACGTTTCATCAAGAGCCGAATCGAGATCCAAATCGAGAACAAGATCAAGTAAATTGAGACTGTCAATTACCGCATCTTTAGACGATTTGATTAATGAAGGTGCGTTATTGGGTTCAGAAGAGGACTTTGATAAGTTTTTGGATGGCGACGGTACTGTGAAGAACGAAGCCAAGTACACCAGTAAATTGGATAAGGATATTGATGAAGCTGGTGAGGAAGAGGATACCGAGGAGGAAGGCAAACATGCTGGTGATGGTGACAATGATGAGGTTCAGCAAAAGATTGCTAATGCCATTAAACAAGATGAACCATTGAGGGGTAGACGGGCCAAAGTGGACGATAAAAAATTGCAACATCCAGTTGAGAGTGAGAGTGAGACGGAGACAAAGTCAGCTGGAGCTAAAAATGTAGCTTCCTCATTCTACAAGCAGAGTGACTACTCCACCCCTAACTTGTCGGATTACCAATTGGACCAAAACATCACTGACCACAGTGATTTTGTTAGCCATGTCCAATCCCACGATTTAGACAAGTTGCCTCGCTCCAAGCTGTCTTTTGCAAGCGAGAAAGAATCCGAGTCGTTGAGACCTAAGATCCACACTACGTTGTCGTCTGCACAACAGCAAAGATTGGAAAGCAGCTTGCATCCTTTTCATACTGATAGACCAAGATCAAGATCTAGATCAGCCAATCCAACAACACGTATTGCTGCTCGTTCGTCATCTTCTTCTTCCTCTTCACGCCATTTAGCTAGAGGAGATTCGTACAGAAACGTTCATGGGGACGAGCCATCAAAATACGAGTTGCCTCCTTCTTTTTCAAGTGACGATTTGAAGGAGTCAGAAGAAGAAGAAGGTAGAGGAAGAGCTGCCAGACCCACTTTAGGAGATACTATTGCTGCCGCTGAGGCCAGAAAAGCTCGATCAGAGACTGCGCTGTTTGTGCCTGAGTATGAATCCAATCCAATCAGTAGAGAGCCATCGTTGGTGACAACTGGTGATTACACCAACTTTGATGTCGACAACCCGCCACGCTCTCCAGCAAAGTATAAACCAAATGCAAGATTTATCAGATCCAGCTCAAGTCACCCAATGGATGAAAAGAATGATTCCAACGTGGATGGATTGGTGGAAGAAGGCGCGTTGGTGACTGATGATCCATATGCTTCAATAGATCAATTGGATAATTTGATGGAGGAGGTGTTACGAGGGAATAGTGCCTCATCGGAGCTGAAGAATGAGACAGAAAAAGGAAACTCAGTGAAGGCCAAGAGCTCAGTCGCAAAGGGCGAGGATGACACTAAGGTGAAGGAGTCTTTAAAAGCACAAAAAGAGAATGAAGACGTGCCTTCAGATACCGCAGAGGATGTGAAAAATGATGCTGGTGATAAAAATAAAGACCCCGTTCTGAGAACTGAAGAGGATGCGAGTTCAAGCACAGAGTTGAAGGAAGATAAGGAGAAGGAAGATAAGGAGAAGGAGAAGGAAAAATCTGAATTTCATAAAGCTGAAGACTCAAAGGAAGCTAACGGGAAGGAAACAACTACTTCATCAGGTAAGGATTTGGAAAAGAGCGCCAAAGGTTCAACCCACGAGGAGTTGATTGATGAAGATGCAAAACGCGCTGAAATAGAGGGAAATGAGAAAGATGACGCTGATACAACTGCATTAAAAGAAGAAGGTGCATTGACCAGTAACGACCCTTTTGAACGTATTGAGGAGAGTGAATTAAGAGAGGGTACAACCAACGATGAGTCAACAAAGGAGAAGTCCCGTGAATCCGAGGAGACGAGTGGGAATCAGTCTTCACATTTAGAGACAAGTAGGAAAAAACCGGAGGACAACTTGATTCAAGGATCTCTCAACACTGATGGACCCGCTGATTTGGAAAAGCTCGAGGAGGAAGAAGCAGAAGGTCGCAAGGAGAATGAACTTGAGAAAGAGGAAGAGAAAGAAGGAAAGATACCTAAGGATGAGGAAGCTGAATTGGAATCTGCAGAGAAGAATAAACCCAACTTGATCGTTGGCGGTGATGATGAAATCGATTCCGTTGCTAAAGAGGACTCTAGAGAAGCTGATGGAAAGGAGAGTGCCAAAGAGAAGGCTATTTCTGATGCGGCTCCTGATTCAGAGACACTGGTTTTTAAGGAAGCCGAGGAGTCCAAGCTGGCTAAAGTACGCCAATCTGAACCAGAGGAGACCGATGGCACCTCCAAAACTGAGGGCTTGCACAAGGATTCATCAGACAAGTTGCTAGAAGGAACCCTCAATGCAGACGGTCCTGAGGAGTTGAAAGAGGACGAAGAAGAAGAGGGCGTTGTAAAGAGTCCCGATGAATCGGGGGCAAAGAATGAGACAAAAGATGGCAAAGAAGATGAGATTGAACCTGAATCAAATAAGGTTGACGGAGTTGACGAGAAATCTGACTCAAGCAAAGAAAGCAAAGAAAACAAAGCTTCCGAGCAGGCTGGTGTCACCAAGGATATTGAAGCTCCAGCAGCGAAGGATGAATCAGGTACAAACACCTCCGCAAAGGAATCAACCTCAACTACACCAGTCCAAACAGACTCAACCACTGATGGATTTGATGATTTAGAGGACATCTCCCCCGCAGAAATCCGCAAACATCTCGAATCTCAACCAATCTACATTTTCACATCTTTAGCCGGGGGAGCTCAAATCATCCCTCGAACCAATAGATTAGCAACTATCTTGCAAGCCAACGGAATCAAATTTGAGTATAGAGATTTGGGTACTGATGAAGAAGCGAAAAAGATTTGGCGCAGACAAGCTAATGGCAAGACTTTACCTGGTGTTGTTAGAGGTGATGATTATGTTGGAAATTGGCAAGAGGTTGACGAGGCTAATGAAGAGTATCAAGTGAAGGATTTATTGTATAGTTTTTAGAAGAAGCTTTTCCTTTTTTTTTTTTTTGAAAGGGGGAGTTTGGTGTATCGAGTCGAATTGAGGTTATAATTTTATTTTTACATATTTATTGACAAGTTGTTCAAGCTGGTTGTAGATTGAGGTTAGGAAGGGTACTTAAGTGATGGTTTTGCCCACGTATGTGAAAATGCATTTAGGGAGTTGGGCAAAAGTTGCAATTTGGCTCTGTGCACAGAGCCACGAGAAATGTATCTCTTGCCTCACAAAAGCGTCTTCGTAACTTTTTACTGACCAAAGTTTGAACTGCTTGCAGGGTTGGTAATGACCACCCTTCAACACACACGGAATGTGTCAATATCGGAAATAAACACAGTCCTGACCAAACTTCACTTAAACGTCGTAATTGAAGTTTCCCAAAGCTATCCACTCATTTAGTGAGTTGATCTTTAACACAGAGGTACAGTTTAATTGTTTATGCCATTGGTGCTTGACCTCTTGAGGTACCTGGGGGGGGAGCGGGTTCCCCCAAGATGACAGATTTTTTCAATAAGTTCAGGTGGTAAGTCACTGAGTTGCATTGTAAACCACAGCGACAATATTGGAATGAAGCCCTCTGTATCAAGTTTCGCAACTAAAGGAGCTGTTTATAGGAAGAATCTAGACACCTTATAACCATCAATTATACTTTCCGCAGATTAACAAGGACACATTTTATCGCAAACAAGAAAATGTGCTCTCAGAATGAATCAAATCAACAATGATGTTAAAGTAGCCTTACTGGTAGATTCTCTAGAGGCATTAGCGAGGAGCGCAATTTACAAACTGCACACACTATTAAACGTAGACAGAGGCTTGCAGTACAAGCATATAGCACAACAATCTTCTTCTTCCTTCGCTTCCTCAAGCGTTGATTGGTTGCAAAATATCCATTTCGCAATCTCGGTTATCATATCCTAATTGGGAAGTACAGAAATTGCGCATAAAGCCGCACAAGCTTCCTCATTGGGAAGTGAAAAAACTGCTCAGTTTTAAATATCACCAAATGCACACACCAGCCAATAATGCACAGACAGAGTTGATTATACGTCTTACGCAAACCGTAAACCTTTATATAATATGTTTTTACTCTTCTTTTTAGTTCTCTCTTGATTGTGAGCAAATATCAACTGTATTAAACTGGTATACAGTTATTAACTCATTCACCACTTCACTTAATTAATTCACCAGGTGTATAAAAGAACTCAACTTATTCCTTCCTCAAAAGACAAAAGTATAATAACTATACACTCATAACAGCATAACAAAGATTTAAATCACAACAACTGCATTCATAAATCACAACAATTCAATCATGTACAAAAGACACGGTATGCACGACATGGGCTCATCGTCAATGGATATGGGATCAATGGCTTCTTCGACAATGAGTATGGCAATGGAAACAATGTCTAGTGCCATGAACAGTAGTAGCAGCAGTAGTGGAATGGGAGACATGGATCACATGGGAGGAGATGACAGCATGAGTCATATGGCTGGTATGCATATGTACTTTACCAGAGAATTCAAGGACTATCCAGTCATTTTCAAGAGTTTGTCCGCATCCACCAAAGGCGAGGCGTTTGGTATATTTATATTGCTATTCTTTGCTGCCTTTTTTGCCAGATTTTTGGAATTTGTTAGAAACTATTTGGAAGAAGTTGTATGGCAGAATAAGAATTATAGTGAGTTTGAAGCTGGTGTTGTTAATCATGGAGCTAATTTGCATGCTTCACCTACGGCTCAAGCTGGCGTAGTGACTACTGGCAGAGCAGGCGCATGCGCAGGCGCAACAAGTGTGGATGATGAAAGTATGGACAAGAACGTCTCCAATGATGACGTGATTGTTCAATCACAGGAATCACAATCGTTGAATCGCAATCTACCCATTGCTAGCACCATAATGAGAGATGCTATACGGTTGGTTTTATGTATTGTTCCCGACTTGTTTGGATACACATTGATGTTAGCCGCAATGACGTTTACATTGACATATTTCTTTGCTGTTGTTATTGGCTCAGGAGTGGGAAGATTTGTTAGTGAAAGATTGATGGAAAAGTTTAGAATAAAGCGTACCCCTCCAAGAAACTGTTGCTAGAAAATGGGGGTCACATGTATATAGATCTAAAAGAAAGAACAAAAAATTTCAAACAAAAAAGTTAATACACCAACCAGTGCTTCTTCTTTTCTCTTTTATTCTATGATTTCATTTATTTTCTTGATCAAGTCCTCATACTTGTCCTTATTGAACTGAGAACCGTTTCCATCGGCCAATTTCTCACTGTATATCAACCTAGCAAGATTATGGTATTGCGGTTTGGTATACTCTGATCTCTTGGACTTGATGCGATTCAACAAACTAAACTCATTCAAGGTAAACATTTCAAAATATAAGGATGACTTTGCAAAATCTATTGCTTGTGGTGTTGCCGACAAACTTCTCAAAATTTGTTGCAATGTTGAAATATTTAACAACACTCGTTTAATACCATTGCTATTAATTTTGCGAACCTTGAATGAACCTTGAATCATTGCGTCATTAAGGAATTGACTGAAACCGACAAATATGCTGTCTTTGTCTTCTGCTCTCAAAGCCTTTGTCAAACTAGTGTCAATTGCAAATATCTCCTGATTGAATTGGACAACGTACGGGTCAGCATCACCCGGTTCAGTTGTGGGTACCCAATCCATCACATTGAATGATAGCGTAAGATAATGGATTGCTTTGCTTCTCAATTCATACCTCAAGGCTAGCAACGTTTGATCACGAATACTTTCGAAATTGGAAATCACCTCCTTAAACGCAATCATCTTTTCCGAACTTAAAGCAAGAAGGATATTATTCCTGGTTATATCAGATGCATCGGTTGTAATGTCGATCGAAGGGCGGCCATTTTCCAAGAATGACCAATTGTACCTTAGTCTTTCAACTGGCGACACAACAACACCATTGTTTCCGTCTTCGCCAACTGCATAGTTTGATTGTTTCTGAACCAATGCTAACCATGTCAAAATCCACGACGTCGTCAACAATAAATGAACAACTTGCGCAAAAGTATCCCTGTCCAAAAGATTATCTTTATTTACCACAATTTTGTCAGTTTCCCGAAGCAACATTCCACTTTCGGACGTTACAAAGTTGGCAAACTCGGTACTGTTTTTCTCATTGAGCGAAAGTATAATGGTTCCACTTACATGCGTCAACGATTTTTGTGTCATCCATTTGCTAATTTGCAGAGCCGGTCTTCCCATGGCACTGGCACCTCCACTCGATAGCAAGTCTTTGAATAGTTTTGTATACTCATTGGCAAAACTTTCCAATATTTGCAAAACAGTATCAGAAATATCTTCTCTATAGGTTAACGAGGTATTCAAAATAAGACAGAGCTCCAAAAACAACTTCTTGAAATTCAATGCATTCTCATAAATGACAATTGTTGATTCGTTACCAACACGAGAATCCTCAAGAAGTTCCAAGTCTGTATTTTGATTCAATGTGATGACGTCAAGCTTCAATCCCGAAGGCTCACTTGTGTACGCAGTAGTATATGTCCCACCAACCTGGTCGCTGAAGACCATCTCGATGGCAGCTTTGAAATAAGTCAAAAAGGAGGACTTCATAAAATTTTTGAAAAAATCAAAGGCAAGATCATCGGTACTGTTCTTTTTCATTTGGAAATTGGAGAGAACTCGATGAGACCCTTCGACAAAAATCAATAATGGTTCCAACACAATCCTCATATTGAACAAGTTCTTTGGAGTCAATACCTCCACTTGTGTATTAAAAGATTCGTCTTCAAAGTAAGGCGTTTGCATAGTGAGAAGATCTTCATCGTTTGTATCATCAATGTGAAATCCAGGGAAAATATCACCAAGAGTATCTTGAAGCTCTTGTGCAGATTTGGTGCTACTCCAATCCACATTTTCAAACTGAAACAACTTCCTTTTCTGCAATGCTTTGCTAACCTTTCTGTTGTCTGTTTTATCAACCAAACCGGATCCAGAATCAAGGGGTCCGTCATCATAGATATAACTCACGATCAAGTTCAGTAATTCTTTCTTTGTCGAATTCCATACTCGCAACACATTCTTGGAAACCACCCCTGCTGATGGGGGCATGTTTGCAACCAGCCCTGGCCTCAAAATAGAAGTAATGCCATCAATGATCTTGTACTTTTGGAATGATAGTAGGTATCTTATTGTGATTGACCCAAAAAGCTCTTGAAGAATAACCACTGCAGAATCACTAAAGTTTTTGTGTGCCATTACATCGAGTAATGAGTCTTGTTCAAAATTTTGAATCTTGTTGAGTTTCGAAAGGGCATACCCATTCCTCAGCTTCACCTCCTCGGTCACTCTATTGACCAAGCCATGTAGCTCCAGTTGGTTGGACTCAATCAATGTTTCAACTACTTGGTTTAGGTTGCCCAACTTCTGAGCAGTCGCCAAAAGCTGGTACATGTAGTAGAAGCTTTCATTCGATGTATTTTTTTTTAAGTAAATGGTATGGTCGATGGCCCCATCGTTCTTCAAACTATTCGCATGTAACTCTGGTAACTGATCATTCAAAAATTCACTAACGGGACCCGAAAAGTGATCAACGACCTCCAAGATATCCAAATTGGCGGAATTGTGCACGTACTGTTCCAAATTTTCCAGTCTCAACAATGTTTTAAAAGATGCCATTTGTGGACTTGTAGAGTCAATTATTGACTGCCATAATGAGACTCCAGTATTCGATATTGAGCTGTTGTTTTTCAAGTATATTTCATTCTGCAACTCATCAATAATCATATCATACAACTTGTTCGATTGTTCGTCGAGGTAGGCCCTTATATCACCCATGGCAGGTAGAGACCACAAATTATAATTTTCCGCAATTTTACACCCATTTGAAATAACATCAAACACCTCGTGAAGCTTTTTCTCATTAGTCAATTGCTCCACTTGGTCAGGGATTTTGTTCAACTGTTGCATGGCATCAATTATGTCAATCAGTTCGGCATATTTTCCAGAAGTTTCGGATAACTCTGCCAATACGGCGCTCCTGTCATGAATCTCCTTGTTTGATTTTTGTAGAAAGTCTTTGATACCTTCTGAGTCTTGTTGTGACTTGTCCAATGTTGACAACAACAGATGATACGACCCTATACTGTTGTTGAACAATTCATAATGCTCATGAACAACACGCCGCAAAGCCCCTTCTGTGGATTTCTTTAGTCTTTGAAACTCATCTTGTCTATGTGCCAATCCTACTGAACTGTCGTCCAATAACGAAATTGCCAATTCTATGGGGTTGGCATCGTCTTCCAATATACGAGGCCAATCGTACCTTACTGTACTATAGATCTCTTTTAATACGGTGACGGATTCGTCCTTGGCACTCTCATGCTGAGGAATGCTGTATGACACTCTTCTCCTCGACATTTGATTTCGAGTGATTAATGTAGGTCAACACCTGTACTGTCAATGGATGATGGAGAAAAACTGAAGAAATTTATGGTGTAGGAGAGTAGGTAGCGTCTACAGTAGAGTTACAGGATATGTATTGAAAAACATATACAGCAGCAGTCACTGGTTTATGTGAAGCTTATCTCAATCTGTTTCTAGATATGGAAAAATAGAGGTTGTATGCAATTACGACTCCAGCATTCGCAAGAGTAATTATATTCGAACCAAAGAAGCATCAAGATTCACAATATTTCAGCCTTTCAAAAAATTAGAACAGAACGCGTCGTATATCGGAGAAGTAGAATTTGAAATCAGAAAAGGGTTTGCTTACTACACAACCTAAACGCATATATACTCGCTTTCGTGGGTCATTCAATTTCATCAAGTGGAATATAGGACAACTGTGCTATGGACAAAAAAGTTCCCGTGAATCAAGATCCGGGGGGTTTCTTACAAGTGTCCCACCCGCATCGGCAGCAGCAAGGAAACACCAATCAACAGACACCTCCCAGTGGTACAAATGTGCCGTTGAACCACGAACTGGACATGGTTTCATTCAGAACTCCTACTCAGTGTAATGGAAATACATACATTCGGCAGGATAATGTCGTGCCACATCCCTCTAGTAACAATTTGCCAGCTACTGGTGCTCCACCATACGTCAATACACCGCAACTTCACACATGGTATCCACAGACTCAACGAAGCAATTGGAGCCACCAATCTCCTTCACACGGGCCATTTGATGCAAATGACGCATGTGGAAGTATACCAATTCCAAGGCAATCCCAGCATAACCAAAGCTCGAGCTCTCCAATCATAAATGTACATATACACAAATATTATGTCGAAAACGCACAGTCACCGTCTAACCTCCAACCAATGACTGGGGCGCAGTTTAACAATTATACTCAGTCTTCATTTAAAAGTCAATCATCGAGCATAGCTCAACACAGCACGCCGCAAAGACATCTCAATCACATGCAAAACTCTTTCCGCCGAAATAGTAACCCATCATCAGGTAACATTCGTGAACCTCGTTTGTTTGTCAGCAGTGAAACTAGTACCCCGTGTCATAATAGAACCGACTTACCACCTGGAGAATCCGATGGCGAGGGGGAAGGATACCAAGCTCGCTTCAATGCTAATAACGTCAACTCGGTTCAAATTCGAGAGCTGACAAGCTCAACACCCCAGCCTAATAGCATCCCAGTTTCCAATCGCATTGAACAGCTACCCAGCAGTCCACTTCCAACAAATATGAACAACCCCTCAAGTCCCACAAATACAAGCTCAGCGACACCCATTGCAGCTTCAAAACTCTCGACAAAGAAGAGGAAATTCAAGATGTCAATGGCGGATGTAGAGAGTACAATTGGCGACTGGAGTGGTAAACCAAAGCCCATTACATTGAAGAGTGCAGTTGTTCAGGGTCAGGGTCAAAACGCTTTGGAAAACAGACTAGATACCGCCAGCACAAAAACCAATTCGAGAGTTACCGAGCTGAAAGCAGACCAGACACATAGTAGACTTACAGCTGCGGCATCTGAGCCGGGATTGACCCGTATGAATCCGGATGCAGATAACCCACCATCATTACATTCAACAAGCCATACAACACCTGCGGTGCAACCTGCTCTAAATACGAGGATACATGACTCACAGACCACGAAGAGCACTACAGAAAACCGCAGACCGACTCAGACAAACAAAGATACTTTACAGGTCACGAACAGTCAGCCCTTCAGTCAAATAAGTAGCAAACAAAAACCTACTTCTTCATTGCCTCAGCATTCAACTGCCCAGAATCGGCAAACAGTTGTTATAGAACTATCTGATGACGAATCAGATACCAAACCTGCAAAACTTCTACCGCCACCGGTGGCTCCAAAAAGTTCCATAATTATTATTGACAGTGATGACGAAGACGAGAATGAGCCGGTGAAACCAGCATCAAACCAAAGCCCCAAGATTGATACTGCTGCGAACACATCGTTGATATCGTCCCCTATCCAAGTAAGACCTAGACCGGATTTAAAAGATACATCCGACCCAATTGTCGATTCTTCCTTTTCGTTTTCCAAAGCCGGGTTCAAGCCAGTAGAAGAAGTACCAGAACTTCCTAAAGCTGACCCAAAATCTTCAGCAATCGACGTATCAAGAGAGGCTTCAGATGTTGATATCGATGTACCCGAGATGCCAGATTTCATACTGTGGTCCAGCTCTGATGGAGAGGAAAATAAACTCGATATTGCTTTAACTTCCACCAAGGCTACAACCATATCAGGAACAAGAAGGCCCACCTTGAAGGTTGCAAACTCGCTGCAGCGTCCAAAAGATGGTGCCACGAATGTCATCCAAAAGTCAGCTTGCAAGAGTAATAGCTCCGCTAGCTTAGGCCAAGCCACGCAAAATAACCTTGCTAGCAGATCCAAATCCGTACCGGATTCCCGGTTTTCAGGGCCCGTCACTGAATCATCATTGCATTCCATCAAGAGGTCGAATACTAGCCAGGATGGTGATGTTTCCGTATCCAAGAAGGCAAGAAGGTCAAAAACAGATAGTTTGCTAGAGGAATTACCCAAAATCGACAATTTTGAATACAGTTACAAGGAATTGCAAGAGGCAAACCGGGTGAACAGAAAGAAGGAGGAGTTGCATGCCGAGATGGAAATATACATCAGTCTGAAACCGTATAGTGTTTTGAAAGAGTTCACTGAGGACTTTAAACTGAATGTTGCCACATTTGAACTGGAGGTGCCCGTGGTGTATTGGAAGAGAAATGTCAAGGCTGAGTATATAAAGGAGAAGGATTATTTTATCCCCGTTGCTGCGAAAAAGGTTGTACAGCAGACGTTTGTCATATATTATTTGGCGCAAGATTTCATGGATAAGCTAATTTCAAATAAACTTGGAGATGATGTGAGAACTGCCACTGAGCAAATGTGGGCAATTTCGAATCACGATTATCATGTAATCCTTATGGTTGAAGGGTATGACCAATTGATCAAAAAAATCAAAGCGTACATACAACGGCAATTTAGATCGCAAGTGTTGAATGGCGAAGAACAAGCACGTAAGAAGAAGGATGATGAGTTATTTTCCAAGTTTCCTGAGCCAACAGAGATTGCTAAGTTGTTCAACAAAGCTCAGTTGGACTTAAAGATCAACATTTACCCCGTTCGTTCACGGCAAGAGGGGGTAATGTGGTTGAATTCGTTCACGTATACCATTGGTTCGTCATTGTACGACAAGTATGAGAGAAATCAGAAATTGGCAAATTTGGGTGTTGTTCGGTCCGGAAGTGATACCAAAGCAACTTTTTTGCAATCGATTCAGCATTTCCCACGTATGACGCATTCAAAAGCTCAGATTTTGGAGTCGTCTTATGGATCAATGCACCTGATTTATTCAAAGTTTCGCACTTCTGGTACATTGGGTAAGGATTCACTCGGGAGAAATGTTGTGCCTCCTACAGTTGATTCTACGATGTTGAATTTTTTCACCTCCGATGACCCAGACAAGGCAATCACATAAAGGTCTGAAAAGAAAACATGTACGCCATCTATAGAAGGTTCTTAGAGATAGAAAAAAAAAAAAAAAGGTATTTATTTCTTAGTTGCTTGTTTTGCTCTATTGAGATCGTCAATATTGATCTTGTCACTTAGTCCCTCAACCACTTGAATTCCCCTATCCACTTCAAAAGTCTCTTCTTCAGAAAAATCATATCTCAAGCGATGCAACTCAGAAATTATATTCAATGCCTTGTCCACCAAGTTTGTATTTGAGTCCAAATTCAATACTGAAGCGAGATAGTGAACCAACTTGGACTTTTTAAACCGACTTTCTACATCATTGTCCAATCCATTGCTCAATATTGACGAAACTAGCGACAAGACCCTCAAGTCGAATTTGGAATCTTTCGAATCGAGCTTAACCAAGTCCCAACCAGAAGATTCATCAAACTGCTTGTAACCAGGCTTGTAGTTTCTAATGTACGAAGAAATAGCATAAAGCGCTTTGTTTTGCAAAGCTTTATTTGTCCCATTGCCAGCAATCTTGACCAAGTCTTGCAACGCATTAGTTTTCTCAAAATCTTCTTGTGATTTAGGGTTGTTTTGTACAGCGGTGCCAATGATCCCACCAACAATTATTCTCAAATCATCAGGCACGTCATTATTCAATAAATCAACGAGCGGGTGCCACAATCCCAAATTCTCTATATTATTTGCATTATCCATGTTTTCAATCAACATTTCGAAATTTTCCAATGCAATCTCTTTATCCTTGAGTTCGACTTTGGGGTTGTGGGCAATCGCGATGCTCTCCTTCATTAACGCGACTTCATCGGGGCCTCCAAATAGTTGGTTTAGTAATTTGGGATCTGGCTCTCCAATTTTAGCCAATGCCTCTTTGTCGCCAGCTTGTTGCGCGATGGACCAGTGTAATAATTTGTCCATGATGTAGGTGTATGATGAATTGGGTTAGAAGGATGGATAGTGAGTTCTTCCTTCTCTTTGTGCAGGGAGGGGGGGCGAATTTATAAGTCTCACTGATAAAAAGAAGGCAAAGAAGTATCTTGTCTCTTTGCTGAATTCGAGAAGCTTCTGATGGCTTCTGGTAGCCTTTTTGTGTCGCATCTCCAAAAACATTAAGTTTTCCAAAATTTGCGACACGACATTGACCAGATTTTGCAAGTGACGTAAAGCATTGAATCTTGTCAAAAGTGGACTTTTCTACTAGGTGAAACTTCGACTACGTAAAAAAGATGGATACAACGACGGGTTAATTGAAGAGGCTCTGTTTGTGCTCTTACTGCTCCAATTGCGCAAAGGGTACACTTATGATATTACTTGCAGCATATATGGTGTAGTGGTTATTGCTAAAAATTGACGGATTATTGAAACCCGGGGAAACCAATAATAAAATGTTGATCTTTGTGTTATTTTAGTCACATGGAACTCGCAATTGACTTCAGATGCTAACATGTGTGATTGAAGACACTGATTATCAGTCTCATGGGTTCCCTGTCAGCCGAGTTAAACTGCGATACTCAATGACGAGTAGAGAGATAGCAATATACTGAAGAATATTATACTACCTGACGTGTAGCTCCAAAATTCAACGAAGCAAAAATAAGTTTCTCTCTCGCCCGTAATCCCTTATTTACCCGAATCAAACAAATAAAAAAATTTCATATGGAGAGTTGATGATATATAAATATATCCCCCAATTGGATTATTTTTCAACTCAATTCTTCTTTTACTTCTTTTCTTTTTGGATGAACATTAGTTCAATTGCAAAAAGAATATCATTATCAATTCGCAAGAACAACAACAACAACAACAACAACAACAGTAGAATGTCATTATCTAACAAATTGTCAGTTAAAGACTTGGACGTCACTGGTAAAAGAGTCTTTATCAGAGTTGACTTCAATGTTCCATTGGATGGTAAAACAATCACCAACAATCAAAGAATTGTTGCTGCTTTGCCAACTATCAAATACGTTGAAGAGCACAAGCCAAAGGCAATCATCTTGGCTTCTCATTTGGGAAGACCAAATGGTGAGAAGAACGACAAGTACTCTCTTAAACCAGTTGCCGCTGAATTAGAGAAATTATTGGGTAAGAAGGTGACTTTCTTGGACGATTGTGTAGGTCCAGAAGTTGAAAAAGCTGTCAATTCCGCTTCCAGTGGTGAGATCTTTTTGTTGGAAAACTTGCGTTTCCACGCTGAAGAAGAAGGCTCACACAAGGATAAGGATGGTAAAAAGGTTAAAGCTGACCCAGAAGCCGTCAAGAAATTTAGAGATCAATTGTCATCATTGGCGGATGTCTACGTCAATGATGCGTTTGGAACTGCCCACAGAGCCCACTCTTCAATGGTTGGTGTCGAAGTACCACAAAGAGCTGCTGGTTTCTTGATGTCCAAGGAATTGGAATATTTTGCTAAGGCATTGGAGAACCCAGCTAGACCATTCTTGGCTATCTTGGGTGGTGCCAAAGTTTCCGACAAGATCAAGTTGATTGATAACTTGTTGGACAAGGTGGACTTGTTGATCATTGGTGGTGGTATGGCCTTTACTTTCAAAAAGGTTTTGGACAACATGGCCATTGGTAACTCTCTTTTCGATGAAGATGGAGCCAAGAATGTCAAGGATTTGGTTGCCAAGGCCAAGAAGAACAATGTTGAGATCATCTTGCCTGTGGATTTCATCACTGCTGACAAGTTTGACAAGGATGCTAAAGTTGGCGAAGCTGACGATAAGGACGGCATTCCAGAAAACTGGATGGGTCTTGATTGCGGTCCAAAATCAAGAAAGTTGTTTGACGATGCTGTTGCCAAGGCCAAGACTATCGTTTGGAACGGTCCACCAGGTGTTTTTGAATTTGACAATTTTGCCGGAGGTACCAAGAACTTGTTGGATGCTGCTGTCAAGTCAGCTGAAAATGGAAACATTGTCATCATTGGTGGTGGTGATACTGCTACTGTTGCCAAGAAATACAATGCTGTTGACAAATTGTCTCACGTTTCCACTGGTGGTGGTGCTTCCTTGGAATTGTTGGAAGGTAAGGAATTGCCAGGTGTAGTTGCTCTTTCCAACAAAAACTAAAGTGTATAAGAGTTAAGAACCAGTTTTAGTAACTATCCAAAAAAAAAAAGTAAAAAGTAAAAAAAAAAAAAAAGATAAAACCGTTCCTTTACGTCAAGAGTCTAAATAGTATATCAAAAACTGTGCATTATTGTAAAATTGCACATCTATAACTTGGCCTTGCCAGCACAGATTGTAGCCCAATCAGCTTCTGTCAATTCGGTGTACTTGTTTCCATTCAACCAATAGATAAGTTCATCACCATTATCTCCCTTTGGCAATTTCTGCTTCTTGTATTGATTCTTGGGGACTTTATGGTTATGTGAAGCTTCAATAGATCCGAGCTTGATGAAAGCCGGTTGGGCATAACTAGGCAATGCCTTTTTCGAGTGGTCGTAAATCAGCTTCAATACTTGTGCATGGTCCAATTCATCCTTGGGTTCAATAACGGCAAAGCAAGCTCTACCTTCGTGATTTGGAACTTGTACACCAACAACGACAGATTGTTTGATAGCACCCGAGCCCATCAACTCATTCTCAACCTCGGAAGCAGAAACGTTTTCCGATTTCCAGCGGAAAGTGTCACCCAACCTATCAACAAAGTAGAATAATCCATCCTCATCCATTTTCAACAAATCGCCAGATCTGTACCAAGCATCACCTTTTTTGAAAACATCAAACATGATCTTCCCACTAGTAGCCTTTTTGTTTCCATAATAACCTTGGAACGATTTACTCACATCTTGTGGGTTCATAATTCTCATCAACAACTCGCCAGGTTGATTGTAGTTTGCCTCTTCATGAAATCCGGTCTTTGGGTTCTTCCACATTTCATTTTCATCTTCTGGGTCCATCTTGACCAATTTTTGTTGTGTGTTGAGCAACAACGTAATCAAAGAACCATACTTTCTACATGCTCCCTTTCCATATTCTCCAAATTGGATGTTTGTAGTAGCAATAGGTGACTCAGTGGCAGCATAAAACTCTCCAACACCTTTAATGTGGAATCTGTTTTTGAACTCAGTCCAGATATCACGTCTTAACCCATTTCCATAAGCAATGGTCACATTGTGTCTTTGCTGGTCTGGATGAGGTGGAGAATTCAACAAATAACGACAAACTTCTCCCACATATTGAACATGAGTGGCTCCAACTAATCTAGCTTGAGTCCAGAAGGAGGTTGCAGAAAACTTTTGTGCTATGGAAACACACCCACCATTCAACAAAGTGGGACAAAGTCCCAACATGGCGGCAGTTGAGTGATATAATGGCATAGCCGTTAAAACATTCGAATCGCTGCCAACTTGCATGATGTATCCAAAAAACACAGAAGCCATGAAAGCTTTCCTCCAAGACATAATACCAGCTTTTGGTAAACCGGTTGTACCAGAAGTATAAATCAATGCACAAGCACTGGAATCGGTATCCTCGGGTCTTCTAGTCTCATCTTTAGCTCTATACTTTGGTGTCGACTTCGATTGCAACCTGTCAAACAACGCAAATTCATCAAGGTAGTGCAACTTGACATTTGGTAACTCTTCGTGTATCAACTGTTCAGTGTCTCTAATTGGGCCAGCACAATCAGGATCAATGAATACTTGACTAACATCAGCAATCTTGAGACAATGAACCAAAGGCTTATCCTTGGTGTTGAAGTTTAAAAATGCCGGCAAAGCACCAATGTTCCACAATGCCAACCACAAGACAATAAACAATGGTTTATTCATACAATCCACTCCAATAGTTTGGTTTGGCGTGACGCCATACTCATTCTTCAATATGTGAGAAAATCTCAAAACCATATTGTACAACTCTTTATACGTGTATTCTTCAACTTCAAATTGATCATCGAGAATTTTGAATCCTTCAGCATCGGTCTTGACAGGAGGAGGATTCTTTTTAGGTCTGGGGAACGCCAAGGCTTTGTTATCTTTGTATTTTCGTGCAGCATCTTCAAAGTAGTACCAGTAGGAAGCTTTACCTCTCAGTGATTTCCACAAGTACGGTAAGGCATTGGCAACAACTTTTCCCGCCAATTTGACGTCATCCTTGATCAAGTATTTAGCTTCCAACAACTGGCTCCCAAGTATTGCTGCTGCTGCTATTTCAAGTCCTGACATTCTAAAGTAGTGTTATTTCGAATTATAGGTCAAGAGTCTATTCGATAAAGCAAGAATAGTGGTTATCAGTGGAGAAGTGTAAAAAGAAAAAAGAAAAAATATCGTTGGCCCTTGTGCCTGTGTATTTATATGGGATATATATATATATACATATACATATATATGACGGGACGTTTTTTATTTTTTTTTTTTTTTTTTTGATGCACAAAGATGAGATACACACTACTTATGAGAATATATTTTCTTGTTTCTCTCTTTATTTCATCAGTGTGACATTTTTGCTACAAAGACCATCATCAATTTCATGAGAGGGTTTGTAGAGATGGGCAGAGAGAAGAACAATCAAAAAGCTTGGAGAATTTTATCAGTTTAAGCAGAAGATGATGTTGCATATCTCTTTGGATGGAAGATGAAGTCGATTGGTTGAACAAAGATGTGCCATGATATCTTCCTTGGTTATGGTTCTCTCTCTCTCTCTCTCTCTTTTACCATATTAAGCAAGTGACAGGATTTTCTCGTGCTGTTCTTCTTCTTTTCTCCGCATCTCACATCAACCAAAACAAAAATGGTGAAAAAAAATAAAATAAAAAAAATTGAAACCCAATTTTTTCTTGTGATATTTTAAGTCGAGGTCCTACTATTAACTCTTTAGCTTAGCATTGGTGGCGGGAAGGGTGTTTTACGTTGTATCTTGCTTCTGCCAACCCTCAGAAGGATAAGCACAGAGGCTTGCTAGTGTAAACTTTGAAGCGCCACTAATAGGATACTCTTGTGATTAGCAATGGTTTATGTTTTCACATGTGCGCGACGAAATTAAATGAACCGAGTATAAATGCAAACGCCTTTCTTACACAAAACCAACCCACTTTCACATGTAGCGGGACAATTTGCAACAAGAATACAGTAGTAGCTCTAGTTGAGCGGATTCAATGATAGCTACCGGAAGCAAAAAAAAAAAAACCAAAAAAAACCAAAAAGAAACACCAGTTTATCAGCCTTAGTACTCGCTTTTCCCTTCCTGAACAAAGAGACGCTCAGTGTATTCGCTCGATAATGGCAAACTTGATGGCGATGGTATATGGTTTTCGCTATTTAGTATTTCCAATTGCCAAATTTCGGCATCCTTGCTACACTCAAGAATAATACCAAGTATCTCCTTTGCTCTTTTGTGAATAGGATCCAGTTCGGGGGTGTTCAAGAATCCCTTCTTGAGCAAAGTTTTTAATTCGAAATTGGAGTCTTTGAGATAAACGTTAATGCAACAGTTTCTGTGACTCGTAACCAAAAGCTTTGTCATTTCGTAAAAGAATAACTTTGTCCGGTTGTTTGACGCAGCTTCGGAAGCTCTTGCAATTAAAGGCAAGATCTGAATGTAGTCATTGCAAGCACTTTTCTTGATGAGCTCACGAATAACAAGACCCAACTTCAACTCATTTTCCTTGGCAATATCCTCTGGTAAGGCAGAAGCTGTTTTAAACCCCAAAAACACATTAAACAAAAGATGAAGAATTGACATTTGTGACTGAACAGTGGGTGACCGTCCATTCCATTTTGTAAACTGTTGCACCAAGCTCAACTTGGTTCCATTTTGAACCTGATACCTGGCATGTGACCAGCAATATGTCAACAAGCACTCCACAAACAAAACGGTGAGTGTCGCACTACAATATGACCATAAATCAAAGAGAGCACAAGTATGGACCAAGTCTTCAATGCAAGTGGTAAATGATCCCAAATAAAGATTTGGATTTTCAAAAAATTCCCTTTGTTTGCCAAGTGACACTAGCTTGAGAGCAGCAAGTAATTTCTCAGTCTTCAACTCCGGATCATTCAAAACTTTCAGAATCTCCATAAGAGCTTTGTTGGCCTCCCATGAGTGTTGAAATCTTGTTGCCGGAAAGTTCACTGGACATTTAACCAACTGCGAAATCGGAATTTTTTGCACACCACAGGACGAAGACTTTCGAATAACTTCCAGGCTCAACTTAAATGTGTTTAGATTTTGCAATTCATCCATGGTGTACCGGATCTTGCCATCTTTGATTGAAGAGCCCAATGGAGTTGAGCCGCCAATTGCATACTTGCTAATCGACTTGTCACTGAATCCACTGACGTGATCTTTTTCCCTTCTCTCGGAACCTGCAATATCCATACTTATGGCTGCACTTGTGAGATCATATTTTTGTTGTAATCCCCATTCACGATTTTGGGCTGTCAGTGTGTCATTGGCAAATTTCGTAAGTCCAGACTCATCTTTTACAATAGCTGGTGCCTTGTTGTTTTGTATAACTTTTTCCAAGCTTAACAAGTCGTCCGGCTCAATGGCAGCGGCAATCTTCTTCTCCTCGTAAACACCACTGCTTGTAAACGAGTTCTCATGTTTGAGTTCACTGTTATTTGCTGAGTCTTCTTTTGCCTTTTGGAACAAGAAGTATTCCCTGATAGTAAAAGCAAGTACTGAAGACACAATAAGCACCACGATCAATGTCATGAGAATGTAAAATGCACGAGCAATTATGGGATTTTCGAAAGCGGCCAGCGGTGAAACTGAAACAAAATGATGATTATTGTGGTTCATTGTGTTGTCTTGAACCCCTAGATTTAGATAAGCTTGATCATGGTGTTTGTAAATGTATTGAGGCTCCTTTACAGAAAGTTTGATGAATTCTAGATTAGGAGAACCACCACGCCTCTGACTCCTTCTTTGGAGAAACTGCTGATAGTGATCGATCTTTGCTTTAACCGGGTCTTGCATCTGTTGTTGACTAATAACTGATTGGGTGATGACTGGGCAGGTGTGAAGAAGCAACACAGGGTAAGACCGCTTGCAATGCTATAGTTTCAATTGCCTTGCATGGTTCAATTATTACAACCAAATGTGTTTCACTTTGTTTTTGGCTGCTAAAATTGTAATAATATGTGTGTATGGATGTGTTTGTTCAGTGCTCACCAAATCTCAACTTTGATGAATTGTAATATACATCCAACAGACATCAGATGATATGATTTTTCTCTTTTTTTTTTTTGCAATTTCACAAAGGGGCACAACTTACGATTGGCATGAACCATGTTTCATAAAGCTAGCATACAGTTTGCAAGGGCAGGACTTGGGAAAGGGGTTCCTTCTATGCGTTTGTCATCCATGTTTTCAACGCGCTCAAAGGTAGTCCCATCACTAGCCAAGCAATACCAGACAAAATTCACTGTTCCGTATAATCACACATTTGGAGTCAAGAGATCGTATACCACTGCGTCGTCTACCTTCAATCCAACTTCCAAAGTCGTGCATGCTGCTGCAAAGCCCAACCCCGACATTGTTCCTCCAAAGTCTGTTGGGTACTGGTTAGTTGGCACGTCAACTTTGATCTTTGGGATTGTAGTGTTGGGTGGTCTCACAAGACTTACCGAATCAGGTCTTTCCATCACTGAATGGAAACCAGTTACCGGGTCAATTCCTCCATTGAACGAACAAGACTGGATAGACGAATTTACAAAATACAAAGACTCTCCCGAGTTCAAGCAATTGAATTCGCACATTACATTAGAAGAGTTCAAATTCATCTTTTTCATGGAATGGAGCCATAGACTAGTTGGAAGATGCATTGGTCTTTTCCTTATACTCCCAGCAATTGCATTTTACGCTCGCAACAAGTTTACACCAAGACTTACGAGAAGAGTAATTGGACTAACCGGTTTATTAGGTCTCCAAGGAGCGATTGGGTGGTGGATGGTCAAGTCAGGGTTGGACGAAGAGCAATTGGCTGAGAGAAACTCCAAGCCAACTGTGTCACAATACAGATTAACTACTCATTTGGGAGCTGCATTCTTGATGTATCTTGCAGTATTGTACACTGCATTTGAAGTTTTAAATGAAAACAAATTGCTCACCATGATCAAGAAAGGTAAAGGGCAAGCGGTGGAAACAATTCTTGGTCAGCTTCAGAACCCGGCATTGAAAAATACTAGAGTGATGGCGTTGGGTTTGTTGGTTTTGACATTTATTACAGCCATGTCCGGTGGTATGGTTGCTGGGTTGGATGCCGGTTTGATCTACAATACTTTCCCCCACATGGGAGATGATTGGGTCCCCAGCAAAAATGAGCTTATGTCAGATGTTTTTGCACGCAAACTGGATAAATCAGACTTGGTGTGGAGAAATTGCTTAGAAAACCCAACTACCGTACAACTCATTCATCGTATATTCGCAACAACTACTTTCTTTGCTGTCTTGGGTGCACACATGTATGTCAATAAGAGGAAGGCAATAATTCCAAAGACGGCAAAGTCGATGATGCATGCAACAATGGGGTTTGTGACGTTGCAAGTTGCATTGGGTATTAGTACATTGATTTACCTTGTGCCTATACCTTTGGCAGCTGCCCATCAAGCTGGCGCCTTGGCGTTGTTGACAGCCGTGTTGGCCTTTTGTGCAAGATTGAAGAAACCCAGACCTGAATTTGCAAAGTATGCAAGAAGTTTAATAACAAAAAGAGCCATATGAGCTAGGAATGATGTACATGTAAATAAATAAGCATGCAAGTAACGTAGATTATGTATATAGAGATAATCATGTCATGTAAATAACGATTGAATAATGCATCCTGGTATTTATTACCATATTCGTTTACTCGACATTTCATACCGCATAACTTTAGACAATCTGTCATCTTCATTTTCACTCCATGGCAGTTCTTGCATCGCCCCAATTATCAACTGCCTGTTTCTTTTCTCTTCTGGAGTTTCAGGCACAACTTCACCAATGTCATACAAATATGCCCTAGTGCTGGGGTTTATGGTTGATGGTTCAGTGTTGGGCGATCCAGGAAGATAGTATTGCTCTACTGGAGAAGGCACAAATCCAGAATCATCGAATGACTCAAGAACCTTCTCTTTCGGAGAAGGTGTTTTTTCAACTTGCGTATCTACTGAAAGCGTGTGCTTGAGATCCACTGCGAGTGCTTTTTGGCGTGCCTTGTGTGACTCCACTGACTTGTTGGCAATTTTGAAAATGAACAATACCAAGACAATTCTAATTAGTAGCAAGGTCAAGATGGTTGCAGTGATAAAAACAAAACTCGTGAAAACGGTACGAATATTAGTCGAGCACTGGACGATAAAGATTTGCTTAAAATCACCAATTGTCATCCTTAAAAAGCAGACAGCAGACGCCAATAATGGCAATCCAATTCTGCGAGTTAAAACGATAAAATCGGTAAACTCGTGGTTTTTGCTGGACCCACTGGAACCTGCTTGAAATACTTGCAAGAAATCCAAACACGAAACGTACAAAAAATTGCGGTAAACACGGGGTTTTATCTTGTTGAATTTGGAAATGAAGCAATGTTTCAACCAATCAACGAAAATCTCACTTCCAATAACAACAACACCGGGGCCAAACACGGCACCTAGCCAAACATTCCATTTCTTCCAACTATCAGGTACAAGACCATGAGCTGTATTTAACTGCAACAAGTTTCTCACTGCTATTATACCCAACATCAAAGACAACTGGAACCGCTCCGATAGATCTGCCATTGTGATTTGAAACAAGCCCTCTCTATCCAACTTTTTAAAAACCGAACTTTTCAACTCGGCAAATTGGTTCGATAGTAGCAAGGTTAATAACGCATTGGAGTACGAGTTTGCTGCCACATTCAATGAAACACACTGGTAAATCAAAATGTATGCATGGAATGACAAGTAAAACACGGAAATCAAATAAAAGGTGATAAATCTGCCAACGTGTTCTAAAGGTGGCGTGTGTAGTAGAATGTTTAAAATGTCCTGACCAATAGAAGAGCATAGTTTCTCAGCCACTTCCAATACGCCAAACATGACATACAACTTGATATCCGCTTGACCCCTAACGTCATGGTACATTTTTGAGATATCCAACTTTCCGGAAAATAAGACAAACAAAGACAAGACAATTAGACTTAAAGTGATGACATCTTTTTTTATTGACTTCAATTGACGAGATAAGTTTTGCTTAGGGTTTTTAATGTACGAGATGATGCATCGAAGTGCCACTAGAATGATCTTTATAGGAGCTAGGGTGAACAAGGCAAGGAAAGAATTGAGACACACGAACAATCCAAAGATCATAAACTTTTCCAAATACCACGGTATTATAAACATATTCACCAACTCTTCGTATGATTGATTGACCCTCTGGTCAACTTTGGTGGTCGTGGTGTTTTCATTTTCAGGTCCTGACAACACACTGGGTAAATTTAGCTCCAATTGGACCAACTTGAACAAGGAAATACCATTTTTGTCACGATGTACTCCATTTAAACCAATTTTGGCGAAATACTCCGATACGGATTCACGAATCGACTGCAGTCGTGGTTTAGGCGACTGCTCATCTTTGAAAGTAACATGTTGCGATCCCGCTGTTGATTTAGTCCTGGATCTGCCACTCAGTTGAGCGGATTGGGACTTGCCTCTAGCTTTCTTGTGACTGGGTAGTAGTTTCCCATTCATGCCATTTGTCAGTCGGTGTTTGCCCATGGGGGTGACTGAATGAAAGACTTCTGCATCCACACTAATGTTTATGGTGATGCAATATCAATGTCTGAAAACATTTTGTGTGGCGGCTAAACGCGACATTGAAGAGATCAAATACGACACAGGGACAAGCAAACATTGCAGAAACTTTGTGGGTGATGCAGAGACGGTAAGCTGTCGTGGCAACAAAGCAAAGTGTAGTAACCTAACGGTATATGCCCTCGTTGATCGAGAGAAGCTATTATTAGAGGAAGCTAGAGGTATGACTACACAAGTAGTAAAGAAACATTGTCTCCACAACAAATAAGAGGTGGGGGAACGCAATTACAGTGTAGTTCTAAGAGGAAATGAATTCGCCTATCTTCAGGACCATTCATTTTACAACTGGTAGATTGTAACTCTAATCTAATTGTGGGTAGGTATGTAATTGCCCTCCACAATAAGCGCCGGAGATGAATTTCATTTTTTTTTTTTCTTTTTGGATGATAACGATGCGCTCAACATACACAGAGAGAAGGAGGAGGAGGTGGAGAGTATAAATAGTAGAATTTGATATGCCCACCCTTTTTCCCATCTCTTTTTCTTCTTTTTCTTCTTCTTCTTCTTCTTCTTCTTCTTCTTCTTTTTGGTAAACCCCATAGTTCGATTTCATGAGTCTACTACTACTGCTACGATTGAAATATAATACCATACATCTTTCGCATAGCAGAGTAATACATCTATAACAAATTGCTGACCAGAACACACACCCACACTCACACAAACACAAACACAAACACAAACATATACATTGAGAATTGGCATCTCGAAATCACACATTGACCCACCAACTCCCCCAATACTTTATTCATTTTTTTTTCTTTTGTCTTCTACTTGCAGCCATGGAGTTGATGACGATTGAAAAGTTTTTGCCATATTTGGAACCATACGCCAACAAGGAACTCTTGACACCGGCGGAATCATTGCAATTATCGCTTCTCATTACTGAATTGTTGGTTGATGATTATGTTGATTTTGCCTTGCTAAAATTCTTGTCACGATTCCTTACTCAACAATCATACGATGAGATTATTGAAGAACGGAATATCGAACACGAGTGCGGGTATGCCTTGTGCAACAACCAACCAAAACTGTTGGTGCGAAGGCTAAGTTTAAACAGTAATGGGACCACCACGGCGCTGATGTCTGATGCGGGAGCTTCAACAAAGTATCAGATTTATAATCGGAAGCCATCAATAATTTTGCCCAATACGTACAAGAGTCAGTATTGCTGCAAGGACCACTATCAAGCTAGTATATTTTATCGCAACCAGTTGTCGAATGAGGCTGTCTTTGCGAGAAAGGATATAATGGTTGTTCCTCCATTCCAAGGTGGTGCCAATTGGTATGAGAACTCAATTACGTTGTTAGAGGAAGTGATTGCTAAGCATAAGGAGTTGAAAGAGCAAGGTAAGACCATGGCTGAAGTGGTGGCGATGATGAATGGTCTCAGCATGAATGGGGATGAGATGAATGAAGATACAAACCAATTGATTAAGTTGATTGAAGATTTCGAAATCGTTGAAAGGGACGTTGACCACGAGCAGCAGCAGCATGGCCATCACCGTATCACACTTCGAGATGACATATCAGAACAAGCTATTGAAAGTGAGGACGAGGATGGCGGTGATGAAAAGAGTTCTAGCTTAGCGCATAACAATATCGAGGGCTACATCACTACAAACAAGAGCTTTGGCGGATACGTAGTGTAACTTAGTCATAGTCAATAGCAAATGTAACGAAGTTTCACGATTCAGAAAAAGAAGAGACAAAATTTATCAAAATCTATGTACAATTTTAGTCATAATTTCGTTAATGTTTTTGCGTAGTTCATTTCCAAATTCAAAGTATCGAAAGTCATTATCTCTCAAGAAATCACCTAGCATTTTACCACGTCCAATTCTCTCTTCAGCAGGGAACTTTTCAAAGGTTGCGCTCCTGGGCAAACTGTTTTTGAGAAGTGAGCAGCCTGGTGGAGTAACAACCTCACTATGTTTGAATACCCTGTTTTCTTTCAACAGATCAAGTAAATTGGTAAACCTCTCAACTTTATCTCTGTACCCTTCATCATATCGTTCCTGCAAGCTCTTCTGCAACTGAGACAAGTCCAATTTGGATTCTCTCAAAATGGAGTTATATTTTGCCTCAATTTCCTCACTCACAGTATCCAAATCCCGAGTCCAATCAAATTTTCCCAAATCAATTTCTTCATTGAAATCACCACCCGCTGCTCTCCGTCGCTCAATTTCACAAAAAAGTTGAAACACCTCTTCGCCCAACGCGAGTTTCTCATAGTATTCTCTCGGCTTCATTAGTTCCTCGGCTCCAAAACCTCGACTTCCTCGGATTGGGTAACTCCCATCTTTGCCCCTATTCTCCTCCTCCAATTCATGCGTTGCTCCCCATATTTTTCTAATACGAAACCACAACACTTGTTGACGTATTAAATAAGCCATTTGCTTTCGTCCAGGCTTATATTTGAAGGGCGACATCACATACGGTAATGGAACAGTTCCTGATTTATTTTCCTTGGCCGTTGCTCGATAAGGGCCTTTTTTGTTAACGATGGTCGTTATTTTCTCCATATGTAAATCATTCAAGTCGAAAGTAAGTCCTGGAATTATGATTGATTCGATATACTCTTTATCAAAAGATTTATCAACAATCTTTTGCGTCAGTCCCTTGATGACATGATGTGGGTCGTATTGGTCCCCACTGGTTTGCAACGTATCTGGCGTGTATGGTAAAAGATGAGGGTTGGGGATCTTGCCTGCATATTGTAGCTGATTCAAATATCGTAAGATTAATGATTGGCCATTCTTGGAAGCAGTTTCAAAACCCTTGGTAATGAATTGTTGTATACTCTCATCAGTTGACAAGTCTGGGATTGCAAGCTTGAGTTTGCCTCTTTTACGCGACATGGCAAGTGAGCTCTCCTTGCCCCTCAATGCTGTGATTCTTTTATCTTCCAACTCTTTGCGGTTCCGTAAAAAGGAACTTCTGCGTTGACTCCAATCAAAATAGTCCTTACGATGTTGATGCACACAATGCATGAGTTTGTCGATATTGCCGTTGCTTACAGCATCATCCAATGCATCATGAACCAAAATGCCCTTTACAAATGCTTGCGTCAATTGATACGTGTTGGTGTATCTCTTGGTAAATGCTTCATACATTCCCATTTTCAATTCCTCATACAAGATCGAGGCATCTGGTATATCTAGCTTCTTTAGTCGTTGTGAATTCCGAAGCAATTGCCTATATAGCTGAATCACCGATCGTAGATACTCGGGATGCTGTCTCAACTTGTTTACAGATTGTGTCAATGGGTTATTCATCGCGTCATTGCTGTGTTCTGGTTCATGCAGATGATCTTCAAACGTAGGAGCATTTCTTTTTTTCTTTTTTTTTTTTTTTATTTTTTTTTTCAAATTCCGTATTTGTTATCGCTGAAAGAGGTCCTTCCACACCACCATCAAACACGTCGTCTACTTACACTCCCTCTAACAAATGGTACGTACCAGCAACATTCTGCCCTTCTCGTATTCACATGATGATTGACCATAGTACTAACTCATTGCAACAGGCACCAAAGAAATCCAAACAAGCAACCTTAACAATCCTCAAGCTCAAACGGGTCAAACTAACATATATGCTCACCCTCACCACGATAACTTTGAACAATATACGTGATGAGCTAGCTGAGGCCATCAACAATTCTGGAGGCTTACCCGGAAGTCAAGATGATGAAAAGGGACTTGCTCAAAGAGCAAGGGAAGCTGAAGGTGGAGTGGAGGTAGAGCAAGATTTGATGGATGAAGATAGTATACCGGTACCGAAATCCGAGTTTGACGTCGTTGAGAGTGGCATTGGAAGTGGTGACAAAACTGTCACGGGAAGTAAAGATGTACAATTCGTTGATGCGGTGGAATTGAGTATTGCTGTTCCTCGAAACGCGTCTGCTCCGTATGACAATGAATGGATTGAGTTGACAGAGGGAAATATAGATGAGGTGGAGTTTAAAGATTACTGTATTTTGGCATTCAAAACATCTACTGATGACAAGTTTGAGATTGTTGAAGCTGCCTACGATGATTGAAACAAGAGACCAAGGGGACACATAACTTTTGTCAAGGGTATCAATGGTGGTCTATTTTTATAATTCTACAATACATAGTTTCAAGAACTGAAATATAGATGCTATGAAGGAGGCGGGGCTCAACGGTAAGCTCTGGCTTTACACTTTTTTCCCACTAATCTTCCTTACTCCCCCAGAATGCACTCTTGACCCCTGATTAGAGCCTCCACCACCCAGACTCACACGTGGTCGAGAAGAACGAGACTTTGTCATCCTCAATCCACCGTAGTTGTTAGTGGGAGAAGCCCCTGGCGACGACGACGACATTGTAGTACTAACTGTTCTCGTTGTGGTTGTGGTTGTAGTTTTGGTCATCAGTACCGGTTGTTGTTGTTGTTGTTGCTGCTGCTGCTGCTGTTGAGCCGAATTTGCCGATATGGACCGCAATACCCTCCATTCCGAGTTTCTATTCTGTGGCGTCAGTGTTTGTGTTGGTGAGCTCTTGATTACATCTTGCATTACGTTCTCATCGTCTGAATTGTTGATCATCTCAATGCTTGGGTTTTCTTGCTCTATATCATCCCCGGCATCTTCGAGGTACTTTCTTGGTTGTCCAGGAGCGTTTGAGGGGACGGCTGTTTGAATCTTCGATGCCAATGCGCTACTAATCTTGCGTCTTCTGATAGGAGTAGCTGAGAAGGATGAATCAACAACAAATGATGAGTTGAGTTGTAATTGATTTGAATGCTGTTCCATTTGAGCTTGCCTCTTGGCTTCCTTCATGCGTTTCTTGAAATCATCATATGAACACAAGGGGAACAAGTTTCCAATGAATTTGTCGGGTCTATTGTCCAAAATCATTGTGTGTCTCCAATCTCTAAAATAGTTCTGATTGAGGTATAGCCAGTGTTGTTGTGGACCGACAACCATACCTGGTCTCAACATCCTCATGTAAGCAATACACTCATTAGCAGTGAAACCATGTGTGTAGATCAAATGAGCCCCAATTAAACACCCAGTTCGTCCTAGACCAGCTTTGCAATGAACAGCAATCTTGCCTCCTCGATTTATGATGCATTCTGCAGCCCCAATAAATTTCTGGACATACTCGAGTGTTGGGCAAGTTCCGTCATCGAAGATCATGTCAATGTGTTGAATATTTCTCTTTGTAAACTCCTTTGTATCATAGAGATGCGAGTTCAATCTAACAACCAATTGAACATTGTTTTGCGTAAAATAATCCAAAACTTTTTTAAAAGGCTCATTAAGAGGTGCATGCTTCTTTTGTTGCGGTGATGCAAATGCAATAAAGTCTTTAGTTATAACATTGAAATCTCCTTGATCTACTCGTTCATATTGTTCATATTCTGCAAGGTCAAACGAAGTCAAGTCAATCATTCCTCTCTCTTTAGCTCTCCACATTCCATAAACAACATCCTGTATAGTGATTTCAAAATCGGCATTGGAATAACCAGCGTCTCTGAAACTGGCAAATGGAACTTCAAATTGAGCAATGGGTTGTAACACTTGATGAGGTGCCCATGATTGAACTAGAACCATATAGCAACACAACAAACAAGCTGCATTTGCTCGTTGTTTTGGGCAAGTTGAACTGTAAAACACCACTGCTTTGCCTTGATTGTCATCGTCATTCAAGACATTGTGCAACACAACAGCAAATCGATAGAGACAGCTGATGTTTAAAGGTCCGAAATCCAAATGGAATGCATTGTATGGTAAGTCATCTTCAATTGTGAAATATACCAACTCATTAGTGTCGGCTGGTGTATAATCAAAAGCACCCAAGTATATACGGTCTGGAAAGTGAGTGTTAGTAAAGATTATCCTGTTTTATAGTTGTTGTTGTTGTTGTCGCAGAGATACATACTCTTTAAGAACTCGATTAGAGGCACATTTGATTTGTTTCTACCCATTATTTCAATGCAGGTGACCTATTCTCAAAGTTGGTGATAATGTATGGTGGGGATTGAGTGGGGGGGGAGGGCTGTTGAAACTGAAGCAGTCTAGGTGATGGCTATGTACTAATGTGAAGCTGTCTAGTTTCTTCCTTCTACTACTGTTGATGGTATATTCATATATTTTTGATTACTGAAGAAGCGTCTTTTTCTCTTTTTGTTTACTTTGATTTGTTGTTTGTTTATGTTTACTCCCAATTGGGAAGATATACTGCCACTTGCACACGACCTATATCTTTTATTTCGTTTCTTGCTTGATTTGATTCATTGCGAAAATCATATACTCTCCTCAACGGGCGGCAAATTGATATTTATACATATACGTAGGTTGATAACTATCGTTTTGCACCCTTTGGATTAATAGCCTACAATGGTATGTTTTATTAGGACACATTATGTGTTGTTAAAGCGTCAAAGAAAATACTAACAATTTCCACCTACAGTCATCCAATCTCTACACATTTTCATCAGAAACTCTATCTGGATTGAAGAAGTTTCGGTTCGGAAGTTCGAGAGCCACACAACCACAAGCGGTCATATGTGAGTATAACCTTTTGCCCATTACATTGGGAAAATTGATATGCTCATAGTTACTAACAAAACCGTCTCTATCTCTAGATGAGATCGATAAAGAAACCAATGAAATCAAACAACAAGAAGTGGACGGTGACATAGATTCGATAGAGACATTAGTCGAAGAATTACCCGACAACAACCCAAGATTTATCGTCTTGTCTTATCCCATAAAGACGAAAGACGGTAGATTGCAATCACCATTGGTGATGTTGTATTGGATTCCACCAACATCGAATCAAGCCAACAAGATGTTATATGCAGGAGCAGTTGAACAGTTTAGAGACAAAGCTGGTGTATCAAAGTATGTATATTGAACCACACAGGATACGCATAATGAAGGAAGATTGTGTTCCAATGAAATATACTAACTAGATTGCATAGGTTAATCAAAATTGAAGATGAAGATGACTTTGACGACATTGAAGAGCAGCTATGAAAACCTATAATATATAGAAAAGATACACAAATAAAAAAAAAGGAAAAAAGTTTCTTTTTTTGACCCTTTTTCTCTTTCTTTTAATCTTTTCTGGAAAATATGGTAGGAATGCACATCTGACAACAAAACAAAATAATGTCTCCTTTCTTCTCCCACACTGCACATTAGGTAGTGAGGCGAGTAACCAGCAAAATACTACAGGCCGGCACATGAAGACATGCTGAACCTGTTTTATCATTTCAGTTCACCACCAGTAAGGGAGGCGCAACCATCCGAAGCGGCTAATCTTGCAGCTGAATCCTCAAAATTGAAACCACCCTCCGAATGGTATAAAATAATACAAATTTAAGTGTACACAAAGCACAGCTATTTCCGAACCACCCCGCCCGCCTGCTTCTTTTATCTACTTTACCTAACAAATATGATAGTCCTGTAGTGTAAAGTATTGGTACTTGCTTTCACTCCTTTCAAATCTAACCCCATGTTTTGCTATTGTGTTCATTGACGTCATTTCAAATGCATGTTCAGTGAAGTTATGCTTCTTTTGTAAAAATCCTATAATAGTATTTAACGAGAGTTGAAGAATCCATCAACAAACAAGAGCAGCATTCAGGAAACTAGTTTTTGATGAGGTGTAAACTATATAAATGAGAAACGCAGCTAATTGCCTCTTTGTTTACCTTTCGAAGACCAGAAACTTGGAAAATAATCTTTGCAGGAAATAAAATTTGCTTTGTTTTGTTGCAGTTTTGAATCTCGTATCTTCTACTTTTAGTTCTGTCGCTGAACCCTTTTGCAAGAGGATTACAAAAATCTTTGTTTTACACAAAACCTTAAATTTTGTCGCATCGTTACACATTATGCAATGTTTAACCTGTTACAGGTCACCACTAATAGTGTTGCACTGTCTAAAATGGAGTTCAAATAGCTTAGAAGAGGACTGGCTGAGGTGCGTGATGACGAGCCCATTGAGGGTATTCACAAAGGATTCTTTTCTTCTTTTTCTTTAACTTTATTTTTTAAACTTTTTTTTTAGTCATAGGAATGTTGGACGAATGTAAGTACTTTGAAATTGCTTCTGCTTGAAAGTTTGTTGTTTATGTAAATGTGCTAGGTTATGTCTCTATTTATTGTGTTTTCTTGATTCTAGATTAATAATTAGATTTGCTTGTTTTGAGTAAGATTACCACAAGACAATTTTATTATATCACAAGCACTATATGGGTAAACACTCACAAATTAATGCGAATTTCTGTGTCGTGATAGAGCGGACTCATAATCTTGACTAAATCGACAGTGAAAATTATTAAATTTTAAATATTCTATTCATCTCGTGCTGGCGAAATCAACCATGAATGGTAAAACCAGTAAAGAACAGCAAATGGCACAGCAAGTTCAGAACAACAAAAAAAGTGAAGGAATAGAGTCAATCCCAGAAGGATTAGCATATGCAATGCATATGCCTTTTATAAAACAGGCAGTAACAAACAAAAGCCCAGATATCATTACTCAAAGATACTCACATCAAGTTACAATCAAATGGGATATACCAGCAGATTTAGAGGAAAAGATGCCTCTGGCTTCGAATAGTTCCGATGATGAAGGTTCAGTTTGATAATCTTGGAGTCTTGGATACGAAGGGTGATGAAGTACAAGGAAAAACAAACATGTCTAGTGACATGGAAAATTGAAACACACAGGAACCAATGTTGGACATTTGAGCTCAAATATAGAAGTTGAAGAAGGTGATGCAATTTACAATGAGTCAGTTTCATCTAATGATGAAGGAAATTCGAGATTTGATGGTGATGATAGCAAGTTTGTCAACAATACCGATTGGGATCCTGATCATCAAATCAGTGAGTAAAATCTTGATTTTGAATGTGGTGTAATAAAAACCTACATTTTTTAAGTTGAGAACTTTATTAACAAATTTAATGTGAAGATTAACTTGCATTTCAAACTAAGTAACAAACTATATAAAATTGTGCTGACCCAACTTCTTGTATAGCACTCTCTTGCAGCACAGGTCCCATTGCGATCCACACGTAACACACTTCTCTTCCACCTCCCAAACTATATAACCAACACTTCTGCTTGATGGCAGTTGGTAGCGGCAATACTATGGTAGATGCTGAGCAAAGTGCAATATTAAATGTACCTTATGTCGTGTGTCACCAAGACAGAGTTTACGACATTGATTTTTTTATCACTGAGGTCGTGTGTATTTGCTTAAAAAAAAATTTTTTCTCTCTCCCTCTCACTGTAACTCTCTCTTTGAAAGTGAAAAATTTTTCATCATCCCTATTGATTTTTCTTCCTCTTCTTCTTCTTCTTCTTCTTCTTCTTCTTCTTCTTCTTCTTCTTCTTTCATTATCATCACCACACATAAACAACTACAAAATCATTCATCATGGGTCGTATGCATTCATCTGTATGTGTGAATTACAACATTATATTCAAGTGGCTACTTCGTTTCGTAAGCTAGTTGAAAAAAGCACAGTACCATCAGATGTATTGTTGACAAACGACTCAAAAACCTTCTTTTCGCATCACCAGAGAGAATAGGAGGAAGAGGAGAGAGTGAAGAAAACAATGGTATTTCAAACACAGGAGTCTTGCCCAAAGTAAACGATTCACCTACGGTAGACTATACATACCTAGAATTGTTACTATATACGCTTTGAGTACTTGATAACCTGGACCTTGTTTTTTTTTTCGATCTCGTTTGACTTTAGGGTGGGAGTTATGGAGGGATAGGAGATGAAGTGGCAGAGTGATGGAGGGCATTTGGTGCTCCTGTCTTCTTTTCCTTTTTTTTGATTTCTTGTTCTTCTGTTTTTGGTTGGAGTTCTGAATCTAGGACATGTCGATAACGCATGCTCGACTACACCTTTGAGAGGAACACCCATTCACTGCCCCTCCTCCTGGGTCAACTCCTTTTTCGTTTGGCATCGATGCAGATTATTGTTTTTTTTCTTTCTTTCTTTCGTTGTGGTTTTTTTACTACTACTGCCTGCAGACTTTTCCCAAGAATATTTGTCATACTAACTTTCAATCTCTTATAGGGTAAAGGTATTTCCTCATCTGCCATTCCATACTCAAGGAACGCACCATCATGGTTCAAATTGTCAAGTGACGATGTCGTTGAACAAGTCATCAAGTATGCAAGAAAAGGTTTGACCCCATCATCAATCGGTGTCATTTTGAGAGACGCTCATGGTGTTTCCCAAACCAAGGTTGTCACTGGTAACAAGATTTTGAGAATTTTGAAATCAAACGGTTTGGCTCCAGAAATCCCAGAAGATTTGTACTTTTTGATCAAAAAGGCTGTCTCAGTTAGAAAACACTTGGAAAGAAACAGAAAGGATAAAGATTCCAAATTCAGATTGATTTTGATTGAATCCAGAATCCACAGATTGGCTAGATACTACAGAACCGTTGCTGTCTTGCCACCAAACTGGAAATACGAATCAGCTACTGCTTCTGCTTTGGTTGCTTAAGCGAAGTTTGAGCTCGTTTTCTTACCTTTTTTTTTTCAAATCCAACCCTTTTCTTCAGTTATATAATAGTAATATAAATGTACAATTTGTAATGGAGTTTCTTGCGTCAGTCTTGTAACTAGAAACACATCTCTGGTCATCCTCTCTCTCTCTGCAAAAACCCTCAAAAAAAAAAAAAAAGGAAAGTATGCAGTAGATCAAGAATCCCAAACGAAGAGTCAATTTCTTGTCCAAAACAGGTGTACCACAATGGATGCCATATCAGATAGGGTATTTTCAGAATCCTCGCTTGAGACAACAACGACTGTAGATGAACCGTCACTACTTACCGTCATACTAGACATATCGCCACGTGGATGGTACCAAATTCGAAACTCGATATCGTTACAAGATGTAGCCAAATCGCTACTTGTTTTCCTAAACGGTCACCTAGCAATAAACAATTCAAATCAAGTGGCATTCATTGCAAGTCTGCCATATACTTCCAAATTCTTGTATCCTCATCCTAGTAACTCCAAAACTTCCACGACACAATCCAAGACTGCGCCGGGCATGTATCGACAATTCAAAAATGTCGATGATGTGGTATTGCAAGAATTGAACCAATTTATTGTCGAGACTAGTGATCAAGCTGCTGCATCTGCTGCTACTTCAGCATCCTCCAGGAGACATTCGAGTATTACTGGCGCTATCAGTATGGCATTGACTTACACCTACCGAATGTCAATACTAGACCAATCGATAACGACAACCACGGCATCAGCAATCAGTACATCATCTGCAATGAGCAGTACAATGAAACGAACCGATGCCACATCGGGAAGTGCTGGTGGTGCTGGTCTTGGTGGAAATGGTGCATCTGCCGCATCTGCCTCTGCCACTGCTAATACTGCTGCTGGCCCCACTATTTCCACCTCAATAAAATCGCGAATCCTCATAGTGAGTGCCAACGACGGCGATGACACGATCAACTATATCCCATTAATGAATTGTATATTCACAGCTCAAAAACTAAAAGTCTCAATCGACGTTGCCAAATTAGGGTTCAAAAACTCCTCGTACCTACAACAAGCAAGTGATGCCACCAATGGCGTATACTTACATCTACAGAATCCACAAGCAATTATCCAAGTGTTGTCCACTGCCTTTTTTATTGAACCGAATTTGCGACCCTATGTCATATTACCAGCTAATACTCAAGTCAATTATAAAGCCAGTTGCTTCATTACTAAACAACCAGTCGATGTTGGGTTTGTGTGTTCTGTTTGTTTGTGTATAATGAGCCATGTGCCTGAAAGCGGCAAGTGTCCTGCGTGTCTGAGTGATTTTGATAAACGCAGTATTTATGAATTGACTAGAGAACCGCAAGTTGTGACCAAAAAGAAACGCAAATTGGATGGCCAAAGTGAAGCAGCAGCAAAAGTTGATGGCAGTTAGAGCCATGAGTGGATTTTGCGTCAAGGTGTAGATGCAATTCCATCCGATGTAATGTTGAATGGGAACGTTTCTGGATAATTGTGATGTTCAATCAAATGATCAGTTCGCAATTGTGAAGAATTAAATGTCATGTCACAAGTTTCGCAAAGACATCGTAGTAGTATACTAGCCTCATCAATTTCCTTACCTTCCCTCACTTTCGTGCCATGTAGTTTCGAGAATGGATTATGGTACTCATCGATATGTAGCTCCAATATATAACGAGAAGGGAAAATCTTGTCACAAGATAAGCATTGATATTCGTGGAATGTCAAGAAATGGTTCTGGAATCCAACGTAGCCGTAAATCATGGTGGAGCAATAGGGACATTGCGTTGGAGACGAGCTTGATGGTTGAGTTTGAGGTAGCCTGTCCTCCACTGCATAGTCCTCCTCGCGACTTCTTTTCCCCATTGATTAGAGATTAAGCTTGATTCAGTCGTACATAAAGAGTGAAAAGAAAGGAAAAAAAGAAAAAAAAAAAAAAGAGATTTACGTAGTGTCATATGAACCTTTACCATACCTACTGCAGACCAATGTCATTAAATGCACACGCCCGACTCCTCTACTGATCACATTGCATATAGATATACATTCACTATTTACAAAAATCTCCACCTCATAGTTCTTCACCGATATCCTCGTACCAACACTCAGGTTTCTCTTCAATGAACCGACGCAACAACGTCTTACACTCCTCATCATTCAAATTGATTACCTCAACCCCATGTTCCTTCAACAACGCCTCACCACCCATAAAAGTCTCATTCTCACCTACAACAACGCGCTTAATCCCATACAATATCATGGCTCCTGTACACATATTACACGGAGACAATGTAGTGTACATGGTGCAGTCCCGATACACCGACGCTGGTAATCTGCCGGCATTTTCCAAGACTGACATTTCACCATGTAAGATGGCTGATTGTTTCTGGACTCTTTGATTGTGGCCAAATGAAAGCAAGGTGCCGTCTGATTTGACTAGACAGCCTCCGATGGGGATGCCTCCTTCGTCGTAGGACTTTTTGGCTTGGTCGTATGCTATTTGCATACCTTTCTTGTCATTGAGTGAATGGGTCATTCTTTTGGAGAAGTTATTGGGGGGAGAAAGAGAAGGTTCTCTTTTTCTGATAGTTAGCGTAAATGATGTGAAGAGGGGGATCTCGAGTAGAAGAATGTCCTTTTCATCTTATTGTTATTTCGTGTCGCTCTTAATGCGCTTTTAATTTCTTTTTTCTTTTTTTCCCATTTTTTAAATTTTTGGTTTTCCATCACACCGGAGATGAATGCCCAATTGGGAAAGTGGTATTGCCGAATTTGAAAGTATTCTGTTTTGAGCACCTATTTGCAGCTGAGGTAGTGAGAGATGTGGCATTTGATGTAATGAATTGAAACCAATGGGCATACAGGGTATTCGCCCACTAGTATTTACTTTGATGGTTTCTAAGTATCGAACAATTCTTTTTACCCTGAAAACTGTGCAAAAACGAGAGGTATTTTGAAAAACAAGCTTTAATTATAGGGATTAAACTTAGGAAACATTCTAATCTCCTTAGGCAGAGTAAACCTTCTGTGACTACCAGGTCTTTCTCTGCTGTCGTCGTTCTCTTCGAAACATCAACTCATCTAGTTGCCAAAGAGTAAAGTTACACAAAGTTTATTACCAGGCGCTCTATTGGGAATGCGCTCACGTGACTACTAACTCCCCTCCCTCTATCTCACTTCACTTCTAAACTTAACTCGTCAATCATGTCTTGTATTCTTGCCTGGGACAAGTCAGAGTCAACTTCACTCAATTTACACTGGAATCTCAGTGAATCACCCATTTGCAAAACCCCTTTACATTCCAAAGAAGGTATATCAAACAACATCTCAAGATTCTTTGCAGTTGACTTCACATATATGGTTATTGACCGTTCCTTGAGGGCAACGTCGCCAAATTTAGCACGCGCTAAATCTATATTGCTTGAATTAATCAACCTCACTTCATCAATCTGATCGAGCACAAACTTATCATCGGAATCATCACCCACTGCCGGCTCCACCTGTACTTGCCATGACCTCAAAAGCAACTTGAACCGCAAATCCCATAGAGTGAGATAGCCACTTTGAGTACCAATGATGCACCAACTATCTTTGTTAGTTCCACTGGTGATAAAACTAGTGATTAGTCCAAATGATAATGGGTTCTGTAACGAGTATTGTTGTTTCATGGTGATCATATCGATTGCATGTACTTGCAGCTGATAATCAATGGCGTAAATCATATTGTCCAAAATCGTAACTAAAATTGCAAATGAATTCAACACCAGCTTGCGAATGAGTACCGGTGTCATAAACTTGACAATTTTTCGACTCTTGTTTCGAACAAATTCAATTCTGAAAATTCGTACAGAACCATCTCGACAAGCAATCACAACACAGTTTCTCAATTGACAAAATGCAATTGATGTAACTCGTGACTTCAACTCAATTGATTGATCCGAGGCATTCGACAATCGATTAATATCCTCCAATTTGGATTTTCCCCAAATTTTAACAACACCATTTTCGGACCCAGTTATAAAATAATCACCCATGGGAGACATGTCCAAGCAAGTATAAGCGTCTATCTCTTCACTTGTTCGACGTATGTTCAAGTTGAACAAGTTCAAACTCTCCAATCCAACTTGCAACTTGCCCTTGACAGCTTTTCCAAATTCGGCAAAATCATCGAGCGTAGGGGCAATAGTCAATGTATGCAAATAGTTCCATATGAAATGGTTTGAGCCGGCGTATGTATGTTTCACATGACATGTAATGACACGATCTTCGTCGACATGATAAGACTTGTGAAATAAAGTGGGGTCATTGATCCACAAAGTCTTGGCAAAAGTGTCCCGACTTGACTCCATTTCTCCAAACACATTGGCTTCGATCGTCTGTACGGAAGCTATGGCACGCTCCATATTAGGAAGTATCAATGTTTGATGCAGCTGCCTGGAATGGTCCAAACTTCTCAATGACACGGTATCTTCTGATTTCACCACAATTTTGTTATTTTTTAGCCCTGCTACTGATGTAACTGGTTCTGACTTGAAGACAACATCGAGGAAAACGTTTCTTGGGGTGAGATTAAATTGCTCAAATTGTATATGTTGCTGCTGCTGCTGCTGCTGCTGCTGCGGTTTGTGCTTTTGCAGCTTTTGATGGGGATTCCTTGAAATTCTACTGATTCGATAAATATAACTTCTCAAAACAAGAACCTTCCACAAGGACTTGTCATCCAACCCAATAGATTTGAGTTTGAGTAACCATTGCTTATCTTCTGAACTCAATGGTATATTTTCCTTATTTCTACCACTATTGTATGATACAACAGCAGTACTCAATTTCGGCATATACACCGACTTCCCCATATTTTGAGGAAACGACATAGCCGTAGAATTTCCTTTATTCGGCGTCAACGAAAACCCCTTTTCTTGCCAAAAGAGCGATTTGCTGGTGAATGCCAATGCCCAAGTCATTACTCCGTCATACACTTGTTTGCTCAATGGTCGAGTAAGACTAGGGTACAATGTATTCCAATTTATTTCAAAAACATCATAGCTTAAATACCCTTTGATTAGTGGATACAAAAAGCAATACCGATCCGCATCACTCAAGTTGCTACTGATCGATATTATCAAGTTGATTAATGATTGTCGTATCCATTCATTTGGATGTAATAGTAAATGAATTGAATTTGATAATAGTTCAGTGTAGATTTCCAAAGTGTTGAACTCTAATTTTGAGTTTATCAATTTTTGCAGAACAAACACATTAAAGATACGAAGAACCTTTAAAACAACAAATTGCTCACATTCATTGATGGATTGTAGAAGTAGTGGTAGGATATACTGTTCAAACGACAATGCTCCAATGTACGGGCCAATTTGCAAAACCGCTGATAGAAATGCTAACCGAAGCGTCGGATCAGAATCATTCAAATATGAAATCAAATGAGGGAGAATGATATCATTTGTTTTATCTCTGCCGAAAAATTGACACAAGGGTAGTATATTCTCAAGTAGACTAACCTTGACTGACGAGTGAGAATCAGTTAGGATACTCAATGTAATTTCCTTAAACTTTTGATCTAGTTGGTCCTTGGAAAGATGTATGGAGGTAACTGCCTTCATAACACTTTCGGGAAGCAAATTTGAAGAGTTTGAAGAGGTTGCTGTACTGCCAAGATGTCGCTGCTTCAATGCTTTCGACATGGACCAAAACTTTTTAGCAACCGTTGCAAGGTATGGCAAGCATATTGCAACGCAACCATTGATCAATTTTTGCGACTCCGAATCTATTTTCAACACCAACAAATTGTTCACTTTGGCTAACAAGTATTCGGGAAACACAAGAACATTGATTGGGGTCACATACGAACAGGATAGCATCAATGTCGTTATGGCATACAATGCAAGGCAAACCACCTTTGCCGACACGTGATCGAGTGAGTGGCGCACAGCAGATTCAACGAATTCGTCTAATATGGAACACAAGTACGGTAATGACCTGTCTAGCTTGGACTCATCGTTGATTTGCTCAGACAATGCTAGTATCAACAAACAGCATTTTCGCTTTGAATCAGGCAACTTCACCGTATTCAACAACGAAGTGACCAAGTTTATGATAACCAAAGAAGCATCACTGCCGTCTTCATTATTGACGTATTTCTTGGGCTGTATCCGGTAATTGTGAGGCATTGTGGGGAGGTTCATTTTCATGGGAAGAAGCAGCGACGATGGTTGTTGTACTTTATAAGTAAATCCCAAGGATTCGCTGATTCTGGCAAAGTTGTTGTAAATATGATCTATCTTCAAATCACTAGATGTAATGTGCTTATCATGCTTGGGAGCAAAATCCTCTTGATGAGTTACATTCTCCATAAACTCATACAAAAAGGTGTAAAAGAACTCAGGGAAGCAATTTCCTCTGAATTCCTGCAATAATTCACGAGCACTACTTCGTTCACTAGGATTCACTTTTAGTAGTCTCTGTATCAACTTGACAATGTGCGGATTAGGTATGCTTGAAAAATTAGGCTCATACTCATTCCTCATGTACTTGAACAATTGAGATAATGTGAAAACGGGTTCGCCATCACACCACAACTCGGCAATGACACACCCTAAACTGAACAAATCCATTTCATCTGTGACATTGTTTTTAAAATTAAAAGATCCATTGTCGTTGAAATTCAGAACAGTATTGTTGTTGTTGTTGCTGCTGCTATTTTGGCTATTGTAAAACCGTTCCGGGGCGAGATAACAAACTCTTCTGCCCGAACCATCATAATAGAATGAAAATTGATTCGGATTATCTTCCGGGATATACGTAGGTTTGGTTATATTTGCAAAATCAGAAATCAAGATCCAGTCCCATGATGTTACAAGTATATTCTCCAATCGTAAGTCTCCGTGGTGTACATTTAGTGAGTGCAATTCACAAACTGACTTCAACAACTGGAACGTGATGAACAATTTCTCCACCGGCTCCAAGAACGGGCGTAAAGATAGTCGATCATATAGATTTATTTTAGCCATTTCTCGAATCATATACCCAGCTCGATCAGTTTCAATTAGTTTATGCCACGTCAAAACACTCTTGAATGGATACAACACCGAGGATTCTTTGACTAGGTATTCTAGTACATCCTGAAGTTGCAAAGTGTATGATGGAGTCGATGGTTTGATCAAGAGCTTGATAATGACAAATTGACCCGTGGACTTGTCTATCGCTTTGATAGTTTTGAGAAACCTCGAATTGCTTAGTAGCTCCACGTATTGGTAGTTTTCCAATGCATCGACATACGATGATATAGCAATTGTGGGGGCTGAAGGCGCCAACAACGACAACTTCTGGCCCATGTTGGTTGGCAATTTTTGATGACTCCGTTTTTATTTTTTTGGGGGGGGGGGGAGAGATGGGGAATTGGAGAATGTATGGCTGGAAAAGAGTTAAAGTAGGCGCGATAAGATTGAGAGAGGAAAAATTGTTACTGCATCAAAAGCAAAGCGTTACAGTGCATACGCAACACGGGAATTCTTCTCCACTTTCAAATGGAGGACAGTAAAGGCAGTGATGACGAATTGAACATTAGTCCCGCTTTTCCCATAGATGACGTGAATACCGACCAAGAGGTAATACAATACCTCCAGGGTGTGCGGAGTGAAGCAAGCGCAATGAACCATATATTGTATCATGAGAGAGAGGACCATATAATCGTTCAAGATCATCATACTCCAATACATAGTGAGCCTACTGTAACAGATGTCAAATTTCACACTTGGTCAACTCAATTGATTCACAATTTCAAAGTGTTAAAAGAGAGAATACGGACTCAAGACCAAAACACTATTTCCTACGATACCATATACTCGCTCAAATGGAAGACTGCATTCAAAAACTCTCCTCCTGATATCAATTACTTTGTCTATGCGTTGGACAGAAAGCTATGTTTTGATATATTAGTAGAATTGACAAAGAGACTAAGCATCACAATGAAAGAGACTTTTGGCCAGTGGTTATGGAAAGTGTTTTTGAAGCTTGATAATATCTTGGAAGCTAGTGAGTGTGCAATATTACGAGACTTGGCCAAGACTGCAATAAAGTTGAAGTCGAAATTGGACGAAAGTACAACAGTCGCAAATTCAATCGCTGGTTATACTTTTGATATGATTATTGCAATTGTGGGGTTGTACTATGGACAATCTGATCTATTGCAAGGATGATATGGAGGGGCTGTCATGTAGATAGCGGGTAGCATCTTTATATACGGCTATGTAGAAGGGACTGGCATATGTACCGTAATAAAGTTGGGATCTGTTTGCGACATTGCCTCGTTTCCGACACTAAACCTTTCACGACATTGGAAAAATTTCATCCCACAACCGTCCAACTCCAAACTATCTCTTCCTCCACCTGTTAAACCCAATCATCACCTCACCACACCTCCCCTCCCACCCCATTACAATGGCTCCAAAGGCAAGACAAGACTTGGTTATTCCCTACGTTCACGTACCTGCAAAATCCAGAAAAGACGCAGGAAATGTTCTTTCGCAATCATTACCAATGGCCGCTATGTTTATGAGAAATAAGATGTTATCATGGGCATCGGTATTCTTGTCAATTCAATCATACTTGAATGAACCAATCAATAAACCAGCAGAAGAAGACCAGGGTCAACAGTCGCCAGCTTTGAGGATCGCGTTTGCCGTTATTGCGTTGATTACTTGTTACATGGATATTGTTTTCCCTAGTACTAATCCAACAGTAAAGAGGGCAGCCAAGATTGTGTCTGAGACTGCAACTGCCGTGACTACTGCTACTGCAGCAGCTGCTGCCAAGGCGTAAACCACCAAAGCATTCGTTACATGATTCAAGAGATATGGAATATCTCATGCTACTAATTTTCAGGTCCGAACATTTGTATGATCTTTAGTATTTACACATTAATTATTACACTTTCTATTCCAATATATGATGCAGCAAGGGTTTTCGACCCATGGTCCCACCGTAAATCACTCAACCCTATAGCAGACTCTTTGGTTTCACCTTCAGGAGGAATGCTTGGCGTGTAGATAGCAACACATCGTACAAAGCTCTTGTCTTCACCTTTATGACTTTTTACATTCACATCCCAAATTGAAACTTTTCCAAAATCGTCACCCACTGCTAGTAGTTTCCCATTTGGCGATAATACACTGTTGAATAGTAATACGTCTTTTGAAACATTATGGCGAACTTCAGGTGAAAAATTCTCAGCATTCTTGAACAATTCTGAGCTCTTGAGATTGTCACCAGTCTCCGCATCCCACATATTCAAAATACCTTCCATTGAAAGCGACGCCAATATACTCCTATCGGTATCGGGTATCCAATGTAGTCCAATGATAGGTGAAGCGTGTAGCTTCAATGCTTGATTCCTCTCAGTTTTGACATTCAAATCCAAAGATGTATGAGCAGCTGAGCTGGTCCATACCTTGATCTCATAATCAAAGTCGGAGCAAGTGACCAAGAGCTTGGAAAACTCATTAAGTTTCATCAATGAAATGTGATTTTGATGCCCGGGTAAGCTTCCTATTGCTCGTACTTCATAGCTATTTACACCAACGTACGGTTGTGTGATGTCGTAAATCTTGATTCCTTGTGTTGCAGTAGTTAAAGCAAATTTGTCCTCACTTAGCCAACATGCAGTCTGCACAGCGTCGCCGTTAGCATCAATAGTAGCATTGGTAGTAGCGACATCATTCAGTTCTTCAGTTTGGATTTGTCGTATCAACGATAGGGTGACTCCATCCCAAACTGTTGTATTATTGGCACTGTCAATGGTTATAACAAATTTCCCCAGCTTGCTCCATAAAATATTTGTAATCAACGATTGCTTAATCTCACTTTCTGCACTGATATCCTCAAATACAGTATTTGCGATATTCCGAAGTTTACCATCGGGTGACCATGCGCGTATTTCACTAAACGCACCGGCTGTAAGTAGCAAATTGCCCAATGGAGACCATGATACAATATTAATCTCATTTTTAGCATTCAATAAATCAGGGTGGCTCACTTCCACCGACTCCACAAATTTTCCATCTCCTATTGCATTTATGATTACGCTTCCATTAGATTTCCCATATGCAAGCACTTCACTAGTAGGATGCCAATCGCAGGATAAACTGGATGAAAAGTGTAGTTCTGTCGAAAGTTCTTTAGTTTCTGTGTTGACATTATATGCCACTCCATTATCAATATCCATTTCATCCTCTTTTCTGTTACCATTCTCTTCTGCTTCTGATTTTAACTGAAACCTCTTGTTATTTTTGGTCTTGGAGAAATTAGAATCACTCAAATTGGTTATTTCTTGCTGCACAAGTGCTCCCAATAAAGTATAATCACTATCGTCTTTGGCATCGGATTCCGCTATAGTATATAGTATCCCCTTCTGTACTAAATCTACTAAACATCCAGGCTCTATCCTGTTGATTATATCCTCATTCTCTTGATGTTCGTACTTCAGACACTGTGACTGCCGATCAAAGGTGAATGCAGACAAATCATACCCTGTTTCTTGAAAATATCGCCATATTAGATAGTTCAATTCTGCGCTTGTTAGTGGCATGTCGTCGTGTGTTAATAGTCTTGAATGAATGTATGAATATATTGGCTGTAGTAAGGGTCTAGTTGTTGATGGTTTCAATTTTTTTTTTTTTAGTTAAATTTTTCTGTCGAGCGAGAGACAGAGACAGAGAGAGACAGAGACAGAGACAGAGACACAGCCAGCCAACTAACACTGTCACCAAATACAACATCACACATAGGCACAACGGGGATTGTGTTCAGTACATACCATGCACATGGCCATATAGTAGACCCGGTTGTAGGATAGTGGGTGCCAGTTCTTGACTTTAAGTGTATATCTAATGTGAGAATTGGAAAGGTTTGTGTAGCGTCCTCTTTCAGCCGCTGAACGTCTTTGATATCCTTTGTCGATGAAGCTTATACCAGTCCTTCTATATATGTAAAGTCTCTCTTACATCACTTTCTGATGTGGCTATTGCTGTTTGTTACCAGAGATTAATTCTTATGTTCACACTTTTAAAAAGTTCTTTCTGTGAAACTCCCTTACTTTGTCGAGAGAGAGAGAGAGAGAGAGAGGGAGAGGGAGAGAGAGACAGATCAATAGTATTAGCCTCTTCTACTTCTTACAGCCAGATTGGTCCAATCACGACAATATATTACCACCATGAACAGACTGGGGAATAGACAGAGCAGAGCAGTTTGGAAGAACCAGGATGGTGGCCGTCAGACCAATAACCCATACGCCACCAACAACAACAACTTGACCCGCACAGAAACCAATAGAAGTTATGTTTCAATGAAGGAAGCAGCAGCTGGCGGAGGAGTACCACCACGGCCACCAGGAGGACCCAGCTCTAATCTGTTACAGGTCCCAAATCCGTATGGTAACATGAACAATGCAAATGGACTTCTGAAACAGAATAGAAGGATGAGTATCCACTATGCTGCCCATCAGCATGGACGTTCGTTTTCACAATCTGGAGGTGCGCCACCACCGTTGCCTGTATTGCCGTCTGGTCTCAATGCCTCAGGGAGAGGTGAGGACAAGCCATTATCTATTGAGCAAAAGATTTTCAAAGAGTTGGGACATGGGTCAGCGGCCGAAGTTGACGATTACTACAAAACATTAAAGAAACAAAACCAATTGATCACCAGAGATATCAAAGAGAATATCAACCAGAACCAGAAAAACATTTTGCAATTGACTAAAGATTTGAAAGAGACGCAAGAGGAATTGGTGAATATGAGAGTGACTGCCAAGGACTTGTTTGAAGTGCTTGATGATTTCAGAGACGCTGCTGAACGTCGACTAAAATTGGAGTTTGATGCGCCTCAGCAACAACAACAGCAGCAACAACAACAACAGCACCACCCACATCTGCCTACCAAACAACTGCAATTACGCCCTTCTAAAAACCAAAAAGACCGTTCATCTATACTTGTACTTGAGAAAATGTGGGCCAAAGAGATTCAATCTTTGTTTAAGCATGTTGAAGGAGCATCTAAATTCATTCAGCCAATTCCAGGTAGACATGTTTTAGCAGAGAGTGGGAGATGGCATGAAGTTAATGTGGGTACATGGAAACCTAGTCATGCAGGACATTTATTCATTTTGAATGATTTGATCTTGATTGCTACTAGAAAACCTAGTGGCAGTGGCGCAGGCGGTGGCACAGGCGGTGGCACAGGCGGTGGTGGCCATCCTAACTTGAGCGACAAGTCCACGACTGATGCGAAAGGTGGTAGCAAACTACAAGCTATACAATGTTTACCCTTGATTCAAGTGTCGATCAATCAAGTCAAGCCACCTAAAAGTGATAACTCGTTATACTTTATCAATATCAAGACCAAGTCACTCAGCTACGTCTACTCAACTGACCGGTACGATCATCTAGTTAAAATAGTTGATGCATTCAACAAGGGAAAGAATGAAGTAGTCCACGCCAAGAGATTGGAAAACGGCAGCAAGAATGTAGACAATGATGGCAATGAAACAAAAGAGGAAAAGCGTCAATTGCGAGAAACACTTCGACGTTCTGGGTCGTACAACGACGGTCAAGGTCTTGTTGAAGATCAAGGTAAGCGTATCAGTGGTCCCGGTGGAATGGCTAGTCCCACGCGTACCTCCAACTCACACAAGAGGTCGTCGTCCGATTTTGTTTTGGATGATATTAGTGCCCGAGTCCACTCCAGGAATCGGTCACAAGATATGGGTCAAGCAATGTCAATGCCCGGTAATGGGAACGCGGGACAAAAATCGCTGTTGTTCAATGAAATCAAACGAGTTGAGGATAAATTGGATGATGTGGACGTCTACACATCTCAAAACGAGTATGTCAAAGCAGTTGAATCGTTGAATGGAATCGAAGCTAGAATTCGTGGTATTGAAAACAAAATCACCAAGCAGAAATCGCAATCCGGATATGATGTGGGTGACGAAGTCTTGTTACTCGATGTCTCGAAATTGAAAATCTCGAACCGGAAACAAGATTTGACCAAAAATTTGCTATTTGACTTGCAGAATAACATTTCACGGCTCTCACCAACGGCTGTGGGCGATATACTTCATTTATTTGATGCTTTGAATCAATTGCAAACTGGAATCCAGGCCTATTTGAACTCAACGTCGCTCTACCTTTCCACTATGGTTTCCAGATTGATTGTGGGTTTGCAAGGAAGTACCAAAGTTGATGTTGTCAACTACTTGTCCAATTTGGTAGTCGTTAACGTTGCGATTGTAAAGAGAACTGTGGAGACATACAATACCGAGATTAAAGCTATTGTTGAACAAAGCCCGCAAAACAGTAATGTTGACTCCTCGGGGTTGGTGGATTGGTGTGCTGATGAATTCGGCAAGTTGTTTAAACAAATTAAAAAGCATTTGTACGGGACATTGTTGATTGTGGAGAGTCAAATGGAGGAAGAGGACGATGGGTTAGGAGTGGTTCATGTACAATATAGAGTCAAGGATGAAAACTTGTATGAACAATTTGCAAAGGTGTTGGAGACCCAATTGGATGAATTAAAGAGAGTTGGCGTGAATGTTGATTTCATTTTCGATTCGATATTGAACATCAAGCAGACTACATCGTTGTAGAGTGCATCACGTGTGTATGTGACTAGTGTTTGATTAACGTATCTCCCTATTCACCAGTGAATAATAAAATTACAAAATTAACTGCTTGCGTTGTTTGCCGCCATGCAAATTATGTCTATAATTTATCATAAAGGAACATCAAATTATAATGCTCTCTAAAATAAGCACCTTTCCTCTTTAAATAAACCAAAATTAGCGACGCAACAATCAAAATCCCGGCCAAAATACTAAACAAAATCCCAGGTCCAATAGCGCGTAACAAAGGTTCAACAATAAACGTAGCAATCGCTGCCAAAATCTGTCGAATCAAATTGTTCAACGCAACTCCAGTGGCACCTTTACCAGGCAACGTATCAACAAGGTACGTTACGGTTGCACCAATGACCAACATCGAAGCAAACCCACAAATGGCAGTCCCGATCAACGGCACGAGCCAAAACTCGCCGTACTTGATCGTCCATCCAAATATGAGACATGCAATGGGATAAAGGATACAAGCAAGGACAATGTTCCAAGAAATACGCGACTCAGGCACCAATTCACCGTGTTGTTCGGCATACTTGTTGAGGAGATAGTCGTTCCATCGACCACCAATCATGGATGCAGCTAGGTATGTGATTGAGTTGGGAATATACATCAACCCGACAATTATTTGGGAAAAGTGGTAGGGTTCGCGTGCGTACTCGTATGAAATTGTCAAATTGAAAAAGTAAATCAATGCAAATGAAATTCCCGAGAACAAAATGACGAGAATGACTGGTGGGTGACTGAGTAGTACGGTTGAGTGTAATGGACGTATAAATAAGTCGTAGCAGTTGGTTTTGAATTTGGCCCATTTATTGGCCTCATGGGTATTTTCTTCATTGACGCGTGCTGCACTCGATCCCAAAGTGTTTCGCGATGCAACTCTTGATGCAGCTCTTGATGCAGCTCTTGATGCAGCTCTTTGTGATGGCACATTTGATGCCGATCGACGAATCTCTTCGGTTATGTATTGTTGTTGTAAACGGCGCGAATAGGTTGATCTGTTTGTGGTTAAACGTGACAATGTTGGCATAACGGGGTCAACAACGGGGCCGTCATCTTCCTCACCTTCGAAATGCGAATTAATGGAAGCAGCCACTGATCTTCTGCTCAAGTTGGTAGCAATGCGCTGTAACTCTGTGTCAGAAATAGGCTCTGGTTGCTGTTGCTGTTGCTGTTGCTGTTGCTCTTGGTCGTGGTCGTGTTTTTGATGTTGTTTATGCTTTTGCTTCTCCGATAAGCTTTCATCGCTAGATGAGCGTTGTGCTTCCTCATGTTCATCAGCAGAATGCGACAAATTACTCTTTTCGTCCTCGTCGTTTGAAGCATCTTGATGTTGCATCATTGCTTTAATAGCTTGCAAATTATCCACTTTTCTCAATGTTTCTGGCAATAGGAAAGCCATGGACAACAAATTACAACCAGCAAAAATCAACAATAGCCATTGTGTTGCTCTCCATCCCCAAGCTTGAGAAACAGCACCACCCAATATAGGAGCCAAGAATGGGCCCATCAAAGGTCCAAGATAATACCATCCCATAGCTTTCCCTCTTTCATGAGGAGCAAACAAATCAGCAATTGTGCCCGCTCCAACGGCTTGGACGGAAGCGGATGAGCCACCCTGCAATACCCGCAAAACAATCAATGCAGAAATATTTGGAGAAAGGGCCGTACCGATTGAAAAAGCAACAAAGAGTACAAAACTGACAAGATAAACCGATCTTCTTCCGAATCGTTCACTGAAAGATGACCACCAAAGAGGGAAGATACCCAATGAAAGCAAGTAAACCCCCACCGATACATTGACTTCGGAATTGGTCGTATGTAGTTTCTCAACAATATCATCGATTGCTGGTAACATGATTGAAGTACCCATTGGTCCTGTAATTGAGGCAAGGGCAACAATTGTCACAATCAAGTATTTAATCTTTTCAGGGTACTCACGAGCATCGCGATATTCCGGGACAACCACGATACTTGACAACAAACCACGTTTTTCTCTTCTTGGAACTCGAAGCGATTTTTTCGAAGCTGAAGTAACTGCCGATTGTTGTCTACCCATCATTTGTGACCGTTGCCTTTCCAAATCTTCAAATGAAGAAACATTACGCTCCAAGTCAGCTAAGGGACCAAGTATAGGGTTTGGCGGTTCATGTTCTGTAGCATGGTGTGAGCTACGATGAGACTCTTGAGGATGAATGTGGGGTGGGAAGGCAGTGTATGGTTCGTTTGCTGGGTAAGTCGGTGACTCTGATCGATTTAGTGGTTGTACTTGATGCAGATTGTGGGGTTGATTTTGTTGTGATTCTGAGGATGCTATGGAAGTACTGTCTCCTTCATCAAGAGTTTTGTTCAAGTTATCAGGTGCGTAGGGTTTGACTTCATTTGTAGATGAGACTGGACTCGACTTATGAGACATGATATATGCGTAAGTAATGTATAAATTGTCTAGAAGTGTGCAATGTGAAAAATTCAAGACGCAAAAAGGCCAAGCTCTTAGTGAGATAAAAGTAGACGAGTGTTGGTTGATTGTATGTCAGCTGTGATGGTAGTGAGTAGTGGCGATGAGATACCCATGTAATTTAAACAAACAGTGATGATTCAAGGAAGAAGAAGTCAACAGTTGCTGAAAATATATTCTTCAAGCGGCTAAATTGGTGCGGCGGGGTTGTAAACGTTTTCTTCACACACACACACACACACACAATTTTTAGTCAAAAAGTGGGAGATGGAATGTTCAAGTTTGGGTTGTGTTTGCCGCTTCTATTCCTTTCCGTCTTTCTGTTCCTTTGGTCGCTTCCTTTCCTTGTCTTTCTGTATTATAGGTATTGGATTTGAGAAAGGTTTTTATTTTATTATAATTTTTTTTATTTTTTCTTGGTATGACTGTGGTGTAATATATAACCTTAACTTTTCACACGCAAAACAATTTGGTGTACAATGGGTTTTTGCAAAGTAGGATAACAAAGGTAGATAGTGTGTACCTTGTTGGGTTAATATCGATCTACGGCGGGGAGGGGACTTGAAAAAGGAGAAAGTAAGTAAGAAGAGAACGAAGAAGCTTTTTTTTTTTTTTAAATTTCCAACGATGGTTTGGTTATTGATGTATTATAATTATGTTGTGATGAGGGGGGGCACAGAATCGATATACATTCTATGGAACAGGTTTAAGGGCTGAGGAAAAAGTTTTCAAATTTACTTTCCGCGATGCCGAACGGTATTATATCTTTAGTAATGTTACATCACACGGATTAATCACTTTTTACAAACGGAGTATAAATTTCAGATGAAGAATAGGTTTTGGTGGCATTGTCTCAATTTTTTGTCAGCACCACTGTTTTTGTACACAGTGAAGCACCAGCACCACCAAGAAGAGCCCACAGATAGACCACAACACTTCCTACGTGGCTTCATCGCTACATCTCACCTACATCGAGCAGTTTCATAAATTTTTGATCCAACAAGGATCTTAAACGTTTTGCAGTATGGTTAGTCAACGGTGTTTAAAAGCCCCCACCTTGCGTTATCCCGAATTGGTTGCACTCGTTTCTTTTTCCTCAGCCCTTTCCTTTCACTGTAGTGAATGTAAATCTTGGCTTATGACGGGTTCCAAACGTTTGAAATGTTCCAGTACATAGCCATGCAATGCCATTTGCCTTCGTATAATCTCTGCAGCCTATACAGAAGGTAGTTATTTCGCTGGCTCTATTTGTAATCAATCGACAACGCACTCTACAAGTTAGTAACTTTCATATAAGTATCTATAGACCCCAGGGTCCACCTTAAAGCTACAACCTCTCGCTGGAGTAACTTTCGACGGAGTTTCGGGTAGTTTTGCATCCTTGTTCAATGTCTGCAAAAAGGGAAAAAAAAAAAAAAAAGAAAAAAGCTTGTGTTGCTGGCTTTGTAACTTTTGGAGCAATTGCGCTCCAAATTCACGGAAATAAGATTAAGTTATTGCCGTTGGACAGTCGACACGTCTACTACTCTAAAGAGCACACGACAATGACAACTAGACCCTTCAGTGAAAGATTTGATCCCTATGCAAGCGAAAGAGATAATATTTTCTCCTCGATGAGTTTATTAGCTGTATTGATCAAATTTTGTGCTTGAGAAGTATCCTCCTCTACTTATGCAACACTTCTTCTCCACACTGCTATGTATGAAAAGATATATATCACGTGAATATCATGTGTGCCAACTAAGAAAAAGAAATTTGGGAAATAGAATACACAAATCAAACATAACGATGTGTAATATCCCCTCGCCACTCTATTTTTCAAATCATAGCCCACTGACAGCCACTACCTCTTGCTACTACTGGTCTGACTCACACAAATGAGTGTACGACATTCAATACCTGTTATTATCATCAGGACCGCAATTGTGGTCCCATTATTTATCATTGGTTGTCTAGCAATAGTCGTTACGCAACTAATTGGCGTACACTTTTTCAAGAATAACCCATCTACAAAACAGGCAATCATCAACGAAACCAAGACCCATTTTGTCATTTTGCTTTGTGGGATCACTTCAATCATAAATCCTTGCAAATTTGCCGTCACAATCGATACAAACTCCGTACCCAACGCCCAACAATTTCAAGTGGATTCAAGTAACCATCTCCACACTTTACTCCAACCCAACTCAGTCATTATATCAAATCATCAAATCTACACAGATTGGCTCTTTCTATGGTTTTTGACATATACTTCACATTTAAGTAATGCCGTGCACATTATTCTCAAAGATTTATCAAAGTTGCCCGTATTGGGATACGGAATGAAGAACTTTAATTTTTTGTTCCTTTCAAGAAAATGGGAACACGACAAGGTTGTATTGACGAACCAGTTGTTGGAAATTGATGCAAATGCCAGAGGACACGGGCCGGCCAATGGTTACAAACTCTTGTCTTCAACGGATAAAGAGGTTAAAAAATGGCCCCAGGGTGTTGATGAATCCAAGATATGGCCATATGAACTCATCTTGTTTCCTGAGGGCACAGTTCCATCCGATAGAACAACCAAGAAATCAGCAGAGTACATTGCGTCTAAAGGGTTGCCACCTTTGAATCATGTCTTGTTGCCTCGTATCAGAGGTTTGTACTTGGCTTTACAAAAGTTGCGCAATTCAGTTGAAATTGTGTATGACGTGACAACAGCGTATTCAAGTTTGAAAGAAGATGAGTATGGAGAATTGGTGTTTTCGTTGAAGAATTTTTACTTGCGAGGTCGCGGTCCACCAGTGGTAAACTATTTCATTAAAGGTTATAAATTGCTGGATATTCCATTGGGTGAGGAGGCATTGGATAGTACTGTTGAAGCTAGTGATGAAGATTTGCAGAAATTTGAAGATTGGTTATTGAAGATATGGTATGAGAAGGATAAATTGATGGATAATTTCTATAAAACTGGTCATTGGGGAATAGGAAGTGACACTGGCAGTGGAAACAGTCATGGAGCTACTAGAATCAATACTAAAACAATTGTTGGTGATTTCAAGTTGAGAAGCCCCTTGGAATTTACAAAACCTTTCCTTGTGGTGATTACAATATTATTGTTGAGTTATACACTTTTGTCATTGGCATACTCACTAATAGTTGCACGCGCATAGATGAGAGAGAACCTTCTTTTGTATAAGATATTAGATATACAAACTTATAATATAGACTTGCCGAATTACAGGTGCTTTTTTTGTTTTGTCGTTGTTTTGTTTCCAATCTGTTCGAGTATTTTGTTTTGTGCAACTACTGAACCTCTTGCTGCGAAAAATTTAAAATTCAATACACATCAAATAATGTTTCATTCAAAACAACAAGGACAAATGCGTCAAATACAATTCTAGGCACTTTTTTAGTGTAGGATATATTAAAATCCCCATCTTTCCATCAAGCTGTTTCTCAAAATACTTTTTTTTTGCTTCATTAGTCTAGCTCCACCAAAACAATATCAGTCATGTTCACCATATCTAAAGGCATTACCCTTTTGACCATAATAATCCAGTTTGTAGCCATGGTTTTACTTGCGTTCTTGCTTCTTGGCTGCATCAATACGTCCTCCAACTATTCCAACGTTTACTTGTTTGACTACAAATTCAATTCATCATCATCATTGTATCAACACTTAACTCTTGATTCCAACTCCACCACAACCCCCGGCAACACAACCACATCCTCAACATCCATTTTAAATTCAGACTTGTCCAAGATCTCAGTCAAGGTGGGCTACTTGGCACTTTGCCTTTCTGCCAATGATCTTCAACAATGCACATTCTACACCAACGTGCAATCGATCCCACAACTCACAATATCCTTTCTTGAGACTAGATTTAACTTACTCAGTATTGCCCAAACTTTCAACTCTTCCATAGTTCACTCGCATTTACTAATGGCGTCTATAATCATTACACTAGCAACACTAGTAATCTTGTGCTACTTGACCTTACCAATAAGTTTTGGGTCGTTGGTCATGAAAAAAGTGGGTTTACTTCTAACATTTGTCAATATGGTGCTTTGGGGATTGGGTAGCATGTTGCAGCATCAGCTGGTCAATGCAACAACGAGTTTGTTAAGTGGTGCTAGTTTTGAAGTGGTTGAGGTAAATCGGGGTCAACGGGCTGAGACTATGGCTTGGGTTGCTTTTAGCTTTTTGGTTGTTGTGTTTTTGAGCTTTGTGATGATGAATTATGCAGCTATGAAGAGTAGGAGGAAAGATTCAGGTGGGGATGGTGGGGAAAAGAGAGGGTATACGGAGAAAGTATGAAGAGTTATATTGCAGAGAATGATGGACGCGTAGATGAACTTATGATGATTGTCGAAAACTAGCAAGGGTAGAGAGACAGTGTTATAACAGAATATACGTATCATTTAATTCATATAGGCAATAAAAGAGCAAGAGCAAAACGATTTCGTGCAACAAGTCAAAGTTCACGCTGGACTTCAAAGCACATCAAGATCCACCCCACATTTAAACCACGGTCTAAACTACAGTCTGAACTACAGTCTGAAAGAGTCTACGCAATACACCGCATTCACAGTTTGGTATGACGCGGAGGGGTGCTTGGTATTCCCATTTCGCTTTGCATACGTATTGAGTGTAGAAGACTTTCTACCAGTAATATTCTATCCTTTCGCTGCAAGAGTATTACCCATGGCCTTGCTGTGACATATGATTATCAATGCATCATAATCTGCAGCTTCAACCTCAGCAACATCTTGAATTCATCACGGAACGTAACTCAAACCTTTTTGTACTGGATCATTCCCATAACGAATTAGGTTGCCGTAGTAAAGCGCGGTGAGTGTACCACTTCAAGCAGTAATGAGGAACTTCTAATCAATCGACTCGTATTACTAGAAGTAATATACGAGAAAAAAAAAAAAAAAAAAAAACCGTAAGACTTCGGTCACAGTTACAAATGAGTCGAAGACGTCCTAACCAGACAATTGAATTGTAAATTTTGTCATACTTTTTTCGATTCTCAAAATCAAAACAACACGACTCTTTCGCACCTTTCACCAAAATTATTCAGCTGTGCACGACTTTAACTTTTATTGTTGTGATAGTGAGTAAATGACTGAGCTGGTGAGTTATAACACTACACTACTTTTTTGGGGGTGTTGTCTCTTAAGGATTGACTTCCGTGTTCAAGTAGCTTCCTACTTCAACATTGCTGTTCCGAAATTTTCTCTTTTTCGATCCAATAGGTAGAAAATGTTTACAATTTGAAAAGTACAATGACTCAAGATTTCGCAACAAATCTTCACCAAAATGCTCTCAACTTGTCATCCTACCACTCACATTCTGCAGCAAGAGCATAAAACCCGTTGTATCACACCCTTTAACATGCCTTGTCTACCCTTCCACCCTTTTACATCTTTATTACCAACTTTCTAAGCCATATTAATACCAACGCTACCAATAACGTGACATACACATGACATACACGTGACATTCTTGAAAATTTGGTGAAATCGATTTCCCACCCATTTCAATTTGTTTTTTCAAAATTTCAATCTTTTCTTTATTTTGTTGTACTGTTCATAGACAATTGAGTATTAAACACACCAATTATAGAACACTCAATAGCCTTTCATTCACTTGAGCGATGTCCTATAACGCACAGCTAGACGCGTTTGTATCGCGACTCAATGAAAGCACTGATTACACCGCTAAACATGCGATATTATCAGAATTGTTAGACACTATTGAACAATTTAGCGGTGCTACTGAATATGAGTACTTCCTAAAGAATCTAGTACCCATATTTATAAAGGAACTTGAGGAGGTTCCCATCTCATATATATCAACTAGCCCAGAACAGAAATTGAGAAACAGCACGTTGGAGATTATCCACAGATTGATCATGAACGAAACATTCCAGCCGTTTGCAGAACAAGTATTGGATGCCTTGACAAAGATCCTAGTCGAGGAAAACGAAGACAATGGAGTTTTATGTATGAAAATAATCACTAGTTTGCAGAAAGCTTATAAAGCAACGTTGGCAGACAAGGTACAACCATTTTTGGAGCTCATACAGAAAATCTATGACAACATGGACCAAACAGTACAGGACATTTTCTCGAACGATTCTTCGGGCAATGAAAACAAGGAAGATGTAAATGAGGAACAAAATATGTCGCCTGCTAACTCATTCAATGATGACGCACCTACAAAGACATTGAGCAAAGCCATGTATTCGTTCAAGACCTTGGCTGAATGTCCAATCACAATGGTTTCGTTATATTCATCAAATAAGCAGCTTGTTGCGCCTTCACTCCCTCATTTTTTGCCCAAAATAATGCATGTATTGCAATTACAGGTCAAACCAGACGAAAAATCTCAGCAAGAGTCTAACGACGTCGACTCATCAATCTCACCGATGGTCAAAAATAGACAGGCTTACAGTGAATTCATCTTGGGACAGGTTAAGGCTGCATCCTTTTTGGCGTATGTGTTTATTAGAGGTTACGCTAATCAATACTTGAAACCGGAAGAAAGTGCATGTATCCCTGATGTTATTCTTCGATTATTGCAAGACTGTCCTCCTGAATTGTCTATTGCGAGAAAGGAGTTGCTTCATGCAACAAGACATATACTTTCAACCCCATTCAGAACGCAATTTATTCCAAAATTGGGATTACTTTTTGAAGAGAAAATCTTGATTGGTGATGGGTTGACATCTCATGAAACGTTGAGGCCATTGGCCTACTCCATGGTTGCCGATTTTATCCATAACGTGCGAGACGAACTAACTCCAGCACAGATCTGGTCGACAGTCACTATTTACTCGGGGTTGTTAAAGGACGAGTCTTTGCCAATGTCAGTACAAATCATGAGTGCAAAGTTGCTTTTGAATTTGGTTGAAAAGATTATGACTCTCCCCAACAAATTGGAAGGCAGACAGTTGTTTCTCGTTATTATTGATGCATATGCCAAGAGATTCAAAAACTTGGATCGTAAGTTTGACTTCATTATTGCCAAGCATGATGAATACGAAAAGAAGAAGCTTAGTAAAGAAAAAGACTCAAAGAAAGCTATTGAAAGATACTCGTCCAAGCACAATCAGGCACAAAAAGAGGAAATTGCCGACGAAGACAATGACCAGATGGATGTGGATAAAGAAGAAGCACTGGGAGAAGCCAATCCCCAAATTGACAAAGCTCTTGGTCTCAACATATTCAATATTGACTCATATTCTCCTATCGCTCCTGCCCCTACACCGAACACTACAGATGTGTTGAAAGATGCAAGATATCTTTTCCGTACATTGATGCAATTTTTGAAATCGGTAGTGTTTGGGTTGAAACATTGCAACCCTCCAGTGCCTCCACAACCAGTCATTACTGATCCAGCCAAACAGCAGCAAGTGAATTACGACAAATGGAACGATTCAGCAAAACTTATATCTGTTGAAGAGGTCAACATCCTTAGGTCTTTGTTCCGAGGAGGTGTCAGTTGTCTTCGTTTTTTCTCAGTATCAAAACCTAAACCTACAATTTCGCAAAAGGCGTTTGATTTTTCAACGGGAGGCCCTAATTTGCCAATCACTTCTTCCAAGGACGAAAAGGACTTGATGGAAATATTTGCAACCATATTCATAAACATTGATCCAGCTTCGTTCAATGAAATTGTTAGTTCAGAATTGCCATACATGTTTGAATCCATGTTGGAAAATGCAGCTTTATTACATTTGCCACAGTTTTTTCTTGCCAGTGAAGTAACATCGGCAAACTTTTCAAGCATATTGATTTCATTTTTGAAGGAGAATTTGAGTCAACTTGGTAATGCAGACATGATAAAGTCCAACATTCTCATCCGGCTTTTCAAATTGTGCTTTATGTCGGTCAATCTTTTCCCTACTAATAATGAGGGAGTTTTACTCCCACACTTGAACTATCTCATCTTGGAAGCATTGAAACTTGGGACTAAAGCCGAAGAGCCAGTGGTTTATTCTTATCTCGTGAGAATACTATTCAGAAGTATTAGTGGCGGCAAGTTTGAAAACCTTTACAAGGAAATAATGCCCATCTTGCCTGTTTTGTTGGAAAATTTGAACAAAATGATTGCCAATGCGCAAAGACCGTACGAGAGAGACATTTACGTAGAGTTGTGCTTGACTATACCAGTTAGGTTGGCAGTGTTGGTCCCTCATTTGAATTACTTGACAAGACCACTTGTTTATGCTCTCAATGGACCACAGGAGTTGGTCAGTCAAGGTATGCGTATATTTGAATTATGTGTTGACAATTTGACTGCTGAATATTTCGACCCCATAATTGAACCTGTTGCTGATGAAATCATGACTGCATTGTGGAAACATCTTGAGCCAGTACCATACCACCATCAACACAGTCACACTGCTATCAGGATTTTGGGTAAATTGGGTGGCAGAAACCATCGCAAGCTTAAATCCAATGAGAGCTTGGTCACAGTATCAGAAGCAAATCAAGAGATTAAAGCCTTAGTCCAAGTATATGGCTTGAACGACTCAGTCCCAGTATCAGTGACACCGGGGGTTGAGTCAGCCATCAAGTTGTTAGATGATCCAAGGTTGAAAATACATTACCGAATAAGCGCTTTCAACTACTTGACTAGTATATTAAAACTCTTCATCAACACTACCCCAATTCCAGAGAACTTTGTCCAATTTGCACAAGAAAGTGTCGAGTTTTTGAAAAGGGACAAATCTGACGATATTGACATACCATTGGCCCCACTGGATATCAAAGATGGAGAAAAGCTTGACCTGCAGCAACAACTTTTCGCCAAGCTACTTGAAATGTTGTTTTTTTCAGTTTCGATACCTGAATTAAAAGAAGAAGCGAGTGCATTGATTGATGGGTTGACAACTCACTTCACATTGTTACACTTGAGTACCTCTGTGATTGACAAAATCAGAAAAGAGCGCAAGTTTTCAGTGGACGATAATGAAGGTAAGGCCTACATTAGCGAAAATGCATTTCTCAGTGCCATCACTTACTCATTAAGTTTTTGGGACAAAGACGTTAGAGCGAAAGGTATTGATGCGGTGAAAAGGATCTACGACACCACGGTTATCACGTTCGGGTCCGAAGAGAATGCATTGTATTCCGATGTCTTCAGATCAATGTTTTATAAATTCACACACTGCTGTTACAATGAATTTTACCACACTAAGCTAGGCGGTATTATTGGACTCAAGACCATGTTTCAGGAATTGAACATCCCACCCGGCTGGTTTTATCAAAGGCAATTTGAGTTGGTGCGGTCTGTTTTCTTCATCTTGAGAGACACGCCAACTACTGCACCATTCGAAGTACGTGAATCAGCTAAAGAATTGGTTCTCGAGTTATTGAAAACTTGCAACAAGGATATCACCAAAGAAACTGTTTTGGAAAAACCATTCCAGACTCTTGTGGGAGCATTGGTTTACGATTTAGCCAGTCCAACCCCAATGGTTAGAGAAGTTGCCCAGGAATGTTTGACGGTGTTGTCCGAAGTGACATCCACATCCATTGCCACTCTTATGGGACCTTGCAAACACTTGTTGTTGACACCGATCTTTGGCAAACCACTCAGAGCCTTGCCTTTTCCTATGCAAATTGGCAACATCGATGCCATTACATTTTGTTTACGTTTACCAGACACATTTTTGAGCTTCAATGAGGAGTTGAATAGGTTGCTTTTGGAGGCGTTGGCTTTGGTTGACGCAGAAGATGAATCATTGGCCAATGTACATCGTTTGAACGAGTATCGTACCGCAAACCAGTTGGTTGAGTTGAGAGTAGTTTGTATCAAACTATTATCTTTAGCATTGTCAAAGCCCGATTTCTCCATTGGATCTTTAGGTGAGGCAAGGATCAGAATTTTGGGTGTGTTCTTTAAAGCTTTGTGTAACAACTCCACTGAAATTATCAACGCCGCACACCAAGGATTAGCCTCGAGCTTGCAAGAAAATGCAAAACTACCAAAGGAATTGTTGCAAAATGGACTTCGACCAATGCTTATGAACTTGTCTGATCATAAAAAATTGACCGTTTCTGGTTTGGAGGCGTTGGCTAGATTGTTGGAGCTCTTGATTTCTTATTTCCGTGTTGAGATTGGTAGGAAATTATTGGATCATTTGATGGCATGGGCTCAAATCAACACCTTGAGACAGATTGCCGGACAAAACTTGGAAAACAACCACACAGTTCAAATAGTGATGGCAATCTTGAACATTTTCCATTTGTTACCGGCCAAGGCATACACTTTTATGGAAGAAATAATCAACACCTTGCAGTACTTGGAAGGTCATTTGGATCGTCATCAAGACTCACCTTTTAGAAAGCCGATATCCAAGTTTCTCAACAGGTTTGCTGAAAACTGTGTGGAGTATTTGATCAACAACTTCAAGAATAGGAAGCTAGGCAACATGCTTGCATCTATTGCTGGAATGGACGGATGTGATGGCTTGAGAAAACAAGCAGAGGAGAAAATTCAAGTCTTAGTTGACGATGTGACTTCCGAATCGGACCCAGAGACTAAGGTTGTCAAGTTTGCAAACATCATTGATTTGGTTGAAGCAATCGCAAGGCATGACAAGGAGTGGTTTAAAGGTCAGAAGCAATTATTGACTACGTTGTCTCAAGTCCCAGAGGATATACACGAGATAAGTGTTGCGCCAGTGTTGTCGGCAGCTCATTTCCGAAGCAGTCAAGCAATCGACAAATTGCAACAGCTAATTGTTGATTTCACAAGGGCCAATATGGACGAAACAGATTTAATTTTTTCTGTAGCAAACCGTCATTGCCGATTAGAGTATGAGATCTCGAACGTGTTTGAAGACTTTATCTTCAATGATATTGTTGCGTCTGATGATTTGGACTTGAAAACGAGGTACCTCAATAGGACAGTGGAGTTCATAAATGAGCTGGAGCCATGTTTAAAAGCAAAAATCTTTTTCCTCAAGCGTGTTTTTGATCCGATATTGGTGTATGAGTATGCCAAGAAGGGCGATCTCTCCCATATGTTTGAAAAGGAAAATCTGTGGATTGAAAAATTTGATGAGAGTGTTTGGAGATCAACAGATGATATCATTGGTAATCACACATCTGGAGCTATTGACGGTTATAGGTCAGCACTTTTGGAGGCTACAGCTTTGTTACTCAAGTTAGCCCCTACACACATAAGCGACTTGCGTAAGGACATTATCAAGTTTAGTTGGAACTATATCAAACTTGACGACAATATCACCAAACAGATTGCGTATGTTACCACCGCATACTTTATTGCTGCGTATGAAACTCCAGGCAAGTTGGCTACACAGGTTTTTGTAGCCTTGTTGAGGACACATCAAACCGATTCGAGGCACTTGGTTAGACAGGCATTGGACATTCTTGCACCGGTGATGTCGGAAAGAATGAGGGATGCCGAATCTCCCGATAGTTGGTTGAAATGGCCACGCCGTATCATCTCGGAAGATGGATTCAATGTTACACAAGTCTTGAATGTTTATCAGTTTATTGTCCAACATCCAGATTTATTCTTTGTCGCGAGAGAGCACTTTATATCGAACATCATCACTGCCATGGGTAAATTGACAATCTTGGCAAATCCTGCTCTTGAAAATCAACTATTAGCTATTGACTTGGCAGAGTTAGTTTTGTACTGGGAGCGGAAAGCAAAAGATGTTGCAAAGAGTAGCGAGCTCGTTGAAGAACACACTATTCAATCTGCCGAGAATGAACATGAGACTGAAATAGATGCCAAAGCCGAGAGTGACTTCACCACAGCTCCAAATTACTCTGTACCTTTTGGTCAAAGAGAAGCATGTGTCACGTTCTTGATTAGATACGTATGTATAAGTCCTCAGAGGGCATCGGAAAGTGAGTTGGGTCAAAAAGCTTTAGGGATTTTGTATGACTTGTTGAGTCCCGAGCATTGGCCAGAAGTTGCTGTCAAGTTGACGTTTTTCGAGAAATTTTTGCTTTCAAATGATTTGAACTCAAGTAATTTATTAGGATACTGCTTGAACGCTTTGGAAGTTTTGGGAGTTGTTTTGGAGTGGAAGGAACCGGAATGGATTGTGACAAACTTGAGCTATTTACAAAAGTTGCTTGAAAAATGTATCAAGTCCGATAACCATGACATCCAAGAAATCTTGCAAAGAATCTTGTGTACCATTTTGACCGCTATCAACCAGCATAAAGGAACCGAGGAAAAAAATGACGAGGAGGATGGTGATGATGATGATGATGATGATGATGATGATGTGAAGGAGTTTATCAACTTGTTGACCACTTCTGTTTCAGAGGATTTGGGCGATATGCCTTCGTTCGCAGCTGGTGTAACGTTGTCGTGGACTTTAGCACAGTTCAAACCTGCAATATTGGATCCGTTATTGCCTACGATTATGAAAGCTTTCAGCAAGCTTTGCAAAGATCATATAACAATAACACACCAGGGCTCTCTGGCCACCTCGAAGGATAGTGCCAACGCTGAGTTCGAGGCCAAAATGACCACGAAATTGTTGGAAAAGATTTTGAATTTGTGTTCCATGAGGATTTCCAACTTGGGAGATCAGCGTCGAATCTTTTTGTCATTGTTGGCGCAATTGATTGAGCGTAGTTTGGACAAGAGTATGCTTGAAAAGATTATCAAAATAGTCAAGAGCTGGGTATTTTCAAGGACAGATTTGTTCCCAACAACAAAGGAAAAGGCTGCGATTTTATCGAAAATGATGGTCTTTGAAGTGCGAGGTGAGCCGACATTGTCTAAAGAATTTTATCAAATCATTGTGGAAATTTTTGAAGATGATTCCTTCAGTTGTAGTGAGTTGACTGTTCGAATGGAGCAACCATTCATGGTGGGCACGAGATCTGTTGATGTCTCGATTAGAAGAAAATTGATGTCTATATTAAACAACAGTTTGGAGCAAGACGTCGCAAAGAGGTTGTATTACGTTATTCGCGAGCAGAATTGGGAATATTTGGCGGACTACCCATGGTTGAATCAAGCCTTACAAATCTTGTTCGGATCGTTTAATTTTGAAAACAAGATTGAATTTGTTGCCGATGAGAACAGATTGGCACCGGTTGAAGCATTTAAATTTCCAGAATCGGATTCAATGGAGGTGGATGCAAATGAAAAATTAAGGGAGTTGATCCAGACGCACTCGAAATTTCTACAAACCGTTAGCGATATCAAAGCAAAAGATGTGTTTGAGCCATTGATTGATTTATTTTATCAAAGCAGTGAAACAATCCAAAGGACTTGGTCCGCGGTTTTCCCAATAGTGTTTCAATCTATACCAAGATCCGAACACTTGGACTTTACCAGATATTTGGTAATTTTATTATCAAAAGACTTCCATACACGTCAAATTGATCTTCGTCCGAACGTTATTCAGTGCTTGTTAGAAGGAGTTGCTCGATGTTACACTCTTCAACTTCCCCCGTTTGCTATTGAGTGCCTTGCAGCAAACTTTGATGCATGGTCGCAAGGACTTCAACTATTGGAGAACATCAATGAAGAAGCTGTACGTGTTAACGCGGATGTTAGGGAGGTTGTACAAGATGCGTTGTTGAAACTCTATGCGACTTTGAAAGAGGACGATATGTTTTATGGACTTTGGAGGAGAAGAGCCAAGTACAATGAGACCATAAGTGCGTTATCGTATGAGCAGATTGGACTTTGGGATAAGGCGCAGCAGTTGTATGAATCGGCCCAAATAAAAGCCCGGAGTGGATCATTACCGTATGGTGAAGCTGAGTATGCATTGTGGGAAGATCACTGGATATTGTGTTCTGAAAAGCTTCAACAATGGGATATTCTCACCGACTTGGCAAGACATGAAGGCTTTTCAGATTTGTTGTTGGAATGTGGTTGGAGAGTTGCTGATTGGTACAATGACAGAGAAACTTTGGACCAAACGGTCAAAAATGTGATGGATGTTCCAACTCCACGACGCCAAGTATTTCAAACGTTCTTGTGTTTACAAGGGTTTGGTCAGGAGAAGGAAACTTTGCAAGATTTGTCCAAATTATGTGACGAGGGAATTCAACTTGCCTTGAGGAAGTGGTATGGATTGCCCAGAAGGTTCACCAATGCTCATATCCCATTGTTGCACACGTTTCAACAGTACGTTGAATTTATGGAGGCCAGTCAAGTTTATTCAAGTTTGGTAACAACTAATGCGCAAAACTTGGATGTAAAGTCGCAAGAATTGAAGAGAGTATTGCAAGTATGGCGTGAGAGATTACCAAATATATGGGATGACATCAATATTTGGAACGACTTGGTCACCTGGCGTCAGCACGCTTTCCAAGTCATCAATAAAGTGTACATGCCATTCATTCCAGTATTGCAGCAATCCAATTCAGGAAGCAATGCAAACTCTTATGCTTATCGTGGGTTCCATGAGATTGCTTGGGTAATTAACAGGTTTGCTCATGTTGCAAGGAAGCACAACATGCCTGAAGTATGCATCAAAGAATTGACAAGAATATACCAATTGCCAAATATTGAAATTCAAGAAGCGTTCTTGAAATTGAAAGAACAGGTCAAGTGCCACTATCAAAATCCTAATGAACTTAATACAGGTCTTGATGTTATTAGCAATACCAATTTGGTTTATTTTGCTACTCAACAAAAGGCCGAGTTCTTCACTCTCAAGGGAATGTTTTTGAGCAAGTTGAACCAAAAGGATGAAGCCAATAAGGCATTTGCTACTTCCGTTCAGATCGATCTCAATTTGCCAAAAGCGTGGGCTGAGTGGGGGGCGTTCAATGATCGTCGCTTCAAGGAGAACCCTAGTGATATGGTGTATGCAAACAACGCCATCAGTTGCTACTTGCAGGCTGCCGGGTTGTACAAGAATGGCAAGACGAGGAAACTTTTAGCCCGCATTTTATGGTTGATCAGTTTGGATGATGCATCGGGCACCTTGGCGCAAGCATTTGAAAACTTTAGAGGGGAAGTTCCAGTGTGGTATTGGATAACCTTTATTCCACAGTTGCTCACATCGTTATCGCACAGGGAAGCCAAATTGGCCAAGCAAGTATTGGTGAGGATAGCTAAGAGTTATCCACAGGCTTTGCATTTCCAATTGCGTACAACTAGAGAGGATCTTGCGGCTCAACAGCGCCAAGCCATTGAAATTGCACGTCAAAAAGCAGCAGCAGCAGCAGCAACAGCAGCGGCCACAGCCACAGCCACAGCCACAGCCACAGCTATAACTGCCAATTCTCCGTTTGGCCAGAGCCCAGGTGAAACAGGGAAGACTAATGGCGAAGTTGGCAATAAAAATGAGTCTCAAAACGGAGCTCAATCACAATCGCCAGCGCCAGCACCAACACCAGCACCTGCACCAACAGCAACGACGGGAACAGCTGCATCACCCAATGAAACTGCCGCCCCAGGACAATCACCATCGCGTGCAAATTCACAGTCTGTCCCACCGCCTTCTCGTCCGCAATCGCAAAATCAAGTTTCCATCTCGGTTCCGCCATCAGTTCGCCAGCCTTTGGAACATGTAGAGGAGATAATGGCCATTTTGAAGACTGCATATCCGTTATTGGCATTGTCATTGGAGTCGTTGGTGGATCAAATTAACCAGAGGTTCAAGTGTACCGCAGACGAGGACGCGTATAGACTTGGTGTTGCCTTGTTGAATGATGGGGTGCAGTATTTGAATAGGTTGGGTAATCCCAAGGAGGATGCAAAGTTGCCGCCAGTGACAGAAGCCAATATTACGAGATTCGCTGAGACAGTGTTGCCTAAGCAAATTAGGGCAGAGTTTGAAAAAGATTTGGTACATTCAAAACCAAACTTGGAAACTTACATTACAAAATTGAGGAAATGGAGAGACAGATTGGAAGATAAATTGGATAGAAGATTTACCAAGGTTAACTTGGAGATTTTATGTCCACATTTGAGTGAGTTCCATCACCAAAAATTTGAGGAGATTGAGATCCCTGGGCAATATTTGTTAAACAAGGACAACAATAACCATTTTGTCAAGATTGAAAGATTTTTGCCAACTATTGACTTAGCTCGTGGAACTAGTGCATGTTACAAGAGATTGAGAATCAGGGGTCATGATGGTAGTTTGCATACATTTGCTGTCCAATTTCCAGCTGCTCGTCATTGTCGTCGAGAAGAGTCCGTTTTCCAATTGTTCAGAATATTCAATGACAGCATTTCGAGGAGGGTCGAGACTAGGAGAAGGGATATTCAATTTACATTGCCTATTGCCGTACCGCTTTCACCACATATCCGAATTGTCAATGATGATGTGAATGATATAACCTTGCAAAAAGTTTATGAGGATTATTGCAAAAAGAATGGCAAGAGTCGCGATGAACCATTCATTTACACTGTTGAGAAATTGCGGGCTGCATTTGATCATAGATTGCCCAAGCCCGATTTGGCAAGCATACGAGTTGAGATTTTGAGTGCTACTCAAACATTGCTTGTCCCATCTACTGTGTTGAAGGATTATTTCTTGCAGCTTTATCCAAGCTTTGATGAGTTTTGGTTGTTCCGGAAGCAATTTACTTCTCAATATGCTTCCTTCATATTCACCACCTACATGATGTGTGTTAATGCAAGGCAACCACAAAAGATTCATGTAAACAAGGGTTCAGGAAGTGTTTGGACTTCAGATATGTTACCTTGCAAGATTCCCAACAGATACGACAACAACAATTCTCAAGCCAAACCAACACCAATGTTTGTGAATGCAGAGCAAGTGCCATTTAGATTGACGCCAAATATTCAAAAGTTGATTGGCGAAAGTGGGTTGGAGGGAATTTTGGCTGTTTATGTGTTGTGCATTGCCAGAGCATTATTGGAGCCTGAATCAGATTTGGAGCAATATTTGACTCTTTATGTTAGAGACGAGGCTATATCATGGATAGCACAAGGTGGTGGCGATAAGAACAGTACTGTTGCAGGACAAGATAAGCAATTACGTGATGTTGTCAAGTTCAATGTTGATAGTATTATCAAGAGGGTAATGAACATGGGCCATGTATCTCCTAGTGGAGGCGTTGCCACACAAAATGTGTTGGAGTTGATTTCACAAGCTGTCAATCCTCGTAATTTGGCAGCTGCTGACACGTTATGGATGGCATACTTTTAGTCATTGATAGAAACTAGTTTTGTATATTAGTAAAGAGAAAATTGTATTATATTATAAAGAATGTTATTAAAAATAGGTCTCTTGCTGCTTGTTGAACTTTTCAATAGAGTCCGTACTAATAACACCGAGCTTCTTCTTTTCCGCCTTAAGGTGTCTTCGATCAACTTTGCCAGTGATATATTCCAACGACCGTTCACACACAATAACCAATGAGAGCACAGTTCCGGTTGCTAAAATGGAAAAGGTCATGGCAAGGACAATGAACACATTGATGTATGCTTCGACGCTGGTCCTTTTAGGAGTGGCTTTACCATGCTCCTTTTCAATTTGATACATCTTCCCTGCTCTCAAGCTATGAACAACTGCTATTATATTCAACACGGTGCCTCCTAACTCCAATACAAATGAACAAAATAAGCACCGTAATGAAACCAACGTTGGTATGGTACTGGAACATAATGGAAGGATCGATGCATTGATTGTGAACTAGCAAGAAATGTTAGTACATATCACTGAAAACTGAGGGTTTCTTTAACATACCATGATCAAAATGTAAATGTTTGAAATAATGCACATTGCTGGTCTGTTTTCAATCTCCTCCAACGGTACACAAGCATAAATTAGGATATATTGAACTAAAAGAAACGTGAAATAAACACGAAACAAGTTCTTGAAAACTGGCAAGTTGTAGATACTGGAAATGTCATTGATGATCATATCGTTACCCACATTGATTCTTTGGCCCTCTGGCAAAGGGCGATCAAATAATATGTTATGAACCATTGGAAGCAAAGCAGTGTGGTTGACACAACCACTCAAGTAACAAAGCGTGTCCACCTTGAAGAGGTGGGAAATATCTTTATGGTATTGAGACGACGGTGTATGTGTGTAGTCAATAATACGTATTATATCAGGATTGAAGTGAGTTCTGGGATCGTTCTTCTCCATAAAAAGATCATAATACCAACATCATGGGAATTGTATAACTTTTTAGTCTCATGATGTAGTTTCCTACAGTGAATAATGCATACCAAAAAAAAAAAAAAAGAAGTTGCAAAGAATGGTGATAAGAAACCAAAATAAAATAAAAAATAAAAAAAAAAAAATTAGAACTTCGTTCTGAGGTGGTTGCGAAATCGCCCGTTCCTAAAAAGCTACCGACTCATGTAATGTAATGCAGTGGTTATTTCATATTCTTGACACGGGTTCATCTGCACTCTGAGGTGTTGGTGGAGTCCACGGATTCTCTTTCCTACTTGATACTAATCTCAGGTACAAATCCCTCTCCAATCTAGGAAACAATTTGTCACTTAGCTGCACACCTTCGCTGATCCAGCAGCCCCAACTTCCCATCATATTTGCCATCACCATGTCAGTAAATAAACGATCTCCAACAACAACCACTTCACTAGGTTTGATATCCTGCTTGGCAAAATACTGCTTTATTTCATCCAAACAGCCGGGCTTCTTGACTGAGTGACGAAGCACGCTGACGCCGGTGCTTTGCTCTAAAGTCTGCGCTTGAGCGTGATCGTGATCGTCGTCAGTCCCAGCCGAGTTGCTGACTATAAGTATGTGTTCCCGTGGATAAATTGATTTGAGTTTCAACCAAGTCGTCTTATGCGGGATAGTTAGTACACCAAATGGTCGGGTTTCACAATCATCTTCTTCAAAGAAACACATACCTCGTACGCTGGCCACACCTTGTCGTCATGATCTTTGGCAAAACAGTTGTCCTTGTCCAATACAACACCCTTTATCTTGACATTTGGATGGTTGGGTATTTGGAAGGGCAAAGTCAATTGGTCAAATGATTTGACTGTAATGTGGGGGAGACATAAACCAGGGTTGTATAGTAACCTTGATATGTTCAAAGTTGCACTTAAATTGAGTGATGGGGCCATGTATAGTGTGAGGCTAAAGGGCGTGTGCTATCTTGATGAGGTTCAACAACACCCGCAAAAGCGGAAGAACTGAAGAACTGAAGAACTGAAGAATTGAAAAGAAAAAAAAAAAAAAAAAAAAGAAAAATTTTTTGATTTCCAACCACCGCGCGATAGAGAAAGAACTTCAAGTTGAAAAGTGGTGGAAGTTTTCAATGAACCGGAAGAACAGAGAGGCATTTACTGATTAACCAATGAGTGACGCCACCGATAAGAAGAATTCAAATGCCGCTGCCGTTGCTGTTCCCGTTGCTGCTGCAAATAGTAAAACTGGTCTGAGTAGATCACGAGTCAGCAGAGGCGGCAAACAAGGAGGCAACAGTACAGGGCCTCGTTCAGGCTACAACAAGAAGAATGAATCAGATTCTTCACGTATTCGACATGACGAGAATGATATCCCTGAATCACAGCAGTGCTTGATTTGTGCAGAGCGTATCGTTTATGCCGCCTTGACGCCATGCAATCACACTACATGTCACAAATGTACATTTCGTCAGCGAGCATTGTATGAAAAGAATAATTGTCTTATATGTCGAAGTGAAAATGAAAAGATTGTAATCACGGAGCAGTTAGAAAAGGGATACGATGATATAGAGGTTACTGATATAGTGGCTTTTGACGACAAGTACCATATTGGATTCACACAAGAGTATGTCGAACTGGATACACTTCGATTATTGGAGAACGAATGTCAAATTTGTCATGGGATTTTCCCTACTTTTAGGGAGTTGGGTGATCATGCCAAAGATGCTCATGGGAAGTACTATTGTTTGATTTGCTCTAGGCACAAAAAGGCATTCAAAGTTGAACTCCCCCTCTATACGTACAAGCAACTACAAAAACATCAATCACAAGGAAATGACACGGGATTCAAGGGCCACCCTGAATGTAAACATTGCCAAGGAAAACGGTTTTATTCAGAAGATGAGTTGCATGTACATATCCGTGATCGTCATGAGCGATGTCATATTTGTGATCAAACTACTCCCAAGACTGCCGATTACTATCGAAATTATGATGCATTGTACCAACACTTTACTAAGGCGCATTACGTATGCACAGTTCCTTCATGTGTTGAGAAACGATTTGTCGTGTTTAGAGACGATTTGGATTTGACAGCCCACATGTTGAAAGAACATGGTGGATTGAATAATGGGCAGCGGGTTGTTATCGGATCCAACTCGTATCATCATCAACATGGTGGCCATTTCAGTCAGTTATCAACGTTTAACAATTCTCGTTGGCTCTCGTCGAATGAGGATCAAGATGAAGATCAACAATCGCCACAAATCAAGAAGCGACGTTTTGAAGAAAGAGCCAAGCATTACTTGAATTATGACAATAGCAAGTATCAAGAGTTTACAAAGATTAATGACTTATTTTCAAAGAAGAAGATCAACGCAGCAGAATTGTTGAGAGTGTATCAAATGGATTTATTTAAACATCAAACTTTGGAGGAGTTGAATTTTCTATTCAAGGAGTTTCTTGAATTTTTTCCAAAGTCGAGTGACTTGTACAAAGATTTAATGTCTATTATAGTTGAGGAGAATGAGACTAACCCCACTGAACAGTTTCCAGTGTTGGGTGGATCGGATGCTGCCAATGCATTCACGTCGAATGGGTGGATAGGAGGAAGAGGGTCGAGCAGAAACAGTGGTGCTTCTACGCCGGTTGATCGGTTCCCTCCTCTAAAGAAACCGGAAAAGGTCAACTATGTCAATCCAAATCAGCAACCAATCCGGTACTCAACCATTGTCAAAAAGAATAAGCCAAAGACTATGAATATCAACAGATCTTTGGGCATTTCGTCACCTCCTCCATCGTTGCCAAATTATCTTGATAGAGTGAGTAACACAAGATCTGACCCGTCATTGAACAGCGGGTCGCGATCTGCGTCGTCATCATCATCACAAACATTCAGACCTCCTACTTTACACAATGGCAGGGCCAGCTCTCCTAGTGCTGCCCTCGACGATAACAAGTTTCCAGCATTGGAGAAGAAACAAGTCAAGAAGGTGATTCCCCGTGTTAATGAAGTCAAGGTGACTGACCCCAACTCTTGGGGTGTGAATGGTTCCACCAGCAATGGAGCCGCAAATACAACAAAAAGCACAAATGACAACAATGGGATTGAGATTGTTGACAAGAGGAAGCAAAAGATGAAGAAGAAACAGGATCGCATATTGTTTAGTAATGCATTTTAAACAGGTCTGATGGAGCTACAAAGTTTGCATTGTTGGCGTAAGGTAGGTGGGAGATGAGTTTACTGTAATAAGTTTATAGAGCATCACGTGAAACGAACTGCCCATTGGATAGAGGCGAGTTGAAACAGGATCAGCCGTAGGAGCTCATTTATTGACTCTTTTGTCCTTTTTCTACGAAGTCACGACATGTATACTCCGAGCGGAGTTCCGACCTGTTCTCCATGCGCCAATAAAAAAAAAAAACAAAACAAGCAAAAACAACATTCGGCAAGCTTGCATTTGAACTTGCCGTCTTTGTGCATTGAATGCAAATAACAACACCGGTATACAAGAAAGACTACAGCAGAATCAAATGGAACGAATCGAGGGAAGGAAGACGAAATTCTGAAAAAGCGATAGAGCCGTATTACAGAGTTTTTTTTTTTTTTTGTTGAATTTCTTGCCATTATCATGTTGATAAGTCCCCACTTTAGAAAACTATGGGTGTGAGAGAGCTAGCAAGTTTTGGTTTGAATTTGTTTGAATCCGGTTAGTTCGGGTAAATGGTTATTAAAGATGGAAAAGAATAAAAAAAAAAAGAAAAAAAAAAAAAGTTTTCGTGCCGAATTGCTCAAATTATCCTATTGTTCTTATTTTGCGCAATTTTCATTCTTTTTTTTTCTATTTCTTTTTTTTTATTAAAACCCAGAACAAACCTTTTAAATAAAAATTGATATAGTACAGTGCAAAACAATAAAACACGCTATAGGATGCCGAGGTTGAATTACCTCGTACTTCACTGACGATAGCAAACTACGATACATTCACCTTGAGAGGAATGCCGTTTATTCTGAAGAGAAAACGCTCTCCCCTCTTTTCATAAAGAGCAAATCAAGTCTAGACGAATCCTCAACAAATTAGTTAGGTTGCATCGGATATGAATTCTTAAATTGTGTATTCCACACATGCAATGCTTTCATGAAACTATTCCACTAAAAGCAATTCCAGCGCTAATAGACTGTAATTGAGTAATAAGACGAAGTTTAAAAGTGTTTTGTGTTGGATATGCCGTACTTGTAAACCACTGGGTTCTATAAATAAACACTTCTTTCTTAGTCAGCAAATGTTGAAGCCATCTTTTTGTAACTTTTTTGCATTTTGCATTGAGCACTTCCCACTTACCCATCAACGCAACACCAAAAGGAAGTGAAGGTAACGGGTCTCAGTCAATTCTTACTACAAAATCAACCTAATTAGAAACTGCCCATCCTTCCTTCACTGGGTGATGTCCAAGGAGTAATTGCAAGCTGTATCTAGATGATCGATATTTCACCTAGTCTCTGAAATACACAGAGAGATTGAAAATCGCGCAAACGTATTTGTTGCTGGTGCGTAATACATGCAGCAACTACCAAATATGAACCTTCTCTTTCTCCCGTTATATGCTGTTACTCTATTATCACTTTCTATTGTGGTGATTGCGTATGCTCAAAAAATTTGTGACCTAGAAATTTTCTCTCACGGATACAAAAACGGAACATGTTTACACAAAGACGGTTTCTTTTGCAATAGTCATGTCATAGCACACACAATTCTCTACATATATGCAAAAGCATCAAAGAATGTTGGTAACCCTGGATTTTTTGATACATATATAATCAATTGCATTTTCCGAGAAGTTGTTCCTTATCCGTGTTATCTTCTTACAGCATATATAAATATATTCTTCCACCACCCTAGTTGTAGTAGTAGTAGTAGCACTTCAATATAGTACCCATCAACTTCATTCAACCAACTAATCACTCCATCGCACAACAGTCTACATCGACTATACCAGCCAACTCACACCACAGTTCAACATAATGGCACTTTCATCAAAAGAACTACTAGAGAAACAAGAATACTTGAAATCATCAAATTACATCCTTTACAAATTGAATTGCTGGTACTACCTTTACTATTATTCAACTCCATTACCGTACTCAACACTAGGTGAATCGATCATTTTCAATGGTGTAATCATGTCATTGACGTTGTTGTTCATGTACTATACTGTGTGGATCTTGCCTTTGAAACTAATCCAATCGGGCGAAAACTTGTATTATTATCTCACTGGCCACACCATCTCGTTCGATGTCCTTCAGGCTATCAATACTGTTTTGCATTTGAATGGAGAAAACTCAACTTTTGTGATTAATCAGTGGTCAGACTTGCCCAAGATAATCAGAATCTAGATAATTGGAGGGAATTAAAAAGGAAACCTTCTTTCACATGTCATGTGGATGGAAAGCTACGTTGAGTTATACTGGCACGTACATTTTCAGTTGTTGCTTTACTCATTGGTGTCCTATGCGCTATATTGCTTTCTCGTATAAACTTATTCAGTTCAAACTTAATATCGTTGATAATAAATATTCTTTGTATTGCAAGCTCTTGGAAAGGTGAATGTGTAGAATCAAATATAGTACACAATGCGCGACTGGAAACGGGCGGCAACTTTTCCAACGCAAAATAATACCACCAAACTTGAACCAAGCAAACGACACGCTACACTATATCCAAATCTACAAATGAGACAAAGACTGACTATACTCAATACTGTACCTTTTACCGAAGATTCAATTCAGAATATCAATTCGACAAATTTAAAAATAGTTGCGCCGTCGATTGACCAACGATTCTCAATTGAAAATAAATACACGATTCCCATTTCCCAACCATTGCGGTATATTCGACAACTACGCATCCAATCAAAAAGGCTGTATGATGATGTAAACTTGGTTTTCCCTTTTGATTTTACCACGGGATTAAATGTCTATGTTTCACCAAAAAACACAGTCAACAACGATGACGATGATGAATTATTCAAAGAATTGAATGGTGTTTTGAGTGACGTTGTAAATTTGGATGTCAATGCAACGGCTTGGACCACTTCTTTCAACTCATTGTACTACTACTCATCCAATCCTGCCCAATTGCAACCAAAATCTTCCTGGTTTCAGCACAAGGATATACTGGATCACGACTCCACATTTGATTTAATTTACAACTCTGATGTGTCTTCCAAACAGATAGTTTTACGCCAGTTGATCAGCAACGTGGCTGAAGCAAACTACACTTTGAAACTAGGAGAATATAAAGAGATTGGATTTTTCATAAAAGACGATAAAGTTTCCCACACGAAGGATGATTTGGTCTTGAGTGGGATACGGGTAGTCCTAGACGGACAAAGTGAGTCGTCACAAGATGATGCCGAGAGGAGAGATGTGCATAAAACAATGTTTCATTTGAAACCTAGACATAGGTACTTGTCAGGATCAGTTTCATCCACCATTGTGCCCCAAGGTTTACATCCAGTTCTAGCAACTACACTAATCACAGAAAATGACTTATCTTCCACCATAAATCAAGAGATTATTGGAACTGACGACGACGTGGACACATGCGGCAGCTTCTTCTATCTCAACTTGAACAAGTCGTTAATTTTTGACAAGTATCAAGATATCCCACCAAATACAACGTTACTTGTCAATAATGGAGTTTCCAATTTGGAATTACCCGAGTACAAGATCGACCAATGGGGTAGTGAGTTGTTGTTCAAAGTTGACGCAGACAGGGAGTCCAGTGTGATATCACCAGCTAGATTTGACTTGAATTTGACACTACACTGTCGATACCAATTACCAAATAACAGCGATCCCTCATCTCAGTTTACACAGATTGTCAACCCACAACCACAATTTTTCATTGCTTGTAAAGTGAAGGACGGCCATTTGTTAAGTAAATCGCCCTTTGACTCGCGGAAATTGAGCAATGTAGGGAACAATTACGAGGCATATTTTCAAAATGATACTGTATTTTATCATTTCAAGACTATTCAAGCAGATGAACATCTATCAGTTGATATTCCTCATGGAACCACCACTTATGATCATGTCAATTCGATAACTACATTTACAATCTTGATAGGTATTGGAATCATATTCTGGGCCATTGCGCAAAAATTAACCAAATCGAAGCCAGTCCGTTCAAAGTCCAAAACTGAATAAAAGATAAATATCTCATGTCTCTGTCTGTATATATATATATATATATTCAGACACACGTACGTACGTATTCTATTGAAATAGACTCCAATCAACAACTTTCAAACTACTACACAAGTTCTTAAACCATTGGAATCTCTCACTTGCGAATTTATCCACGTCATCATTTCCACCAGCAAAACTAATCGGCTTTTGATGGTCATGCTTTAATGGCAAATTATACTGTATCACAACATCAGTGGCAACTTGCTCCAACCTTAATAAACAAATCAATATGATAATCTGCTCAGCCTGATTAGGCTCCTTGCGCTTGTACTCTGGTTTGAAAGTCACATAACTGAAATATAGCACTTCTTTGCCACCTTCAACTTGTAATTCCTGCAATGGGTTATTGTGCACACCCGGTGGAGCAAAATCTTGCAAATGTTGCGCAATGGCAGCATGATAATCATCGGCATCGACACGCTCTAGCAAATCGATAATCAACGCTTGATCATAGCTAAGTAATGAAGATAATGTAGCATCATCATTGGAAGTGTCTACTTCATTGATGAAGACTTCTTGTGAATCGGGAACTTGTCTGATTCGTGATACATCAATGAATGAGGACGGGAGTTTGTTGATTGTGATTGCTCCACCGTACAATTCTGTCGTGTACATGATATATAAGCTCGTTGCAGTTGACTCGTAATAGTTTAAGCTCAGATGGAGGGGATTCAATTGAAGAAGTATATTTCGCTTGTAAAGGTTTTCTTTATCCTGTCTCCGTGGTGCTTTAAGAAAACACGTAAAACGTGCTTGAAAAAAGTCATGAATGGTAGCGTTTCAGATGTACAACCTTTTTAACGTTATCGCAACGAAGCAGTCTTTTCCGTATATGCACTCTGGCTCAATCACCCGTTCACTAGATAATTATTCCTGATACATGTTAAAATTCATCGAGTAACTACTTTTGTTCTTTCCAATGTAGAACCGTTATTGGTATGCGGGAGGGAAATAGTTGATGTTGGGCACCTCGCAGCCAGCTACATTCAAGAATGATCAGAGTTGAATAAAGAAATACCCCTTGTTGATTGCTCTTTGAAACCTCGGCTCTTGGCTCAAGATTTGGCTGGGGGGGGGGAGGGGATGAACCAAATCAAAAATATATATGCACACGGTACTGATTTGGATATGCTGGACTGGTGGTAGCACTATTATTTAACCTTAAGTTTAGAATTTCTCAATTTCTGTGCGCCCTATATATTTTTTGCAACATACCGAAATAACCATTCACTAAAAAAGGAATTCTACAAACCTCAAGAAATCATATAATTGCTACATTACCCTGCTAAATTGCAATGCCTCCAGTTGTTAAAGACTTAAAGGGCACCATGATGGTCGTCAACACGAAAATGGACTGCGCCATAGTAGGTGTCCTCATCTGCTTGTGGGTTATGCTTCTCGCACTTTCGAGACTCGGTAGTCTCGCAGAAGCAATTTGTCAATGCTGGCGAGTTGTAACTCATGGGGTCACTGACGCCGCTGATGATGCAACAAATCCTCGTCCCCCAGCTTGGAGGGACACACCAAGATGGGCAGCTACTGGCAAGATTATCTTTTTATTGTTTTGGTATTGTGGTTTGGGATTCATCGTGCCCACGATTGTTGCGCTTGCCATATTGCACTCTGCATTTTGACACCCAATCAATCAATTGGTTTTAGTGCTATTGCTTTTATAGCTCTTCATACCTCATTTTTTTAACATTATATTGATGATTGTATTGTAATGACCTAACCAATGGCTGTAGAGATAAAAAGCAAAAACTGTTTAATAACATTACCTCAAATATATTGTATACACCAGCTGATGAGACCTTTAGTGCAGATTATTTGAATTTAATACATAACCCATGTTTCCCAACTTTCTGTCCATTAGAATGATCTAGTTCTGTCTGGAAACTCACCTTTGCTTCCGATTAAATGCGAATCCGTGCTTTTTGAATCGTTTCACTTTCACCTTCATCCACTTCAATGTATCTGCCCGTCGTGACTTGTCTTTGGTATACTCTAGTAATGCATAGTCATCTATTAGACGGATTCGCCACTGCTCCTTACGTATCTGGTCGAGATGTACCAAGTAGCATCCTAGTGACACATTAATCTGAATGCGACATGGTTGTCTCTTTTTCATCAATTTTGAAACATTTTCAATATCCAATTCTCCAAAACTTAGAACAACTTGTTCGAGTAGTGGCATTCTACCTAGTAGGTCTGGGATTTTTGAAAATCTGCTGGTTATATGTTGATAATGTAGGACAAATGACTTAACAAATGTAATCATGAAAACTTCAGTTATCCATCCGATTGGAAAATCTTCACCAATCTCATTCTCGGCGTTGTTTCCTTGCAATTTTTGTACGGAAACGTCATCAAAAGTCAAGTCCACCCATAACTTTATCGGACGTAGCAAAAGGGCAGAGTCGAATCTAGCAATATTGTGTTTAAATTCCACATACTCTTGCACTGTTAAATTTAATTCTACCTCCACTAAATTTATGAGAGTATAGCTTCGTATTAATTTCATCGTTTCAGCAACAATATCACCTCCCAATAAAATTTGAGAGTGAAGCTTGTCCAATTCGTCATTTAATGATGGTGCAGAGAAGACTGCCAGACGCTGCCACAAAAACTCTTCCCCAACTGTTAAAAATGGGATGCTTCCAAGGACTATACTGCCGTCAGGGCCCGCACAGGTCTTCAAAAATGGGAGAATGCAGTAATACTCCATCATGAGGTCCTTCACTTGATCAAAGCTAAATACGATCATGTTTCTCTGGTACTTAAATTTCAAAGTGCCGCCAAAATTGATATATAGTAAAGGTACGAACCTCTCTCTCAATGCATTGATATAAAAATAGATACCCAAAAGCTTTCTTACATAAAATTTTCTTCCTGATAACGTCGTATACAAAACACCAGGTCCAAAGTGTTCCTCGCCCACTCCAATTCCACTCTCAGCTAAAAGGATGAACCTCTGTCTTTGTGGTAGTAAGTTAAGCCAGGATATAATTGTACCTTCGGGTAATTTGAGCAAGTGATCTTGTATTGGGAGCACTTTGGCAAGGATCTCAATTGGCAAGTGGTAAAGCTTCATTTGATAAAGGAGTTGGTTAGCAAATAGTAACTGTTGAGAGTGATTTTTTTTTTTTACATAGTTTCAGGCATGTAGATAAGGAAAGAGTATGTACATGTATCGAAATGCAACCTTCCTCAATTCTTTTCGCTGCAACAAAAATGGAGCAGACGTGCACGTGACTTGCGACAACAAAGTAAACAAAAAAAAAAACAAAAAAAAAAAAGAAAATAAACATTACGCTGTATCGAAAGGGCTTTGCAACGGCTACATAGTATTTCAAAGAGTTACATCTGAGCACCACGCCCCTACCATCGACCAAATGCCCAAATACCAAAATCTGTCCAACAACAAAGGACGCAAGATACTAATAGCGACAGTGCTCATTTCACTCATTTTGGTAACAATTACATTCTTTTCAGGATCTCTTTTCCCAGCAAAAGATTTGCAAGGGGTGATCTCGAGTTTACCAAACGATAAACTTCTCGGCTTATCCAACTTTTTGTCATCGGAAAACAGCAAGAACCAAGATGAGTTACTAAACAAGATTGAGAAATTAAACAAAAAACTACTTCAAGCCCAAGAGGCCAAAATCAATAAATTGGAAGAGCAAAACAAGTTGATCTTGAAGGAGTTGAAATTGTTGAAAACTCCATCGTCACAGGCGTCAATAAGAGATAAATTGACATACCTATATCCCTATGATTCAGAAAGTAAATTTCCAGCATACATTTGGCAATCGTGGAAACACGGGTTGAATGATGATAGATTTGATGAGAAATTCCGTCAAGGTGAATCACAATGGGCGTTTAAAAACCCAGGATTTGTTCATGAATTATTCAATGATGATACCGCGCATACGGTTATCAAGTATCTCTACCTGCAAGTTCCTGAAGTTGTTGAAACGTTTGAATTGTTGCCGGAAACGATTATGAAGATGGATTTCTTCAAGTACTTGATACTTTACGCCAAAGGTGGGGTTTATGCTGACATTGACACATACCCATTGCAGCCAATTCCCAATTGGACACCGGAAAATGTAAGTCCTATGGACATCGGTGTCATCATAGCCATTGAATCGGATTCTTCATCTCCTGAGTGGAGGAAAGAACAAATTCGTCGATTACAATTTGGCCAATTTGTAATTCAAGCCAAGCCTGGTCATCCAATCTTGCGTGAAGCCATCGCTGAGATTATTGAGCAAACAAGTTTGAAACAATTGGAAAATATGGCATCTTCTGGTGCTGCTCCATTGAAGTTGAACGGCAACACTAACGAAAGGTCCTTAAAAATTAGTCAATGGACAGGCTCCGCAATTTGGACTGATGTGGTGTTCAAATACTTTAATGACTACATCCAATCGTCAGTGTTCCAAAAGGTAACATGGAAGGATTTCCACAACTTGCAAACCCCGAAATTGGTTAGCGATATTTTGGTATTGCCCGTGAAATCTTTTGCTAGTGACGTAGAGGTACCAAAGGACGGTAAAATTGAAGACCCATTGGCATTTGTGAAACATTACGCTGCAAAAATTTGGAAGAGTGGTTGAGTTAGATATAGAGAGGATTATAATTTAAATGGACATATTGTTTATTCTAAATTAAGTACGGATATTATATCGCAAACTTTTCAAAGTTCATCTTTTTCTCTCGCGTTTTTCGTTGGAGCTGCAGCTTTTGATCTTTTGATAGTTCTTGTAACAACTCTAGTCACTTTCCTGGCTGAGCTAGTTGTTGATGCGCTTGGTTGCAGCGCGAAGTTTACATCATTTGCGCTTTTGGTGGGTTTGAGCGTGCTTGCCTCTTCATCTGGAGGAGTCAACCGAGATGTTTTTTTATCAGCGGCTACTGCTTCACTTGATGGAGTTGAAACTGAAACTGGAGGCTCCTCTACATTTTCTGCATCTTTTGGTTTAGGAGTAGGGTCAACGCCACCAGTTCCAGACACTTCAACAGTGTGAGGTGTCTCCAATGAAACGGGCTCTTCAGGTGTAAATTCTTCGCCTGCTGATGCCACCGGCTCGTTAACAGATTGAACAGAAAAAGATACCTCCTCAATGGTATCCGTAGCTATGCTGGTAGGATGACTCGAGGCTGTTTCTGCTGTCTCGGTATCCACTTGCTTTTCTTCAGCTGGTTCCGATGGAACGGAATCTTGAATAACTCCTTCGTGATTTGCTTTTGTGGTGGTTGACAGCTCTTCATTAACTTTACTTGATTCGACACGTGACTCATGGTGAGATTCAGCTTCTTCCGATGCAAACTCTTGTTCTGAAACGCTAGACGAAGGGTTCTCTGAAGACAAAGATTCTGATTGACTGACAACTGACTCCTGTTCCTGAGATGAAATTTCTTTCTGTGTTTGGCTGATGATTGGTGTTGACTCCTCCACAGGTTGTTTAACCACGTCAGAAATTTTACTTAATTGCGTTGGTTCATCTGAGAGTGCCTCATCGTTGATATTTGGTGCAGTGGTCTCTTCAACGTCAACACGATCATTTTGCGAAGGAGCAGAAGGAGGATTCTCCAATCCTTCATCTTGCGTGAGGCTACTTGGATCCAACTCTTCAATCACTTCCTCATACACCTCTTCTACAGCCTCGGTTCCTACTGAGCTTTTCTCTGAATTACTCTCCTCTTCGTAGTCCTTAGACACCATTGGATTTGATTGAGCTTCCTCTTTCTCTTCCCCTTCCTGTTCCTCTTCCTGTTCCTCTTCCTCTCCTCCCTCTACCACCTCCTCCACAACCTCAACATATTCATCATCTTCGATTGGTGAATCAGAATTCCCCACATCCGATGCCTCTGATGAAGACTCAACTTCTTCCACAATTTCTTCAACTACCTCCACATAATCGCCATCGGCATCAATAACATCACTGGGACCACTTGTCTCCTCACGTTCCGTGTTGCTTGCACTAACATCCTCTTCGCTTGGTTCATCTTCGTAGACAACTTCCTCAATGATATCGGCATACTCTTCTTCATAGCGGATTTCATGTACATCGGCGTCATTAACATCACCATTTTCATTATGATTGTCCTCAGAAACTTGGGTGTGATCAAATTCATCAACCTTGTGTTCAACCTGCTGAGCTTCTTCACCGACCGTCGCATTGTTGGCCACTTCGTGTATACTCTCATACTCAGGATCCGCAACAGTGGTAGATCCAATTGATGAGGTGGAGACTTCAGTGGTACTTGCAACATCAGTAGTTGAATCCGCACTGAACACGAGAGAAGTCTCAACCGAAGACTCTACAACTCCAGTGCTCAACTTGATGTCGTCCAAAGTCTCACTATCAAACTCAGGATTATTCGTCTCCACATGCAAATCTCTAGTCACTTCTTGCACAATATCATTCAATGTGCTTTTTGCTTGATCACCCACTTTATTCACAAGATCTTCTTTACCAAACTTCTTCTTGTAAAACTCAATCGCTTTAGAGCTGTATTTGTTCCCATACTCTTCTACAAGAGCATAAGCTTTTTTCCCGTACTCATCTGCTAATTCCAAGCCTACGTTTCCATACTGACTGGCCAATTCACTGCCAATCTTCCCATAACGCAATCCAACTTCACGATAGTTTTCCAGGAATTGTTTCAGAGACTCAATAACTCCATGCAATTGTCCATTTTGGTGTGCCTTTTGGATTCCAATTCCAAATGCGGCTATTAATATAATTGTAAACAAGTATTGGAAAAGAGTGCCAATGACAGATTTTCCAGACGCATACTTTGGCGGTACACGTACAACATTCAAAATGTTTGCAGCACTGCCTGTGGTTAGCTTGGTACCGTTTGGTGAGAAAGACACACTTGTAATTGCAAACGGGTGTAATTTTTTCATCGTTTCCAACAATTTGAAATTTGAGAGCTTGACAATGTAAACCACTAAATCGTTTCCGGCAAAAGCCACCAAATCTTGGGGGATAGAAACATCCATAGCAACTATATTGTTCAACTTTTTTGCAATCACTTGCTCTTGTACAATCTTTTGCTTTGTCAAGTCATACCTCAACAACCCTGCGCCTTTGCCACCTTTAACACTGTACGAGATAACTACTTCATTTCGGTTGATAAACTTGACTTTTGAAAAGGTGAATTTTTGCAATTGCTTGTCCACTGGCGCCGTTTTAGATGTAGCAATGACGGAGTTTGTTTGAGTGGATACGGAAACCACTGATGACGAGGTAATGTAGCACAAGGTTGCCCCTGTTTTGGGACTCAATGCAAAATCCTTAATCTCATCGTTTCCTGGTGGTTTATACTTGAACTTTGATTCCAATGCATCTGGACTGAAAAAGTACAAAACAGAAGGCACGGCGGACGTCATCAAGCATCCTACGGTGTTGTCTTGGGAAATCTTGATGACTTTAGGGTATTCGTCGGCATCGCCGGAAATCTCTTCTTCAAACTGAGCTGCGTCATCAAATATCAAATGTTCTTCTCTGTTGTATTTGTACTTTCTCACATTGTTATTTATGTTCATGGATTTGATTAACTCGGAGCTCTGATTACATCCAACAACCACATTGTACTCATTCTCATCAACCAATCTCGTCGCATCAATACATTGTGGCGAATCTTCATTTGGTGGGAGCAGAACTTCTCTAAACTTTTGTAGTCTTCGCTTGACGTCGTTAACTTTGAAACTGCATTTGATGGCAGTGATCTTATTGGGGATTCCATTGTTTCCTTCACCACCTCCACCTGCTACCAAAACAGTCCTGTTGTTGATAAACTTGGCATCCAATACCGGATATCCAACATCGATGAATGCATTTTCTTTCAATGCCATATTCGTTATTGTCTTTGCCTGCTTAAAATTGACAGGGAGTTTGGTGACTGAAATATTTTGTTCCAGAGAAAAGCCACGTAAATACTGTTTGCGCTACCAAACGGTACAATTTAAAGAGATTCAAGTTTGTGACGCTAAGATTGCGTGAATTTACATAGCCAGGGAGTATAGGGCAGTTTACAAGCTCAATTTTGGGAGGGGTTGCAATACTGTGTTTAGTGTAAGGCTATTTCCGTCTCTCAACAAGACAGCGAGTCCAAAAAAGAGAAAAAAAAAAAAAGAAAACAGAATAGAATAGAAATTGACTCTAAAAATTTCAGCTAGGCAAAGCAACGCAGACGCATTCTAAATGAAAAGCCTACTATCGATTCTGTCCCATGTAGTTCACGGATATGTAGGGAACAGAGCAATCACATTTCCACTACAGTACAAAGGGTGGGATGTTGACGCAATCAACACCACCAACTACTCAAATCACCCAGGATACGGTAGCTTACAAGGCTCAGCATCTACGCCCGACGCAATAAGAGATGTCTTACAGGGTCTCCACCGCGTCTTGGATCTAAACTCCTACGACTTGATCTTGACGGGATATACACCTAATGCCGATGTACTTCTGGTTGTGAAGGACGAAGTTGTTCAAGTTTTGCAGAAACATGACGGAAAGATTCCACGGTGGATTGTTGATCCCGTACTTGGTGATAATGGCAAGATGTACGTTCTGGAGAAAGTCATACCCGTATACAAGGAGATATTATCAACTGGGTTGGTGTCGTTGATCACTCCGAACCAATTTGAATTTGAGATACTAAGCGACACAAAAATACTGGATTGGCAATCATGTGAATCAGCCGTGACTGCATTTGCAGAGAGATATAAAGTTGGAAACATTGTGATATCCTCAGTTGAAATTGATCATCAGTTGTGCTGCGTGGGGTATATGGATGGGAAAATGTTTAGCGAACCCATACACAAAATTGATTGCAATTTCAACGGATGTGGCGATTTATTTACGGGATTGATTGCAAACTCGTATTACGACAATGGCTACAAGATTACTCCTGGGTCTATCGCCGCGGTGTTACAGACATTATACAACATTCTTCAATTGAGTTACGACTTTGAGTTTGAGAAACTGGGGCAGGTTCCTAAAGTAGTAAAAGACATTAAAGTCGTTGCCGCAAAGAGGTATTTATAGAGGTGTGTTTAAGGTTGGTATAATTTTAAACACTGGCTAGTTACGTTGTATTAATCTGTCGTGTAAGTTGAGGTGATCTGTCGTCTTAATCCGAGGTTCACTGTATTGTGCGCCTTGCTTTGTTGAGTATATAAACGCGGGAAATGTATGACTTCCGAAATCAAAAAACTTCACAACTTTAAAAAGACAACCTTTCTCAAATTTTGGGAGCCACACATGCCACCAGAAGAACGAATGAAAGATGATGTTCGGCTACAGAAGTTGCCGCCAATGAGATACTTTTGGTGGGGACTACTATCGACAATATTAGCATCTTTGGCATGGCTTAGACTTCTGTCCGTGCCACAATTCACAACAACAACAACATCATCGTCATCATCCATAGTGCTACCTCCTAGCGTACACGATGACCACAATAGTAACACGCTACAGTTGAAGCACATTTTCCATCATGGCGTTGGTTCTGAGCAGTACATGATACACAAACGGTTAGACATTACACCACAATACCTAGCCAAGCATCGAGCATATTTTACCTCGTTAAATGAAAACTTACAGATTGAGCTGATTGAAGAATCAGATTGGCCCACAATTCATCATGGGAAGAACCCTTTTCAGATAAAGTTGCCATTCAAGCATCAACAAAATAAGGCTCGCAGACTTAAAGAGAGAAACACGCCAGGGTTCATTGACTCTTATCTTGAATACGCAAGGTCCGTTAATGGTGATGCTAAGATCCTTGGTCGTATAAATTTGGAATGGGTTGATGATGACGTGCTGATTCCCAACATCACCGATCGAGATACCGTTGTTTCCTTAGCCACAATCGCCTCAAATGCATATGTTCGATTCCCCAAAAATGACGACGAAAAGAAGAAATCGGACTGGATCGATGTTGGAGGATGGGATCCTGATGAGGACAACCACGATGTCAACTTCGGTTGGGACTATGATGGGTTACGGGGACACGTTTTTGTTAGTGATGATAATAAGACTGTGGTGATTGGAATTAAAGGAACCTCTGGTGCTGGTCTACCTGGAGGAGGCAGCGATGAGACCCAAAGAAATGACAAAACCAATGACAATTTGTTATTTTCCTGTTGTTGTGCAAGAGTTGGATATTTGTGGACCACAGTATGTGACTGCTATGAAAAGACGTATACATGTAATCAAGAGTGTTTGGAGAAGGAGTTGCGCAGGAAAGATAGATACTACGAAGCAGCATTAGATATTTACAAAAACGTCACCAAGCTATATCCACCGGAGACGACTGAGATTTGGGTTACTGGACATTCGTTAGGAGGCGCATTGGCAAGCTTGCTCGGTCGTACGTATGGCTTACCTGCAGTGGCAGTTGAGGCTCCTGGTGAAATGCTTGCGCTGAGACGATTACACCTTCCATCACCCCCAGGACTTCCCAAGCATTTAGAGCACATTTGGCACATTGGAAACACTGCTGATCCTATTTACATGGGAGTTTGCAATGGAGCATCAAGCAGCTGTAGCTTAGCTGGCTATGCTATGGAAACTGCATGCCATACTGGTTATCAATGTGTTTATGATGTTGTCACTGATAAGGGATGGCGGGTAAATTTGTTGAATCATCGTATCCACACAGTCATTGATGACATCATATTGACTTACAATGAAACAGCCAAATGCGTGGAACAAGCACCATGCAGAGATTGCTTCAATTGGAGATTTGTGTAAAGTGTAACCAAACAGTTGTGTGAAGCTTACTAAGGCGTAGAACTAGAAGATTTACTCGTTGATCAGCTAGTTTAGTCATATGATGTGTTCAGTCTTCCAATATTCAATACTGAGGTGTATTAGTTGTATGACACGGTCAAGACTTGCAACTATAATCGCCGTAGAGCGGTATTATTGAAGCTATCTGTCGCCAGCATGGTCCACAACCGAGTGACTTTCTGTTTTTTTTTTTTGACATTATTTAGAAGTTTTCGTAATTTATAGTGTGATAAAAGCAAGTATGGTTGTGCCTTCAAGTGGGTTCTTTCAATAATCTCTCAAATAACAGCAATAAGTAGTTGTTTCAATGTATGTCTTTGAGTTAAAAGTGGTCCTAGTATAGGTTTTCCTTATCGTAGAATAAATGAGTATACTAAATATAAAAAACTTAACATGCATCCAAACACCAATCGGCTTCTTCAAGTTCTTGGTACTCCTGTTTGGCTTCATATCACGTACCTCCAAGTATTTGGCTCATACATGATGTAAAATACGTTTTAAAATATCTCGATACTTTGCAATCTACTTAGATGACATCCGAGTCTAATATCCAAAAGTGAAATAAAATGAAAAAAAAAAAAAAAAAAAAAGAAAAAGAAGCTAAACAATCCAACCATTTGCATCAATCAAGTACTAGCTAGCGTTCTTCATCAATCCATATGCAGAAGGACATTTGCATAATGGAATCCAGTTCAAAGCAGTATCCATGAAAACGCACTCAAAAAGAAAGCAATTGTTTTGGTTCGTTTCATGAATGCTGCACCACTCTTCGAAAGAAAAGTAGTAAACCTTCCATGCTTTTTTTTTTCTCCAATTCCTTGCCCTTCACACAACAAAATGGGGATTGATAGCAGAACATTTATGCTCCAGTCAATAAAATGTGTTGGCTTTTTGTAACATTTTAGTGATACAAATTTTCTCTCCTTTTTCGTTTCCATTTTCCTTTTGGTGTGATGATGGTAGAGTAGCTTGAATTATTTGCTCTGTGTGCAAGACCAACCAAAAATGATGGGAAGTAGACGATTGATTGCAAAAGAGATATAGAGAAATTCGAAGTGAGTGTAATGCCATAGTCTATTAGGCACTTTCCATGTGAAAACTTTTGAGAGGTAGTTGAAAAGTGAAAGCAAGAGCCAGTAAACCACTCGATATAAATTTCGTCAAAGATTACAGATATTTTTATCGTATTGAGTAGATATTGAAATTTCTTTGCATGAATGAATTTTGCAACGAAATCATGTAAAAAAGAAATTTCAACAACTCAAATGATAAAAACAAAAACAAAGAGGGGGCAGCTAGTAAATTGGATTCTAACCTCATAAGTGAAATTGTCACAGTTTCTTGAAGAACATTTGAGTGGCTGAGTGACTTAGCGCGTGACCGTTTTGGTTAAAATTATGTCATCACAGCCGTTGTCTAAAAAGCCGCAGGCAAAAGAAGAAGAAGAAGGAGAAGAAATGAGTATTACAGGAGAGTGTGCGTATCACAAATCTATAAATAGTCTTCCCTATCATTTCTCGGAGGTGTTGGTAGCAATCGTACTTGGTACTACAACAACAACTGCTGACTCAAAAAAAAGTTATTGCAACATTTGAGCTACACAAAAACACAATGTTGAAAGAGAGCGTTGTTTACAATTGTTACTAATTTGGAAGGATATTGCATTTGTGTTTTATGCACAAAGTTTCCTCCTTTTATTCTCTGTTTTGTTCTTTCTTTCGTCAACTACACACTACCTACTACTACTACTACTACTACTACTACTACTGATTATGAAATTTCACGAACAATATCCCACTGCTCGTTTATTAGGCATTTTAACCTAGGTGCATTGGATAAAAATAACTCTATGTTGATCCAATTACTGTATGCATTAGTAAAAGTCGTATTTGCATCAAGAACAACCATAGATAAGTACAAAGCACACTGTCCCCGCCAAGATTGCAAAAACACTACTGTTACATCATCATACACAATTCTTTTTTTTTTATTTTTTTCTTTCAAGCTTCGTCACTTAAATTTTTTTTTGGTCGAGCGGCTGGGCCTTTTTTTTTCTCTTTCATAAAGTGTAAACAAATCACAAAGAAATGAAATTAGAGAATATATATATATATAATAAACATTGACAATAAATATTTCAATGACACAGAAACATTAGACCAAAAATAAAAAACAAAATACAAAAATCAAAAGATGAGTGACGACAAGGAAGAAAGAAAGAAGGAGAAGCTTTATATGATCCGAATAGGGAATTATGACTATATTATACAATTGGCTTAGAAGGACAAAGTAATGGAAGTATGTCAACACTTTACCCTTTAATTTAGGATTATTATGTGTAACATCAATGACTGCTTTTTTTTTTCCTTCCTTTATTGTCATTTTTTGCCCAGTTTTGGTGATGATGAATTGGAAAAAATCAAAACATCAAAACATCAAAATTGTAAAATTGTAAAATTATTTTGCTTTTAATTTCATTCTTCTTCCTTCTGTTCTTCTTTTTCGTTTTTTTCTTTCTTACCTCAATTCCATTGAATTTCACCTACCACCACCACAATGAAATTAATTGGTACATTCTTCAACTTGTTTTTCCTAGCCGGGGCATGTCTTTTGCTCATTTTTATCGTATTGTCCGGCTCATCAAGACATTTCCCATTGAACAAGTTCTATTGGTTAGAAGCAGACACTACCAACATCTCCAATTCACCAGCAAACACATCAGCTTGGACTTTCTGGGGTGTATGCGACAAGAATGACTACTCCAAATGTCTTACTGGTCCTGCTTACCCTCTTTCCCCCGAGGACAACTTTGACACCACAACAAACATTCCTCAAGATTTCTTAGACAACCAATCCACTTACTACTACTTGAGCAGATTTGCATTTGCCTTTTGTTTAATTGCATTGGGCTTTAGTGGATTGGCATTCATCATTGACATTTTGGGCTTTTGTTTCACAATTATTGACAAGGTTGTCATGTTTCTTGTTACTGCTGCCTTATTTTTCGCTGCTGCTTTTGCCTCATTTCAAACTGCAGTCACTGTATTGGCCAAGAATGCATTCTCAGATGCTGGAAGACACGCCACTGTTGGTGCCAAGTCGATGGGTATCATGTGGGCGGCCTTTGTTTGCTTATTGATTTGCTGGGGATTGACTTTTGCCGCTATTATCAGCAACAGTTACAGGAAACATATGGAGAGAGTCAACCAAAACAAACAAGAAAAGGAACAAGGATACGGTTATAACGATGATGCTGCTGGTGCTCATGGCCAACAAGGATATCCAAAGGGTGTTGCTGCTTCTCGTGACGATTCTTCTTTTACTAGAGCCCACGTTAGAGATGAAGATGAAGAAGCAAACAATGGCGGAATCAGATTCTTTAAGATAAAGAGAAACCAAAAGGTCGTTGAAGATGAGTCTGCTTAATTTGAAGGAGGAGAAAAGATGAGCTTAGTCAAAGAGGGAAGAGGGTGGTGTATCGATTTGATTAGCAGATGATCAGAATTCGATTAGTAAATGAGAATTAATCATCATCGACATCTCATTTCCAAGTTGCCGTTTGAGCCTGCCAGCTGACATTGAGATCGTTATTTAAAGATCAGACTGCCTGCTCCTCGACTATTCTTTTGTTGTTATTTTCGCTTACGTTGTTTTATATCCATTCTTTACACATATTCTTTTTTAGATATATACCTGAAAATACTAATATTTTATACTCGTTACGAAAAAACTACTTCGTGCTTTCTTTTCCAAAGCTTCAACTATTTTGTCTTCTTCTCTTTGCGATGAACTTCTTTGCTTTTTGCGAGTCTGCCAGAGACTTATACACCCTTTGGGATTCTAGTCAAAGATTAGTATCCTTTTAGTGAACCTTGCAACTGTGTGTGTCTAAAGAAGTATTTAGAATAGAGTAGAGCATTACTACTTTACATGGGTATTCTGTGAAACTTGTCGAGTATTGTGGGTGTTCCTTTCTCTCTCTCCTCCCCGCATCGTGCTAAAACTTCCTGTTAAGATTGGCCCCTTCAAAAAAGAGTGGTGGTTGGTTCCCACAACAGGTAATTATAACAGCACTGAAACAAGCAAAGTCAGCCACCCGAAGACAATTAGATGCAAACAAATTTTGCAACCTCAATCCGGTGTTGCGCTATCCCTCTGTAAATCCATCTCGCACGAAGGGAAAATGTTTCCTTCTCTCTCGATCCGATGTATTTGCGTCTGTATTCGGGGAATAAATAAGAATATGCCGGCCGACGCAAATGCAGACACAGAGTCCGCCGCCACTACTAACACACAACACACTGACAAATATAGAGAGAGAAAAACAAGAGACACAAATTGAAAAAAGGATGTTCGGATTTATATACCGGAAACGCGTTTTTGTTTGCTGTATGCCCAAGAGTCGGTATTTGCAAAACCGTTACCTTGGTGGCGGGGGGGCAAAGATACACTTCAATATATGTACTGAACTCACTTCTCTCAAGACTTCTACTGTCCTCCGTTGTTATTGCTTGTCTTTTTTAAATGTTCTTTTTTTTTCTGTCATCAGCAAGGACTGGATAACTCCGACAACAAATAAAAAAACACACACAGACACAGACACAGACAAATTATGTTTATGTAAGCTAATGCAACGAATTCTCTTCTCTTGACAGAAGAAGGTTGTGCTACAAAAGGGTATGACCTCATTCATCCTTCATGTGGATGACTGATCTTGCTGTATAAAAGTTGGATTTACTTCATACTCACTAAACTTTACTAAGCAGAAAGAGAGAGATAACAGCTGTTGTCTGTCTACTGCACCTGAGTTTCTTTTTCTTTTTTTGTTTCTTTTTCTTTTTCTTTTTCTTTTTTCTCCTTGTTGAGATTTATTTAGTTATTTAGAGAGAGCCGACAGAGAAGGTTTGAGAAACGTGCGTTTTATTAATGGACAGATAGGCGAATCTCCTTTTCAAAGAACCATTTTTCCACCTTTGTAGTGGAGCTGGAGTAGTTGTAAATGTAGTAAAACACTCTCTGATACATAGGAAGCACTCCGGTTACGCAGACAGCTGATAAAATCCTATACTTTGTATTTGTTAGTAATACATTTGGTTTAGGATTTGTTTTCCCGATCTCATTTCATTTCATGCAGTTAAATTAAATAAAATACAAATTTAAACAAAACATAACATTTCATAAATTTATACTCAGCAGAATCGCAACCAAAACTCAACCATTATAGCCCCCTACTGTCAATCCACACTTCACCTTTGCCGCGTACACACATACACTCAAACACACCCCATACACTACACACCACTATGAAGGATCATCATAGTGGACTCAAATCCTTCTTCAAGAAGGAGTTGTCTCCATCTAGCTCAAACGCATCATCTGCCAACCCTGACCCTTCTGCGTCTCATTCAAAGATATCAAAGCTATTCCATCACCACAATCACCACAAGGACAAAGATGAGTTGTCCAATACGGCTTCTTCTTCCAGAAATTCGTCTCCTCAGGATAAACAGCAACAGCAATCATCCTCATCAGCAGCACCTTCTCCAGCAGCAGGAGGAGGAGATGGCTTGAAAAGAGCTTCATCCGTGCTTTCGTTGAGACGCAGAAACACCAATCCTATCAACCCATCTCCAACAAATGGAAGAGACAGAGCTCCTTCCGATTTGCAGCACCCAAGACCACAACATGTGTCAGCAGCAACTCCCAACAAAAAATTATCAAAAGCTGAAACTTTGGCCCATTTCCAACAAATTGACAATAGAAACAGAGCAAGTCTGCATTTGAGAAGTAGCAGAGTCCCATCTGCTCACAACTTGGCCTCGCACTCACCCGGTTCAGAAACTGCATCACCAAATCATGAGAAGATGGTTTACAATCCATACGGAATGAAAAAGACTCCTTCACAAGAGGTTAAAAGAAACACGAGTTTCTACCTTTCTGGAAACAATGACGGTGAACGAATCGTGGCTAACCCCGTTGCCAACCCCAACGATTATCTTCCACCAGATTTGCAACAACAGCATGTCAATTTGTTGGAGGATTTTGAAATTGATGTCAGTAACAAAAAGTTGGGTGATGGTGGTTCCTCGGACGTTCGAATCATCAACTCTCGTCATAACAAGCGTCATTTGTACGCATTGAAAAAATTCACCATGTTGAGCAAAGAAACCGATGAAGAGTTTTATGAACGTGTACTGAAGGAGTATGTTATACAAAAGAGGTGTTCCAAATCGAGGCACGTTGCTGACGTATTGGCAATACTACGTATCCAAAGCCAAACAAACTTAACTCGTGGTTGGGGTGTGGTTATGGAGTACTGCAATGGTGGTGATTTATTTTCACTCATTGTTCGACCTGGATGGAAGAAATCACCCTTGAATGAAAAATACTGTTTGTTTAAGCAAATTGCTTATGGATTGAAATATATTCATGAATGCGATATTGCTCATCGTGACTTGAAACCAGAAAATGTATTGCTTGATTCTAATGGGTTAGCCAAATTGTGTGATTTTGGAGTGAGTACCTATCAACATGAGATTCCCGGTGACTTTAGTAGTCCTGTCAAATTGTCAACATCCTATGTCGGATCACCGCCATATTCTCCACCAGAAGTTATGCTTTTGAAAGATAAGTCTGCATCTGAAGCTAAAAACTTTGCATACGACATGTTCAAATCGGATGATTGGGCTTTGGGGATGCTTTTGTTTTGTCTTGTGTATGGAGGTGTACCTTTCCAACAAGCAACCCCAACAGATCATGGATACAGGGATTATGCATTTAATCACAAGAGATTTTGCAGTGATCATCACAATTTCAAAAACAACAAGGGGTTCAATAAAGGGCCCGGAGTAGAGTTTAAAATGGCGTCCAAATTTGAAAGCACTGGTGCTTCTAGAGTTGCTTGGAAGTTGTGTGACCCTTCAGTTTCAACTAGGTATGATTTGGAGTTGTTATTTGAAGATCCTTGGTTCCAATCGGTGGAGATGTGTATTTACGAGGATCCTGATCAAGAAGTAAATCCATTTGTGTTACCAGGTACTGGAGAAAACAACCATGGTTCAGGTGCTTCATCGGGCTTTAATTCACAAGCACCTTCGAGAAGGGGTACTTTTAGCAAGCAACATAATGGAAATAGCGATGGGTATTATAGTCATGATGAAGGGTCGTCGAAAATTGCTTCATCAAGCAATGCCTCTCTTCACTCAAACGATAATGGGTTACCACGTACTAGGTCGATGCTTGATTTTGATCACATGCAAGCATCGCCTAAACAACAGCAACAGCAACAGCAGCAGCAACAGCAACAGCAACAACAACAATTGACGTCATCTTCAAACTCATCGCCATTTCAACAACCACAGCAGTCCTCTGCGGACAATTCACCACTTAACAATAATATTAATGGTAACCTACCGGCTTTAGAAGAGAGTGACATTGAGCACGAGCATGAGTCGGACGCAGCTCGAAAGCAAGACCAACTTGAACAAGAACATATTGAGCACCAATTGCAGATAGAGCAGCAGCAGCAATATGATCAGCAACGAGGACTTGAGGAGAAACAACTTGAGGAAAAGAGGGAGCAGCAGCAACAACAACAACAACAAGAAGAAGAAGAGTTGGATTCATCCAAGAATGGTGAGGCGGATCGGGGCTCACCATCTTCTCTAAACCATAACGCCCATGCTCCTCAACGTGAACCATCAAGTTTCAAATTGCCACCAAGTAGACACGACACTTCCAACACATCCAATGATGATGACAATGATAATGCTAGTTGTCATTCATTGAGTGATATCCAGCACCATTATGACCGTGTTTTGCGCAGTGTGAGTAATTTGAAATTGGAAGCCGATGGCACATGTGATTTAGGTTACAAGTTGAAGAAACATCATCATAATGACGTTAGCAATGCTGCTAGTGTTGGTAGGAGGTGAAACGTATTGAGAGAGGACTTGTTTGTTTACGTAGTTTGTGTATTGAGCCTTGTTTCATATATAGTAGATGAGACATATCGGTACTCACTAAACAGGATCAGCAAGATTTACAAACTGTAGTTGGCTTGCCTATACAGCCTCTTTTGTTAAACGTCAAAATTTTTTCTTTTTTTAATCTTTATTAGTTTAATATACACAAATAAAGCTCCTAATCATGCTATTACTCTCTCCCTCTCCTTCACAAGCTAGTAATCACTCTTAAGCTTCCAAAGAAACTCTACCCTTTGGATTAGTAACCTTGACACCAATCTTCTTAGCCTTTGAAACAATATCGACTCTGTTCTTGGCAGACACATTATGAGCAATCTCAGCAGCATAAGTCTTAGTGTGCATAACCAACACATCCAAGTCCTTCAAGTTCTTGACGACAAACACCTTGTGGCCAGATGGGGTCATGAATTTGGTCTTTTTGTTGGATCCGTAACCAATGTTTGGTTGAGGAATGGTTCCTCTGAATCTTCTACGGACACATGAGTCAATACCCTTTTGCTTTCTCCAGTTTTCGGCAACTCTGTGGTATCTGTCGGAATGGTGTCTCTTGAATCTCTTGGTGTATTTCTTGACAATCTTTGGGTGTGGAACTGAGGTAGCCACTAGAAAATGAAAAATTGTTAGTATTTGAGTGCTGGTGGTTGAATTGCTGTCTTGAGGGATATAAGAAGAAGAGGAAAGGGGAGAAGGAAAAAGAGCGTTCACCGTATTGGTTGTGGTGATACACATATCCGCGCTCACTTCCTGAGATACTGGACAACGGATGAGGTCCCAGATACCTCATAGACTCTCCACATTACTGAACCAAATAATCTTCAGTCATTATCCTGAACTCCCGGTTCGATGGTATCCCGATTCGTCAATTCGCATCGCTTTTTGGGAAAGGCATCTGTTATTTGGGTGATCTCTTCCCAGTTTTATCCTTCATGTCAAAGCTCATTGCAAAGCGAGTCACAGTCCCTCTCTTTCCTTGAATTATCCCTCCTGTACCCCCCTTGACTAAATGATCTCATATTCCAGTCGAAACATACTCTTTAATTAATGTGTCGTGGTTGTTATCAGGAAAGGAAAACGTTAGGGGGTTTTCTCTACTTAGAAAATTTTTCAGTATGACAATGAGTGAGTGAGCAGAGTGAGAGAGCAGAGTGCGAGCGAGAGAGAGTGTGTGTGTGTGAGAACATTGAGAGAAGCGCTAACAAAACAATTCTGAAGTGGTACTGCATATTAGGAGATACGTCGGTAGCGCGTCTCCCTGCTAGAGCACTAGGTAGCAGACAGTACAAGGGAAAAAATGTCAATCTGGGTTATAGCCCTAGCACAAAGAACAGCACACATCGCCAAAGTTCTCCTCCCTCCTCCCTTCCTGAATGGGAAATGCAAAGGTTTGAGATGTTTGTATGTCTTGGGCTAAGAAAAATCGGAAACGCTCATTTACACTCGAAAAGGGATCTGACTAAGCCGTGTCGTAAGTTACATTCCCTATACTTTCATAACTTTACGAACCGGGCACACCAATGTGCTCTGTTTTGACTTTGTTATTTAGGCGGAGTTAATCTCTGGTCTCTAATGACAGTGGATTGCATGCAACGCTTTGTCTCATATTTTCTGTGCCGCACAATATAAGAGACAGAAAGAGCTTTTTACTCGTTCCCACAATAGCAATCGTAAATAAGCCTAACTGAGGTTTGCGTATAATCCCGAGGTTACAAAATCTGTAGATTCAATAGACACAGTAATATACTCAAAGCTTGTGGTCAGTATTGTACAAAAACACAGTAAAGGGGGAAGGGAGGGAGGGGGGGGTCATCCACCTCCCTTCTCAGCTACCAGAAATGTGCATGCACCATTAGCTTGTTTGTTTGTTTATTTGTGAATGACTACTGAAAGAAAGTGTTTCTGTAGAATGGGTTAAAAGTACTATTCGTAAAGGCTTTTTTTTATCTTTTTCTTTTTTCTTTTACATTGTGTAATTGATTGGTTTTTGTTTACATCAAATGCAAATACAGCAAGTAACAAACACAAGTTCTCATAACCGAGTGCAAGTTGGTCAACATTACATATTTACTACCAAACCCTCTGGAGCAATGGGTATATAGCGTATTTCGACTACTATTGGACTTATATCTCAACTGAACACTTGCTTTATCATCATCGCCTACATTGGATATTAGAAGACGCATTTTTCACTTTACTTCACACAACAGAGTGAACCCCACGCCCTAAGCTTATTTTTTTTGTTTTTTAGCAACCACCAAATATCCCATCCATTAGCTACCCAAAAGCACAACAAATCAGACTCACATTAGGGAGCTCTTAGTAAGAGAATATGATCGATTGGAAATCTATAAACAGTAGTAGCTTGCTATACTACCTGTTCAGCGCCATTTTGCTATGGGTCATTTCATGGTACATCATCTACATGATCACAGGGCTTCACCTACAGTCCATATCAATCAACAATGGTATCTCCTTCAATGGGGTTACCTTCAAAACCAAACGTATGCGGGTCAAAATACGAAGTTTGAGGTTCAGATTATGGGGTAACACCAAAATGACAATCATTGATGAGCTAGAGGTGAAGCTCTATCCTATCCCTCAACCAAGGAAACAGAAGAGGAAGGCATCTACGCGACAAGATGAAAATGATACCGATTCACTTGAGAATGATATCTGCATCTACCCACACAATGTTATCTTAAGAAATGCTGTGCAATTCCTTATACGACGTTTACCATGGCTAGATTTGGAAATGCGAAACACAACCTTCTACTCGGCACTTGACTATAAAACCACCATAGAATACCTCAAGTATAATGCCAAATCAAGAGATAGTTTGAGACATAAAGATCGGTTGAAATTTAGAACTGGATTGTTTTTGAACAATGTATTTCATGAAATCAAAGCCAAAAACGAGCTTTTGACCCCATTGAGATTGGGAAGTTTCAGAGTTGAGCTAAAGTTTCTGATCGATTATAGGAGCGGTATCATTGGCGGATTTATTGGAAAGATTAATGTTTCCGAAAGCAATATCCTGGTGTTCAATACTGCAAAGTATTATATACTACACGACGAGTTGAAAAAAGCAAACAAGAAGGACTATCACTTTTCGGATGGCGTTGAACTAGATGACAATGAAACTGGTGCGTCAAGTAAACTGGACTCGCAAGCAAAACTTGAAAAGACATTTCTGTACATACACAAGTTGCTCTCCGACGTCACCATCCATGTTGAAAATTCACGAATTTCAGAGATCCCATTTGTGACTATTGAAAACAACGTTTCGATTGCAGAATACTACAACGAAGTTAAACCAAAGACGTCATTGGAATTGGTGACGAAATCAGTTTCATTCAACATGTCGAGATTGTACAACGATGCAGCAGGTTTCGAAGTGCTATTCAATCCTAAGCAAGATATCCCATTCCACTCTACTCTTTCCATACAATTGTTCAAATTATTTTTTGCAAAACGTGTGACCATGGTGAGTGGAGCGTATGGACTAGAAACCGATGAAATATTGAGCATGCCCAATTACTCATTCACCCATAAAACAAATATGTTGAGCCAAGTTGTGCAAGCAAAAGGGTTCAAGAATTGTGTCATGGAGACATTCTCGTCCGCCAGCTCACCTATATTTGACGTTGACTCGCGTCAATTGAGTGCTTTTTTGTACAACATAGTGTTATTCAAGAAGTGGTTAACGCTAAGGAAATTGCTCAAGAAAACCAACAATGGAAGACATGATCTTGACGGCCATAAAGTGACCGTAAAAGAAGAGCACCACGGTAATCGAGAATCGCTCAAGGCAAAACTTTGGAGATACATAAATGAATACTATCCCAAATTGGATATCAAGTTTGTTGTTGAGCAACCACGTTTTATTCTACGAAATTTTGATGATGGCGACAATACCCAGTTGTTGGAATTCTCCTGTTCATTACTGAATTTTAATCTATCAACGACACTGACTCGAGATTATGTTTCCAATTTGGAAGTGTTGTATCCAAGTGTCAAATATGTGTCCAAGATAAACACAGACACCAAAACCGCGTCATTGGATCCTGTTCTGAAAGAGATCTTTGGCCTTAGAATTGTCAATGTGAAGTTGGACGTTTTCAAAAATTTGACTGTATCGTCTATTATTGAATTACATGGCCTTTCCATACAGTTGACCAGTTTGGACATTTTCAAAGGAATTCATTGGCTTCTTCTGGACGTGACAAAACTAGCCGAAACTGATCTTGATATTGGAGTATTAAACAAAAAGTTTAATGATGAGCTAGCTTACTTGAAGACGAGATTGGAGAAACAGATTAGGGAGCCTCGGAGTTTTGAAAAGGTGCAGGTTCCTCGAGTCAAGGATAAACTATTTCGATACTTGCCCTTTTGGCTCGCTCAAGTGGAGATACGTTCAACAGACTGGGCTATATCTATTGGATCTAGATCGGTTTTGATCCCAAAGCAAGACTTGTTCAAATCAGATACAGCCGATCTACAATATGATACCGATGACAGTAAGGAATTGAGAAAGGTGAATATAAAACTCAACAGTTTCAAAGCTGGGCTTGTGAATCATGGAGCGCAAAGAGTTGACGAACAAACTCGCCATGATTCTTCATCCTCCTCACTGGATACTCTCACATCGTTTGATCTTGATTCTGAATACTGGTCGGTATCGGCTACACTTGAAATGTTTCAGATCTTTATGCCAGATGACAGAAGTACAAAACGTTCAAATACCGAGCCGCTTATTGAGATACCTACATTCAAATACGGGATCGATTCTGTAAGTGACTACCAGGGACGTAATCAGCTAGTGGTACTGCTGAATATGGACAAGTTGCAGACCTTTTACAATAGGTATAAATTATTTACGTTGATTGGCTCTATATACTTGGTGAGAGAGTTTATTGTCACTCCAATGAAAATGATGAAGCTGAAATTGAAGAAGGATATGGACAAGTTTGAGGAACCTCCAGAAAGCCCACAAGGCCCAGAATCACGCGAACTGATGCTTGATTTCATCCATGCAACATTCAATTTGGAAACGCTGGATATTGTTCTACAGATTGCAGACTCATACAATCTCAAAGTTCAATTGGCAAATACACATGTGGAATTGGCAAACAAGACGGTGAAATTGTCGTTGTTTTTCTTGAGATGTCTAGCTGACTCGCCTAGTGCCAAAGGTAAGTGGTGTCGTTTGCTTTGCCTCGATTCCTTGAGCTTAAACTTTGAGATACCAAAGTCAATAGACAACCTATCACTTGACGTGCACACAGACGCAATAAGATTGATCCAGCCTCATAAGTTTATTGTTTATGAATTGTTTGACAACTTGTCACTAACTGCCAAGCTTTCCAAACATTTGATCAAACTTCTCAAGGCTGATGACTCAAAGGAAGGTGCCAACATTGTCCATCCTCATGAAATGAAACCAATTGCGTTGCCAAATGTGACGGTAAAGTCGAACCACTTGAAGTTTACAATGGAAGACGATCCATTTGAAACAGAATTGAACATGATTTACCAGTTGGGCAAGACTGAACAGAGAAAACGATTGGAATTGTACTCTCTTTTTGAAGAAAGAGAAGCTCGACTAAGTGATGATAAAGAATACTTTACACGATTGGAGAGGTTGCACACTACCATATCGGAATCATGGATGCGAAAAGTCAAGATTTACCAACAACAATTGAGAGATGAAGTTATTGCACATAAGGATTATCTTTTTGGGAATGAGTGCCGTTTTGATTCCGATTATAACAAAGATGTTGTGGCGTATCCATACGATGCCCCTTTATTGACCATTGGCATGGAGGGATTCAACCTTAATTTATCGAAACCTGATTTTGGTCTTGAAAATATCGCCGATTTCATTCACAACGTGGGGCAAGGTGTTCCAAAGAATACAAAGTACTCGGTGATGGTGCCAATGTATGTAGATTTGAAATTGGCAGAAATGAGAATGCAATTGCGTGATTATCCACTACCAATTTTGTACTCCCCTAGGAATAAAAGCACTGCCAATGCCAGCTTAATGTTGCGAGGTGACTTGGTTATAAGTGAAAGATATGTCACTGATGAAAAGGAAATTAGACAATTACACGTTCCACTAGTTGCCACCGATAAGGAAGATGCCAATCGGTATGACTTGTTAACTATTGAAAAAACACTTTCCAGTATCAAGATGTATACCAAGATGGATTGCGACTTCAATTCCGACTACCCAACAAGAATTGTTTGGGGTACATCCTACAATTTTGGTATACAACAATTTATGCTTAACTTTGACCAATTTTCCAAACCACCAGTTGATCCATCACAGAAATTGGGATTTTGGGACAAGCTCAAGTACATTCTTCATGGAAGCTGTATTATTAACACCAAGAAGAGTTTAGAGGTGGGGTTCAAAGGGTCCAGAGATCCATATGAGTTGTTGTCAACTTCAGGAGGATTTGTACTCTCCTTCAAAAAGAATGTGATTTGGAAAATCAACAAGGATGACAATTCAAGAAACTTTTTTGACATCACTTCGGACAAAGTAGCTTGGTATATACCCAACTACTTGGCAACGCCATTATTAGCCTGGACCAGAAGCAGTATTGATTCCGTTTACCTTCCAGAGTCCCCACATTTTATCAATACCTGCTTTGGCTATTATCTTGAAGATTCTGCTACAAAGCCCGACTTTGATTTGCTAAACAATGTTTATGGCAAGAATGTGATAAGTTTAAGCGGGGGCATTGCGTTTCATGTTGGATTCCTTCTTCAACGCAAAGTCGATGGTAAGAGAGTTGAAGATTTCAAACCGCATTATGATGTGCATCTAACGAATCCGAAATATTGTGACGATGGACACGATTCGTATGCTGGTTTTAGATCTGAGTATGTACACATGGCAATATCTTTGGTGGCTGACCGTGAAGCTAGTTACAACACCATACACTTGAGTCCAGGAGCTTTTAATCAACTTTTTGCATGGTGGAAATTGTTTGCTAGTAACATGATGTTGCCAATACGACGAGGTCCGTTGTTTGGTGAAATGAAGAAATCGGTCAAATTTTCTGAGCATTTGTTTACCAACAAGTTTTCCTTCTACTTGAAGTCGTTGTTTATTGCCCACATGTATCGAGATGAGATTGTGGATATTGACGATGATAGAGTTGAGTGTGTTGGCTTAAGAGGTAGAGTTGACGAGTTTTCGGTTGATTTGCATCAGCGGAAGCAACCAGTAACCTTATATCACGAAGAGCTTTCCAAACGAACCAAGGTCATGAAGATGAACTTCAATATTGGAGAAGTGACGTTATCAAACATCGATTTGCGAGTTGTGCATGCAAGTTTCTCGCAAAACTTGTATCATGAAAACAGAAACTACAATGAAAAAGAGTCCAGCTACAACATTTATGGCGATGAGAAGATTTGGTTTGACATGCAGGATTATGAAGAGACATTCTTGCCGTCTTTGAAGCATTGCCCACGCACGGTTGAAATCTACCCGCTTATGTTTTCCGAAAGGTTTTCATACGAAAGAGATACCGAAAATGATGCCAGTGCAAACCAGGAGGATGACCAGTTTGGAAATGAAGACATCCACGATTGTCGGATCCATGCACGCAAAGAGTCTGACCTGAGGGTTAAGATGCTAGAGGCGAGACAGGGGGCAATTGATCAACAAATTACTAAATTACGCAATAAAGGTGCTTCCACTAAGGAGTTGGAAGAAAGAGCCAGATTTGTCAAGCGCATGGTTGATAATGCAAAGAGAAGTGCACCTGTTACTCATCGAAATCAATCAATTGTATCTATTGAAAAAGAAGAGCATTTCCATAACAAGTTTACGTGGCTGAGTATGCTACTCAAATGGAACAGGACCTGCCGTGATAATGCTATGAGGTATCTCCATTTTGTTCAATTGAAAGCGACCATGAGAAAGTACTTGTCATATGAATCAATTTCAACCCTTGAAAAGTTTATTAAAGAGAACGACTATGGGTCCGATATTGAATCTGTACCGTCTTCCAGCCAACCAAGTGACCAATTCGTGGGCAACGGCGAAGACAATCTAAAAATAAAGTCAAGATCCGCGGAACAGACTTCACAGGAAAGGCTCGAGAATTTTACAAAAATCTTGAAAGAAGTCGAAGGGAATAGATCGTTATCAGAAGATTACTTCATTGACGTTGTTTCACCTCAAATTCAACTTCAAAGCGATGACTCTCCAGATTCTGTGGTGATTGTGTCTACGCCTTCAATTACAGGGAAATTCATATCGGTGTTGAATTCAAAAGATACCGCCAATCCTGAAGTTTTGGAAACAAGGTTTGGTGTGGTTTTGCAAGATGCAAGTGTGTTTGTTTTGAACAAAAAGGATGTTTTGGGCGCAGACTCCATGATACTTGCTAAACTGCCATATGGTGCTAAAGCAAACTGGCCGCCGTGGCTTGGTCCAGAAATTACTCAGAGGGGTATATGGGCTGGTGAAAATCAACTACTCATACAGAACTTATCGGTCATGGTGGTGTTTTACGATACGGAGATAATGAGCAAACAGTTGTCGAAAGGCAATGAGGATACTTCCGATGCGAATGATGATCTGGGGTTGTCCACCCTGGTGGAAGCACCAAAGAGGTTGCGGATAGATATGCCGTCGGTTGTTTTGACGTCTACATCTTCGCAATACTTTGCGTTGTACCTGATAATTGTTAGTCTTTTGTTTTACAGCGAACCAATGAGTAAAGCAATTGCTGAAAAGATTGAAAAGATGAAGTTTTCAATTGATTTTGATAATTTGCCAGCCGTGGCGGAAAAAGTCAAAGGGATGCAACTGTATTTCCGTATCATGAGATTGTTGAATGCCAACTACAGCTTCCGAAGGGGCCATATGAACAACGAGGATTTGAACAATTACCTACAATTAAACTTGGAAACTGGTGATGTTGCTAGCGAAATTTACCTTTTGTTGAGGACCTTGCTAATGGGGGACTTTTTCAGTGACACCTCAAACCACCCACAAGTTTCTTTCTTGATTAAAGCGGATGAGGTTATTTTACATATCTTGGAAGATGACCGAACTCCCATTGTGGATCTTGCTCTTGCCAATGGTGTCTACAAACGAAAGGAGCTTGAAAGTGGGTCCAATTTGAATCAAATACAGATTCAAATGTTGCAAGGATTCAATCTTATCAAAAATGCAAGGTATCCTGATTTCATTGGTCCGTTTGATTTGAGTCAACATTCAAGTAAAAACTTGATTGATTTACAATGGACCATGAATAGATCTGTTGGTGGAATTAAAGTTGTTGAAAATTTACAAGTGAATGCTTTACCGTTAAATATCAAAGTTGATGAAATAACTGGTGAGAAACTTATGAAATTCATATTCCAAACTGATTCTACAGATATCAAAGAAAGCAAAGTTATCGAAATGGCAAACAATACAGAAGCTAAAGAAAAGGAGCTTGAAGATCCTTCGGAACAAGATCAGTACGGATTAGTGGAGGAAACAGAGGGAGCCAACAAGAGCGCTAGATTGGATAGAAAGCTTCAAGAACGAAGCATGACGAGCTCTAGACTGAATAAGCGAAGTTTGACTCGTCTTTCAGGAAAGAGTCATTCAAGCAGCAAAAGTTCCAATGGCGGTAGAGACGACGAGGAAGATGCTGACCAAGTCAATGAAATGATTGAAAGATCAAAACAATACTTCTCAATCATTTCTCTTACCGTCAGGGCCATTACCTTGCGAATCACCATCAAATTGAACAAGGGGTACAAGAGGTTGTTGAATGTTCATGATTTCAGAGTTGAATTACCCGAGTTGGTGATCAAGAATCGTATTCTTTCATTTATTGACTTGACGGATATTATCAAGAAATTGGTTCTAAAGAGTCTTTGGAGTCATATAGGCCGTTTATTGAGCAACAAAATGACCACAAGTGACAAGTCACTGGATATGTTGGCGAATGAAAAATTAATGTCGGTGAAAACTTACAACAAGTTTATTCCAATTCGTGAATTGGCAGTAGTTAGAACTAAGGAGTAGACTATATTACAAGAGATATATATATTTACACAAGAAGTATATTCATTGTAGTTTTGCTTGTAATCTCATCCTCTTAAACATGCTGCTTCTTTTCAGCACCTCCACTTTGATGCTTCTTCTTACGCTTCTTATTCTTATCATCATCTCGATCATCACCCCGCATCAAAGTTTGTTGGTCACCAATAGCCAAATCAGCAACATCGAATCCAGGGATTCCATTTATCGGAGTCTTATCAAACTTCAACGCTCGTTTCAACAATTCCTCATCAAACAGGTTGATAATATCTGGATGTTGCGCAATCAGCGGATCCATTAGTCCAATGGGTATCGATTTAGGTTCAGGTATCTGATGCTTGCCTGGTAGATCCAGTATATGCGCCTTGTAAGACTTCCTAAGCTTGACGTTCTTTGACCCATCGGGATTGGTTCGGGATAGCAGCTCCGCTACTGGTTCCAAGTTGTATAAATGAAGGAGATTTTGTAATGGTGTGGGTTTGGACGGTTGGTAGGTCTCTGTGAGGAAGAGTCGTTAGTATTGAGAGCTTCAAGTGGAAACAGTGTTGATTAAACATACTTGTAGAGTCTATTAGATAGTACTTGTCCTGAGTCCCCTCTGCCATGATTGTAGATTGAGTTGAGCTACGGTGATGGATTTGATTGAAAATGTGGTTTTCTCTTGCGCGCACATTTTTAAAGAGCGCTTTCAATTATCATTTTTATATATTGTCATTATTAATACAAAATAGATATATACAACTTGAAGCAGTCGTTTTATTCCCCCTCCCGCTTACCTCGTATAGTTTCCAAAATCGCTATCCTCTTCCATCAAATTACTCGAAATGAATTGCAGTCTCTTCGATATTCATGTTGTATGCACCTCTATGCACCTCTACGCTTTACTTTTTACCAACAACTTCCCAATCATCATTGCTGCTATCCTTGTCGGACACAGATAAGTTGGCAGTTGCCGATTCCAATTTGTTCACACTGACGGATTCGCTCTCTTGCTTACTGTCTTCTTGCTCTGCCTCTTTGTCATCTTTATCTTCCTCATCATCTCCATCGTCAACACTCAACACACTGTATTGAGACTTTTGCGGTCCTTGTGGCTTGTCCTCCTCCTTCTTTTCATCTCTATGCTTCTGACCGTGTGCTGGTTTGGTGCGTTGCTGCAATGGTTGACCTCTCTTCCAGTCAAAGTCATTTTCCGAATTCTTTCTATTTGAAACTGATCTGTTTGATTTTTCTCTTGGTGGTAAAGTTGTTGTTAACGTTCTTGCTGATCCCCAATCCAATTCTGGTTCTTGCTTTCTTGGCTTAAAAGAGCCACGTTCATGTCCCTCGCCGTGGCTTGATGTCCTTGATGATCTCTGTCTTGGTGGTAGATCAGCATGGGAGCTCCTTACCGAACCCCAATCCAACTCGGGTTCGTCTCTTGATTTGTGTTCTCTTGGACCTCTATTTGACCTTTCTCTTGGTGGCAATCCACTAGACTCTGACCTAGCAGCACCCCAATCTAAGTCGGGTTCGTCTCTTGGTTTATGTTCTCTTGGACCTCTATTTGACCTTTCTCTTTGTGGCAATCCGCTGGAGTCTGATCTAGCTGCACCCCAATCGAAATCTGGTTCGTCTCTTGGTCTGTGTTCTCTTGGACCTCTATTCGACCTCTCCCTCACTGGTAGTTCCGCTTGTGATTTTCTAGCTGCACCCCAGTCCAAATCAACTTCTGGTTCTCTTCCACCCCCCAATGGACCCGATCTACCTGATCTCCAATCACCTTCGTCAGCTCTTGGTGGAGCAGCTACATTGACAAAAATCTTTCTTCCTTGAAAATCGCTCAAAGTCAAATTCAACGACTCTTCGAGAAGACCTCTTTCAGTGAATGTAACAAATGCATACCCTTTTAATCTTCCGTTCTCTCTGTCAACAGGTAACTTGACTTCTGTAATGATATCCTGAGCTTGCATTCTGTCCTCGAAATGTCTCACAATAACTTCTTCGCTAACTTCCCACGGCAAGTTGGAAACACGAGCAACATATGGTGGTTTATCAGGAATTGGGTACTCCTTTCTTTCCTTTCTTGGCTCTTGGAAACGACTTTCGCCTCCACCAATACCAGAGAAGGAAGATTTACCTCCAATTGGAGCTTCAGTGGTGGATTTATCCAATGACAACCCAATAGAGTTCAAGTCAACTTCCTCATCGGCCCAGGAAGTTCCACCATAGCTGTCGTCCGCTAAAAATGAACCCAAGTCCATTTTAACATTCTTTTTAGGTGCCATGATTTAATATAAGCTGAATCTTCTCTGTATCTGAATGTATAAAGTTATAAGTAGCAAACAGGAGATGTGTAATGAAGATTGAATCAACACTGGATACCCTGTGACGTGTGTATAGCGTATGCGCTTTTTGAAGCTATCCGTAAGGCTTTTTCTATAATCGAGAAAGATGGATTTTGAAAAATTTTCGCTTTGTAATAACTTAAACTTTTTTATTTTTTTTTTCTCTCTCTCTCTCTCTTCTGTTCGCAACTTTGTATCCGCAACACTTTATCTAAACATTATCACAATTAAAACAGAAGCAACTATAAACACAGTTTCTACACACGATTATCCACCACTTCTCTCCTTCTGGTTGCTTCAGCAACGTCAATCTCAGTTTGACCAGCAGTAGCATATGCATGATTTGACGTAGAAGAAGTGTCTTCAGCTAGTTGATGCTGATCATTTGCAACTTGATTGTTTTGATTCAACCTTCCGTCCGCAGTGGTTGTTCCAACATTTGCCAGCCCTGACAGCTGTAGTTCCTCCAATTGTCGAGCACGCCGATGCTCACTAGCTATTGTCAACACCGCCCAGTAGAAAAGATCCAGTCTCTTTATACCCAAAACCTTCCAAACGATAACCTTGAAAAACCTTCCGTATTTCTTCTTTGCCATTTGCTTAGCCCGTTCTTCAAGACTTATGCCTGCATACTGAGGATCGAGCAAGACAAGTCTAGCCCTCTCAGAAGTAGGAATCAAGTCTTGAAGAAAAGCTTGGAGAGTGGGATCGCGTTGAATTTCTTCAAAGTCAAGACTCTCAATACCATCATCATCATCATCATCGTCATCACTCTCTGTTCTACCATTTTCCACAGTCGCCAAATCAGTGCCCGCGTTAGTATTATCGTTTCTTCCTCCACTCTCCCCACTTGCTGGCTCATGTGTCTCATTTTCTGGCTGGTAATCCCTCTTGAACAAATAATCACGTTTGCACAATGGACAACATGCCCGACGTGTAGTTAGCCAAGGATCCAAACAGGCCGCATGGAAAACATGACCGCAAATCAACCCACGTACAAGATCATCATCTTCAAGCTCTTCGATGCAAATTGCACAAGAGCCTGAATCAAATTGTGGGTCAATGTGCAGCGATGCTTCGGTTCTGCAACAAGTTTTTGGATCCTCAGTCGTGATGTCACCGTTTGTAGCTACTTTTGTCAACTCGATACCATCCGGATGTTGTTCTTGGGCAGTATGCATTGAACTGACAGATGTCTCTTCTACAGACTTATCCAACGCCTCAACAGCCTCTAGCTCAACTTCTTCTTTAAGAACACCATCCCTCTTTGCAACGTCTCTCTCCTTTCCTCCATTCAACCAATCGTGATACGTCTTTTCAGGAAACAATTTCTCCACCTCCTCAGCAGTAAGCTTCTTCATCTTGCTGAATCTTCTTCTGCGTCTCCTCCTTCTGTCATGTCTTCTTCTTCCTCGCCGAAACCGTCCTTCACTGAACGCCAATGTTTCCTCGATTATATTGGCTCTTGTTTGATTATGATCCCGCATAAACCTCAACTGTTCTTGGATCTCCTCGCGAGTGAACTCGTGTATGAAAGCATGACTATTGGCGCCACCACTAGCATTCCCAAATGTGGAAGGGACATATGGACCTCTTCTGCCAAATGGGGAAGCGGCAATACCATATTTGGATCGAATGAAATACCTGATTGTGAAAAACACAAACACCAATGCAATGAAAACACCAACGGCTAAAGCTACAAAGAACAATACCGTTGATGGGGCACTTCCGATAAAGGACAAAGTGTCTGATGCACTCGAATCAACTCCTGTAGAAGTACTGGCGGCTGCAGTGTTAGATATCGTCCCTTGAGTAGAGCTTGGTTGTAGCTCAAATGACGCAAACGGCGCCGTTGTAGTTTGGCTTGCCATGTATGAGGTATGCTGTGAGATTGTCCTCCCTTCTTCGTTGGATCGAGTTTGTTCAAAAAAGGTATGCTTTGGTTGCGAAATTTCTACTAGACTGTGTCGGTCACTTTGCACAAGGTGATGTAGATTTAGATGATCGAATCTCGATTTTCGCCCCTTGGCTTTGTGTTATTTGTTTGAAAGAGAATAATTATCCTTCTTCCTTCTTTTGCCTTTCTCTCTCTCTTTCTCTCTCTCTCTCTCGAGATATCCTTAGTCCATTTGATCGGGAATTTACGTGATCCGTCTGCATTTACGAGACTACAATGTATCCGTGAGTTAATCATTGGACATCCAAAAAGATTAGCGGAATCGCTTTTGATTGTGATATCGAATTGCAAGACGTTAGCAAGTTTCAATAGATTTAGATGTATTGATAGTTTACGGATAATTAAAAGAATATTCTATTATATAATATTTTGACGCCTCTTTTGCCAAGCACTATACGTTATCAAGGTATCTTCTATAAATCCTAAACATCTCTACTCAGGCATTTCCAATTTGTATTTGCTCATAATAACTGTCAAAGTCATTCTTGATCCTTCTATGTACACATTCACACAACGGCTCTGCATTCAGATAATCGGTGGGTTTGTATGTTTCGCTTAATGGAGGAATCCTATGGTCATCATCAACACATTGAACAGGAGCCCCGTAGTCGTTCAACTCGTTCTTGGTTATACATCTTTAACCCAACTCACCAATGACTGCCCATTTGTCTCCTACGTGTACAGTTACAATCCAACGATTCTTTGCAATTCGCAACCCACATGATTTCGTTTCCAAGAAGCACAATTCATCATAGCATGTGATGGTTTTGTCACAAGATTTGGATTAAATGTATACCTCACCATCTGAAGGACCAAAGGTGTAAAGCTTTCCATTAAAGACGGTGATATTGGGGAAGACATTCACATCGTCTACTTACTCAAGCTCGTAATCGGCTAGCCACTCTTCGGGCTTGGCATTGGAGCATCGACGCTTGTCATTGTAGATTGTTCAAAAATATAGGTACTTTCTGAGCTTGTCAAACCAAATTGACAAATAAGGGCTGATTTTTATTTGTAACAAATGTGAGTGGGGACAATGTGGCCCTCAATAATTAGGCACAAGAATGAGTGCTAATACACAGTCAACATACAGTGGCGGTCTGACTTTTGATGCCATGTGTGTGTTGTTTGCACAAATTAAAAAGGATAAGAAAAATTCTGGAATTAGAACACCAATCCTTTTTCGCAGCAACGAGCTACTATTTGCAAAGTCAACTAAGCTACACATTACTCGCCAACGTCTATTATTTAGAACAGTATGAAAGTTTCTCCACTCTTCGTAACTGTGGCTTTGATTTACACTCAATCAGAAGGAGAGAAGTGGTAAATAATTGTGTGTAGAAACTGTGTTGAATATTTTGTTTATGGTAGTAATGTTGGTATTTTTGTTGGGATCTCTAGTTGAAAAATGAATTCGAATTTCACTGTTTCCACCGCTTGAATCGAGTCAATAGAAGAGGATAAGCGGCTTGATCGAGGAAGGTACAACTGCCATCACCAGTCTGTGTGTCGTATCAATAGTTGATCATCCATGTAACAGTCAAGACTCTTTCTATTTCTACAAATCTTCAACCCATTTTCTCTGTACAAACTCTCCAATATTGCAATTAGATACAAAATTACAGATTTTAAATACCAAATATATATGTACATATACACATATGAATAAGGCTCATCAAAAGCAAAAGAAAAGTAGTTAACCCCTTATTCAACACACATACATGTTTTATTACAACAAAGCTTTCTGAAGTAGTAAAGAATGAAACAATCCTTCTGCTCACTCCTTAAGCTTCAAGTTTATCGTGGAATCAGCTTAGTTCTTTGGGGCATCCTTGAAAGAAATGGCAGCTTCTTCACCCATAGCAGAGATGATAGTAATGATCAAGTCCTTACCTTCATCGAATTCAGATTGGATCTTGTCACCCAATTCACCATCTGGAACCTTGACATCATCCTTGGTGTCACCATCTTGGGTCATCAATGAAAGGAAACCATCGTCAATGTCCAACAATTGGAATTCTTGTCTTCTGACATTTGGAACCTCCATGTTGTGGGTGGATGGAGACAAATCTTCCAACTTCTTACCAGTGAAGATATCAATGGCAACTAAATGGACCTTGGCGTGACCGTGCTTACCGGTCTTGGAGGTGGACATATCAACAATCTTACATGGTCTGTTCTTGATGACAACATGTCCGTTTTTTCTCAATGCTGAACATTGCATTGGGAAAGTCAAAGCAGCACCGGCATCAGCGGTTTCGAAAGTGTGCTAAAAGAAAGGAGATTCTGTTAGTATTAGTTTCACTGGGTGTGAAAGGGTTGGATAGTGGAAAAGGATGTGGCTGGGTCTACAAGAGTAAGCTCAAGTCGTGTCACCTTCTCTTCTCTTCCCTCATCGCTGGACCGATGAAACCCGCCCTCATCAAAGTTGGCCCTTCGATTCAGTGACATGGCCTTCTTTCCAACGGACCACTGGTCACCTCCATCGTTGAGTTAATTGGGTGAGTGGAAAAAAAAAGAATTGACGGTTGACGTCGCCACCTCTCCTCACTCGCCATCACTCGCCATCACTCGCCATCACACACACACACATTCAATGGGATTCTCACAAGACCCCACCAATCCATCCCATTGAACCACGCTTCCGCAATAATCCAACCCCACACTGGAACAAAACAATTAGAACTAACGACATACATCTTCTTCAGCCATGGTTGGTCGTTAATTAATGGTCTTTTTCGTTGATTTGCTGAAAAAAAAAAAAAAAAATAACAAAACTTGGATTGATATATAAAAAAAAAAATTTTCTCCCTCTTCCTTTGAAAGAAATTTTTCGTCGTTGTGAACGACAACAAAAGAGCAAAAAGAATTGGGAAAAAATAGTTATTAATCGCACGACCTTTATTGGTGAAATTTTTCATATCCTCTCTCAACAAAGAGTTTACACAAAAGAACCAATACTCCTTCCAAAGACTCAATAAAGAGATCCTCTCTCTTCTTTTTTTTTTTTCTTTGCATCGTGGCTGATACTATATCTTTTTAATAATACAACTAATTAAATCACACAGAGGAGGTTTATACATATATCAACATTAATAACACTTTTCAAAAAAAAAAAAAAGAAAACAAACCCCAAAAGACCCATCAATCACCACACAGCCACACTCTCTCTATTGCAGTTTTTCCTTTTTCGTTAGTGGCCATCTCCCCTACGAATTGATAATCGCATTGACGGCTGCTGTAGCTGGATCAATTTCGTTGGAGCCGGTTTGCGATTCCTTTATCGAGTCACCATCACCAGGTTCAGTCGTATCTTTAGTCACAACGCTTTCACCTTGACTTTCATTTGCAGCACCATCATCTTTAGACTCGCTTTTGATGGCATCAACAACCGTACCTTCACTCTCTCTGACCTCTTCCTTGTTATTGTCTTGCAAAGATTGGGTGGTCCCTATATGTGGCTCTTTTAAAGTCGACTCCTCTGTCTTGGTTTCAGCTCCATTGGCGCCATTTTCATGACTTGTGTCAACTTTTTCACTTTCGTTCACCTTTTTCTCAGTCGATTCAGATTCCTCGTCTTTCGACTGCTCAATCTCTGGCAAACTTTGCTCAATACCACTAACCTCGGAATCATCATTAAACCCCGATCCTCCATTCTTCACCGACAACAATCTTGAATTTGAGTTTGTATTTTTGTTCGATTGTTCCTTCTCATACAAAATTTGCTGAATATATGGATCCCATTTTTCCAAAATCTCATTACAAAGTTCATGCAATTTGAAACTATCCGGATACTCCAAATCGCGATTCTTGATGATGTATTTCATAACCTTGTATAATTTGGTTTTTTTCAACAGTTCCTTATCAACTGCGAAATTAAGCAATCGATACAAAATCAAACGAACAAGCAGAAGCTCGTCAGCTGAAGGCGGCGATTTTTGTAGATCTCTCTGTATCAACGTTCTTTGCAACTTGATTCGACACAAGTACAATTGGTGTTGTCTTTCCTCGTCATTGACGGGAGCTTTACCTGATTTGATTGAGGCGGCTGCTGCACCAGCAGCATTGGCAGTATCCTCGTCGCTAGAGTTTTCCAACTTCTGTGTCTTGGTTGGCTTTGTTTCTGATGGCTCCACTAGTTCTTTCGCATCTGACAATTTTCTTTTCTTGCCGTTTGTCGTAGCTTGAGTTACAGAGCCACGTTTCTTTCTATTTTTGGGGATTTCCTCTTGATATTGATCTTCAACATCGCCATCCTCTGCCTCATCCTCGATATCACGCGTGCGGCTAGATCTTCTCACTTTCGCCTCAGACCTATTTCGGCTCTTCAGCGGAGCCGATTTCTTGACTGGCTCATCTGGTTCATCTTGCTCCTCCTCCGCTTCTTCCTCTTTTTCTTTTTCTTCTTCTTCTTCTTCTTCCTCCTCCTCCTCCTCTTGCTTCTCTTGCTCCTCCTCATCGTCACCATCCTCTTGGAATATGGTTATAAAATCACCAAAGGCTAATTTTTCTGATGCAGCTATTGCTTCCGGGAAAGTCGCTGGTTTCTTTGGAACCGTAGTCAATCTTTTCTTCAAAAATTTGACATCTCTCAACTTGGAAATAGCTTTTGCATCTAGCTTACTCAAATCCTTGACATTGTTTCCCGGCTTGTACTCTTTTAAATTCTTATCTGTACACCAATAAAAGTCCCCGTCTGGTATGAATATCACACAATATGGAGTTGATTTCTTTTTGGCCCTTTGAACATGTTTTGGAATGTATTCGTCTGGAGTGACAAAGGCTGGCCACCAGGGGTATCCTGGCATCTTGGCAAACACTTTTTCTTTGTCACCAAACTGTTTTGGAGATGATCTTGGAGGCATTACAGTTGATTGAAGTTGTGAATGGATTATCCACTTGGCTGATTGATAGGAATGGGGGCAGATGTTGATTCTTTGCGATGGACGAAACTTTCAGTAATCAATGCAATCTGAGACTAACTTTCCCTCGAGTAAAAATTCAATTAATTGAGGACCCGAAACGGGGGTATTGGCTATCAATTGGTCCGTGAGTCTTTTGAAAATAGTCTTTAATAGAAACAGAGTCACGCGGGTAGGTAGACACACTCACTCACTCACTCACTCACTCAATCACTCACTCACTCACAATTGTAGGTGGTTAATCTAGGATTAAATTGAAAGCAGCGGCAAAGACAATTGAGGTAGATGTTCGATACCTAAAGAACGTAGTTGCTGTTGATATAAGTACCGTACGTTGTGTAAACAGAAGGCGATTGAAGTTGTTGTAGTTGAGTGAGATAATTGATTGGAAGATGTTGTATAGGGGGATTACAATAATGTTTTTNTTTTTTTTTTTTGTTCTTCTTCTGTTCAATTCTTTTGTATATGTTGCTCTTTCACTCTCGTTCTGTGTGTGTGTAGAGTTGAACAATAGATTCAGAAATTTCATATACGGCGTCATGGACAAACAAACACTTACACACAGAAAAAGTAGTTGGACTGTTCAAACACTGTGATATACCACTTACTGAAACACTCCTCTATATTGTGGTTGTCAGCTCTTTATGGTTCCTGCAATTGGCAAGGCAACACTTTCATATTTGGTGAGTAGGGAAATGGATTAGCTTTCGAGAGAGAGAGAGAGAAACAACAACAACAATAATAATAATAATAATAATAATAGAGAAGGCAACAAAGAATTAAAAAGAAGGAGAAGCCCATACAATTTTAGTTGTTGTGCAGAAATGGTGAACACAACACAGAAAGAGAGGCATGAGGGAGGCAGGAGAGGAGAGTAAGAACAAGAGTAGTGCAATTGGTGGTCAAAAACAACATCAACACAACTAGCATTGCAACAGAGTAAACGATACAATAGTCAACTCTATATATGTGGTGGGCAGATCCAGCGAATTACATTTGGGGGGAGATTTCGTGTTGTATGACGTGATGTATTTTTTGAGGTAGTGCAATATGGTCAAAACTAAAGATCCTCACTTTACGATCTTTTGTAAGACATTAATATACAGGACGTAACAAATTCAAAAGCCACTAGTCCCCATTTTGCAGCTCTTGGATACAGTAACCAGATGATGGTGTTGTGTCTCTCTTTCTTTTACACTGGTTACTTCTTTGAAGGTATGGTTACAGTGGTGTCTACTTTGTGAAGTTCAGGGTCATATTACACTCAAGTCTCCTCGAAACTAATTGCATATGTCCTCATTATGAGAACAGCGAAATCACAATTTAACGATTGTGATGTCTCCTACCGAAAGGGCATCTCCACCTAAATGGATAAAAGTTTTTCTGTGCTCAAGCGGTCAAGAAATTGCAACTTAGTAATTGTTGCTAAAGATCTCACTGGTGATGGCTCTAGAGCTCCAACGTCTTCAGTCGACACCACTCTGCGCAACCAATAACTTCTATAAAGTTCATTAAAGTAAGTATGAATGTATTCATGTCTTGCTTTGCACTGAGTGAAACTATTGTAGTTCATAACTAGCAACAACTGGCTGTTGATGACAAAGTGGGCGAATGGATCTGGCTCAAGGATGTTTAAGCTCCTTGCATCAAACAGGTCTTTGTTTCAAATACCACTGTGTGATCTTACCAGAGTAACTGGTATGTCCAATCGACAGAGGTGTTCTTAATGCATTGTGTTTCCCATATACAAAGGGTGTGGATTTGCCAAAAAAATTGGGAGTTTGAGTGTAAAGAGACGACAAACAAACTAAAAAAAAAAAAATCGCACTTTCTCTCTTTTCACAACCAAGTTAATCCAAAAATTTGGAAATTGCCAATCACTTGCAACAACAGCAAACTACCATCAAGAAAAAGCCACTCATTACCCACCAAAAGTGCCAACCGTCCGTTCCTTTGATTGATGTCTCTTTGATCAGTCACTTGCGGGCAATTTTCCTCTGATACCTATCCGTTATCCATCATCATTGCAGCCAAAAGGGAAGAAAAAAAAAAAAAATAAAAAACCAAAATTCTCCCATAAAATGGATCATTCAAACATTCGAACATTCAAAAGACCACATGATATACCCACGAGAGAGCAGCTATCGGCCATTTTCCCTCCTCATAAGAAGTTGAAGAGCTCTGTGTCTCTGGATTCTGGTGGCTCCGTACCAAGAGGCAGCCATTATATCAATGACGAAAATCTACCAACAAATCCCAATTTGACAACCACCAAACAAAATAATTTAAATGCAAATGACTACCGTCACCAATTTGTTCCAACGCATCAGTCAAACAAAACCAATGTGCCTTTATTAAACTCGGTTCCACCCAACATTGTGCCAATAGTTCACCCACCCTCAATAACTTCAGATTTCTTCACCGATGTCACTACCGATTTGAGTAATGAAAATACTGCTCAACAAGTTTATGGCATTCTTAGGAAATTCCCACCACCATGCCCACCTTTACCGCCTCCGCTGTTTTCAGATAACAATGACGATATCAGTGATGACGAAAGGGGTGGAATTATGGTGCCATTCATTTACCCACCACCTCCTGTTGTCAATATCGATAAATTGCCATTTTCATTAACTGAGTTTAGTCGAAAGTTTACGGAGTCTTTGAAAGATATGGATAAGCAAGAGAGGCAAGCAGGCTCTGAGAAATCAGCAGAAACGAGTGGATCTAAGGAGGCCAATTTGCCCAAGTCCAACAATCAAGGACTGTCAAAGAGCCAATCAGGACCAAACAGTTCCAATGCCACACCCCTTCCAGCGAAAAGAGGAAGGAAGCCAAAGCTAAGACCTGAGCAAATACAAGCAAAAAAGGACGAGGAAGCAAGGGTGAAAGCCCAAGCCCAGGAGGAGATGGAAAGAAAGCAGAAATTGGATGCGGAAATTGCCGAAATGGACAAGGCCCAATCAAACACCCCCGCGTTCCAGGATCATTTGAATTATGTACAAGCACCACCTTTGCCATTCCCACCTCGAAATTATATGGCGTATCCGCTTTCAGCTGAAAAATCCTCTTTGGTACCGGATGATGTATTCGCCTCGTTACTTGAAGCCAATGAGAAATTACCGCGAGCCGATATGGTGTTGGCTAGTGCTGCAGGTACTCTTTTTGACTTACGTCAAGAAGCTTCAGAAAAGGGTCTAACAACGCATGATTTTGAATTGCAAAAATTGAAAAAAGAATCCAAAGAAGCCAAAGAAGCCAAAGAAGCCAAAGAAGCCAAAGAAGCCGTTGAAATATCTCCAGATGAGTCAAGTAGTGATGGGGAAAGCACAACTGAAAAGGGTCAGTACAATGGTGACAGCTTCTACTCCAAAATTGACGATGAATTGTATCAAGATCTTTACCAGGCACAATGGCCTCAAGTCAACATATTTAAGGCGGCTTGTATTGATCCAGAGTACGCGAAAGTTAACCCACAATTGAGCAATGTTAAGGAAAAGCCTTCTGCTGAGGACAAAACAGAGTTGGAGGATATACAATCATGTCCTACTGAAGCCTTGCATGAATTTGAAAGAATTGACAGGCTGAATACATTTCCGCCAACTGAGCGAGAGTTTGTTTCGAGTACAGGGGCGATGAAGGACAGGAGGAGAAAACCCTTGCGCACTCACTTGGAAAGAGTAGAGGAGTATGAGCTGGCAAACAGGCATGTTATTTACCAAGCCAAAAAATATAAACTTTTAAAACGAATTGAGAATTTACGAGATAGCAAAATCGGGTTCCGAAAGTCAACTATTCATGATGATGAATTAAAACAAGTTCAACAACAATTGGAAATTGAACGTGATTACGAATTGGTTAAATTGAAATTATTCGAAAAGTACGAATTGTTGAAGAACTCGTTGATATTTTATGAAGATTCAAACAAGGTTTATAAGCATTTGAATATTATATTGATCAACAAATTGGAGAAATTGAGAACTTTTTTTGAATATCAACAAGAGCTATTCACTCACTTGTTGGAACAGCAAAACAAAAGTGGTGGAGGCGATGTATTTGACATTTCCAACAAAAACTCGTCAAAATTATTCCACGGAATATCGTCAAGGAATAACAGCAAACGTGCATCTTCATCTTCATCATCTGATGAAGCAAATGATGAAGCCGATGGGAAATTGGATCACGCAAGTGAATCGGATAAGATATTGACTGACATGTTGAATTCGTCATCCAAGTTTGCCCTAGTTCATGACTTTATGCCGTTAATCACTCAGGAAGAATTTGATATTATAACCAGTGACGTACCCAAGAAACTCAAAGCACCTACATCAGCAAAGAAGTCAATGAAACATCAAATCTTTTCCAACCCCATATATGATCGTTTAATGACCTCTGGATCCGACACCAATGCAAGTGATTCAAATGCTAGTGCGTTCAAGAGCAGTACTCCTCAACCGCAACTGGCTACTCCCGGTCCAAAGAGAAGAGGCAGACGTGCAGCTACAAATACGGGCAGGAATAAATCTGCTACTGATTCATTGAATGGTAATGCCAGTACTTCTGATAGGGGTGGTATTGGTGTCGCTGGTGGTGGTGGTGGTGGTGGTACCTCTCGTTCTTTTGCTGCTGGTTCCGGTAATACGGCAACTGGAACATCGGCAACAACTCCTACATTGCAAAACACATATATGCGGGACTCGGTTGCTTTTAACCATCAGTATACCGAAGCAGGATTATTGGCCAAGATCACGAAACAATTCTTTGGTCCACAAATGGCCAACTCTGATGAGTTGAATCATGATTTACGGTTAATGGGTATAGATTCAAGATGGCCAGTGGGGAAATAGCTAGAGATTAGATGAAAATGGAGTAACTGTTTTATGAGACATGAAGTTATAGATGAATTCTTTGTAGAATGATGTGTGTTGCTCTTTACTACAGGTGATGAGACTCAAGTTCTTCTATTTTATTCTTAATTGACATAATATATAACACAAAATAAGTGAAATGAATAATGGATATAGAAGAACACAACTTTAACAGAAACACACGTCAAACAAAACAAAGCAAAATAATCAAGAGAAGGCAGGCTATAGTAATAGTAATAATAAAAATAAAACAATAATTGGTAATAATAACAATGGGTGTGGAAAAACTAATTGTACAATTGTAGTGTTGTAAGGGTGGGCGTGGAGGCGCGGCAAGTTTGAGTGTCGGTCAGAACAGTGGAACAATGGGGCCAAGTACTGAGAAAAGGATGGAGGAAAAGTGATCAACTCCCCCATACAGATTCACTCTCTCCTAACTTTTTCTCATTCTTGTTTCTATTCCACAATCTATTCACACTCTCCTCTTCCTTTTAAAATTCTTCGAATTGAGAGTACAATGCAATCAAAGCATTGACTCCTCCCAAAACATAAGGCAAAGTGCCCAAAGTGGCAGCAAAAGTGTGATACAATCCTAAATGTAACAATGCCTTATTTTTCAAAGCCAGTAACCAGCATTCAGCAGTGGCAAATTCGATAATTGAACTTTGGCCCACAAAGTAATAAATCAAGATTTTACTCAAGGCGAAAATGAATGGATCAAATGAGTAAATTCTCAACAAGTATTCATCGTCATCGATTTCAATCACTCTTGATGTGAAGTTGACAAAGTAGGAAACTACCGAAGGTGAAATGATGGCAAAAAGAATCCAAGTTGCCAATGTAGCAAGGGATTTAAATTCAAACAAGCCAATCAATTCCAATGATGGGAGTTGAGAATGTGCCAAATAAGGGATGTTGTCATGGAAAAATTGGTGGATTAATTGGTTCTTGTTCAAGGGGACAATAGTGGTGAAGTTGTACAAATAAATGATAAATTCTAAAGCCAATTCCAAGAAGTTCAAAGTGACAGTTGAGCTCAATTGGTCTCTCAATTTCTCCGTGTGTTCCAAATATGTGATACCTACGGAATCGGTAAACTCGTAGAACTTGTCAATGGCGTTTTCGCTAGTGGCGATTATTGGGTCCAAGATGAATTCCTTCAAGTTCAATGGTGGTGGGGCTTGGTAATCCTTGTCCTCCTCATCGTCATCCTCTGCAACCAAGATAACACCTTCCTCTTCCACTTCCTCCTCTTCATCATCGTCATCATCTTCATCTTCATCGTCATCGTCATCGTCATTATCTCCAGCTTCAATAACAGTGACTTCCTCCTCTTCGACCTCGTTAGCACCCAACTCCTCGAGGAATTTTCTAACTGCATTTACATCCTTAGGTTTGTGAGCAAGATAAGCATCCAATTTCTCAACTAATACCTTCTTGACGTCCTTGGCGGTGGTGCGAACACCCAATCTCTTCAAGACTTGACTCAAGTCTGCTTTTTTAAATTTGGAAAATTCCGACATATCTTTGGGGTAGACACAATTGATGGGGTGTGTATTTTTTTGTATAAATCTGTTGTTGCTGTTGTTGTTGTTGCTGTTTTGTTGGTGGTAGTGGTCAATTAAGTAAAAGCAATTGAGAACTGACACTTGTGTGGTATTACGTAGTGGTTGTTGTAATTGTGTGTGCGAAGAAGTGTTTTGTTTTGGGTTTTATAAAGTCACAACAAAAACAAAAAGAGAAAAATAGCAAAAAAGAAGAGAACAAAGAGAAGAAGAAGAAGAAGAAGAAGAAGAAGAAGAAGAAGAAGAAGAAGAAGAAGAAGAAGAAGAAAAAAAAGAAGAGAGAAACGAAAAAACACATTATGACGCAACATGAAATTACGCGACATATATACCACTCAACTTCTTTCCACTACGTAGGCGAAGGGGTTTGTTGGGTACTCGTGCACTAAAGAGAGCATTGTTGTCCAACCATAGCACAACAGAAGTTTAGTCACTCTTCCACTTTTTTTTCGCTTTTTTTTTTTTTTTGCAACTAATCTTCTACACATTCTAATGCGAAAAAAAAAAACACAAGCACTCGATAGTAATTCCTTGCAATTGGTATGTAGTATTGTCTTCCAATCTAATCCCAGAAGACTACACTAATAAATGTTTCTTAAACATGGTCTTATCCCAACAGAGAGTCGTCCATGGCGATGGTGAGCATGTGGGTAGCAAGCTTGTTGAGCCGTACTATAACCTAGTTTTGTTTTATTTGACTTTTGTGATTTTTGATGTTTTGTTTCTGTTTGTTTTATTTGTTTTGATTTTCAACTGTTTTGGAGTAATGCCCAACTGTGTTTACACATTATCCACATTGGGTATTATGTTTATGAGAAATTTTTTTATTGTAAACACTGCAATAAAAAAGAAACGCGCTTTTCAATTGCTGTTATCCACGTAAAGTGCGTGAGATTAATCCTCTATCCACAAAGCACGGGCGGGCTGCAAACAGACCAATGTTCACAATATATGCAAAACTCAAAAAAAAAAACTCAACACCGAAAGAAAAAAAGTTTTGGTAGTGTAAATTCATTGTCGCATTTGCTCTTGTTTTGTCATTGCACCGCAGTGCTACCCAATTTACCACAATTGGATTGCAAAGGAAAAGTACCAAATCTATAAGATAGAGTGGAATATAGGATAGATACAACACATCAAATAAAATAATACACTGACAAACCAAACTCGCCTCAGAACAAGAGATACACTTTCAACTATCAAATGCAAATATAGCAATTAATTTGGATACCTTGCGCAACACATCCATAATGATTATACGACTGTTTAGACAAGTAGCTGCCAGATCATCACATAACAGATTCAGCCTAAGGCGACCTCTCCATGAGTCAACTGGGCTACGAAACTCTCCAGAAATGAATGAATCTCCACGTATCAACCAGGTGGGGATTCAATACTTATCAAACCAGTTGCACAAAAAAGTCTTTCCCACCACTGAAGTAGATGACTACGTCAAACCAAAACATCCAGAACTACTAGAAATGGCAAAAGATCATCTACAGGCCAATGACCTACTCGGGAAAAAGACACAAATTACGGACCCCATCAATATCAATCACTTCCCCGACTTGGTAGGCAAAACCCTTGATGAACATTTTTACAAACTAGGGCAAAATTCTTCAGAACCATATCTTTCAATGGCACGAAATTTTCTCCTGCCAAAATCATCTATACCGCCCATACCGTCACAAGACGAATGGATTATGCAGCCAGGGTGGACCAGATATACACAGAATGAAGAGCCCGAACAAGTTCCGTACCCACTCGAGGACGAGCTTGTGTTTGATGTTGAAGTTCTTTACAAGGTAAAAAAGTTTCCGATAATAGCCACTTGTGCATCATCCAAAGCGTGGTATGGCTGGGTATCTCCAGTACTACTCGAAGCAAATGACAGGTGGAAAAAGACAATCGACTACAACCATTTAATACCCATGAACTGCGCTAAGCAGCCTAAATTGATTGTTGGTTACAATATAAGTTATGATCGAGCGAGGATATTAGAGGAGTACAACATCAAAAGATCAAAGGCGTTTTTCCTCGATGCGATGGCTATGCATGTAGCAATAAGTGGGATTTGTTCTCGACAGCGACCCAAGTGGCAAAAATTCAACAAAGCTCAAGCCAAAGCTGCAGAAGCAGAAGCAGAAGCAGAAGCAGAACAAGAGCGTGAGGAGGAAGAACAAGAAGATGATGACTACGACCCTGCTATTTCCATCCAAGAAGATCCGTGGTTATTGACAGGCGCACCGAACTCACTTGCAAATGTTGCCAAATTTCATTGCGGGGTAGAAATGAACAAGAGCGATCGGGAATTCTTTGCATCGGAAGATCCTCGAGTTATTGTGAAAAACTTCAATCTTTTGATGAATTACTGTGCACATGATGTCGACGCAACATTCAAAGTGTCCAAGAAACTTTTGCCCGACTTCTTTGCAAAAGTTCCACATCCAGTATCGTTTGCTGCTTTGAAGCACTTGGGGTCTTTGATCTTGCCAACAAGCACAAAGTGGAAACGCTATATAGAGTCCGCAGAAGCATGCTATGACGCCAATAGAGCAGAGGTGAATGACACTTTGAAGAAATTGGCATTCGATTTGATTCAGTTCATTGAGAAAAAGGACCCAAAATTGAGACCAGAGTATGAATCAGACCCCTGGTTGAGTCAACTAAACTGGGATTTGAAAAAGGGTAGATTCAAAAAAGATGGCACGCCTTACAAGAGAAATGCGTTTCTCACCGGATACCCTGAATGGTATAGGGATTTGTGGGGATCGATATCCCCCGCGGGAACTCAAATGAATCTTACTTTAAAAACCAGAATAACACCATTATTGCTTAAACTAAAGTGGGAAAATTACCCGCTTTTCTGGACGGATACAGAAGGGTGGTGCTTCAAAGTGCCCTTTGATGAGCAAGTATTGGCGGACTTGTTTACGAAGAATTATACACGCGCAGAACTAACCCCAGAGGAAGCTGATGAAGTGCATGACAAATTGTACGAGGATGGTAAGTCGTATGTTTTGTTCAAAGTGCCTCACCCTGATGGTCCCAACAAACGATGCACGTCGGTCTTGTCGAAAAACTACATGAGATATTTTGACGATGGCACATTAACCTCCGAGTATGACTATGCCAAGAAGATTTTGAAACTCAATAATGAAGCTTCGTATTGGATGGGCAACCGTAACCGGATAATGGATCAGTTTGTTGTTTACAACAAAGAAGGCAAAAATAAGTTCTTTGACACAAAGAAGGAGGGTCAAGAACATAAAGATATGGGCATCATTATACCAAACTTGGCTTCCATGGGTACAATTACAAGGCGTGCAACTGAAAACACATGGTTAACGGCGTCCAATGCTAAAAGGAATCGGATTGGGTCGGAATTGAAAGCCTTGATTGAAGCACCAGAGGGATATTGTTTTATTGGAGCCGACGTTGACTCAGAGGAATTGTGGATTGCCTCATTGGTAGGCGATTCCATGTTGGGAATACATGGAGGATCTGCTCTAGGTTGGATGACATTGGAGGGAGAGAAACTGCAAGGTACCGATTTGCACTCGAAAACGGCAAGCATTCTAGGAATATCTCGAAATGATGCCAAAGTGTTCAATTATGGTCGAATTTATGGTGCGGGAATAACATTTGCCACGCGATTGCTAAAGCAGTTTAATGGCAATCTTTCCGACACGAAAGCTGATGAAATTGCTCAGAAGTTGTATGCCAGCACCAAAGGAATGACTCAGAACCCCAGGTCTTTGGGTCTGAAAAAGATTTACTATGGTGGCAGTGAATCCATCATGTTTAATGCTTTGGAAGCAATTGCACAACAACCCGAACCCAAAACTCCAGTATTGGGAGCTTCAATCACTGATGCTTTGAATGCCAAGAATTTGAAAAAGAATACGTACATGACATCTAGAGTCAATTGGACCATTCAAAGTTCAGGAGTTGACTACTTGCATTTATTGATTGTGTCAATGGAGTACTTGATTGAAAAGTATGGCGTTGATGCAAGATTGGCAATCACCGTGCATGACGAGTTGCGATATCTTGTCAAGGAAGAGGACAAGTACATGGCTGCTTTACTTTTGCAAATTAGCAATTTATGGACGAGAGCCATGTTTTGTGAGCAGTTGGGTATCAAAGAAGTTCCTCAATCGTGTGCGTTCTTTTCTGAAGTTGATATTGATCATGTGTTGAGGAAAGAAGTTGGTATGGACTGTGTAACTCCATCTCACCCTGATCCCATTCCACATGGAGAATCATTAAACATCAACCAGTTGTTGGAAAAGACTGGTAATGGAGAAATTTTGAACTGCAATCCTAAATTGATGACACTCAGGACAAGGAAATATGAGCCTAGGGTTCCTGTTATTCAAACGTTGCGAAGTGGATGGACTGAACAAGCTAGAATACAATTGGTTAAATTGCAAACGTCGATCAACAAAGAAGAATGGATAAAGAATTTGAGGGAGTTGAATAGAATAATCAGGACTTATGTTACCGACGAGCAGAAGGAGATCTTGACCAAGTGGCATGATGACCGTGTTAAAGAAAATTCACGACATGTTGTTTACAAACGCGATCGCAAAAAGATAAAGCTGAAGAAAGAGGAGAATAAAGCGGTAGAGGATTATGACTTGGAAGTGAAACCTTTGGAGCAAAATAGTGGAGGCAAGGGGGAAAAAACGGGATCTAGAGCCAAAAGGAGTAAGAAGGAGGTAATTGAGAAGCAAGTGGAATTGATGCAAGAAGAATCGACAATGAATGAAAACACAATTGTTGGGGTAAAGGATGGGAGATCCGCACACGCACTCAAAAAAGGTGTCATTGACAAGCCTACTCAACCCAGTTTGCTATCAGTTGTAGAGACAAATGACGAATCCAAGTCGCAGTCGCAGGAGAAGTCAAGCCAAGACTCCGTACAAGCAACTGAAGCTGCAACTACAGCTGTGAATCCACCTATGCCATCTCCTTCTTTCAGCAATGTTGATATACACCGCAAACCCCCACTCCAACAACCACTTGAAGCACCTTCTTCAACCACTACACCCCATCATTACACCAGAAGCAGAGCTTTTTCTTCAAAAATGGGGTTTGCACGCAAGGTGAGTTATCATACACTGACTCTGCACTTGTATCAAGCGTACTTGAAATGGCATAGACGTGAAGGTATGTCCGATGTCTCCAATTGTGGCGGTACTAGATCAAATCAATTAATGGTTGATTCTGATCGTAAATGTTATTGTTGTGATCGATTCGAGACAAGATATCGGCTGCGTCGACGACAGTGTTGATGAGATGTGGACTTGGTTGATGAAGAGTGGGATGCGGAGACGACGATGATGATGATGACGACGATGATGAATGGGAATGGGAATGGGAATGGGACTCAATGGCGTATTCTGTATCTACTCGTTTTCTTTTCTCTTGTTTGATGAGATACGCTGTGGATTACGTGTTACTATGATCAATGGTTATGATGTCTATGAATGGTGGTGATACTATATTTATGTTGACGATTGTTGGCGCTTGTTTCGGGTGGAATTTGGTATTTGTGTGTGTCTCTTCAAAAAAAAGGGGGATTTGAATATTGACTATGGTGATATTAATTGATTGAAAGGGGTGGGTTGAAGTCAAAAAGTGCATTGTTTGATAATGTTAAGACATAATCGATGATGGTGTGCGATCCCCACTGTGTTGCTTACCAATCATTAAAGTATAATAGCCAAATCCAGAAATACATTGTGGTAGAGATGTTGAGAGGGCAATCACTGAATTGACGTTTTTTTTTTTTTTGCAATTTCAGTGTGCCCATGAACTGTTATCTGCTATGCAGAAAGTGATTACAAAGTGTCAAAGTGAAGGTGCATAATGGCAACTCCTTTTGTGGTTTACGACACCCATAAAAAAAAGCTAGGCATTAGAAGAGCTTTTTTTGCCTTTAAGCAAACGTGATCTAGTTTTGAAACCCTTTCCAATAGGTCAGTGGTTGATAAAACTTTTGCCACCCAATGGATATACTAATATTGTGGTGTGTGAATTTTATCTAATTACATAAAAGAGCTGGTCGGGGTTACTCATTTGTCACAGCCAACGGTTGTCTATATTCAATGAAGTTTTTTTGTACATAGTTAGTAAATGTGGAATAGAGATTTGATTCAAACTACTTTAGTTGTAGTATTGAACAATGAGCCTCTTGCTTGAAATTGAAAAGCCATGTAGAAATGCAATTTGCGTAACCTTCTAGATTCTTGTCCTACCCCCTTAGTATACTAACTACATTTAATTACTTTGAACAATTGGCAGAGAACTGACAAGTCTAGTAAACCGTGAAACCCGAACATAACATGGAATATAAGCAACGGCGCTACTTCAATTTATGACCTTGTATATGTCCGGTGGTGACTATACTCCTAGCGTTCTGTAACGCAACTTGTCGCCATTTCTCTCTCTCTTTCACACACACACACACACACACTCTCTCTCTCTCTCTCTTATTATTGTATCTGTAATATGTCCATTAAACCTACAAAGCCGAAGCACACAAATGAAAAAAAAAAATTTTTTTCATATATTCGGATTTAACAGTCTACACAAAGGAATTATATAGCCGATGGATATAAAACGGAAAAAATAAAACAGTTTTGTTAATTATTGTTTGGACCTAGTTTCCACCTCTTTTTGTTTCTTTTTTTAATAACCGAACTTTCAGAGCCAAAAGAGTATCAAAGATAGAGAGTGTGTTTCAAGATCCCGATTATAAATCAGAAAATAGAAGCTATTTTGAATAAAAATGGTAACTTTCAGTGTTTGTTACTTTGTCAAGAGCAAAATCTCAAGTGACTAAGCTTCTTTTTACTTTCTTATGTTCAGTAGTGAGACTGGAAGGTGATGAACTTTGGTGAACATTGATGCAGAGAACGTCATATAAGTATGGCACATATCTTCAACCACCCAGATTCTTTGTCTCCTGCTGCTGCTGCTGTTGCTGCTGCTGGTGCTGGTTCTGGTGCGAAATTTAATCCGAGATATTGTCGTTCGGGTATGACACAAATTGGGATTCTTTTTTTCTTTTTAGACGACACACACAGATTGAAAAAGAAATTCAACAGCAGAAAAATAGATTTTTAGATCCGTGATAGCCGTTGCATGTGTAGCTGCTTTCTAAACAACACAAGTACGAGCTATAGGTGCTTATAACTTGTAAAGACAGTGAAACATTTCAATGTCCAATCAAGTTCCAGGGGGGTCTGCTTAACCAACGGTTGTCCATAGCTTTTGCTTTTGATGTTGCAAGGCAACCGATGTCGATGACGTTTTCATTTCACTGTAGTGTGTATGTATTACATTAGTGATTTTCAGTTGTTCTTTGCTGTGATATATTATTAACTGGGCATTGCAAAGAGAAGAGAGAGCAAGAGCAAATGAGGGGTAGAGTGAAAGAAAGAGGAGCCTGTTGCTCCTTCATTGCCGTCGGTGGAGCTGAAGAGTTGGTGGTAGTCTGTATACCAATTGAAGGAAACATTTACTCAAGAACTCCGTAGACTTCGGATTGACTTCTTTGGTCTGATATGCTTTTGTACTACACAAGTGAGTACTAATACAACAAGTACTATTCGACGGACTGGACTCTGTATCTCCAACTCGTAATCTCTCAATGTATCCATAGCAGCTCATTTGCTGTAATCAGATGATAATTATACAGAGACTGCATGGGTAGTAGACCTGGTTGATGTCTTGATTGTTTATTCGTTTTTGTTGATGAATTAACTCAATTTGTTTATTGAAGAGAGAGAGAGAGAGAGAGAGATACACAAAAGAACAACAAAAAAAAAAAAAGAAATACAAACAATAAATTATTTTATCATCAGGTACACTACCTTACACTAACTGTAAAATCCCTCAACTAAATAGTGTATTACTACAAGTACTATTACAATAGTAATAATAATAATAATAATAATGATAATAATATATAAACAAAGTTGGAAGACCTTTTCAATACAAAAAAAAAATTCAACAACTTTTGAAATCTTCTTCTTCTCTTTCTTTCTTTCTTTCTTTCTTCTTCTTCTTCTTCTCTTTCTTTCTTCACTGTATTTCACACCCTTTTACTACCTACCCACCCCACTTCCTTCCCTCAAGCAATGTTCCCAGCTGGTGTTATTTTAGTCTTTTGCTTGCTTTTCTGCGCTGCAGTTTTGATTGCTGGTGTCTTTATCCACAAGAAAGTCAAGGCTAAGAAGTCTAAGCAAAGATTCTAAGTCAAGAAAGAATTAGCAAGAAGAATGAATTTGGAGTCAGAACCATTTGGGTCAATTTAGACGGAAACAACTTTGTCTAATTGACTGGGAATGAAGCCTCATTCTTGCAACACACAACACAATTTACTTGTGTTCTTTGTTTGTTTGTTTTTTTTATCTTTTTACCGCCTATAATACGCCAATTTTGTTTACTACTACTATCAACACATGAGAGTCACTTGTTTTTGTCACTGTTTCCATCTCAACTTTTTTGTTCATTGTTTCATTTAGAGTTGGAATAGCTCCATGGTTCTTTTTTTTTTTGCTTTATCTTGTTGTGCCATTTTTTTTTTTATCATTTTCATTATTATTTCATGTTTTTTTTTTTCTAAATATTATTCAACAGTTGTTTGATTGGGGAATCATTCAATTGGAAAACAAAGGGGAACGGAATACAAGTCAAATCCTGATGTCAATGTCAGGAATCACCAAATTTTTTTTTTAACTATTTTTTGTTTTTGTTGAAACTTGTGCTTTTTTTTTGGAGCATTAGAGAGAGGAATATCCTTGCTGGAGAGACATGATTTTTTGTTCTTTTTCCGGTGGGCTTGTTTTGTTTTTTTCTTTTTTTGTCGTTGTTGATGGTCTTTGTTATTGCTGGTGGTGATTGAAATCTTACCGAGAGACCTCTTTGCATATGCATCGTCATCAATTTTCTAAATATGCACATTGTCATCATGATGATTGATTTGTGCTTTGCGCGAAGTGAATGATGGAAGTGAGAGAAATTGGGGAATTTCTTCTTGCTTCTGTTTTCTTGAAGAGATAATTTACAAGTTGACGTTGTTTTTTTGTTTGAAGAGTCAATATTCAGTGGTATTTGCTAAAGAGAGGAAAGAAAAAGGTGATGATTCTTGTTTTTGTTTTTGTTTATTCGCAGCATTGAATTCAGATTGTCAGAGGATAGTTTAGGTTCATGATTGGGGAATCATGAATCTGATGCACAAGCCTTTGTCGTAAGCTGCTGGTATAATCATCTCTTTTTGTTTTTTTCTTTTTTTGGGCAAGTTCTTCACTGTTTTTGATTTGAGAATTCCATTATATAGTTTTTTTTATTATCGTTACATAATTTTCAAATCTTAATAAAACCATAAAAGCCTTAAAATTAAGAGGGGGGATTGTAGTTGGAGATGAAAACCATTCCTGCAATGTGTGTCTTAGCCAGCCCTGTGCAGTAACTGTATCAACACAATTCTTTTGACAATGTGTATTACTAATCAATATACTCTCCCATAGCATGTCCTTACATTCCCGCGAAATGAATACAAGCCCAAACTGCAGCCCATCCTTCCATATCAACTACAGAAAACCACTACGACAACTGAACAATTTTTCGTAATGTGTCTGCGTTTTCTGATTGGCGGACTCCGTAGGTATTGTTGAGAATTAAGATGAGCAGAGGAAAAAAAAAAAAAAAGAAACAATAGGTGTCAATTCTTACACAAAACATTCTAAACTACACAGAATTGGTGGTGGCAGCCAGCTCGGCAACCGTGCTTAGTAAAGCTTTTTTTTTAGCAGCTTGGTGAGGTGAGCCAACAGTTGGAGTTGAAAGGTTTAGCTTTATTGCAGGCAAGCTACACTCTATATAAGTTTGCAGAGTAAGATGACTGTCCGTGAATACTTGAGTATCAAAAATGGGCTCTTTTATGAAGGTTTTTGTGATATTCTTCGGATCGACTTTTTCCATACATTAGTCGTGCATCTTGGATAGAGATCTTTTCAAGACTTCGTTTTGGTCGGCAGAACCTAAATCCCTCATCCAGTTTGGAGCTATCTCCGTGAAATCGCTTTGTATACAACATATTCCAAGTACATGTAATACTGGGGAAACGCTCTAGTTCGTCTTTATGCTGTGTTTCCCACAGATTTCAGTAGCATCCAGTGCTGATAGATAGGTGGTCTACAGTAATCAAAGGTAGAAAACCACATTCGGCAAGAGCAGTCGAGGTTGAGTAACTTACTGAAGCGTCTTGTCGTATTCTGAAAAGGTATCCAGCATGTGCTGTCTCCTTTGCACTTTCAAAACTTAATCTGTGGTTCTTTTTTTTTTTAGACTGCAAAAGAAAAAAAAACGAGCAATTGCGCATCTGTAGAGTTTAATAATTTTTTTTAAAACTCATGCGACATCAAAAGTTACCATGGATTTACTTCACTATACTCATGTTGTCGGTAGTCTGAAATATGCTATAGCCACAGTATCCTGCTACGTTTCAGTCGATTGTCCAGAAAAACAACCATAGTCACTATCCATGTTGCATCGTACCAAAAGTCAAGAGACCGTCAGCACTTTAATCAATGAATCAACCCACCCACACCCATCAGCACCTACATTTGCATCGTCTGCAGCTGAAAATCGTCCATACTCACCCAGCAATGACAATGGTAATGATGCCGATGGTGCCAATGATACCGACGATTTTGACTCACTATCCGATTTGGTATCTCAATTTTCACAAGATACTTTGATCCAGCCACAATTAAAAATTCTCAATCATGCCATTAGTGAGTTCCGCTTTGTTAAGGAAATCCCCATTCTATCAAATTATTTGCAAACGGGTGTTCATTTGTACCCTTCATGGTCAGCAACGAGTCGAAACCAACCAATTTTGACGCGTCCGTTGAGATTCATGACCAACATTTTCAAATTGAATAGTCCCTTCTTGGTGATTGAAAGCTATACAAAGTCAAAGGATATGATTTTGAGTGGTGGGGACCTCCAGTCCCCCACTACTACCAAGCAAGTGTATTGCAAAGTTGACTTCAAAATCCAATCTACACGAATCACATACTATGTACTTACATTCCCCAGTTTGCACAAACACATATATCTCATCAACAACAATAGCCACTCGCCCAGTGTCGATTTCGAATTGGATGGGACTCATTTCAGAGCCACTGGCGTAACTGGAACAACATCGGCGTTGGGCACGAGTGGATTGATAAAATTGTACGTGATGGAAAACTCACCAGATATGTTGACGTTCGACACCACGATTGATTACAAGAGGAAGAAGTTGAAGTTTGGTCAAGGTAATGATACATTTTATAGATTGATCGAGGGCCAGAATCGGGCTGCCATTGATGAGTCTATGCGTCGGGCAAAGAAGTTGATCGGTATGCCAGTGGCGCAATATCTCGACCAGGGCGATGTCAAAATCAAGATTGGCAATAGTAGTAGTGGTGTTGGTGGTGGTGGTAATAGTAGTAGTGGTAGTAGTAACGGTTCTGAGTCGACTTCTCAACACAGTGGACCTCATTCTGGAGGCAAGAGTGTGAACAATTTCGTCAAGCACGGAATTATCAAGATGTTTGACTATGTTGGTGGTGGAGGAGTTGGCAATGACAATGACGATGAAGATGAAATGAGTGAGGAAATGAAGATGATATGTTGTGTGTTGTTGGTGTTGAGAGAACAAGAATATCGTAAATATAAAGGGGATAAGAAGCCTCAGTACGTATAGAAAGGATTGTATGTGAAATGAGAGTATCGGGAGGGACTTTAATGTATATGCGGTTGTATGATACGAATCGTGTGGAATCAGAGGTGCTAGTAATATTAAAGACGCAGTGGTGTTAAATAGATACATTGGATGTGGTTTAACCATATGGATATAGGAAAAATATGAGCCAGGATAGTGATCAGAAGATCTTGTGCATTTTGGAATTAGTAAGTGTTATTACAACTTCGTTCGTAGTTTTGTTCAAAAGGAATACACCGGAATGGTCTTTATGTGTATACAAGAAAGCTATCCATTGAACAGAACCAGCTTCTCTACCCCTCTCCTGTTCCCATGTCGTTATGAGCTTAGAATTCCATTACTCAAGTTCTCCTTCCCGCCTTATATTGAATGAATGATCATTGGTGCATGACAATACACACTGTGTGTATCATTCATACATAATACGTGAAGGTATGCAATGTAACTCCTCAAAAATTGATCAATGTCACATTGCATAAATTGAGATTTCTGCTGAAACCAAAGCTTCGTTTATGATTGCAAAATAAGAAAAAAAGAAAAGAAAAGAAAAGGATTATTGAAATGTAACATTCATTAGAGTCACAGAATTTTTTACAAAGATGAGCCAGGGTTAAATGTGTTGGGTAGTTTAATGAGTGGATGCAAAGTGAAATCCCACGCAAAAAAAGGTGCAAACCCTGTTGTTTGCTTTGCACTTGCGGTTATTAAAGGTTAATCTAATATGCTATTCGATTACGAATGTGTAATATGTGTATGTATGTAAGAAAGAGAAGGAGAGAGAGAGGGGGGGGAATGTAGTTTTGTGAAGGCAGGTTTTTGCGAGAATCAATTAGTAACAAGGAGGGGTCGTACGTTTGTGGTTTGGTGTGGGGAAAACAATCTAAAAAAGAAAAAAAAAACAAGAATTTTCCGAATTTAGTAGAGATACATATGTTAAGTTTTGAGATACAACTCAGAGACTAATTGGAGTAGATAGTAAGGGGGGGTGAGGTTAACTAAAGACATGCATAGGTAAAGGTACGACTTCTTTGAGACTATCTTGGTGAAAACAATTGCACAAAAATGGAGAGTTTTTCTTTCAAAGAAGATGGTGAGTTTTTGCAGCTGAAATCGAAGAAAATAGCAACGACGGTAACAGCATTGAAACAATGGGAAGAAGAATAGAATAAAAATTACAAAGAAACATTCCCCACCCCCCACACACACACACACCCAACACACATACCACAAGCACAAACAATAAGGATAAGGGCATACTGCTGCTCATTTAGAATAGACTATACCTTCACTTGCAGGTGTGTAATTGTTCTTTAAAGGCTTGTGTTGGGGTTTATTAACATTGTTCACAAATAGAAATAGTGGAGCAAATTTTCTTTTATGTGAGGTCACTATCTATATAATATTATTTAGGTAATCAATGGGATTTTACGAAACTAAAAAGTTCTATTAGAAAGGGTGGGGAGGGGGGAAACACAATCTTTGTTAGTGTTTAGGAATGGTGGTGATGGGGTAGTCGGTGCGAGATTCTAAAAGAGGGTGGATTCAGATCCAACTCGCACTTCCCACCCCCCTTCCCCTGGACACTTGATTTAATAGGTACTGGCGAAAGGGATAAAAGAAATTTTAAAAGTTGATAAAAAGTGATGACTTTCTTGAAGGAGGGGAGGGGAGGCAGTCTACTATGTCCAGTATGTGTGTGTGTGTGTGAATGTATATAAACAAAGGGCTGATGCATGCAGTTGCAATTGCTGAACGTTTGCAAAAGTTGAAATTTTTGATCTTTTCATTTTCTTTTTATTTCTTCATTGACAGAGAAGAATGGGAGAAGGTGAGAAGGTGAGGTTGGCCACTGTGTGAAGTTGGATACTTGTTCAAGCTAAAGGGAGATTGAGAGAGAATCAGCGAAAGGGAGAAGTGTTGAATTGACGTGTCAAGGCAATGAGACCATCATCGTGTTTGTATGTAGCTGAAAGAATATGGTTGTCAGCTTTGATAAGGGTTGCAACCATAACATTCAATGAAAGTGGTTATTTGTGAGATGTGTGTGTGATGTGTGTGTGTGTGTGTGTGATGTGTGCAAAATTTCCTATTTGGGGAAAGTGGAGAATAAAGATTAGATTAATGTTGAGTTGTATTACGTAATGGTTAATACTTTTTGTATGGTGAAAGAAAAGAAATTAATAGTTCGGAGATTTAGTTCCATCAATTACACAAACGCGCAAATGTCAACACATAGAAGAAGAAGAAGAAGAAGAAGAAGAAGAAGAAGAAGAAGAAGAAGAAGAAGAAACAGAAACTGCAAGAGAATAAAATTAGATCCTTTGTTCTTGCTGAGTAAGAAATGACCTTATTTAGAGAGTAAGATATAGAAGAGTGTGGGAGGTACTCAATAAGAAAATACTAAGCAGGTAAGTTGCAATACTAGACAGAATAGTACTTGTAAAAAAAATAAAATGAAAATAGATTTCTCCAAGATCAGGTGTGGGGTAAAGAGACAACTGAAAAGAAAAGAAAAAAAAACACAGAAACGTTGAAACGTTTGTAGAGAGAGCAAGAGAGAGAGAGGAAAAAATTCAATTTCTCTTTTTCTAACACCCAGCACACACACACACACACACACACACACATTAGCTAGGTACCATACATATTTTCTCTCTCTCTCTCTCATCAACAAAAGGAATAGATCAGTAGATGTATCAACCATATCAGTTGGGTGGTGAGAGTAGTATGTGTGTGTGTGTATTAGAAGTAAAGTATGTCTATGTGGCTATTAAAACAGAAGCGTGTAGTGACAGTAGATCATTTTTTTTTTCAATTTTTCATTTTTTTCCCACCTCGTAAATCAATTCCCTCTAATTTCCAATCCCCACCCCCCACCCCTTGCACACTGTACAACATACGAGACTTGGGTAGTTTTAATTAGACTGTTGTGTTACAAGGGGCTTTAACCAGTGACCTATATGACGTATACTATTGAGTATATTGCAGTGGTAGTGGGTAGTTGTAGAACGAGATGGACAAAGAGAGAGAGAGAGAGAGAGGGGAAGATTTGAAATTGTGTTTCACTCTTTTTTTTTTTTTATTTTGTTAGTTTGTGTTTTGTAACTACACATCACACTAACCACTAAATACAGCAGAGTCAATACACTGTATATATATATATGTATATGGTAACAGACATGTCTAATCTTATAACAGCCTTTTTGGTTTATCTCTGGTTTCTGACTTAACATTCTGATACACAACCCCTATTCATCAAAGAGAAAGTGTGTTTCGGAGTTCATACTTTGAAAGTGTTGATTATTATATACTACCAACGACAACACCAGCAGCCCACAATTATAATATTCTACATAGATTGGATAATAATATTCAAATCAAAAGCAGCATCATTGATCACTTACAGATAACTGAGAGAGATATATCACCACCTGGAGTTTGTTGGTTTCCCTTTTTTTTTTTTTGGAGAAGCTCCTTATTGTTTCATAACCAAAATTTCAGCACCACCGCAGGCCAATTTATACATATACATCCGTGGCCAAACTGTATTGAGGTAATAACAGTTACAACTTACTCCTACTCGGCCTCATCAATCCCCTAGCAGCCACAACCATCTCCTAGTCATATTTTTGGAAAATAGGAGGAGGGGAAAAAATTTAAGAGACATTTTCGGACTTCTTCTTTTTGCAAACATATTCCAGGCACAACAGCCAATGCAGATATAATCGCAACCATTTTGAACTACACAATATATCTACATTCCACAAGGCAAACACCAGACTCTGTTTACCCTCAATTACCTGTTCCACCTCAACAATTGATCAAATAATAGCCTTAGCCTTTTGCAAGGAAAAATACAATAAGACAATGCAAGTCGAAAAAACATTCAAGCTGACACCACAGAAGAAATACATTTGTGGGTTTTGCGCTAAAGCATTCACTCGTTCAGAACACAAGCAACGCCATGAACGATCTCATACCAATGAAAAACCTTTCCATTGTTTGCTGTGTACTAGCTCCTTTGTGAGAAGAGACTTGTTGCAACGTCACTGTCGTACCGTTCATCAATCATCGCAGGACATACCCAAACGCAAAAAGTCTCGAGATTTAGGCGACACTACTTCAATGTCGCTACAAGACGTACAACCTACAGACCAGCCTCAGCCTCAGCCACCACTACAGCTCACCCAAAGTCTTGATCTGCAGAATGAACCTGAACCCGAACCTGAACCCGAACCTGAAGCCGAATCTATTCCCTTGTTGTTGCAACAACCACAAGAAATTCAGCCAGACTCTTTTCAAATTAGAAACCCTACAGCCTCAGCGTCATCCTCGTCCTCGTCCTTGTCGTCATCATTACGACACAATTCTGCGCCGTATACCTTTGATCCACGAGAGCATTTTCCCTTAACAACTATGGACACGTCGATTAGTACCAATAATGACCACCGCAGTACAAAGAAAAAACGCAAGAAATCTGAATCCGGTAGTGGAGGTGTTCTTGGTATGAGAAGAAATTCATCATTGTCAAAAGCCACTACTGACGCCAATGATACAAGTGTCGTCAACCTACTCTCAATAACAAAGAAATTGGACTACATACTTAAGGCTTCCAATTTGGGTATAAATGAACCGGTGGGTGATTGGTTTCTCATTGGTTTCAACACTTTGCAAGAACTGCTGTCAAAGTTTCCCATTTTTGACACTATTTTGAAAGACTTGACGTATTACTTGAGTACGTTTTATCTTGCCAACGGTGGTGGTGGTAATGAGGATCCAGGAGCGACAGATGTACCACCACCACTACCACCACCACCAAGAACAACACCAAGTTTATCTCAACCAAACCACTTCAAAACTGGGGTCATTTTTTCAATTCTTTCACTTGGTTGCATTGTTGACAAAAACTCTGTCAAGGCAATGATTTTCTTCAAAAAGGCGTGGATCTTGTTGATCAAGAGGTTGATACCACAATACAACAACAGCAACGTTTCAATGGATCAAATTGAAATTGCAACCAATTTGTATCTATTGTCCTATATCTATGTTTCCTATAATTTGGAAAATTATGATATCAATAACGAACAAGTGTCTCAGGTAAATGGAGAAGATGACGATGAAGAGCAAATATATCTCAACAACACTGTGATTTTGGAATACCTAGATCAAATCAGTTTTATCATCATATCCAACTTGGCAGATTTTTCCAACCCCAATGAGAAACTTATTGACGGTAACATGAATCTATTTTGGTCAATCTATATCATATTGTCATTCTACTTTCACGACCAAACCCCAAAGATTTATGAAACATTTTTGAACAAGTCAATAGGTCAAGACGTTTTGTTGATGGTGATGCAAAAATTCTCCAAAACGTATTCTGTCATTAATGAGAACAACGATTTTTTGAAAATGATTATTGTGGCTACAATTGGCAACGAATTGAAAAGCTTTCGTGCTGCGACAACATCAGCTTCTAGTTCGAGTTCCGAGTCCAAATCCACAACTTCAACTACAACCTCGCCTGTTCAAATTTACGAATCAAAGAATGTGCTACACAATTCTGTTATTTTGATCAATAGAGCCATCAATGCTTCTCATTCTGTACCGGGCTCCAATCCAAGGCTGAAGTTGTTTGAATTATTCCGCAAGAATTTGGTAATCAATAGTCCGTTAAAGTATCGAGAATTGTTGAGCAACTATATCTTTATTCCAGAATCTTTTTTCCACTGGCATCTACTTCAATTAACATTGGATGAGGCCACAATTAACTACGATCTTGATGATGCTTTACGTAAGTGCATTGATGATCCTAGTCAGTTGAATTCCCTTGAATATAAACTCAAGTTGTTTCTTGACTACAAAAAGATAAACTTGGATATCAACAACAATATATCAATTGTGTCACTTCCCGTGATATTCTTTGGCAACTATCTCAATTTGAAAATCATTGATTGTAACGAGTCTTTTAATCAATTACAATTGAAAAATATCAAAACGTTCCTTATTCATTGGTATATGGTGATGAACAAGTTGTTGATCATGACTTGGTGTGATGATCTTTTGCAGTTTGAAGATAATTACATTTTACAGACGTTTGTGTACATGTTGTTGGGTGATAAACTGTTGTTGTTGAAGAGATTGAATATCGATGTACCACACACCAGCACTGTGTACAATGAAGAGTCGAATTCATCAACGGCACTGTCAAATTTCAAGTTTAACACGAAGTGGTTTTGGATAGTCAAAACCAAGTTGGATAATGTGTTTGAGCAGTGGATGCAACATGTCAAGATTCCGTTTTTGGATAACAGCTTTGCTGTTGTTAAACTTCAAGTTGCCAAATATATCAACGAGCATATTGCATTGGAAGGATTGGTGTTTAAAGAAGACGCTGAAGAAACAATATCAAGTGCCAGGTCAGTAAAACAAGAACAACAACAACAACAACAACAACAACAACAACAACAACTCGTATTCAACAATAGCGGGCCAAATTTTGCAAGTGGCGGTGCCCCCACAATACATCGTGGTTCATTATCAACAGGTATGTTGGCTTCAACGTCAATGAACTTTGCCATCCCCATGCAACAGCAACAAGTGTCATCGAACTTCATCAACTACGGATCAATGAATGATTTTCCGGGTGGTGCAGGAGACGCGAGCAAGCGATCAAACTCAATATCCCTGGTAGTGCTGAATTTCGTCAAGGATGGACCACAGGTGCAGCAGCCTCCACCATTGCAATCTCAACGAATGCAACGTCAGCAACTGCTGCAACAACATCAACAAGCTCAACAGAGTCAACAGAGTCAACAGAGTCAACAGATGTACAGTTATTCAACTTATCCGCCCCCGCCACCCATTTTATCGTCAATGCCCAAAGAGCTAGTGTTGCCGCCCATTTCATCTGAGCGCCGGAAGGAAAAATTCGAAGTCACTTATTGAGAGAAAAGTGGTTACATTACGTTTTAGTATTTATGGAGGTAATACTGTATATTATATGCATGAATAGGTTACAATTTCGCTTTTGGTGTTTGAGTAGTTGTCGGCACCGTCGACTCAATGTAAACATCTTTATGAAACGGTTTCAATTTCCATAAATCAAGCATCTTGGAATCGAGATCAACTAAAACCTGTTCTTGATCAAATTTTTGAACGTCATTGTCAATTGTCTTTATTGCGACGCTTGTTTTGTTGTATATTTGCTGGTAGCAGTAATCTATGATTTGTATAGGCAAGACGAATGTGAACGTGGTTAATTTCTCAGTTTCTTGGGTACTAGGCCGGTTGTGCTTTTGTTGTTGCTGTTGCTGTTGCTGTTGCTGTTGCTGCTGTTGTAGGTCGATTTCAGTCTTGGGAACTGGCTTGTAGACTTTCGCATTTGAGCAAATCATACCTATTAATCGATCATTAGTTGTTGAGAATACTCCACCGCCAGAACTCCCATTGAAACATGATGCAGAAACAATGATCAATGACGGAATGGTCCCAGTCCCATTGTCCGTTGTCGCTGTAGTCTTTAATTGGTGTTTGTATGTGCAATTGACAATACCGTGAGATATCAATGGTTGCAAATCCACTGGGTTGAAGAAAAGTCCATAGGATTGGGTATATACTGGGCTTCCTTCACTAAAAATATCTGGTTTGGCGTATATGTCATTGTCATTGTCTTTGCCGTCGTCACTATCCTTGTTACCGTTGTTACCGTTGTTGTGGTTGTTGCTTGAAGTTACTGCTCGGAATCCATTCTCAAACAACATTGTCGATGCAGTTTGGTCAATTTGCATAAACGCAAGATCCAAATCCGGATGAGGAATGATTATGTGTTTTTCCAATGGTAATTTAATCTGAATTGAGTCTCCTTGATTGGTGATTAATACAGTTGCGCTATCTGAGTTTGAAATCGGCGAGTGCGACGAGTTTTGGCGTAGATTGAGAGTTGGTTTGGATTTAGACCTCGATTTAGATTTCAATGAGGAGTGTGGGTTTTGGAAAAGTGGCGCCACGACATGGCTATTTGTAATGAGTAAATTGTCTTTGTAGAATATGCATGATCCCCACGTACGTCGATTTGACGCATTGATGATCAATGGCAAGACTGATTTCCGCCCATTTGAGGCTGATATCTTGGATGCTGCTAGTCGAGGTAAATTGAGCAATTTCGCAAGTGTGGTTGATGAAAGAGTCTTGTACAAGATTGAAGATGATGATCTCATCAATGAGTTTGGTAGTTGTTGTTGTACTTGTGGTGGGAATATTGTGGGGGATAATTAGACAATTTTTCTCAAGGGTATAATCACCATGAGGTTCCCGTCGCCGTTGGTTTTGCGTAGATTGCCCAACACCAACCCCACAAGTTTGTTTTCGGAGGTGTTGTTGTTGGTATTGTTACCAACCTTGGCATCACCATTAGCAGCAACGAGACTGTTCACTTTGTTGTCAATTACGGCCCCGCCTGCCATATTCTCCATGTACGCAGCGTCACTCAACCAATAATCCGCAACGCCGTCTCCATTATCTGCGTCGTGATCATTCGTGTGCACCTTGTATACTATTCTCGCGGTTGTGGTAAATTGGTGGAAGATTAACGAGTTGGTGAAATTGAACGGACTTGAAACAATTGTTACTTGATCTCCAACGGAAATTGACGATTTTGTAGCCACTGGTCCACCAACTCCTCCGGCTGCACCCGCTAATGAAGTTGATATTGGAGACGGTAGTGTTTCCGTGTCGGAGTTTAGCACCAGTGATGATAGCTTCAAAATTGATATTGTTCTGCCGTACTGATCACGAGGGTATAGTTTGAATTGGTTGTGGGTATCGAAAAACTCAAATTCTGAAGGGTTGATTGAAACTTCTTCGAGTATGGAAACACGGTGCCAATGCACTTGAGATGGAGTGTCGGTGTTGCCTAAATTGGCATAGATGGAGTACTCTCCAATATTCGGAATATGGTTGATTGTTAAAATGAACGATGCAGACGATGATGATGATGATTTAAGAGGAGATATTGGAGTTATGTACACTCCCGACGATGCGTGTATCTTGTCACCTAGCACATAGTGGAGTGCAATGGGAGTATACCTCATGACAGTAGCTGCACTAGGACAGATTCCAATGGAGAGGTGCGGATGTTTCGAGTTAATAGAGATTGAGTATCACTCAGTATTCTAGAGATGCAAATCGTGGGGTGATTGTGACGAAAAAAAGAAAAAAAAAAAAAGCATCTGAGGAGGAGGAGGGGGGGGTCAGAAAAGGCGAGAAAGCGGATTTATTTTTATTTGTCAGTGTCGAGATCTTATTATTTACAGTTCAGTGTCGCGACACTGCGCTTAGAGAGAAAAGATCCACTTCGTTTGGAAACCTGCATCTAACGTTTTTGTTGACGTGTACTAGAAATTTTCCACTTTCTCTCGAGCATCTTGTACAAATTCAACCTACATTGATCAACATACTCAACAAGCAACAGAGCTTCAACTGACTCTGCACCCTACTTCAATCGAATATAAAAAAGAAAAAACACACAGTGTCCATTATGCAATACAGGTTCCTACTATCGACAATCGTTCTTGTCGCGCTATTATCCTTCGCCATCGCCAAAAAGAACTTTTATCAGATCCTTGGTGTTGATAAATCAGCATCAGATAAAGAGATCAAATCGGCGTATCGTCAATTAACGTTGAAGTACCATCCAGATAAGAACCCAGGAGATGATGAAGCCCATGAAAAATTTCTTGAAATTGGTGAGGCTTATGAAGTATTGAGTGATGCCACGAAACGGAAAAACTACGATACGTTTGGTGATCCTAATGGACAGCCACAACAGCACAATTTCGACTTTGGTGATATCTTTGGTCAATTCTTTGGTGGAGGACATGGTGGTGGTGGCAGCGGAGGTCGCCGTGGCCAGCCACAAGTGAAGCGTGGTAATGATGCCAATGTCGATCTTCATTTATCATTAAAGGATTTCTATCGTGGTAAATTAGTGGCGTTTGATGTTGCTATGCAAAATGAGTGTGAGAAATGTGGTGGGACTGGATCAAAAGATAAACAACGCCACACGTGTGAAAGATGTCAAGGTACGGGGCAAATTGTTGTTCAACATCAACTAGCACCGGGATTCTCCCAACAAGTCCGTATGGCGTGTGATGTATGTCGAGGTACTGGAAGACTGGTTAAGAATGCATGTAAGACGTGTAATGGGGAAGGTGCAGTGCGTGGTCCACGACATTATGACGTCCATTTGGAACGAGGACAAAATCGAGATTCTGCAATTAGGTTAGAAGGCGAAGGAGACAAGAGTCCCGAATGGGTTCCTGGTGATTTAATCGTCAAGTTTAGAGAAAAGTTTACTGAGAGCTGGGGGTATAGAAGAATTGGCGACAATTTGTATCGTACAGAGGTGTTGTCGTTGAAGGAAGCGTTGCAAGGTGGGTGGGAGAGACATGTGCCATTCCTTGGTGGAGACGAAGATGATGACGAGTATAGAGAAGTGGTGTTGAAGCGTGCTCAAGGTGAGAGTGTAATGGATGGACAAATCGAAGTGGTTGAAGGTTATGGTATGCCATTGGTGACGGATCATGATGAAGACGATAAGTTTGGTGATTTGTATATTGAGTACAAGGTGGTGATACCAGGTGGTGGTGATGCTAAGGCTAAGAAAAGTGTAAAGAAGGATGAGTTGTGATTTTGGAATGTAGAGCTTTTGATAGACTTTGTTTATAGAGGAAAAAGTCAAGAGAATGTGATGTCGATGAAGTAAATCCAGATTTAGAAGGTGGACCACGAAGATCTGAGAGTTTGACGTATTTGCAACGCGGTGTTGAGCATCTGAGACACTTTAACTTTAATTTTTCTTTTTTTTTTTTTTTTTTTTTTTTGGGTTCAAATTATTTTGAACAAAGTAGTTCAGGAAAGGGGAGATTAATCTGAAACCCGTAGTATTCCGTTAATCTGAGTGGAACTGAGTGGGACCCACCTGGAATTCGAGTGGATTCCGTATGACGTAAATGTGAAATCCGTGCAAAGGTGCCCAGAGACAATCTATTGTGTTGTGGTTTTGTTGCTTTTATTGTCTTTTGAAACCAATTTGAAATGTTTAACAATAATCTATGTCAACTAGACCGATAATCAATTGAGAAAGAGTTGCTTCGCAACATCAAAAAAAATAAAAGAAAAAGAAACCTATTGACGATGATGATGTCAGAACCTAAATCTCATCACTTGGACTGAAAGTATTGTTTTAGATTAAATGAAAAAAGTGAAATAACTAGGTACAATAAATTAGAGTTAACTAGCCACACCATGTGTTTGCATATATGTGGCTAAGCATATAATTGATTGTCTTTTTACGTAACCTTTGGTGGACGTTGAATGTACACTTCATACCTCCTGAGTGGCTAATTTTTTCAGGGGGGCACGGATGTTAGATCTGACCGTTATTTTGTTTTAAACGTATTGTTGGTTACGTCAGTGGGAATTTCTTATCTACAAAGTGAAACCAACGTAGTTGTTGAATTTATTTTTTCTTTTTTATTCCCTTGTTTGAGACATGGTTTTTGCAAAAGCTTTCAATGCAAGTTTGCATCTAAAGCTATGGTAATGGGTAAGCAAGATCAAAACATGCTTGTCAAAAATGCGAGTAGAAGTCAATTACAGAAGTACTCAGCAGGACACACATCGTACTCAGAGTAGGTTATCAGATGACCGACAGGTAGAATCTAGACCAAAATTAGATTTGGACTAAACTGTCCTTGTTGTGGCTCTTGAACTGATTTTGTGGCAAATGAATTTTTTTGTTCCGGAATTCGGAACTCAAAACCGCAGCAAGTAATTTTGTTTTGTGTAATTGATTTCAATAATTGCTGTGGAATTCCATCGAAAAAATTTATATGGGCAGAACAAGAGAAAGAAATCAACTTTTCAGTTGATAAAATCACAACTTCTGTTGTGTTTCTCTGAACGGAAAGCAGTAGGGTCAGGAATGTACTCTGTACGTCTGGCGCATATCGAATCATCTGATGTAAATTTTACTTTCACTTGTCAGTTCACTCATGTTTTCAATTAACAACGTGTGCTCGTTGAATGTAGTCCCTTTTGTGAATAGACCAGCTTGAAATTGTTTATCTCTCTTCAACCGTATAAATGCTTACTTTGTGTATGTAGTACAACAATACCAACAATAATAGCACGTATTATATTCCTTCCAAACAATTATGCCATCCATAAAGGGGTCTAGAAAAAAATAAAAAAATAAAAAAATGAAAAAAAAAAAAAGAAAAAGAAAAAGAAAACAGTAACCACGCCATTCTACACCCCACGCAACAAGCACATTTGTCAACTGCAAAAAACAAAAAAAAGGGGGGAGACTAGTAGCTGCCTTGATACGTCCCAACGAGGAAGGGAGTGCCCCATCACTTACTACTCCCTTCCTGAGGACAAGACATTGTGTAGCCCCTGCGTAAAAATTTTTCTTGCAAACGTATTCGCTCCCCCCTCCTTTTCCCACCCCCACACCACACCTTAGAAGTTGGGGATTCTCCACCTTTTCGTCTTTTTTTTTCTTCTGCTGCTACCATCCACACCTAGCTAAGAAGAGGGCAAGTACTTGCATAAAACAAAAAGTTTTATACATACGTTTGATCAAGAAAGCTTATACGTAAATACAAGCTTACTTCTTTGTTGAGCTTTGGGAAAAGCGAGTGTGTTATGTCTAAATATGGCCAAGCTGTAGGCTTGTCTTTTTCTTGGGTCTTATGGTGGGGAAGAAAGTCTCAAGAAAAAAAATGAAAAAAGAAAAAAGTTGGAGTATGCGTGAGGTAGCGCAAATGCAAAGGTCTAGATCTTTTCAAGTAACAACCCACGCGGCATTTACTTTCTTACACTTGAAAGGCTGCAAGTTCGAAAGTCCACTGAAGCGAAACATAATGCTTCCTTGTAGTTCCGTTGGTTCCGTACTGACGTAATACTTGTGTCTTGATGACACGCACACACTTACACACTTACACACCCTATAGCAACTCTTGAAAGTGAAACCAATTTTGGATTGGAATTCACTCGTCATCACTCAATTTTTTTTTTTTTTGTTTTATTTTTTGGCTTTTATTGTGTATGTGTATGTGTATGTGTATGTGTATGGGTTATTGTTTCTTATGTTCTGGCGCGTATTCGCTACTTTTGTGGGTCTCTCTGGCTAAACTGAAATGAGCCAATGTATTGTTACACAAAGATATAATGTAGAGCAAAAGCACTAAAAACGAAAAGTGAAGAAAACAAGAGAAAAAGTCTGAGACCAAAAGAAGGTGCTTAAAAGTTAAGAAGAGCAAACAAAAAAAACTGTGAGTGAAACATTTCGGAACTCCTGGAAGGGCGGAATATTCATTTGACAGCTGCAAACCCTACTCTTTACTATAGTTATACACATAGGTAAGTGCAATACGTACATGCTTAAGAAACATCTGTATAGTATAGATCTCTCTCTCCACTGTACTACTAAAAGAGTTTAATATAGAAGAAGTAGAAACAAAAAAATAAAAAATAAAAAATATATTAATATGGCGCATAGTTTGTTTAACCCATTGTGCATCCTAATAAGGCGGGTTAAACTAAGACTAAAATTCTTTTTTTATTTTTTTTGTTTTCTTTTTTTTTTTTTTTTTATGAGTGAGTTCGCTCGGTAGAACTATACTATACTATACTATATATATATACCGAGACAAAGTAACCTTTCATTAAATACCATCTTTTTCCTTCCTCTTATTCTTTATACAATATATATTCTATCAAAGAAACTAATTGATCGATACACTTCTATCTCCTACAGTATACAATCTACCCGAGACACTTAGACATCCTTAACATACCATGTCTGTGCTATCACCTTTGGCTTCAACCCACACAGCCAACAATAATAATCCACATCTAGCCAAGTCTATTATTGGCCAACTAGCCATTAATCCACAAGCATCAAATGTCTCCACCTCACTACCTATTACTCCAACCTCTATAGACACGCCTACCTTGGATCATGAGGACAGCAACAACCACAACATCACCAAACTTGGCTCTAATCCCCAGTGTCAGTCACTTCCCCTCTCACCAAAACCATCCAGACCCCATTCACAACTAATAGGATCCCCAAGACTGGCCTTTGCCGAAGAGTTGGCGCAGCTACAAAACTATTTTGAGACCAAACATGCACCTTCACTCAACGAGGAAGGCGAAGAGGAAGAACTTGATGAAACTGAAAGTATCATGTCGGAAGCTTTTAGTGTAATGACTCCCGATTTCACAACTACACCAAGAACCAACAACTGCATTGAGAATGGTGGTAATCTTATACATCCGTACTGGCCAGCACAACAACAAAGGCTTCTTCTTCAACAACAACAACAACAACAACTACAACTGTCTGCAGGCAATGCAGTATCACGTGCTGCTTTTCTTGACGATTTAAAACTGACACTTCCGTCTATTTCCTCCAGCGATTCACCAACAACCATTCTAACCTCCTTCTTTTCCAATCAACTATTTTATGCACAAAACTTGACTCAACTTCCGCAACATTTCATCAATCAAGAATTTGACAGTTTTAGTCATGATGTAGTACTCAACCCACATATACCTAGCAAAAAGCATCATGCCAAAATCATTGAACAGCTCGACCAACTATATGTATCTTCAGTTGAATTGGTGTCTGTCATTGTCATGTTCAACTGCTTCATCACAAAGGTAAACCATCATGAGGTTGGATTACAGAATTTGAAACTGATTAAATCACATTTCGACTCCTTGATCAATGATTATTTGGGTCAACACGTACACTTGATTCTTGACAAGATCATTGATGGTTTGTATGAGTACAATTTAATGATTGAAGAAATGTTGGAAGAGGATGAACACAGCAAGGCTAATAATGAGGAAGGAGAAGAACAGGAGGAGGTGGATGACGCTGTTGCTGACTACGACACGATTAATGACTACTATAACGAAATTGAAACGACTCTCACCTTATCTAATTCAAAATTAACTCAACAGGAATGTGAAAAGTTTTACAGCTTGTTGAATACTGAGATCATACATAACAAGGACTGGATTGATTATATTGCCCACTTGAAAACTTTATAGATTTTGATTGTGTATATATATATATATATAATCGTCTTGTGATATAAAGAGTATGATCCATTTAGGTGTAGACTTTGCTTCCCACTTGATTTACCGCTATATACTTGTACTTAGTGCACTTTATTGTGGCTGGCAATCCTAGAAGAGAGCCCTTTTGCATAAAAGTGGATTGGAAACAATTACCCAAGTACACCACACGTGACTACTCAAAAACAACCAAAAACTAAGCCACTCACCATGACAGAGTCTAAACTAATGCAGCAGTAGTCATTTATTATCTTTGACATAAAAGGTAAACATATGACGATATTTTTTTCTGTTTGCTTCCATTGCTATCGGGTATCGTTTCTTTTCGTTTCTTTTCCGTTGTGGTGTTAGTGCTGTATAATCTTTCTCCGGTTTTGTGTCCGAAAAACGTTTAGACATCAAACCATTGTTGCTTTGAGTTGCTTACAAATACAGCATTACCCGCTTGGATATATAAGCCACGCATCAATCCCATGTCTTGGCCCACTCCCTTGCAAGAGTGACTACCATCCTCAAACAGCAAAATCAACATGTCAAACGATTCAAACTTGGTTCAAATTAGACCACTTGGAGATACCAAATTATTCCAACCCATCAAAGTTGGTGCCAATACTTTATCACAACGTATTGCCTTTGCTCCATCTACAAGACAAAGAGGCACTGTCGACTACTACCCAACTGACTTGCAGTTGCCTTACTATAAAGCAAGAGGTCAGTATCCTGGTACTTTAGTAATCACGGAAGCCACATATGTGTCGCCAGGAGGTGCTGGAAGAGCCAATGTACCCGGTATTTGGAATAACAAACAAGCTGCTGGTTGGAAAAAGATCACTGATGCTGTGAGACTGGAAGGTTCGTTCTCAAGTGTTCAGTTGTGGCATTTGGGAAGAACAGCTGATCCGGAACAGTTGAAACATGATGGTCAACCTTTCCTTGCACCTTCACCAATTTACTTGAGTAAAGAGCTGGAAGAACATGCCAAGAAAGTTGGTAACGAATTGCGAGCAGCTACAAAGGAAGAGCTTGAAGACTTGATCAATAATGTGTACCCTAACGGTGCCAGAAAGGCATTGGAAGCAGGGTTCGATTATGTCGAATTGCACTCAGCACATGGTTACTTTTTGGATCAGTTTTTGAATGAAGAGACTAATCATCGTACTGATGAATATGGAGGATCGGTTGAGAACCGTGCAAGGCTATTATTGGCAATTATCGACAAGTTGATCCCTATTGTTGGTGCCAACAGATTGGCAGTCCGGTTATCTCCTTGGGCCACTTTCCAAGTGAGTCAACCAGAGGGTGAGGAAGTCCATAGATACATCTTTGAACAATTGCAAAAACGTGCTGATGCCGGTCACGAATTAGCCTACATCTCCCTTGTGGAGCCTAGAGTGTCTGCTGGTTTCGATGTTTCAGAAGAAGATCAACGCGGTAGAAGCAATGCATTTGCCGAAAAGATCTGGAAGGGTAAATTCGTCAAAGCTGGTAATTACACTTATGATGCACCTAAGTTTGAAACTTTATTGCATGATTTGGAAAATGACCGCACTTTGATTGCATTCTCTAGGTTTTTCACTTCGAATCCTGATTTGGTATATCGTTTGAAGAATGGATTGCCTTTGCAACATTACGACCGACCTACTTTCTACACTCATGATAACTATGGTTATAATACTTGGAACCAACATGATGGAAATCAACAGTTTGATAAAGAAGCCGAGCAAAAGAGAGTCGGTAAGGTGTTGGCTTGAGCGAGGCAAGGGGTTGGGAAAGTTGTAGAACAGTAGAGGTTGTTTAGAGTTATAGATGATTGATTTGTATTTGTGATTTTTCATGTTAAATGGATGTTTCTCGGCTCAAAGTTTGAAGTCTCGGCCGAATGTAAGCCTCTATAGCAGGGTGGGGTCGCACAACGCTAGTTTTTGTTTATCCGCAACTGTGGAGGTGGTGGTGGGGGGTGGGGGGCAACGCGCGCTGCTATTGGAATAACGCCGCGTGCAATGAAATTTCACCTCACATTATTAAGCACCTTGAACTTTCAACTCCACATTCGTCACTTTCTTCCTTCCCTGAAACCTCAACACACTCTTCCACCCCCCTCCCCCGATATCTCAGAGAATGTCATCACCGTTAAAAGATACATTAGTATTCGAGCCTATCAAAGTAGGCGAAGTCACTTTATCAAACAGGATTGTCATGTGCCCCACCACTCGATTTAAAGCTGCAAAATTTTCAAATGAAATACTGCATCACCTTCCATCGGATTTGATAGCTGAGCATTATTCTCAGCGGGCCGAGTACCCTGGAACTTTGTTGGTCACGGAAGCTACTTATGTGAGTCCACAAGCTGGAGGGTTTGATCGTGCTCCAGGAATCTATACTGATGAACAGACTAGAGCTTGGAAGAAAGTTGTTGATGGTGTGCATGCTAAAAAGAGTTTTATTTCATTGCAAGCTTGGTTTTTGGGACGAGTGGCTGACCCAAGGGTTTTGAAAAAGGAAGGGCAGAGATATGTGTCTGTGAGTCCAATTTATCCTGACTCAAGACAAGAGAAGTTGTCAGAAAAAGCTGGGTTGCCATTGATTGAGTTGTCTATAGAGGATCTTCAACGAATCATTCACCATGATTACACCATTGCTGCCACGAATGCGATGGAAGCTGGCTTTGACTTCTTTGAGTTGCATGGTGCTCATGGGTATTTGTTGGACACTTTTTTGCACGAAAATACAAATCACAGGACTGACAAGTATGGTGGCTCTATTGAAAATAGAGCACGCTTCATTTTGGAATTGGTTGACCATTTGAGTACAGTTATCCCACCATCGAAGTTAGCAATCAGATTGTCTCCCTGGGCTGAGCTTAAGGGCGTTGTTGAAGAAGTCAGTCCCATTCCCCAATTCTCGTACTTAATAGCTGAGCTTCAAAAACGTGCAAACAAAGGTAAATCACTTGGGTATCTCTCCATTGTTGAGCCAAGAGTCCAGGGTGTTTTTACTGCCGCGCCGGAAAGTATCAAAGGTACTAATGAGTTCGTTGAAAGTGTATGGAAGGGTGTTACTTTAAGGGCTGGAAATTATACTTACGACGCACCTGAGTTTAACCAAATCAAGAAAGACGTTTCTAATGGGAGAACCTTGGTTGGGTTTTCTAGGTACTTTACATCAAACCCCGATTTGGTTTACAAGTTGAAGAATGATCCTTCCAAGTTGGTCAAGTATGATAGAAAGTTGTTCTATCAACCTTTCAACTGGGGTTACAACACGTATGATGGGCAGAGCTATGACGAAGATGTTGAAAGAAACAGGTATGCACAATCCATTCAGTGAAGGTGGAAATAGCGTAAATAGATTTTGCAGTTTCTTCTTGTCATTTTTGGTTGAGTCATTGAATGATGAATGATTGAACTTATTGAGCTTATTGCGTATCTCTTTCTTAATTGGGTGTTTTATATGCTGTCAACTGATCGTATCTGGAGAACGGCAACTGCACCTATTTGTATCACCACGCCGGCTCTACACATAAAATGGTAGCGTGTAATGTTTTAGACGCGTGCAAATCAAAAAGTTTTTGGAAATATCAAAGCAAACATCGATACCAATATATGGGCCATGTTGCCACAGCAGCCCCGAAACATGAAGGACATCACAGACCCGTCTGATTTCAAACATACGGCCATTCCAAACTTGGCGGAACTTGATGTTTTGGAAAGGTGTTACATATGCAAAGAGTTTTTTCGGGCACCAGTCATAACTGGATGTCATCACACCTTTTGTTCGCAATGTATTCGTGAGTACTTGATAACGAATAACCTATGTCCATTATGCAAAACGGAAGTCTATGAAAGTACTTTAAAGCGGGATGTCTTGTTGGAGGAGATTGTTGAATGCTACAAGAAAATCAGACCCCTACTATTGAAAAATCTTGATGAGAAGGATCAACAAAAGAAGCGACAAAGGGAGGTGAGTGTTGAAATATCGGACAGCGACTCAGAAGTGGAAGTAGTTGATGCCAAAAAGGCAAAGACCTCCACTGAGGTCCCAGATATAAAGCCACCATCAGCTAGCAAGGAAGAGTCCGCACCAGATTTAGTTGAATGCCCCATTTGTTCAAGGAAAATGGATGCAGAAAGATTACAAACAGTTCATATTGACGCTTGCTTGAGTGGAAAAGACGAGCCCCCTCCGGTTCGTAATGGTAATGGGAGGTCCTCTATATCATCGTTTTTCACTCCCGTCAAGTCCGCATCTCCCACACCAACACCATCAATAACGAAATCACACCCTGCTCAACAGCGACAACCATCAGAAGAGCTCAAGCCGGCCCCAAAACGTTTACAAAAGTTGGATTTTGCATCTCTAAGTACACCAAAACTCAAAGCAAAGATGGCGGCTTTGAAACTTCTGACTTTTGGCACAAGACATCAATTGGAGTTGCGATACAACAAGTTTTTTGTATTACATAATTCAAATTGCGATAGTCAATACCCGGTGCCTCAACATGCACTACGTCAGCAACTTAAGCAATGGGAGGTGTCAAATCCAGTTTTCACAAATAATGGGCTGCTACGATACAATGATGATATTTTGGATTCGAATTTCTCATCTACTGAGTGGTTGAAGAAATATGATGCTGAGTTCAAAGAGCTTGTAAAACAAGCAAAGGGAAATGCTAGTTAGTTTGTGTAGAGGTCTAGCATATTTTGATACACAGTGGACTTTAAGCTGTTCAGCATGAACCGATATCACTATCGCAACGGTAGCACCCCTCTTTGCTTAAGCTGGGTAAACTTACACTGGAAATAGAATAAATTTGCACAGCCAGTAATTGCGACATCAAATACCGAATATGGGCAAGGTTTTAGCCATGTAAAGAAGTAATCGGTTATGACGGAACTTTTTTCCGAAACGGGATAAACTTAGCATTATGAGATCTGCCAGATGCGCTTTCGGAACAAAAAAAAAAAACGAAAAAAAAAAATTGAGACATTGTGTGGTCCTGCTATTCACACGGAAAATGCCTCAATTTCAGACCATTTATCATCTATGCATATTCAAATCCTGAATATCTATAAAGTAAATCTGCAGCTTGTGTTGCATCGATCATCTTATAAATCTGTCTTGACCGGAATTTATACAAATTTTATCAAAAAATTATGCATTTATCACCTGAGTGATTTTCCGCTTTTGTTTTAGAAAAAAAAAAAATTTCTGTTTTCTTTTCCTGTCAATGATCTTATTTTAGGACCGAAGCGTCTGAAGGTACATCTCGCAACCACTCCACAGCTATATCCGTGCATGGACGACAATCAATACCTCACAACCTATGAAGCCGCATTGGCTGTTGTGGCTACAGGAATGAAGAAATCACGACTAAAGCCCGACACTTTACTTATCAATGCCATCGTTGGTGCCATACTTTTTTCAACAGGAGGAATGCTAAACCTTGTTGTTCACTCGATGTTTCCTGAAATTACCAATAATAATCCTGGTCTACTACGATTTCTATCCGGGTCGTTTTATCCAATAGGGCTACTTTATGTGGTGGTGATGGGAGCAGAATTATTCAATGCAAACGTACTTTTCTTCACAGTTGCTTTATGTCGACAAGGAGTTTCAATATTGGACTTGTTGATAAACTGGTTCATTACTTGGTGGTTCAATCTTGTTGGTAACATCTTTGTCGGATACATCATTACTCATTATTCGAAATCAGCGTCTAGTGAAGCATTTGTTGCTGGATCGCATGAACTTCTTGACTCAAAAATGGAATTCTCATTTGTTCAAAACATGATCAAGGGTATTGGGGGGAACTTTTTCGTAAGCTTGGCGATATACCTACAAATCATGGCCAAGCCACTACATGTGAAATTCATTATGCTTTATCTCCCCATATTCACGTTTATTTCATTGGACTTTACGCACTGTGTGGCAGACATGTACATAGTGATCATTGGTAAGATAAATCATTCATCGGCAAGCTGGGGGGAAATATGTTGGAAACTTTTGTTGCCTGGAACAATTGGGAACATTATTGGAGGTGCATTCTTTGGCATAGTAATTTGCTGGTACATGCATATCTACGTGGTCGAAAGAGATAAGAAGGAGTTGAACTTGCCACAGTATGAATTTAGAGATCAACAGCCCGAGTTGAACCAAGATTCAAGAGTTGTACGGCAAAAAGATCCCGTCTTTCACGACGATGTTGAAGTTGAAAACGGCACCGAAAAGAAACCTTCGATTACAAACTCTGGTGGCAGCACTGAAACGGAACTGGTAGAATCGCAATCCAATCTTACGCCAAGACCGTACCTTGAATCCCACCCATCGGCAACATCAAGACTAAGCAGACGAAGGACCTCGTTAGCTTCCATTCGTTCGCCAAAAAATGTTTTCCCCGTTTACGGTATGGATGAGCCTTTGACTAGAGAACGCACGATTGCTGGCGACCATGCACATGAAGATGAGGTTCCTGACGAAGTGGACGATGAAGATGACGAAAATGCCAATGAGGCACGGTCGATAGGGTCGCAGTTGCTTCGCATATTTACGACGCGTTCGAGAAAGGACGCCACTGAATGCTAGATATAATTTAATAGATTAAAGAACACTTTGTAAAATCATGGTGTAGCATATATTTGGGGCAGGAAATAAAGTAAACTTACGGGGATCATATATATATATATATATATATATATATAACGTGGCCAGATGATCAATTGGCAGTCGTACCTATGTCTGGGTTTGGTTGCAAAGACTAGATTTAAAATATAAAAAAAACAATGGACGACATGAGAGTCGAACTCATGACCTTCTGCTTGCAAGGCAGACGCGCTACCAACTACGCCAGACGCCCTAATTGTTGTCAAACAAGGCTCTTTAAGAAACTGATCAGCTAAAATTCACGTGGCTTTCATGTGCTTTTCATGTGTATATCATGTGATTTGCTATGCTTTTTGATTGCAAAACCGAATCTAACCATACAAATATCACACTCCATTGACTTATTACCAATCATTGAAAAGGGATTTATCTTAGTCGGCTTTTGGAACACCCTCCCCGAGTAGGAAGATCATAGTCGACACTATGATTTTGTTTTATCAGCAAAATGTATTCTTTTGCACCATTTCAGTGCTAAATTATGATTAACCTAACACATAAAGTTCAATTTGAAAACAGAGCCAAACTTTAATGCTTGCTATTCAGAGCAAAAACAAGGGACCATAAACATTACAGACAATGGATTCATTTCAGTTACCTCATTGGCGTATAAATCATTGTTCTATATCGACACAAGTGACACAAAACCAAGTCGTACTACGAATATGAAGCTCAAAACACAAGAATCTCTTTGTATTCCTCATTGTTATGAACATTTGTAGTCTAACCCTCTGCTACATTGTCATCGAGCAATTTCTCTTCCTTACAGCTGGCTTGGTATGCAAAGTTGTCACATTAAACCCATAAATATGAGTAGTAGATGCAAGTCTATGACAACGAAGAGGCTGCACATTGAGCAAAGTTTGCCAAGACTTGGATATTACATGTGGTTTATTTTTCTCTTTTGGTGGTGGAAAGGCTCTTTCGGGAATGGAAGCAAGATCAATCCGTAGCGCACTCTACCGCCTATGTATAATAGCTCAGTCTGTTTGAATGCCTCTTTCTTCCCCCCCCTTGCATCCGAGATATACACTTGCACTACGCTTTCCCTCTTCATAGTGCTCAACATTTATCCTTGTGAAAAAGGGGCGCCCCCTCTCCTTTTTTTTTTTTTTTTTGCAGCCTTCATTTTGCTTTACACAAATGTTAACTAGAGAAGAGGCAAAAAGAAAAGAAAAAAAAAAAAAAAAAGCCGAAATGAATTTGTTCTTTACTTCATCTCATCTCATCGCATTGCATAAGAAGAAAGCCAGGCCCCCCCATACAATGATGTCTACAACCACGGCTGCATCATCAACCTATTTAGATGAAGATACTACATGGAAGTCACTAAATCTTGATCCAAGGTTACTACAAGCCATTGATCAGCTTGGATTCCAAAACCCCACACTCATACAGAGCAGTGCCATACCTTTGGCGTTGGAGGAAAAAAGAGACATTATTGCCAAAGCATCAACCGGTTCAGGTAAAACTGCTGCTTATGCTATACCCATTATTCAAAATTTGCTATTGGATGGCACCAGTCCAGGGATCAAGTCGATTGTGCTTGTTCCTACAAGAGAGTTATCGAATCAAGTATTTCAATTTATGGAAAAATTGATAAAACATAGCAGCAAGAAAATTGGCATTTTGAACTTGTCATCAAGTTACAGTGACCAAGTATTGAACTCTTTACTAGCGAATAAACCTGAAATTATAATTTCCACGCCAAGCAAGTTGGTTCAAATTTTGGAAATGCATGATGAGAAATCGCCCATTGACTTGAGCTCAGTGCGAAACTTGACCATTGATGAGGTTGATTTGATTTTGAGTTTTGGGTACTTGGAAGATTTGGCGAAATTGGAGTCTTATTTGCCGGTGAAGAAAAATTTGCAAACCTTTTTAATGTCAGCTACAATAAATGATGATATAAACGAGCTCAAGACGAAATTTTGCACTAAACCGGCAATCTTGAAATTGGATGACGAGAAAAGTAGTAATGATAAGTTGGTCCAGTTTTATGCAAAGACTACCGAATTTGATAAATTTTTACTAAGCTATGTCATATTCAAATTGAACTTGATCAAGGGAAAGACAATTGTTTTTGTCAACAATATTGATAGAGGGTACAGATTAAAGTTGTTTTTGGAACAGTTTGGTATAAGATGTTGCATTTTGAATAGTGAATTGCCAATCAATTCAAGACTACATATCGTCGAAGAATTTAACAAGAATGTCTATCATTTGTTGATTGCCACAGATGAAATTTCCATTGAAAAAGAGGATGGCGAATTGGAAGAAGGCAAGAGTGCACCAAAGGAAGAAAAACCAAAATCCAAGAAGTCCAAAAAGGATAAAGAGTATGGTGTGTCTCGTGGAGTTGACTTTAAAAATGTGGCTTGTGTTTTGAACTTTGATCTTCCCACCACTTCGAAGGCATATGTGCATAGAATTGGTAGGACAGCTAGAGCAGGAAAATCTGGAATGGCGCTTTCATTTGTGATTCCATTGAATGAAGTTGGTAAACACAAGACAGCCACCTTGGCCACAGCTAAACGAGATGAGAAAATTTTAAACAAGATTGTCAAACAACAGGAGAAAAATGGATTCGATATAAAGCCGTACCAATTTGACATGAAACAAGTTGAAGGGTTTAGGTATCGAGCTGATGATGCGTTTAGAGCAGTAACTCAAACCGCCATCAGAGAAGCAAGAGTTAAGGAATTGAAAAATGAGTTGATCAATTCAGAGAAACTAAAGAGATTTTTCCAGGAAAACCCCCAGAACTTGGCAACTTTGAGACACGACAAAGAATTACATCCTGCTAGAGTCCAAGCTCATTTAAAGAATCTTCCCGAGTATCTTTTACCTGAAAGTGCTAGAAGTGATGTGAAGAACATTGGATTTGTCCCATTCCATAAAAACAAGGTGAACAAATACAGAAAGAAGGGGAAATCCAAGAGAAAACAAGATCCTTTGAAAACATTCAAAAAATAAGGGAATGAAAGTATCTAAATTATGCCAATCTACTTAAAATCAAATTCCAGATTAAATTAGCTAAGCAGTTTGAGGGAAACATCATACTCTGCGGTATAAACATGAACAGGAAAATACTGAAAAATGGCCAGTAGCAATAACTATACTTTAATGACTTGAAGTACGCATTTCTTGTAGCTTTTGTAAATACCTCTCCATGATCCCAAAGGGCATTTAAAACATTGAATATTAATTGAAACGTTGGGGCACCTATGGCTTGATCAACCAAAATTCGATACACAATACTCTCAAATCGCTGCATTAGCAAGTTAATCCAAGTGACAGTGAAATACCCATTTACACTACCCCAAATCATAAATTCAATAATTTTGGTGAATTTGAATTTCCTTCTTGAAAATTGGTTTATCGACTGAGCCAAACCTCCAGAGAAGCAGCCCAATAGCGTTGGTGCTAGCATCTGATTGATTTCGGATATCCTTTGGTATTGATGGTATATGACAAGCGATATTATGGCCTGTATTATCAATGCAAAGTAGAGCCTTTTTAGAATATGCTTGGAGCTGGGATGTAAGTGATAGTTATCATTAGTTTTATAAGTTGTGGATGTAGAAGATTTCTCTAGATCATTGAGCTCTATTGACTCTCTTGTTAAGGGTAGCGACATTCTTTAGTGAACACACACACACACACACACACACACACACACACACACACCTCTTTGATATGACAAGTGGTCTGTAGGAATGAAAGTTCTTTTGGATTTGCGCTATGATTATTTTTCCAAAAATAGATACATACTTTCCTCTGTGCATTTTTTTTTTTTTCTCTTTTTCTCTTTTTCTCTCTTTTCCAATTTGAAATTTTGTCGACGTGTCGCGCTTGGGCGGGGTGCAGCGGAGCGGCTTTAGTACTCCATACACAAATCTAGTGAGCTGTATATATCCTTTGTTATGAACCTGGCCCCTCATGTGGTAGAGTGTATGGCAGTATTTGACTCACCAGCGGAATATGCATCATACCAACACACCAGATGATACCGTAGCAGATCTATTCAATTTGAGCCATGATTGCAAAGCCGAGTTCGATGAAACAAATACTGAAGTTTGTTAAGTTGTTAATGGAAACAGCGCTTTTGTAGCCCCCCTATAACAAAATTTTATTTCAAATGGACACCCTAGTCATTAGTGTGTGGTATATATTGGTGTGCTTCAGTGAATTGATTTATAAAGCACATTTACAAATGTTTGAAGAGAAACTGACTTGGATGCATATTTCACTTATTTACAGTTGAACTATAACTTGGCCAACATGAAGGTATTACGGTTGAGTCAAAAGACATCACACAGGGAGGTTGATAAAAGATACGGGACAGTTACTCAAGCATCCCATCAAACCGTGGAGCACGTCATTGTTTCGAAACACTTTGTGAATGGAAAATTGGCAGAGAGAGTTTGTGAGCTTAGCTTGAAATTTCCGAAAATCCAGTATCAACTGGTGTAGCTACTTGCTTCGCGGGCACAATATGACGTACCTACCTGAACAAATAATTAGGCATAGTAGAGTTGTGCCGAGAGGAAATATCGGAGTGCTCTGAAGTATTAAATCAGTCCACTATTTGGAGCCCATACAACTGAAATATTTCTGGTTGACGAGGAAGAGGAGGAGAATACAATTGAGCTGATCAAGTACTATTCTGATACTGAACTCTTGCAATTGATGATGGAGTACCGTGGTAAAGAAAAAAACAAATCAGCTTTTCCTATTTTTAGTAAGATGGCCTCGCATGGACTTTAATGTTGGCTCTTTTATATTCCACTTTAATCCGTGACATACACACTCTGCTATACGTAATGTTCTTGAGCATCTAGTGCCCATAGGTACAGTGATACGATCGTATTTATACTTGACCATACAAATTTTGCAGTTGGTAGCGCTTAGAATTCTGTAGAAATTTCTTTTTTTTTTTGAAATTTTTCACAACCAAAATTGGACTACTGACATCATTTCAAAACCTCCATACAATACCGATACAAGGATGGTTGTCCACAACCCTAATAACTGGTGTGTACTAGATAATGATTGCTCAAATATATTACTTACTAACCGTAGTATAGGCACTGGGTCGATAAAAACTGTTTACCCTGGGCTCAAGAATATTTCAACAACAATGTCAAAGATTTATCTTTTGAAGATGATGAGTTTAGCTTCATCATATCAGATATCCCGTCAGTAACTGGACATTGTGACGTGACTCAAAGAAAGGGTAAAGTGTTGTGCATCTACGATATGAGACTTGTTTTCAACGTCCTGGGCAAAATAAAGAGCAAAGATGAACAAAAATCTGGAACAATTACCATTGCCGAATTTGAACATGACCAAGACGAAAGTGAATATGTATACGAAGTTGTTGTTGATAATGTGTCATCCAAAGTACGCAAGCATTTAGTACCATTGATATCGTCAAAGTTGATAAAATTCCAACCCGATTTGATAGAAGCTCACGCTAAAGATGTACAACACAATACTTGAAAAAATAGACAAGAGTGTAATGGATCCTTGCACTTCTCCATGAAATCAGCTGTCAAGGACATGGTTTCCCAAGTAATGACCTGATTCATCAGCTAATTTTGATCGTGCTTTGTGCAATCTTGTCTTTGGTTTGTCCATTATAAATAGGCCACGGAATCCTTAATGATTTCCTGTCTAGTTTATATAGTTCTTCAAGTTATTTCTACTTCAATATGACTGGTACCTTAGTTTTTTATTACAAAGAGATTACGTTTTAGGCTTCCTTTGTAGTGTTTATTCATTTTCTATATTTCTATTTACGTGTTTGTTGCTCCACTTGCACCCTTACAGGCTCAGGCTCCTCTTCGGATTCTTCTGCATACTTTCTCTTTCTCTTTGACCTTGAGGGCAGTTCCTTCGTCTCACCAATAAGCTCCTTCTTCAAAAGACGTTGTACCTCAGGAGCATAGCAGCTAGTTCTTCCTCCAACAGTTATATGATCCAAAGCGAAGCCCTCATTAGTTTTGGCCTTTCCTTCCTTCTTTCTTGCCTTTCCCCATCTGTGCAACATTAGCCAATGTGAGGGAAACATTTTGGAATCACCTTCACATTTCACAGCTTCTTCACACACATATATCAACGAATTGTATAATTTTTGGATAATAGGATGAACTTTTCCAGTTTCAAGTGCAACTTTATTGGAGATGATTTCGTTGGGATGCAATCTGGCATGGAATAGTACCTCATCAGCAACCCAATTACCAACTCCAGCAAAGTAAGCTTGATCTAAAAGAAAAGTTTTGATGCACTTCTTTTTGGACAATATAACCGCATTGAATTCAACTAAACCTAACCTTGGGCGCCCATGGCTACTTGGATCAGGATCACCAAACACAAATTCGGACTCCTCACCTAACATCTCTGGTTTACTATAATCCGGCCCCAACGCGTTCAATGGAGCCATTTGAAGGAGCCCCTCGTCTGTTGCAGCTAAATCCTCTGTAATGAGCCGGACCCTTCCAAGTCTTCGAGGATCGACAAAAGAAAGTTCCAATTTGAAATCGTTCTTTACCAAATCCATTTCAAACTTGGAAAATCTAGGAGGCCACTCATTCTCAGACTCCACCTTAATCTCCTCATCCCTCTTGGGTTCGCTGAGCTCCTTCAAAATTTTCTTGTCTCCACCATTTTCCATGAAAACTAAATGTGATTTCACATTCCTGATCTTGATCATTCCGGTCATTCCAAAATGCATGAGTAGCACGATTGGATTGGTTGATTTCTCATTCGTCAACCTTATCCAAAAGTACTTTCCATGTCGCCCAACGGAGTCAATACGTGAATTCGCAAGTGTAGACTGCATCCTCTCAAGTTCTGTTTCCGGGTCACTAGCATCTTTCAAATTGGGAAACAACAAAGTATCAAGTTTCAAGTTGACCTTTTTGATTGTGAAGCCCAAAATATTTCTTTTCAATAAAGCACAAACGTGTGCCACCTAGATTCGTTAGTTATAAAGACTCTGAAATGGCGGATTTAACACATACTTCTGCAACTTCAGGCATATTTTGTAGAGAGTTTGAATTCCTATTCCGTACATATGCAAATTTGCAAAATTTTGCGCACAAAAATAATAATAATAATAATAATAGTAATAAAAATAAAAAAAAAAAACAATCCACAAATTTCCTACGTAGAAATGGCAAAACTGCCACCAACAGCAAAAGATACTTCTCCGTCATGAATAGATTATTCGGAACCAAAAATACCGCTCCAAAGCCATCCTTGAATGATGCAATTAAAGGGATAGACGATCGAGTTAGCTCACTAGATGTCAAGTTGAGCAAAATCAACTCAGAGTTATCAACTTACCAGCAAAAGATAGCTAGAATGCGTGACGGGCCAGGAAAATCATCGTTGAAACAGAAGGCCCTTAAGTTGCTAAGACAGAGGAAACAGATTGAGGCTCAAAAGGATCAGTTGGAGAACCAGTCGTGGAATATGTCTCAGGCATCAATGACGACGGATAATTTACAAAATACAATGGTGACCATAAACGCTATGAAGACTGCCAACAAGGAATTGAAAAAGACGTATGGAAAGATTAATATCGATGAACTTGAAAACTTGCAAGATGAGATGTTGGACATAATAGACAAATCGAATGAGTTGCAAGAAGCGCTTTCGACAAGCTATGATGTACCAGAAGATGTAAGTGAAAGCGAATTAGACGCCGAGTTGGAAGCTTTGGGTGAAGAGATTGATTTTGAAAATGAGATGGCTGAGAGTGGAATAGGTGCCCCAAGCTATTTGAACGATGCAGAACCAGCAAATGCGGATAAACTCCCCACTTTTATAGACGAAGAGCCGGAAAAGACTGAAAAGATTGCAAATTAAATAAAAAGCTAACTATGTACAAGTCTAGTATTTTCGTTGAATAGCCATGAAGTAATTACCCACGTTTGGACACGAAGTAAACTCCCACCCGTACGCTGGGATATACACACATCCTCTCGTATCCACAACTTTATACTTTTCTCTCCTATTGGCATCCTCCTCCACCCAGTCTTTAATTTCATATTGATTAATGTACTTTTCCAACGTATGTGTGCCAACGGGTACAATCTTTAATATGTGCTCACCCATCAATATTGTCGTGAACCAGCTCACTGGGTCTCTATTGATAGTTGAGAGGAACAACCAGCCCCCCACCTCCAACCTCTCCAATCCCTCGAGGAGTACTCGTGATGGGTAATCGACGTGCTCCAAAACCTCAAACATGGTGACGATGTCAAATCTTTCCTCCCTTGGAAGATCTTCAATAGCAGATAACTTATATTGTAACTTGTTTGCCAACATTGGATCCTTGGCTTTATGTATCTTTGCTGCCTCCAACACGTCGGCTGACAAGTCTATCCCCTCCACGCTCGCCACAAATGGAGATCTTGCCATTGACTCTGACAAAATTCCACCTCCACACCCCACGTCTAGGACCTTTAGCTTACTATTGTCCAATAATTCTTCTTTCCTTTCCTCCTGATCTAAAAGTATTCTCTCTCTGACAGGTGCTGGCAACAAGTCAACATTATATGGGGGAATATAGATTTCGTCTTCTGCAGAGCTGACCTTGGAATTTAGCTTCAAGTGCTGCAGAATTGTGCTGTAGATGAAGTCCATTCGTAACAAGTTCATCTTGTGCAAAATTCGCTGGGGGCCATTCACATCCCACCACGAGGAAGCGAGGGCATTGAAGTGAGACATTTCAGATGCTGAGGACGAGGTAAATTTAGGAGCATTGTGGAAAAAGTGTTGAGATCCAGAGAGAGACCTGAGTTGTTGCCACCTCCTGAGGGCAATTGCACCAGCTCTACCCTGCATTGCTGTTGTTAAGTTGAACGATTTTATCGAATTTGGTGAAAATATCCTAAATTTTGTTTTTTTTTTCCGTGTCTCCAAAAAGAAAAAAAATAAAAACCCGTACACTAAGCAACGTACAGTACTCCCCCATACACAACCATCACATATACATCATGAGTGATATAGAAGATGATGAGGTGTTTGAAAGTTTGATGTCCACGAGGGCTAGACGATTCAATGCAGGATCCAGACTAAAACAACTTATAGAACTAGAAGGAGAAGGGAATGACATTGAAAATTCCACCAGCCAATTCATCACCGAAGAGGACGAGAATGTCAACCTTCTTTTCCAAGACGACGAGGACGACCAGGAATTCATTGACTATGAGAGCGATGAAGAAGCAGGTTCTGAAAATGAAGAAGAAGCAGATGCAGAGGAGGGTGATGTCCCTATGGAGACTTCACATTCCCAAGACGACCAAGAACCAGGACATGAACGAGAAGTAAATTCAGACGAGGTGTTGTCCGAATCAGATCTATCTGCATCAGACTCTGACGAAAGCGAAGGTGAAAAGGAATTGCAGAAGCAAGAGCGTATACGAAAGAGAAAGAAAAAGACAGTCATCCCTCAAATTAAGAATATCAAGGAAAGGCAGAGTGTGAAGCGGATAAAAAGATCACCTTTGGTCACATCGGATTCATTGTTGATGTCGAGTAGAAGAGCTTCATCTCGATCTTCAGCAGTTGAAAGCAAGCAAGCTTTGATTGATAGGTTGAAGGAGAGTGAGCAAAGAAAAGCCAAGTATGTCCCAGTCGAGCGAAAACGTGTCAGAGAATTGACGCAGGCAGAGAGATTGGCACAAGCAGCGGAGACAGAAAAGGAAAACATAGAGTCGTTAAACAGATTTAAAGAGCAAGAAGTTGTGAAAAAGGAGCGTCAGAGACAGTCGCTTTTATCAAAGAGAGTAAAACTACAGAACGTTCTACGATGGACGAGTAAAGGAGTATATATCACACCCAATGAAGAAGTGGCGGAAGCAAGGAGTGAATTTGAACTTTATATGAAAAAAAGAAAGAGGCTTGGCAAGAGGAAGAAAGGGGGCGAGGAAGAGGGAACTGTGATTAGACCGCCCTTTTCAATTGATTACGACTCACCGTACCAAAGGGCTCTATTGGAAGAAAAGAAGAGAGAACAGCAGAAAGAAGCTGATCGGTTGGAACTGATCAATTGCCAGTTGATGGAGAAGGTAATCAAACATGAAGAGCAATCGACATCGGGACTAATGAAAGAGGTTGAAGATCAGGAAGGGATGAGCGTGGAAGCAGAGACCAAAGATCATCTTGATGATTATAATGGAACAGAGAAAGGGGTTGGTAAAGAGAGTGAAGAGGGGGTAGAAGGCAAGAAAGAGAATGAGCTGGAAGATGAGAGACCACAAGAGCTGGTAGCAGAGGAGAAGCAAGAGGATGAGGAGAAATTAGAAGAAGGAGGGAAGGCGGATGAGGATGGTTCAACTGCAAATGCTACTGCAACTAAAGCGAGGAACCAAGAGGAGGCAACAAACAAGGTGGATGCCGGTACGAACAGCACAATTCTGGATTCAAAAGGGCAAGAACATTTGGCAAAGGCAGAAGGAGAGAAGTGTGACGTGGAGAAAGAAAAGGAACAGCCTTTGAAAGTGCAAGAGGGAGAAGCCGAAGCTAAAAGCGCCGATGTTGCTGATATCGCTAATGGGTATATTCAAGAGAATAACCAAGGGAATCAGACGCCAGTATCAGCCAATTCAAAATCCATAGAAAACGCTATTGTCGAAAGCCGAAATGGTCTGGGAGAGCTGTCAAAGCGAGTAAAGTTTGCGGATGAACTTCAACATGAAGAAAACAGTCAATCACCCGCCAAACAGGAACAACCTGAATCTTCAGGAACCAATGACACAATTGACATGAGCCCACTCGAGTTTACTCCGGTTCCGGAAAATAAGGCAACACCAATTGGTGATACCGAAGGGGAGTTGTTCGAAGGACCAGTGCAAAAGATAAGTCGAAATGTAATACACTTTGTCGATTTCAACGAAGACAAACGGGATTTAAAGCTTACACCTAATAACGTGAAACAAATACTTTTTGGTGAACAAGCTCTTTGGCCCGCTGCAAGAAGGTCCAACGATGTCAAACCATTACTCCGTATTGGGAAACAAGAAAACCCATATGTTACAAAAGATCACAAGCAGGACTACTTATTCACGGCTACTGCCGATCTCAATGAAGACGACCCAATGTTTGATGAATTAAAGAAACTTCCTCGATTGGGAGTCGAACAGGATATTATTGAGGTTGCTGAAAATGATGAAGAAAATGAATCGGCAGAAATTGTAATCGAAACTGAAGCACCTACCGGGTTGTACTTGCCAAACGGTAACAAAAAAGTTTGTATGGTTTCAGGTACAGAAGTCAAGTACTTTGATCCTTCGACTGGTATGCCATACAGCTCAGTGGAAGTTTACAGAACTTTAAAGCTAATAGAGCTGGGCCAAGCAGAATGGTTGGGATTGGATGCAACAGACAACGGTCCCGTGGATTTATATTTGGGATTCAAGGGGGAGAATGCAAGGCATGCAAAAGGAGTTCCAGAAGGTTTTTGAAAGCGTTTTATAGTTGTAAAGTTGTAGAGTTGTAGCAAAGAAAGCGGAAAATATTTTATTTTACTTTATTTTATTTTACTTTGGTGGCACACTAGCTTGAGATACCACCTGTATAAGCTAACGACCAAGTTCTGGACATTCCGTTGTCAATTTGGGCTGGGTCCCAATCCTTTCGTGCAAACCACTCATATGAGCTCTTTGGATCATACAATGCTTTATTCAACATCAAGATACCTTTCCAACCATCGGGAATTTTATCAATGATGGGGGCCAATTTTTGATCCCACTCTTCTTTAACAAACTTTGGCCCACGTATATATCCAGAAATGGGTGTTGTTGGTAGCATATGTATACCATGAATCCATTCATCTGCAATAGTTCCTCTACCGAAATAGGTGGCATAGTCAATCTTATTCTCAAATGAAATTCCAGCCACCTTGTTAGGGATGAACTTGGCCGGCTCAATCCTGTTGTCGTCCGAATAAAGCATGTACATATTCATTGACCTTCTCATTATGGCAAGCATCAAGTTGGCTCTGCTCTCCATCGCCTGATCTTGAACGACATTGGCAAACAATTTCATTCCATAAGCAAAATGGTAGTCTTCACTTGATGACTCTTCATCTTTACCGTCACCAGAAGCAAAAATCCCGTGTGCAAAGGAATGTCCATGGTACCAACAAAAGGATCTAGATTGGGGGAAATACTCGTCCGCTCTGGGACTAGCGACATCTCTAAGAAGAGCAATAGCATAATCATACACGAGGTTGTTGTTTGCATGCAACCATCCTCCGTCAATGTGGGCAATCAACGCAATGGCGTGTATGTGGTACCCATAGTGGAAATGGTGATCGTTGTAGTTTGAATTTCCGAAATCTGCTCCCGGTTCAGCTGATGAAATAATCCCTTTCCAAGTGGTGTCATAAACCAAGGGAAATTTTTGTTGATTCTTTGCAAAAATCTCAATAGCTTGTTTAACCTTAGGAAGTATTTCATTTGTGAGCCCTTCATCTTTCAAGATAAAGTGGCAAACATGGGCAATGTAGGCAAACTTGTCCAAGATTTTTCCTGAGGTGTACATGGAATCGATATTGGCCATTCCAACAACATCTTGTTTCACTTCTTCAGTAGCTGCTTGGCGGATCAATTGTAACGTGGAGTCGGAAAATTGCGCCTTTGTTGCAAAAGTCGTCCATGGATCCCACAACACATCCACTGGTAAATTTTGCTCCTGCATAACCAACTCATTAGTCTTGTATGCCTTCATGACACCTTTTGTGGTGGAGTCTAGCTGCAAATCAGTCTCACCACCCGAGATTACTACTTCTTGGTGATGTGGCAATGCCCAGACGATAGTGTTACCGGATCTCGATCTGCCTTTGATGTCGTACTTGATCCTGTATTCACCCACATTTCCATTCACTGCACCAGATATATCTGCACTTGTAGGGTAGCAACCCACCGCGTTGTCATAATGAGGGGAGTCTCCACGGCATATTTGTATTGTACCAGAACCTTGTCCAACTATATGATTTGGGTCCGCTAAATTCAACTCAATATCACTATAGATTGACCAAACAACTTGATTGAATAATTTGGCTTGGTATTTTTGAAGCCCATCAATTTGACCAACTTTTTTAAAGTCTTGGCAACCCACTTGTGAAGCAAGAACTGGTCTAATTTTATCGTAGATGGCAGTGATGAAACCCATCCCTTGTATCAATGGAATCTCAACACACCCTTGTTGTGTTTCAAGCCTGGCAGTCACAGACATCTTCCTGTGATCATGTAACGTCATTTTTACATTGTCAAAGCCTTCACCGGAAAGAACAAAAGACTTGATTCTTGGTGGGTTAAAGTAGAACTGCGCAACTTTGGCATCTGGTTCAGGGCCAAAAACTCGTTGATTTGCATCAGTGTGATTCAATGCCAAGCCAAAATCTTGTCCGGGGTCTTTTGTTAACCATAAAGAATATGGAAGTGTCCAAATGGGAAACGTTTGGTCCTCCAATGTAAGGTTGTTGGAAAAATTGTTGGTTTGAATTGGTTGGTCCAATGTACATCCTTGAGGTATTAGCTCATGGTTCTTCCTTTTGAAGAGTTGTGGTGGTTCGCCGGTTGCAATTGGATGATTGAATATATCTTCACTGCTGATAGCCAGGCTGTGTTGTTTAGGTTGCTGTTGCTGATTCAGCAAAGACCCTTCTTTATTAGACAAAACATCTTGACCATGGCGAATGTCCATACGTTTGAATGCATTTTTCAAATCCCTCAATCCCATATTTCCTTTTGTCTTTTGTCTTTTGTCTTTTGTCTTTTGTCCTTTTTTTTTTTTTCAATAACGAATTGGGGTGTTTATGCGGTATAAAGAATCGATGATTGAATGTTGATGATTATTATTTGGCAAGAGCGGAATTTTCATTCGCGCGTCTGGCTGCGGCGGATTTGCTATCGCGCATCTCAATATATCTCGACAAGGAATTTCAATTCCGTTTTTGAATGGAGATTTGTTCAAAGTATAAATTGCGGTCCAATGTACGATGGCAGATCAACTATGGAAGTTTGGTTAATTACTCTCTATTGATCAACCACATATAATGAAGTTGCTTCCTTTACTCAGCCTTATTACTGCGGTTTCCTGTGTTACCGATTTACAAGAGAAATGGGGAAGTCTCTGGCAATTTCAAGGAATAGCCACTTTTGCCCACTTGGACCATTTGCAATGTCTCATTGACCGCGATCAGATGTTTGATGTTGGAATCATTGGTGTACCTTTTGACACAGCAGTGTCATATAGACCTGGTGCTAGATTTGGTCCAAGGGCGATTAGAGACGCATCACAGCGTCAGTACAGTTTGCGTGGATTCAACCATAGGGCAATGTTTAATCCATACAAGTCTTGGGCAAGAGTTGTTGACTGTGGAGATGTTCCAGTTAGCCCAATGGATAACAAATTGGCTTTTCAACAAATGGATCAAGCTTTTGAAGAATTGTTGTGGGTGGGTGATTCAGTAGACGAGGAACAAGTCCCGCCTAGATTCATCATTTTGGGAGGTGATCATTCCGTCTTGCTACCACACATTAGGGCTTTGAACAAAGTTTATGGACCTGTGAATATCGTGCATTTTGATGCACATTTGGACACTTGGAAACCAGACAAGTACCCATCATTTTGGCGTACCGAAGTAAGCGATGTAAACCATGGATCAATGTTGTGGAAAGCATACGAGGAAGGTTTAACCACCAAGAATAATGTTCATGCAGGTATCAGAACCAAGTTGTCTAGTCTTGCCGATTATGAAGATGACGATGCACAAAACTGGTTGCGTATTGAGTCTGATGATATTTGGTTAAAGGGAGCTGACTACGTAGCTCAACAAATTTTGAAGCGGGTTCCAAAAGACACTCCTACTTACATTTCGGTAGACATTGATGTGTTGGATCCTGGGTTTGCATCTGGAACCGGTACGATGGAATCAGGAGGTTGGTTGCCAAGAGAGTTGATTCATGTTTTACGTCAAATTGATAGCTTAACTATTGTTGGTGCCGATGTTGTGGAAGTTGCACCTGCTTACGATTTCGCAGAAGTAACTGCTACAAGTGCGGCCCAAATTGCGTTTGAGCTTTTGACCAGCATGGTAAAGAAGGGCCAACTTGATACCAAGTTGATGAAGAGAGAAGCTATCGAGCCTGTTGCATGAAAGGAAGAGAAGTGTCAGAAGATTCGATTAATCGTTGATGATCTTTTTCTGATACTTCAGCCAAATGTACTTTTAAGCAGCTTTGAAAAGGCGCTTACAAATGTGAAACTGCTAGTGATTAAAGGACAGCTAAACTAGTGAATGTTTAGAGAGAATATGGCTAGCTCAAAAACAGAAGTATAGGAATGAATGGTATGACATGTATAGCTTGATTGTGTATAGTTACAAAGTTTCTTTTCGATCTAAATTTAGCTGTTATTTTTCAGCTAGCTCTCACCTACACTTCGGAAACAACAACATACCGGTGTCCCCTGTGCAGTAGCAAAGTCACCCAGGCTGTCTTCGCCATTATGAGCTACACAGTGAAGTAAAGGAGCTGATTCCTCAGTTGATCGGAAATTGGAGATTGGAGATTGGAACTTGCCAAGAAGACACATTTAACACAAAATTGCAATTTCTTCAACGGGTAAATCTCCTGGTAGTTTTCATACTTGTACTCCACCACCATAAAAATACATGTTGCTATGTACATTACTACCCAGTAATTCATCTTTAATCCAAATCACCCCTTCGTCCCTATTCGGCACATATGGATTACCCGTTGCCCCTCCTCCCCCCCTTAATGGATGACAGAACGGAAATACAAAGACAGCAAAGTACACAAAACCATATTGTTTTTAACAAAGAGAGCCGCACCGGTTCCACATCCTTCCGAAATCTAAATGTTTGCTACCACTACTACTGCTGTAACTGCTCCAACGGAGTTTTGTCGATTGTTTCATCTAACAATACCAAGGAAGCAGCATTGCTGGTTGATTTCTAAGCAACAATTTCCCATCAATTCATCAACGGCAACACTCTAGTCTCTCCTACAATTGATATACAAGAACCCTTCAATATCATCTTCAACACCCCATCCACAATGCCGTTAATAAAACCATCATCGATAAGATATACTGTCACCACGATATTACCCACAATGTCAAGAACCGTGACAACCAATGTCCACACTCACACCGTCAAGACCCCCATTGGATTGGACGCTGCTATCCTGAATTTGAAACCGCAAACCACAAGATTATCAACCGAGGGACCAGTTGAATGTCCATTGCACGGGTTTGCATTATTGAACTCGCCCTTTTTCAATAAAGGTTCAGCGTTCACTGATGAGGAAAGAGACGCTTTCAAACTTGTTGGTCTTTTGCCCACTCAGGTGAATTCCTTGGAAGAGCAAGTCGATAGAGCTTATCAGCAATTTAGTATTCGTATCGATGATTTGGCTAAAAATTCATTTATGGATTCCATGAGATTGCAGAATAAGGTGTTGTATTTTGCATTGGTTAAGAAACATATCAAGGAATTGTTGCCTATTATTTACACGCCAACTATTGGAGATGCAATTGAGGATTATTCTCATAGGTTTAGGAAACCAGAAGGGTGTTTTTTGGATATAAAGTCGCCGGAGACTATTGAGGAGAGATTGGCATCGTTCGGAACCGAAAAGGATATCGATGTTGCCGTCATAACTGATGGTTCAGCAATTTTGGGTATTGGAGAATGGTCAATTGCAGGGATCTTGATGTACGTATATTTGGACGTTTTCCCTTTCTGGTAAAGGAGAACTTACTAACAGCTTTTCTTTCTTGATTTAGCACTATTGGTAAAGGAAGTATCATTACTGTGGCAGGTGGCATCGACCCGAGAAGAGTCATGTGTATCGGTATAGATGCCGGTACAAACAACAAAAGTCAATTAGAAGACGAGTTGTACATGGGAAACAAGTTCCCACGAGTCGAGGGCAAGGAGTACTATGATTTCTTGGATAAAGTTGTCAAAGCATTCAAAAAGAGATTCCCATCATCGGTGTTGCACTTTGAGGATTTTGAAACATCAGCAGCTAGGAACTTGTTAGATTCGTATCGTGGCGAATTGCCTTGCTTCAATGACGATATCCAAGGTACTGGATGTGTCGTTGTTGCCGCTTTGAAGGCGGCTCTCAAGGCAACTGACCGTAAGATTGACGATAGCAAGATTTTGGTCTATGGTGCTGGGTCAGCAGGTATGGGGATTGCCACTCAAATTGCATCAAACTTGAGAACCGATGGGTTTTCCGAAGAGGAAGTGCACTCAAAGTTGTACCTCATGGACCGGTACGGATTAATCACTGAATCAACAAAAGCTACACCAGCCCAGAAAGCCTATGCCAAACAAGACAAAGATTGGCAAGATGTCGACAAGACCAACTTGGTTGAAGTTGTTGAAAAGATCAAACCAACCGTCTTGATCGGGTGCTCAACCCGCCCTAAGGCATTCACTGAAGAAGTGGTCAAGACCATGTACAAATACAACCCGGACCCCATCATTTTCCCCCTCTCCAACCCCACCAGACTCCACGAAGCCGTCCCCGAAGACTTGATGAAATGGACCGACAACAAAGCATTGATCGCTACGGGTTCACCTTTTGCGCCAGTCAATGGGATCGACATTTCCGAAAACAACAATTGTTTTGCGTTCCCCGGTATCGTTCTCGGTTCAGTCTTGTCGCGTAGTTCGAAAATCAGCGATGAGATGATTTCCGCTGCTGTTGAACAGTTGAGCTTGTTGTCGCCCAAGATCCATGACCCCAAGGGCGGATTGTTACCCGATATCACTGAGATCAATGAAGTTAGCGCTAAAGTTGCCACTGCTGTGGTTTTGGAAAGTTTGAATCAGGGTTTGGCCAGGGTTGAAGCTGAACATAGGCCTAATGGTCAGTATGTAAGTGTTCCTAGGAACTTTGATGATTGTTTGGAATGGGTTAATTCACAAATGTGGCAGCCTGTTTATCGTCCTTATGTGAAGGTTGAACATATTCCAAGTGTTCACACCCATCAATACTAGGGAGCAGCTTGATTAAGAGCAAGATAGTTTGCATTCCTTTATAGAGTCTTTAGTAGAGTTTAAAGATATCAAGTTTGAAAACTTTATATATTGTTACAAAATCTATTACAAAATCTATAAATAAAGCGTGTGCCAAAGTGTCCATTTCAAGCATAATACATCCTCGTTCTTCTCTTTTCAACTTTATCCTCATGCGACCCACTTCCACCATTATGCAAATACTTCTTTGCGTCAGTCTCACACATGATTTGATCATTAACGACATAGTAATCTTGTTCAATCTGTCCATGACAACTGGTACATTTCAAACAATGCATGTGCCATTTCTGACCCAAGTCATTTTCAATACAAGATCCTTCGATCCCCACACCACATGACTTACAAGTGGTGGCATTTAGGAGATGATAGTGTTGAAAACAATATGGTTCATCGTCCAATACATAACATTGAACTTGCTTATTAAAGTGAGTTGCGCATGCCTTGTACGAGCACTTGAAACAGCCACGATGCCATTGGCCTGACAATTCTCCAGTTTTGGAAAAGATGGCTTTGAGTGAGCCTCTAGCCGATGAGTCAATTGGTTGGTTACATGACCGACAAGGACCTGCACCTGGCTCATGACAGTTTGTTGCTGGCTTAGTTGGTGAAACTGTTGTATTGTTTGTGTCATTAAATGTGCCAAAATTGGGTTCATCAGACAGTGCAGAAATGTCAGGTGTTGACCGAGGCATCTCTTCTTCGAATTGGTCCAATTCAGCAATAATTCTGGTGAATTCAGCTGAATCTTTTCTCTCTGGAACGCCATATGGATGAGGACTATTTCCTTCCATTTGGCTCATGTCTCTTTTAGTGGGAGAGATATGCGAGTGCGAGACTGACAACGGCTGAATAGACTCAATTGAGGCGATAGACATCTCATCACAATTACTATCCTTGGTATTGTTAGAGCCCGAACTAACACGGGTTTGTTTTACCTCATCCACATCTTGCACGGTAAACTGAGGGATTGGAGGACGAGTTGTAGACGCCGTTGATTCACCAGAGACCGATTTCTGAGGTGATGACACATTGTGTGACAAATTGATATCTTCTTCATCTTCTTCTTGGCCCTCATGTTCACCACCGTTTTTCAAGTTTTGCAATTGAGCTTCCAACTCTTGTTCAATACGTTTCTCTTCTTCATCAATCGAATCTTTTGACAAAATTGAGCTAACTGTAGACCCACGTTTGTAATCTTCAGATTTGTTCATCGGTTTGGTTGACAAAAATTGCTGATACTCAGCGCGCTGACCTTGAGACAGTTCATGCGCTCTCTCATCAGGATCTTGCATAAGACGGGCATCGAGTGAGTTTTCTAGTTCAATTGAATCACGCTCTGGCTTAGTGAAATTGTTATTTGGAGATGAAGACTGATGATTTTCCAAATCATGTTTAAACTCATCCAAAGCTGGGGACAATTTGTCTTCCCTTACTTGAGAATAAGTAGGTTGTCTAGGTATTCCAGTTTGATAGCGTTGTTGATTTGGAGGCGCCATCGTCTGGGTCTGTCCTCTTTGTTGCGGCGGCATTGGACCTTGTGGTCTGAAATGCGGTTGTTGATGTTGATTCGGACTTATCATTGGTGGTGGGACAGGTCGTTTTTGCAGGCGTGGTGGATATCCAGGTGATTGTGGACGAGGTTGATTCATTTGCCAATTAGGTGGCGCAGGTGGGATTCCCGTCATTGATCTAGGCATACTGGAACTAGGCATAGGTGGTTGACCCACGGGGTTTGGTATTCCAGTCATTGACCTGGGCAAACCAGAGTTTGACACACCATGATGATACATAGCTGTAGGGGAAGGTCCTTTTTGCATTGGTGGTGGCACCGGGTGCGGATGGTGGTGATAATTATTTTGAGATGTAATTTTGCCCGCCCCTGGCATTGGAGCCATACCATTCATGTGGTTGGTGAAAGGTTGCTGTTGTAGTTTGGGGGAGTAGTTAGGGCTTATTGGGTACGGTATGGCTGCACCGCCATTGGCTATTGGACTTACGTTTCTATTGGCGTGGGGAGGGTAAGATGGGTTCATTGGAACACCACCTGGAGCACCGTTCATCGCCATTGGTGTCATGGGTGGACGTTTTCTAGTCTTTCTTGGATCAAATGGTTGTGCTGGAGCTTTCTGAGGGTACATTTGTGGTGGAGCTGGACCACGAGCAGACTGTGGAGTAGGTAGTTGATATCCTTGTTGTGCATATTTGTCTTCTTTCGAAGTGGTGGCAGGGACTGAATGGGTTTGCATAACCGCGTTCTCCTTCTCCTTGGCTTCTGGGATCTCCTCGATAACCTCTTGATGAGTGAGATGGTTAGATCCATTTGACCTGTTTGAATGGTATGAATGACTAGAATGGTGGGATGCAACTGAATGGTTTGACTGATGAGATGGAACTGAATGGTTTGAATGGACTGAATTCATTGACGAGTTTGGATGATGTGAGGTGGCAAATTGCAGGTGTTGCTGTTCCTGCTGCTGCTGCTGCTGCTGTTCCTGCTGCTGTTGCTGGTCTCCAAATTCCTGCTCTTCGGCGTCATTGTTCAAGTCGAGAGTCAAATTCTTGACATTTTTGTGCGGTTTGTGCGGACTTGTGCTAATCGACGTTGGAGCTGCTGTCACACCATCATAGTGCACAGTGTTGTTTGTGTTTCCCATCAGATGCTGACTATTATTTGACGCGTGTGAGTTTTTTCTTTCATACTGCTGTTCATTGTATTGAGCATTGTATTGAGCGTCTCCCTGATATTGTGGATATTCAGGTGAAGTTCTATGACTTGTTGAAGCTGAGTTGTTGTTTTGTTCGTAAGAGTTCATTGAATTGGATTTACTTGATCCTGAAGAAGATTCAAATGCTGGTTTGGACCCATGGTTATTCGGTGCTGGTACTTGACCAACCAAGGGGAGACTTTCTTTTGTTGCTGTTTTGTAGCTTCCACTACCATTGCTCTTGTTTCCAAATGAATCATTGGATTGATTTCTTGGTCCCCAACGACTTGAGCTTGAGATTGATCTGTTTGAACCTCTGTCGTCATCATGATTTTGTTTGTAGCCCTTTTTGTTTACATCAAACCCTGCTCTTTCGTATACACCTTTGTATTTATGCACTGGATTGAAGGGTGGGAATGCTGAGTCTAAAGATCTAGGGGAATGTTGAGCTTCACGTATGAAGGTGGGGAATGAACCCATTTTAGGAGATGGTTGGTGCATAGCTCAATGTATGTTGAAACCAAAAAAACAAAAAAACAAAAAAAAAAAACAACGAATGATTTAAAAGGTTTTCGGTATATCTAAATGTATCTTGATGTATTTTTTTGACTCGATCTCTAGATTCAGTACTTTGGCTAACGATATTGACCGTAGTATGTGAAACTGGTGTGGTGTTGTTGAATTGATATTATTCTTTTCCTTCTGTCTCTAACCCTTGAAAATCAAAACAATCCAAAACAGACAGACAGACAGAGAGTTTATACCAAACAAATGTCAATAAATAGAGTAAACAGAAAGTTAAAAAGTGAAAAACCCTGCAATGGTTGTTATAAGAAGTTTTGACCTATATTGCTTGTTGACAGTATGTTTTGATAAATTTTTATTTTAACTCAATTTGGACTTCAATGATTTCATGTACTGCATATAACCTTTTCTACTTTTCTCAAACTTCACGTGTTTGTGTATGGGTGTGTATATACTTATTTTACTTACTTTCTTTGCTTACTACGCTACCAAAGTACCTCCGTAAACAAGCAATGCTACAAGAAGACTTTTTAAAGAAACTCAAATTGAGACTGAACTTTGTATATAGCAATCTAATACGAGTAATGTCTTTTGAGAACACACATGCAACTACTGCTGAATACAAACTAAGTCAAGGGAATATGCTTACTCTCTTAAGCTGTATGGCCCGCATATATATATATATACTCTCACTACAAAATATATTCATAAACTGTGTCGGACTAAACACAACACAACACAACACATACACAACACATACACAACACATACACTTGTTTTGCTCTTTCGTCAACGTGTAATTTTACTCTTTACTTGTCTCTCTTGGCTTACATGTTAATCGATTGCAGTAAAACGAAAGTTCGTACATAATACAGTTATTGTATTGTATTGTATTGTATTCTGTTGTTAGTACATTAATGAAAAAAGTTTTTTTTTGTTTTCTTCAGTCTTTGCAGTAAATACCGCGTTTGACACTAAAGCCGTTGTTTCCTATTTTTTTCAAATACGAAATTGGTAGCATCCTCTTTTTCTATTCAGTGACGCAAAATACAATTACAGGACATTGAACGACAATATTTTTGTGACATCATCCAGCAAAGAAGCTATAGATATCTTTACTAAACAACGAATACTCGTGTTCTCCTACACATCACAATGGAGAGAGTATATACAGCTGTATCTATATCTTTATTTACCAACAAGAGACTAGCAATATACTGTGATACTCAAGCACATTCCATCAACAATTTCATCGAGTATATATTACAACCAAATGGGTTCAATGAGGGACTGTATACTGTGATTGATTTATTGCAATATGTGACTATTGAAGACATACTACACCAATCAACAACAACATCATCGTCATCCAATAGAGATGGCAGTCTTCAATTTAAGAATGTGATTATATGGCAAAACTTGCAACACTTGGACAACACACGTCAGAAGCAATTGTACCAACTAATTTTGCAGATTGACAACTATGGTAAAAGCTCATCCACAAATAAGAATCTACCGACAACGATATCTACCAACAACCATGTTTTCAAAGTTATCAAGCCCCTGCTATTTACAATAATCCCATTCCTAGAGTATGGCTTGTACGATTACAAAATTTACCCGTACTTAAAGGAAATGTTTTGGTCAAGTGTTACATTCCCCACAACGACAGCATACAACAAATTGGTAAATTTGATACCTAATTACCAATCAGCAATTCTTAAACTGAGGTGTAAGATGGACACAGTGTTTATAAGTCCCACCATCAAGAGTTACATCTATTCTTTAATTGTTTTCATTAGATGCCATCGGTTGGCGTCATTGGCTCCAAAGCTGGTACGGGTACCAACTGCCACCGTGTCGTATATGGAGGACTATTGCAAATCATTAGTACTATGGAGAAGACAATTGCAACTGAATCGAACCAGTATGACCGATACCACAGTAATTGATGACGAGGAAAATGTGTTGGAAAAAACTGCCACTGCTGCAGTAGACTTGGAATTGGAGGAAGAGGAAGCAGGGTTGTTTGTGACTCCAGAGTATGTCAAGATTGCAATAAGGAATATCGGATACTGGCTAGTTGATTGGGAAACTAATCGAAAATTTGCAAATACCAAAGACTTGAAAGCAGATGCAAAGATCAGCGACACTAGTAACGCCCAAAATGAAACGGTGTTGAGTAACAAAAAGTTGGAGATATCAATGTTGACAGGAGACTGGTATGGAAGTGAATATTATTGTGCAAATGAATTTCTCAAAAGTTATAAAGCAACGAGGGATGATGAAAGTCCAACGGGGATGACAAATAGACTAGTGGATGATGCTATTGAAGAAGCCAGGCCACCTTTGTAAGATGCATGGTGTATACTTGTATGTAATGATGTAATTGGAAATGTATGGGATATGATCGGCTATAATAAGGAATGTCCGATATTAGTGTGTGTGTGTGTGTCGTGATATACTATTAAACGACAATCATACACTTTATTTATTGTTCCATTGACAAACGCAATCGAAGCGAAAAAAAAAGAAAAAAGAAAAAAGAGTTCAACAAAAATATTCAACAATTTTAAGCCATAACCAAAGGGCGAAAAACTTATAGACATATCACCAATACAGAAACAATATCAATATATTACAGAACAAACAATTACAACACCAAATCTATCATCTAACATCTAAGAATTGGTATAAAGCATATCAACGAAAGAGAGTTTACTAATAGAGAGGTGATACTTGAACTAGACACAACCACAACCACAGCCCCACCCTATTTTTCCAACCACCACCTCCAAATGTCGGATATTCCAATTGATTTCACCGAACTTACCCAATTAACCCAATTGGGTATTTCCCAATCGTCTTTGGACTTCAAGTCTACCACTTTGGAGTCAGATCACTACATATGTACTCGTGAATCTGGCCCACTGGGTAACACCGTTGCCATTGTGGATTTGAAAAATAACAATGAAGTAACGAGAAAGAATATGACAGCAGATAATGCTATAATGCATCCACAAGAATTTGTCATCAGTTTAAGAGCAAATGGAACCACATTGCAGATTTTCAATTTGGGAACTAAACAAAGATTGAAAGCTCATACTATGGATCAACCAGTCATATTTTGGAAATGGCTCGATAACCAACACCTTGGTTTAGTTACAGATTCCCTGATTTATTTCTGGAATGTGTTTGATGGCACCAATGAAGGTCCCACGAAGTTGACTGATAGACACCACACTTTAAACAATGCTCAAATCATCAATTTTGTTGCTGAGCCAGACTTGAATTGGTTTGCTGTAACTGGTCTTGCGCAAGAAGATGGTAGAATTGCTGGTCATATTCAATTATACTCGAGGTCGAGAAACGTTTCTCAACCAATTGAAGGTCACGTTTGTAAATTTGCTTCATTGACTTTGAGTGGTGCTGTTCAACCAACCAAGGTATTTTGTGTTGGTAACAAGAATGCACAGGGGCAAGGAAATATGCACATCATTGAAATTGACCACGTGGAAGGAAACCCACTGTTTCAAAAGAAGGCCGTTGATATTTTCTTCCCACCGGATGCAAGTAATGATTTCCCCATTAGTTTGCAAGCTTCAAACAAGTATGGAATTATTTACATTTTGACAAAGTATGGGTTTATCCACTTGTATGATATGGAAACGGGCTCCAATTTGTTTGTCAATAGGATCACTGCTGACCCCGTGTTCACTGCATCCAGCTACAATGACGGAACTGGATTGTTGACCATTAACAAATCAGGTCAAGTGTTGAGTGTTGAAGTTAGCAAAGACAAGATTATCCCATACGTGTTGGAAAAATTGTCGAATGTGTCATTGGCCATTTCCTTGGCCAGTCGTGGTGGGTTCCCTGGAGCTGAGAATTTGATTAACCAACAATTTCAATCATACTTGAATCAAGGGGACTACACCAATGCTGCCAAAGTTGCTGCCTCTTCTGAGCAGTTGCGTACACAAGATACCATCAACAAGTTGAAGCATATTACCCCACAACCGGGACAAATTTCGCCAATCTTGCAATATTTCTCAACCTTGTTGGACAGGGGTACCTTGAACAAGTACGAGTCTATTGAGTTGGCTAAACCCGTATTGCAACAGGATCGTAAACCCTTGTTTGAGAAATGGTTAAAGGAGAATAAGTTGACGTCATCTGAAGAGTTGGGTGACATTGTTAAATCTTATGGCGATGCGGCATTGGCGTTAGCAGTGTATATCAGAGCCAATGTCAATATCAAGGTTGTGTCTTGCTTGGCAGAATTGGGACAATTTGACAAGATCTTACCATATTGTCAAAAAGTTGGTTACAACCCTGATTACACCAATTTGATTCAAAATTTGGTTAGAGTCAACCCCGACAAGGCTAGTGAATTTGCTACTTCGTTGTTATCTGGTGATACACAATTGAATGTGGAACAAATTGCCGACTTGTTCTTTTCCCAAAATTATATTCAACAAGGAACAGCATTTTTGTTGGATGCATTGAAGAATGACTCACCATCCGAGGGCCATTTGCAAACCAAGGTTTTGGAAATCAACTTGTTGCACGCACCACAAGTTGCTGATGCCATTTTAGGAAACCAAATGTTTAGTCACTATGATAAGCCCACAATTGGTAAGTTGTGTGAAAAAGCTGGGTTATATCAAAGAGCATTGGAGCACTATGATGATTTGAAGGATATCAAGAGAGTTATTGTTCACACCAATGCTTTGCCCAGTGATTGGTTGGTGTCATACTTTGGTCAATTGAATGTCGATCAATCGCTTGCTTGTTTGAAGGAGTTGTTTAGTCACAATTTGCAACAGAATTTGCAAGTGATTATTCAAGTTGCCACAAAGTATTCCGACTTGCTTGGTGCTAAAAAGTTGATCAAATTGTTTGAAGATTACAAGTGCACTGAAGGGTTGTATTATTACTTGAGTTCTGTTGTCAATTTGACCCAGGACCCCGATGTTGTTTTCAAGTATATTCAAGCAGCCGCTAAAATTGGTCAAACTAAGGAGATTGAAAGAGTTGTTAGAGATAACAATGTTTACAATGGTGAAAAAGTGAAAAATTTTTTAAAGGAAGCCAATTTGGAAGATCAGTTGCCCTTGGTTATTGTTTGTGATCGATTTGGATTTATTCATGACTTGATTTTGTACTTGTACAAGAACAAACATTTCAAGTTTATCGAGGTCTATGTTCAATCAGTTAACCCGGAAAACACACCTCAAGTTGTTGCTGGATTATTGGATGTCGATTGCGACGAATCCATCATTAAGAACTTGTTGATGTCCGTATTGGGTAGAGTTCCAATCAAGCCATTGGTTGAGGAAGTTGAAAAGAGAAACAGATTAAAGATTTTGTTGCCTTATTTGGAAAAAACTTTGGAAGGTGGATCCAATGATCAAGAGGTTTACAATGCTTTGGCCAAGATCTATATCGATTCGAACAACTCACCTGAAAAGTTTTTGCAAGAAAACAACAATTATGATACTTTGACTGTTGGTAAGTATTGTGAAAAGAGAGATCCATACTTGGCTTACATTTGTTATGCCAAAGGTGGTAATGATGACGCATTGATTGAAGTCACAAACGAAAACAAAATGTACAAGTACCAAGCAAGATATTTGTTGCAGAAATCTGATCTTGATTTGTGGAACAAGGTGCTTTCATCTGACAATGTTCACAGAAGACAATTGGTTGACCAGGTAATTTCCACCGGTATTCCCGAATTGGATGACCCTGAACCAATCTCAATCACCGTCAAGGCTTTTATGGAGAACGAATTACCTGAAGAATTGATGGAACTTTTGGAAAAGATCATTTTGGAACCATCTGCCTTTAGTGAAAATGCATCGTTGCAAGGATTGATGATTTTGACCGCCATCAAGGCTGACCCATCGAAAGTATCCAACTATATTGAAAAACTTGACAAGTTTGATCCTCAAGAGATTGCACCCTTGTGTATTGACAATGGTCTCAATGAAGAAGCTTTTGAAGCGTATGATAAATTTGAATTGAGAACTGATGCTATGAGAGTTTTGATTGAGGATGTGGTTTCATTAGATAGAGCAGAACAGTATGCTGAAAAGTATGACACATCTGAATTGTGGTATCAACTTGGTACTGCACAATTGGATGGATTGCGTATCCCAGAAGCCATTGATTCTTATGTCAAGTCCAAGAATCCAGAAAATTATGCTCAAGTGATTGAAATTGCTGAGCATGCTGGTAAAGAGGAAGAATTGTTGCCCTTTTTGGAAATGGCTAGAGAAACTTTGAGAGAGCCAGTTATTGATGGTGCTTTCATCAATGTTTACGCATCGTTGGACAGATTGAATGATATGGAAAACTTTGTGTCTGGAACTAATGTTGCTGATTTGGAAGCCATTGGTGATAAGTTATTTGAAGCTAAGAATTACAAGGCAGCCAAAATTTTGTACAGCAATGTTTCCAAATATTCCAAGCTTGCTACTACTTTGGTTTACCTTGGCGATTACCAAGCTGCTGTCGATTGTGCCAGAAAGGCATCCAACACTGAAGTTTGGAAGCAAGTCAATAATGCTTGTATTGAAAACAAGGAGTTTAGATTGGCACAAATTTGTGGGTTGAATTTGATTATTGATGCTGAAGAGTTGCCCGAATTGGTCAAGACCTACGAGTACAATGGATATTTCACCGAATTGATTGCTTTGTTTGAAAGTGGATTGGGTTTGGAAAGAGCTCACAAGGGTATGTTTACTGAGTTGGCCATTCTTTACTCCAAATACAGTCCTGAAAAGGTCATGGAGCATTTGAAATTGTTTTGGTCAAGAATCAATATCCCCAAAGTTATCACTGCGTGCGAGGAGGCACACTTGTACCCTGAATTGATTTTCCTTTATTGCCATTACGAAGAATGGGATAATGCTGCATTGACAATGATTGATAAATCTGAAGTTGCATTTGACCATGCTTCATTTAAGGAGATCATTGTGAAAGCCCCCAACTTGGAGATTTACTACAAGGCCATTCAATTTTACATTAATGAACATCCATCATTGCTTGTTGATTTGTTGCTGGTTTTGTCACCAAGATTAGATTTGCCTAGAGTTGTTAGAATGTTTGTCAAGAGCGATAACCTTCCTTTGATCAAACCATTTTTGGTTTCTGTTTTGGACAAGAATAACAGAGTTGTGAATGATGCTTACCATTCATTATTGATTGAGGAACAAGATCACAAGGCATTACGGGATGCGATCCATTCGTATGACAGGTTTGACCAGATTGATTTGGCAGAGAGATTGGAAAACCATTCACTTGTGTACTTTAGACAGATTTCTGCCTTGCTTTTCGCCAAGAGCAAAAAATTCAACAAGTCCATATCTATTTTGAAGAAGGATGGCGACTGGGTCAATTTGTTGAAGGTTGCTTCTGGATCAAACCAAAAAGTGGTTCATGAAGTGCTAGATTACTTTGTGTCCACCGGGAACTACGAAGCCTTGGTGGCTTTGTTGTACACTTGCTACCACTTGATTGACTCAACTTATGTTGCTGAAGTTGCGTTTGAGTACCAATTGAGTAACTTTGTTGCACCATACAAGATTTATAAGGATTACGTCCAAGAACAAAAGTTGATTGAGTTGTTCAAGAGACTTCCTAATAAGGAGGAGGAGACGGAAGAGAATGAACAACCCAAGTTTATGCTTACATATTAGAGAGTGGCTGTTTAGATATGTTTGAGATTGTATAGTATTTGAATAAAATGTTGTTGAAATTTGTAAAGCCTCGCAAGTCCATCTATCTCCTCTGACCTTTAAAATTCATCATTGTAACCTTTTCCACTTTCTTAATCTTCTTGACACATACATACAACAACACCGCAAGAGCAATACTCGAGGCAACAACAACAAACTCAAACCCACCATCTGACTCTTCTATAAAATTCTCCAAATTCATTCCGTACAAAGCAGCAAGATACAAAGCAACCCCCATCGACAAAAGCCCCGTGGAGAACTTCAACCCCAACAACATCAACTCATTCCGATTCGAATCCAACACAATGTTAATAATCTCCTCCGTGGTTCTAATCTGCGATCGCAAATTGTCAACCGTTTGCACAATCTCGTCCGAGGTCTTGTAGTACGACTCAAGCAACATTTCAATCTGGGCGTGATTTGTACCAGTCCTGGGGTCAGTTAGGTACATATCGTTCAATTCATCATCGCACTCAAGAAGATCTTCAAGCAAGTCGCGGATTAGTGTTGCCTTTTGTTGAAATTGGGCGAGTTTTTTTGATTGGATGAGCAAGTATCGAAGTTTGTACCGTTCTATACTTTGGTCGAGGCCCGAAAGGACGTTGGTGAGGATGGTTTTGTGGACCTTCATTTCGGTTGTAAGGTTGGATATCACGTGGATTAAAATTGCTTCCAAGGCTCGAAATTCGTAGTATTCCGTCTCTTGTAGTTGCTCATGTTGATGTTGTTGATGCTGTTGATGTTTTTGTTGTAGGTTGTGGTGTGGAGTTGAGTTTGTGTCCTTGAGTGCATTTTCCAAAAGCTTGAAAAGCTGCAGTTGTGAATGACTTTCATTCTTGGTTGAATATGCCGACGAGTAAGAGTCAAATATCGTGACTTGGTCCTTTTGGACAAGCGCTCGCACATTGAGCAAGTTCAACATGATGCAGTTCTTTCGGATCACTAAGCTGGGAACGAGTTCGATATTGTGCATGGTGGAAGATGGCGGCATACTGCTAGCGGATGCTGCTCCTGTTGATGCCGATGTATGCTTTGACAATTTCCGGAAATCTCGAGGTACCAAGTTATATTGCTTCATGAATTCGGATTTGAGTACGTCTTTCCCATGATGTGTCATTTGGCCCTTGTTGTCGAATATTGTGCATTTGATAAGTTCATTCTCTTGTGATTTAGACGATGATAGGGTTTTGTATATGAATAAATCTTCAAATGAATCGCGATGTTTGAACTTGTGTTTGGGTAGGGCGGCAGTTTTGGTGGAAAATGCGTTTGCGGAACGTCGTAGTAGATGAACAGTATTCGCAGTCCTGTGTATCGTATGCAGCATAGTTTGTAGTATCATTTTTGTCCCTGGTTGTAAGAGAGGACGCATCGTTAAGAGAAGAAACCTTTCATCCCACAAATTTTACGGATTGTTGATTTTTTCTTTTTTTTTCTTTTGTTTTTTTTGTATTTTGTTTTGTTTTTTTTTTTGTATTTTTTTTTTCGCAATCAATAACAAAGCACACAACACGTCAAACAACTACGGTACGTGATCAACGCCATCATCCTTCATATATTTCACCTATGAGACTTAACTCAAGCGATGACGTTGAAGTTTACGAAGAGATCGGTCGAGGTGGATTCGGCGTTGTATACCGCGGCATAATCAAATCCAACTCGCAAGAAGTTGCAATCAAACAAATTGATCTTGAACAAGACACAACAGACTTGATTGAAATAAACAAAGAGATCCAGATCCTAAGTGAATGCAACTCACCGCAAATCACCGCCTACTACGGATCATTTGTCAAGAACTACAAACTCTGGGTCGTTATGGAATACGTTGATGGTGGATCCATCTTTGAGTTGTTGACTCCAGGCACCATAACCGACGAACCAACCATTGCATATATTGTGAGAGAAGTACTATTGGCATTGAAGTACCTACATAATCAAGGAAAGATCCATCGAGATTTGAAAAGTCAAAATATCTTGGTTAACAAACGAGGACAAATCAAATTGACTGATTTTGGAGTTAGCACACAATTGAGTTCGAATTTTTCCAAGCGCAATACCACAGTGGGGACGCCATACTGGATGGCTCCGGAAGTGATTTTGAATTCGGAATCTGGACATGGCTTCAAAGCGGATATCTGGTCGTTGGGATGTTGCGCTTATGAGATGTTGACGGGGAAACCACCATTGCAAAACCATATTGCTCCAATGAGAGCTTTGAGATTGATCTCACAATGTCGAACCAATGGCGATTTCACCAAACTTGTCGAATTGGATCTGTTGGACGCGTCGAGGGAGTTTAAAGATTTCCTAAGCTGTTGCTTTATTGAAAATACGAAAGCTAGATATGATGTTTCCAAGTTGTTAAAGCATGGGTTTGTTTGTGGGAAAATTGATGATGGTGCCAAACTGGTTAAGAGATTGATCACTAGGAAACAATTATGGAACCAGCAAAATGCAAGTTTTAAACCTAAATCGTATTACATTGAGACTGAGATGCAGCGTAACCAAGTGAAATGGAATGATAATGTTGACAAATATGGGGAGAAGCAGATACCTGAAGTACATTTCGATATTAGCTCCTTGAGCTGTAGCGATAACGATAGTGAGACTTTGCGAGAATCTCCGCAAAGGGATGTTTATGCCGAGACAAAGTCACATTTCGATAAAATACACACCAAGGTTGTGAGTAAAATCGACTCAAAGTGCGGGCTACTGGATGACCAGTTGAAAACATTTGTCAACCTCAAAACAGACATGACTACACTCATAACCGAAAGTAACGACAAGATTATTCTATTTCAGTACTTGAAATATTTATACAAGGAATTATCCAAGGAAAAGAATAACTCGATAGGAAAGTTGGTCTTGCCACACATACCAGCAAGGAGGGGGGATGAACTCGCTTCATCCGGTGTGCCGACAACCGCAACGTCAGCAACGTCAGCACAATCAACATCAACCACAACGTTGGCAGGAACTGCAACAAGAACAGCACTGAGGAGTAGATTGCATTTCAACAAGTTTGATGAAATAGAACAGAGTCTTTTGGAGTCGTGGTTGAACAAGACAAGGGTGTAATGATATGTGTGTGTGTGTGTGTGTTTGTGTTTTTGTTTTGTGTTTATTTTCGTTTCCAATTTGCATTCAACTCAAATACATTCGCTACTCCATTAAGACCGCCAGTGACAAGTAACTTTCCCATTTCAAACGTATCAAGAGTTAAAATAGCATTATTTTCAGCAGCATCATCTACACTATCACTTGTATTCGTGTCTTGTTTGTACTGCCACACCAAATCCTTCAGCTTAATGTCCCAGCACAAGACACCACTTAAATCACTACCACTTACAATACAATTCAGACCGTTCTCTCCAGCTCCAGCACCAGAACCAGACCCAACCCCGTCGCCGCCACTGCCAATAACAATAAACCTCAGTTCGCAACTATACTTTTCACAAACCGGTTTCTCACCCGGCCCCACAAACGTCTTTACAACTTTGTTCAGCATATAATCCCACAACCGAACAACGCCGTCCAAACTTGTACTCAATATGTACTTACCATTAGGCGACTGCTCGACATTAGCCACGGGGAAGTTCTGCAAATCAGCAGTTGAAAGTGAACTAGTGGCCGTCCCATGTGACGTGCTCGTAGTTAGAGTTTTTAGACATTGATAAGTTTCCAAATCAAACAATCGTATCAATCCATCGTAGGAGGCACTGATTATGATTGAGTTGTCTGGGGTTAGTGTCAAGCTTGATATGGGATCGGAGTGGGCGGCCAATGTAGTCAAGATTTTCCCCGTGATTACATCCCATATGGTGATCGTTTCATCAGCTGAGCCACTGATTAGTAAATTGCCCTTGGAGTTAAAGCGGATGGTTGTGATGTGATAGGTGTGTTTTTTGAATATTTTTATACACTTTGTAGATGATTGCGATGTACTTGACAAGGATGGATTGTGTATGGACCAAAGTCGAATAGTTAAGTCATCGGAGCAGGATGCAAGTACGGAGGAGTTTATTGGTGAAAACCTTATATCGGATATTCCCTTTGTATGACCTAGTAGCTCGCCTCTAAATTGGCCCTGTAAGTTGTATAATTTGATTTTATTTCTAGTCGCTAATGCTATTAATGAGCCATTGGGGGAGATTCGGATTGATGTGATGGGATGGGGCTCTTTGATTGTTGTTTTTAAGACGTAAAGATCAGAGTCAGCATTATCGAGTTGTGGATCTAGTGCCATACCCATTGTGCAATAGACTGTCGATATTGCTCTCCGTTGAATTAAGTTGGATGTTGAATTAAGTTGGATGTTGGATGTTGGATGTTGGATGTTTTGTTGTTTTATTATGATGTATCGCAAAAAAAGAATAAGCGCAACAACGTTAGAAAACCCAACATCTCCTACCAACTCTACAACAGAGACACAGAATTTTGGGGGTTTACACAACAATGGAGAATCACTCAAACAACCTATTCCGATTTAGTCTCGGTAACCTCAGATTGCCCAAATCTGCAAAATTAAGAGCATTTGGAATCTACTTGTCGGGTGGACTATTTGCCATTGGGTTTTGGTCATTGATTGACTCGGCCATCTATTCCAAAACGGTTAATGCTTCAGACGTGCACGTCACTTTCGTCGATTGGATACCATTCATATGCTCGTCGTTGGGTATGTTGATTGTCAACTCAATTGAAAAGAGTAACTTGATGAATAATGATCAGAGTGGAGGAGGTGGAGCGGGCGTGTTTGATGATGGCACCAATTATGTGTGGGCGGCTAGAACCATCTTATTTTTGGGGTTTAGTTTGCTTGCTGGTGGATTAGCTGGAAGTTTTATGGTTTTCATCTTGAAGTATTTGATGAAACATTATTCATTTCCTACTTTGGGCATGGGGGTGTCAAATATTGTTTGTAATGGTTGTGTAATGTTGAGTTGTATTGTGTTGTGGTTGTCACAGAATATCGAGGATGAGTATAGTTATAGTTTAGCTTTGTAGCTAAAGGAAAAGGTATACTTATCAACTATCAGGTAACTTTGCCGAGGGATATATTTGTAATTTGTATAACTGAAAGATCTATAAAATGTGAAACTACATACACTCGCGTCGCGAAGAAAGGATGCAGAATGGAGGGACTCAACTGGAAGTAGAGCTGGGTCCTATCAGATGGGCATGTTTTGTTGCTTGGAAATTTAGCAGATCTTACCCTCTCCCTCTTTATGCGCGTCCGTGTGATTATCCACCCATCTGCTTGTATTATCTGCCCTAATATGTCTCTTTGCTCTCTCTCTCTCTCTCTCTCTCTAAACTTCTTGCTCTTCTTATTCTCATAAAAGTTCACTCTTGTACGGACCCAACAACTCCAACTCAAAATCACTAAAATTGAACAAATCCAAAACAATTGGCGCAGATGCACCTCTAGGATAAACCTTAAACTCAGGACTCTTTAATTCTTGGAAAAAAGAATGCACCAAAACTTTTCTTGGACTAGCCCGTTGTTCCGGATCATACACCAAAATCTTCATCAATAAGTCAATGGCATCTGGAGGTGAGTTGCTAAAAATCTGTTTAAATCGTTCTTCAACAGTACAACTAAACATTCGAGTTGTGTACATATTTCCCCTATACTGTGGATTACTTTTGAAGAAAAACGTATTTGGTGGCGGACCCAACAATTTGGCAATCTCCTTCAATTGCGTTTCAGGTGAATGCCCCTGGAATATGGGTTTACCAAGAAACATCTCGGCAATGACACATCCCAAACCCCATATATCTATTTTTGTCGTGTATAAAGAACATCCCACGATTAATTCTGGTGCCCGATAATATCTTGAACATATATAACTGACTGAAGGTTGGTTAGGTTCCAACTTTTTGGCTGAACCAAAATCACAAATCTTTAGTTGAATTGTATTTGGATCGACTAGGATATTCGATGGTTTTATGTCCCGATGGCTTACACCCAACCCATGCAAATACAACATTGCTCGTGCTAGTTGGAAAGTGTACGCCTTCATGTGAGGATAGGGAATTGTGTATTTGGATTGTCGATAGAATTTGATTTCCAGTTGTAAAGTAGATGGCAAACACTCCATAACCAAGTTCTGATACACCTTATCATCTGCTGAACTTCTCTTGTCGAAAAAGAATCGCAAACTGACAATATTGGGGTGATGTACAACACGTAATATTTCCAACTCCCTTGATTTGTATTCAGTTTGTGCTGGCACGCGCTTTATTGCGAAAGGGCCCAACCATCCGTTATTGTTGCCATTATCTTTGTGGTGATTATTTCCATTGGACGCGAATGATTCGTTGGTGGAAGAGAGGGTGGTTCCATTTGCCGCTGTTTCGTGTGGTGATGATGACGTTGTTGTTGTTGTTGTTGTTGATGATGAACTATTGTCAGCGTATCGTAACACAGCTTCAACAACGGTTCCGAAAGCTCCCTCACCTATTTTCTTGTATTCGCGAATGGTCATTTTGCTTGACGTTGATGTTTTGTTGTTAACCACTTGGGGTAACGTATACTCCTTGAGTACTCCTGCCGGTTGTGCCATTGCGTGTGAATAGGTATGGGGTGATTGTTTTGGGTGAAGAAATACGCGTTTGATGGTAGTATGCTGTTGGATTGTTGGTTGTTAGCTGTTGATTGTTGGCTGTTGGCTGTGTGTTTGTGTGTGTGTATGATTGAGTGTGAGTAAAAAGGTGCGTGTCCAAAAAGAAAAAAAAAACTGTCTGTTGATTGTTGATTGTTGATTGTTTCGTTATCACTCTTGTCTGTCTGTTTCTCTTTCTCTCTCTCTCTCTGTATGACAGTGCAACGCCTCTCTATTACTAAAGGTATCTAATACAAAAACACAGAGTTAGTGGATAGTGGCAACGACTGAAAAGAAGAGCAATTGTATCAACCGGAATAAAAACTAGGTTGCAGTGGTAAGTAGTACTACTAACTCTAAAAAAGCATATGTTGTGCGTTGTGTGTGTCATTATTTTGTATGTCGTCAATGCATACCCTAATTGGTATACGCAAAAACACGACACTACAACACACAGCACAAAATACCTTCTACCTCTATGCGGTGGTAGTTAAATAGCAAAATGGACCCAAATCAATGCTTACTCTCCTTACTTGACTAGTAAACCATGTTATTCAAATCTGTAGGCCGTATCTGCCTTTTGAAGATTACAAATTATATCTATTATTTGCACTGATTTGATTGCAAAATATACCTGTATTTTTTTTTTATTTGTTATGCTAACTCATACCGATCCTACGACTGGAAAAGCTTTACAATACTTTGTAGCAAGCTTGAAAATGTTAATACCAATAGATGGTTTAGATATCATAACTTACACATTAAGAGCAATTAACGAAACACTACGATGCATGAGAGGATTATTTGACGAAAAGTCCAATAAAACAAAAACATCTCTTGATTATGGTTGCTACTCCTTTTCTTTTGGAGCTGAAGCTAACAACAGAATCTTCTGTAGTACAGCTCGAGCAGAAGTTTTGGCTGTTTCAATAATCACATACGTGCTGTTGGAGAAATTGTTGCAAAACCGTTGTATTCATAGAGCTTAAATGGTAGCGCATTCTCAAAACAGATCAAAACAATTTTTCATTGGCTTCGCTCTCAGAACACCTCGAGGATCATTGGAAATCCTGAGCCGTGCAAACTATTCAAAAAGCATCGATATCCACTTTGAAACCTACCATGTTTAGGCAGTACTTGAGCGGACTTTGCAAACAGCCTAGAACTGGATTGAGGATAACTCAACTGTTGGCGGTTTCTCCTACCAGATCAATATACAATTCCCAAACGATACATCAAACCCAACCAGCCACCACCACCACTACTACCACTGCTGCTGCTGCTGCTGCTGCTACTACTACTACTACTACTACTACTACATCTAGCACGCCGACCACCTCACCCTTATCGGGACTTAGCAAAGTTATCGAAGACAACATAGAAGGCTCGCATAGTGCCAAAACTGGTCCTTCTCATACAACTTCAACTTCTAAACAAGCCAAGATAAATGAAAAGATTGTGTATTGGAAACTTTATTCAACGTTCAATAGACACAACACAAGATGCACATTGGTTGCAGTTGTTGAAGACTTGAATTTCATGGAAAACAATCCAGACTTGTCATACAATGAAAAAGTACTCTATTACTTGCAATTACCTCACAAGGTCAAATACTCAGTTACTGCAGGTCAATTAGGTTTCAGGAAATCTCAAAGACAAGAATACGAAGCCGGTTTCCAAGTTGCTGCCAAGATGTTCAAGACTATTCAAGAAAGAAACTATATTGGTCCTAATGATAAGGTCGAGTTGATTTTAAAGAATTTTGGAAAGGGAAGAGAAGCTTTCCAAGCTGCATTACTCGGTAAGGAGGGGTCCTATTTGAAGAATAATATTGTGAGAATAAGTGATGCTACTGTTATTAGATTTGGTGGTAATAGACCAAAGAAATTACGTCGTTTGTAAACAGTGGGAAGAAGAGGAATGGTAATTGTTACCTTCTCTTTGAGGTTCAATGCCGTTTTCATTTTGGTAAATGGATTATAATTGCATTTGTAACAACGTTCGTGAAGACCAAATAGCTTTCACATGTATATAGATATCGTGGTATATTGTACTAGCGTTGAATGGGGTAAGTTGATGACAATGATGGATTCAGAACAGATTTGGTTTGTAAAATGATTTGGTGTGTACAGCCCTAATATGATATATTTACACGTGCACGTTTTGTCTACTTTACACTACCTGTGTCGGGTAGCTCTACTATCTATTGAGATTTTTTTCTTACACAAAAGATTTCTACTAAGTATAACCAAGTGCTACACGCAATAACAAACTGAGTACAGAAGAGGAAGAAAAAAAAAAAGATTTTTTGAGTACTAGAGAGAGAAGCAGTGAAATTTTTTTGGCTTTTTCCATTCAAACACATATCATCATAATCATTAGCAATGGGTTGTATGTTTAGCATTCATCAATAATAGCCATTATTACTAGACTTGTGGAGTGATTAGACAGGAGTGTCCATGCAACAGTGCAGAGGGGAGTGCGTCACATCAAGACAGGAAGAGCAATGGGGGAGGAGCACTGATATTTCATTTGCAATGCACCCTATGAGGTGCTTCAAATAACCCTACCAAATTCCATAGAAAGTGCAAGCAACGAAGTGATGTACACCACTAGTCGTTTAAGAGCTCGATTCAATGCTTTATCTTCAATCCATATGGGGGTGGGGCATCCCCTCTCCTGTCAATACCACTCAACCAACACAGTCTAGTCACACGATTCCCTGATCAAGTTTTACTAACTCATCTTTTTTCTTTAGCAACTACTAAAGGAGCTACCGCCGCCAAGAAGGCTGCTTTGAAAGGTGTCAATGGTAAAAAAGCCGTCAAGGTAAGAACCTCCACCACTTTCAGATTGCCAAAAACCTTGAAATTGGCCAGACAACCAAAATACCAAAGAAAATCAGTACCACACTACAATAGATTGGACGCTTACAAAGTTATTGTTTCTCCTATCGCCACTGAAACCGCCATGAAGAAGGTTGAAGATTCAAACACTTTGGTTTTCCAAGTTGACATTAAGGCCAACAAGCACCAAATCAAACAAGCTGTTAAGGAATTGTATGATGTCGATGTCGATTACGTAAACACTTTGATTAGACCAAATGGAACTAAGAAGGCTTACTTGAGATTGACTGCTGACCATGATGCTTTGGATATTGCTAACAAGATTGGTTACATTTAAGTTTTATTGATGTTTTCACTTTTGAGAGTTTGAATTAATCTGTATATTAGCAACCAAAACCAAACCATAAACAATAAATGAGGAAATAAGGAAGCTTACTGTAAAAAAGAGGAGAACCTTCACGGATTGGAAAAATTGTAGATTATTAATTTGTAAGTTTTATGTCTCTGTCTATTGGATCAACTCTGCCAATGAAGATTCTATACACCAGGTTTTCACCTTCAACCCACGATTAAGAGCTTTTGTCTTTCTCTTCAATTTTACCCTCTTGGTCCCACTTTGTTTTATGAGTTTGGTAAATTGTTGCTTCACTCTTTGTAATGTTATCGCGTCGATTGGGGTTTCCAGTGACAAAGATATGTCTAGGAATCGACACAACTCTTGATGCAGAAATTCAGTTTGCAAAGTATTTTCACCAGAAGCATCACTGAGGTATAGTTTGAACAGTGCAAACCCCATGGCTTCCTTACTTGAAGGAGAGATCACCAATGGAGCATTCGGCACCATCGTAAAACACCGTACTGCATCAATCACATAGATTGTCCTAGAGTCATCGGGCATGTTACTCGTGCACGCTTTGCTCAAGTCGGCAATGGTTGCAAAATGACGTACTTTAACTGAATTATGTGGTTGTAGTTGCCTATTAATTGGCATGGGGGCGTTATGTGCACCCCCATTTTGAACTCTATCAGCCTCTATGTCTTGAGATAGAGATACTTGGTGCATTTGCGAATCTCCAGTGGGCGCAGTCTCAAAGTTTAAATCTATGTCTTCGTCTTGTGAGTATTCGTCATCAGATTCTGGGATTTGCGACTCGACAACGATGCCACCTGCAACTGATACTTTGCGTATTGAATCACTAGGTGGTTTTGCCGTGAAGCTGGAATCCATTGTGTTTGCAATGAGAGTTGGGGTGCCGATACTAGCACCAGTACCAGTTCTTGCATTGTCACCATCATTCATTGAATTGGTAACAGCACCATCACCAGTAGAGCGAGCTGCGTAAGTTTGAGTCAAAACCGCCCCTCTCTCTGAATTACCACCAATTACACTATTAACACCAGCACTCAAATTTCGAGCGACTTCCACAGCAACACGTACATCCTCCAAGCTATCTAAGCCATCACTCAAGTCAGCAGCTATATCATCATCATCATCATCATCATCATCAGTGTCTCCATCTAACGGAGGTTGACTTTCCAAAAAATTAGGATTCTGCGAAATATTATCAATATCCTCATCCAAAATACCGTGCGTCATAACAAACTCAGTAAACCCAAATTTCAAATCAAGCTTACGATAAAACTCACTACTGACACACTTCTTCAACCTATCAAGAAAATTGATAAATTCTCGTTCAAGATCATTCATAACATCAAATAAATTCTTTTTGTAAACAACTCGAAAATAATTCCCATACCCATCATAACACTTGTTGTTGAATTTGTACACGTCCATATTACATCGAGCTATCGCAAAGTCCAAGGACTCCAATTTGACCGTGTTGTCGAAAATCAGCATATATTGCGGGAAATTCCGGTGCATTTTCGCCGTAAACAATTCATCCTTGCGAAACACCTTCGTGTCAAGCTTGCACTCAGGCAAACCAGTGACAAATACAGTTTTATTCTCTTTGACCCGGGTGCGTTGTTTGATTTGTGATAGATCGCTGAAAAGCACCGTGTCTGATCTGGGATGGTTGTGGAATATGATGACGGGTATATCGTAACGATGTTTGACGTTTGCAATTGTTTTGATATCGGGAAGTTCAGATAAGGGGTCAGTCAGGCGGAATTCAGTCAGTTTGGAACCTCCTTTGGACGGAAACTCACGTTGCTTCGCCATGGTGGACGAATTGCAGTTGAGGAAGCAGGGGCTGAAGTTGTGTGGCTTGTAAAGGAACCCTTTTTCTCTCTATATGGTCACACGTATGTCCAAATGTCAAAAATATCTTGTTCAAATTAAATTTAACGCGTGCTGCATATGAAAACTGATTGGGTGCACAGTATAATATTTCCAAAAACTTTTCTCTTCATTCCAACTAATACGTGTCCATCTGTAGTACAACTTCCCATTGCAAGTAAGGAATATTAGCACGCACTAGTTTAAGCTTCGAGGACCTCGAGTTACCTTGTAGTTAGAAGTATGTTTGTTGTGAAGAGTACTACCCTAGATTTACTACTACAGATATAATCCTGCATATTGCTCTCTCCATGATTCTTTTCGCATCTCTTCGTAAGCGTTTTCTTCGTTGGGCAGACCCATAGCACTTGCTTACAGAGGCAGTTGCATATACCATGAAAAGTAAGTATACAATTGGATTGAAAGACCGGCTGTAAATCATCTACTAACAATTCACCAGAAAAGATACTCAAGCAGACCAAAGATCAAAAAACAGCTACACCGCAAGATCCAGTCACGTACAATGACTTTTTAGAGGAAGGTTCCTTAGCTGAAGAGAGTGGAGATAGATGGCTTGGATCTGATGTGTCTAAAGCACTAAGGTTCTACCAAAAGTCCTACGATGCTTATACGAAATCGCTTGAGTTGAATTGGAGTACCGAGAATCTGGACGCTTTTTACAATGCAGCTCGACTTCTTTTACAAGTGTACCTTTTAGAAAAATCTTCCAATGGGTTAGTAATACGTGATTTGACTGATATGGGAGATATACATGGTGCCAATTCTGTTGTTAAATCAATATCGGAAATATTGGACGTGCATTTGAAGGCGTTGGAAATTTGCGGTAGAAATCAAGATTTGCTTTACAATACGGCAACTGTCTATGTGGAAATGTTGGATGATATGATAGATAGTGACTACAATGTTCCACTTGATGAATTATGCTCAAAGTATAGGTCAGGGGAAGAAATATTGGTAGAGTTGATACCACAACAAGTGAATGCGTTAGAGTCGTTTGTTTGTGACTTGGCATCTTCAAACACCGAATCAAATGTATCATTTGCAAGTGGTTCCAGCCCACCCGCCATGGACCAAGAGCAAGAGGAATTTGAGTCTATTGAAGTTACACAACCGGTCGACATTTTTGAAACTGTAATGTTGTCATACAGGTTGGTTCAAACGACATATGAGAATCTTTCGGAAGGAGGTGAAGCTGTGAGTGTTGTTGCTCAAACTGTAGCACCATTCATTGATTCGCTAGATCAAGTTGCTAGCGAACTCATTTTAAAATACAGTGAACAATCTGAATTCAAGAATGAAATGTTGGAAAATATTACTGCTTCTCAAGTAAATGAGCTCAAAATTGCCAAACAAAGCATCATCAGTCTACAAGACAATGATGGGTCCAGGATATTAGAGTCCTGGGAAAGATTCTTTGTAAGTGAAGTTCCCGATGAAATTCCTGAAAAGTATTTGACTAGCGTTGATAATGTCCAAACTGTGATGGAAAGAAACGACCAAACATTGTATACCATAAACAATTCAAACAGAATTGACAAAGAATGGTACTGGAGAATGCTTTCACAGCAGAATAGCTTACTTAAAAAAGCTCAAGGATTGACACAGGACCAATTGAATGCCAAAAGAAAACTACCACTGGGGGTGGAACAAGGAATTGGCTCGACAATTATTCAATTATGTGACATCATGATTGCTCGAGCAGACTTGAGTTTACAAATGGCACTGGTTAAATATTACGAACCCAGTGTGAGAAACGAGTCAGCTTTGCTTCAAAATTGCAAGACCTTGCTCAAATCAAGTATGAATATTGCCAATTCGTCAGGTGGATTGAGAGAACGAGCTATTGAGAAGATTGATCGAGAAAAGAAATTGAGTGAATCTGTTTTCAGATTATGTTTGGTTGACGGAAAGACATCGGTGAGCGATCTAGATGAGATAATGACACGTCCTCGATGGATGCGAGAATATACACAGTTGAAAAAGGTGGATGTCTACGAGGAATTGCTACAACGAATTCCATATCAATCAGTATTGCTGGGTTACATATAAAATTACACACCCATTTATTAATTGTGCTCTCTATACAAACTTATATAAACTCCTCATCTGGAATATCGGTGACGTTGTTGCTCCAATAATACCTCTCTGCGTAGGCACCACTACCATTCACGGGTTCAGCGGGAGCACACCGACTAGCCTTGTTAAAGATAGAACTATCAATATATTGTAAACTTATCGATGGGTTGCGGGAATTGTGAACTATTATTTGTATGATGTTTATCTTAATGAGGTGTAAAGCCCATAGTATGAGCTTCATTATAGGTTTCGTGGTGAATATGTATTCTCAAAAAGTAAAGAAGCAGTGAGGTTATGTGGTGTGTGTGTGTGTGTGTATATCAGATATCAGATATCTGATGTGTGTGGTAGTTTCAGTCTTTAAAGGAGTAATGGGCGGGGGGCGTGCGCTGTTCTAGAACAACAAACTTTTTTTTTTTTTTCTCTTTTCTCGTGACACTAAAAGTCAATGTCTTGATTACACATTTTACGACATTCCAAAATCTATCATCTATGTACATGGGTCATCTTACTCTATGTTTTACTTACTCAACAACTTATCAAATGCAGGAATCAATGATTGAGCCATGGCAAAGGAAAACACCAATTTTGGGCCAGTAGTCAACAATTTAGGTGTCAACCCTTTGAAGAATGCAGTAATACCTTCATTCTTGAACATGTTTTTCAAAATAGTGAACCCCTTTTCTGGATTGTCAAAATTTCTATTTTGAATTCTAGTCTTGATGACATCCAAAGGAGCACTCACAATCAACGACGCACTAGCCCCAAAGATGGAAGTGATAAAATTCTGTGTCCATGTAGCTTGACTATAATCTTTCAATCCGAAAATATACTCTTTAGCAAATGAGTTACCTCCAAACAAGGCAAAGGAACCTGGTGCGTTTCTAGCCATGGTCCATCCCCAACCTCTATACAATCCGAATCCTTCATCCAGCAAGATCTTAAGGAACCCCCTACCTTTGAATGACTCTGGGTTTGTTTGACGCTTGATTTTCAAGACATCCAATGGCAACAATACAACTTCACCAATTCCAATCAAGGAACCAGCAGTCGCACTCATCAAAGCCTTACCGGTCTTGGGTCCAAATGCAGAATCAAAATTGTCTTTAAAGTTCTTGGTCAAAAACTCATTGGCAAATGGTTGACCACCATACTTGTACACCCTTTGCAAGATCTTGTAACAAGCAGCATATCCCAAACCTGGGAACAAGGTAAAGAGTCTCTTGAACAAAGGTTGGGATGCAGCGTCTCTGAAGATAATAGTGTTCAATTGGTGTGCTGAAGTGACTCTACCATGGTTGGACATCAATCTTTTGGAGATGGTGTCCACTGGGTGGAATACACCAATTTCTGCTATACCTGCGGTAGCAGATCCCAAGACTCTGGCAATACCAGATTGCTTTTTATCTGACGACGAGTGAGCTGTTGGAGACATACTTTGTGGACTCAGCTGGAATGGGGACTTTCTTATCTTGTGGAAAATTTTTAGACTCCAATTGAATTTGTTTTTTTATTTTTTTTTATTTTTTTTTCTTTCTCTTCACAGAGCGTTTGACATTTTGACTCACTTTTACACCGCGGTTAATTTTCTTTTTTCTTTTTTCTTTTTTATTTTTTTTTAAACAATTTGAAAAGGGTGGAAATTGTACATAGTCTTAAGGGCTCAGGTCTCTGAGCAAGACTCATTTCACACTGATACTAGAGAGTATTACACTAAGAGCATTTTCTGGTAAGCTGATTGATGATTTACCTTTCACTGTATTCTCGTAGTCTCGATAGTACATCCAATACTTGTGAACTAAAAAGAACTTAGTCGGCTTGATACAGCGTTGTGAATGTACCCAATAGCTTAGAGGTCAGTTCAGTTTTCAAAAGGGCCCGAGACCACCAAAACCACGTTGTTGAAGGGAATTTGGTGCAATCGTATTTCTTTTCAATCTGTAAAACAATAAAACTGACCTTAAACGCAAAAGAGAGAAAACGACCAAAAAAAAAAAATCATCGCTGTAGTAGAATTCCTCCTTCTTATCAACTAAACGTCTCACCTAGCCACACCCCATCTTTACACAGCTATGGCAGATGTTATTGTTGAATTCAAGGAAAAACTATCAGAGCTAACGATAAATAATGGATTGATTATCAGCCAGTTGACTCAATTAGCCAAGCAGCACCCTGAGGTGGCGGACCAAATAATCGATTTACTTACAGCTAGAATCTACCGAGTCATTCCTGAACAGAAATTGTACACTTTATACGTATTGGACGATATTTGCAAAGTTGTGGGCAACCCTTACAACATTCTCGTTGGTGATGACATTTACGACATTTTTACCCACATTTTTCAATTGAATAATGATTTTGTACGAGGAAAATTGGTCAAGATGTATGACCTTTGGAAGACTGTGCCACTTAAAAGTACAGGCGAGCCCGTATATCCTGAAGAGCAGTTGAATAAAATCGGCCAGTTTTTGAAGAAAGCCGGATACCCCAAGGAGGAAACTACAAAGTCGGTAAATTTGCCGCCTAAACCAACAGTTTCTTTACAACAATCTCTAATAAACGACATCGACAAACTAATACCTGTATTTCAAAACCAGCTTCGAACAAATAGTATGGACTCAAAGATATCTGATAGATTTAAAGCTTTGAATAGCTTAAGAGCAATGTTGACTAGACAAGAGATGAAACCAGCCGAGTTGGAAGCAATAAAGTCACATATAGTAAACATCCAGTCACAAGCATCTCCAGCAACAACAGCAACTACCCCACGTGCTACAACACCATTTTCACAAGTGAACCCGGCATTTAAAATATTCAACGATTTGATTTTATCTGGATTGGTGAAAAAAGATCAAGAGCCAATACCAGGGTCAAAGCCGGTGTATACACTAGTGTTTCCCGAAACGAAGTATTCTGTTGATCAGGAACAAGCAGAAGCAAGCTTGGAAGATTTGTTACTACAGAGCAGCTCGATTCAAAGGTCAGAGTATGACAAACAAAAATTTGTTGAGTTGATGAGTGTAACTGAGAAGACGTCAGATGGGAACTTGCAACATTTTATCAGTAATAACAAGCTATCCACAAGCACAATAAATTTACTATATGAAGCTAAACCGTCAAAATGTTCGATTTGTGGGAAAAGGTTTGCCAATGATCACGAGGGAGCAGAAACCAAGCGTCTGCACTTGGATTGGCATTTCAGAATGAATAAGAAATTGACAGTAAAGGGAGGAAACATACAATCGAGAAACTGGTATGTTGATGACTTTGAATGGGTGAAGTTGAGCGAGATTGGAGCTTCTGAACAGGTATCTTCTAGTAGCACTGCAGACCAGAGTGCTGACATTTCTGCGTCAACCGAAACTCAGTACGCCATTGTGCCCGAAAACGACACCAATATGAACAATCGATGCCTAATCTGTCGTGAACAAGTGAAAGCAAAATATAATGATGAGATTGGTGAATGGGTTTGGTATGATTGTTTGAAGCCACCAGGCGAAAAGAACCCAAGAAGAATTGTACATGTAGCTTGTTTCAATGACAAGAAGAGATTGGCTGAGTCAGATTTGAATCCAAATGTTAAAAGGGAGAGAATAAATTAACAATACTATGTACTTTGGTTACCATATTTATATATTTATTTTTTTTCTTCTGTTTGTTGTGCAGAAGTCTAAGTGAATGTGTGACTCTTTTATTGACCCAAACACTTCAAAATATCGTTCCAAACTTTGCCTGGTTTCTGAGAAGCATCGATTCCTTGCCAGATACCAGTTTTTTTGTAGTACTCAACAATTGGTTCAGTTTGTTGATGGTAAGTGACCAATCTCTTTTTCAAAGCTTCTTCATTATCATCCGATCTTTGAATCAATGGCTCACCAGTTTGGTCATCGGTCATTTCCTTCTTTGGAGGGTTGAAGATCTTGTGGTAAGATCTTCCACTTGCTGGATGGACCAATCTACCAGTGATTCTAGCAACCAACAATTCATCATCGATTTTCAATTCAATGGCATTTTCCAAGGGAGTTTTCCTCTCATTCAACATGGCATCCAATTTTTCAGCTTGTGGAATAGTTCTTGGGAACCCGTCCAAGATGAAACCCTTGGAACACGATTTGTTGTTCTCCAATTCAGATTTGATCATGTTGACCATAATTTCATCATTAACCAATCCACCTTGATCCATAATCTTTTTAGCTTCAAGTCCCAATTTGGTTCCTTGCTTAACTTGTGACCTCAACATGTCACCAGTGGCCAAATGACAAGCACAGAATTTGTCCTTCAAGTCGGCCGATTGAGTGCCTTTACCTGAACCTGGAGCTCCAATCAAGACCAATCTCAATTGTTTAGCGAAATCTGTGGATGCTGCTGCGGTTGGGGTAACACCAACTTTCTTTTCCAATTGTTGGATTCTCTCTTGCAATTTAGCAACGGTGTTTTTCAACTCTTCGACTGACATGGTGTGATAAAGGCTATGCTAATTTGAAGTTCTAATACTCGAGATTTTCTAACCCGAACTTAAATTTTTTTTTTTTTGTTTTTTTTTTTTTTTTCAACTTTTTCGTTTCCTCTCTGTTTGAGGAGGGCCGCTTTTGTGTAACTCAATGCAAGTCATTTTATTGGTCCTTTTTCACAGTGCGGGCTTGACCAGAATGCAACAGCTGCATAGAGAAGATATAAGAGGTGGAGTCTAGTTGCAAAAAAAAAAAAAAAAAAAATAAAAATAAAAACCCAATCTAATCTGCAATAAATCATTAAAACTCAAACTTGTATTACAGAAATCATTCTATACAATTACTGTGCTTTCACACTAACGACAAAAAAACTCTACGAGTCCACCATGATATGTAAACCTCCCCTTAAAAACACCAAAACCAGAATGCACTTTAGCATGGAATATACCATGGCCCCATAGCCCCAATTGAAACTATGGGAATACACACTACACTCTGTAAAGTGTGCTTTTGAAACCCACCCTCCCCCAGAGTGACACTCCATAAGGGAATATAATCTATAAGGGAATATAATCCATGGTGTATATGATACACCGCGTACAGATGTGACAAACTACTGTCACGTTCTGCACCAAAAGCATTCTTCAACGAATGCAAATGGCGTGATCAGCTGGTCTCCGATGGAGAACCAACAAACCTGAACACCACTTCGTAATGTTGGTAATCACCAGATCAAAGGTGATGGTTAAAACTTGCCTGTGAAGTAGTCTGCTCGAAAAAAGAGGACTATACGGGCCAATTTCTTTGGACGGGATTTTGTACAACGGCTAACGGGGACATACATACCATGAGTGGACATGTCTAGTTGCGTATTTTAGCGTGAAGCGGAAACGGCCATCAAAACCTAATTCATTGTAGTCAATGCTGTTTTAAAAGTGGAGACTTCTTGTAGTTCCTATGATATGTGGCCAGATGTGTTACACTTGAGGTACACAGTGACTCTATGCTAGTAAGTTAATCCAATAAATTCGCTTCGTTTGGGGGCAATTATACCGTACAACAACTCACCTTTCGATGAAGTCTTCAGTAGCTCAGTTATACCAAACTCTATAATCGGACGCTAAAAGCACACATTCGATCAATTCTATACGTCAATGGCGGAGTTCAAGATAGAAGAGCTTCGGGATCTATTTTGGCCCCCATTTTCTCTCAACCCGTGTTTTGGTGAGCTTCGAGGAGAAGGTATTGGTGTAGATTTGGTCTTGAATGGTCGGAGAGTGAATGCATCCGCACTGACAGGGTTTGGTGCTTTCAATTCTTTCGTTGCAAGGCTCTTTTGCTTAGTTGGAGTGACTGAGCCATCCTCATCTTTCACAACTTGTTCATCCTTGCGTTGGCTAGTTGGGGTTTCAATTATGGGTAATTTTTTGATCTGCAAGCCTGCCTTCAACTCATACTCCTTCTTTTGCTTATATTTTGTTTCATGCTCAATTAGTTTGTCAAGCAAAGCTTTTCTGGTCTCTGGTTTCAACAACTCAGTGAGGAATTGGACGTAGTAGTCAACAGGTGGCTTGAACCCAGACTTGTGCTTTGCTACAGATGGTCTCATAATCAAATGTACATAAGGTATAGCACCCACGGCATCCATATTGTTCAAGGCTTTGGAAATACGTTGCAATTCATCAGAATTCTTTGAAGACATTTCAGCAAAATCGTCTGACATGCCATAATTTGGAAACACATCCAACTGGAAAACCTTGCATATGTGCTCTGTAATGGAAAGTAAACACGCTAAATTACACCGCGGCAATGAAGAAAGCACCTTGATTAAATTGGTGTCTGCGTGCTCACCATTGTACAAATTGATTACAGATTCAAACACCGTACTCGGAACCACGCTATCTTTGAGTTCCAATAACCAAGTTTTGTAGAAAGTTATGCTATCTTCAGCTTTCTTCCCTTCAAAGTGTTTGATGATATTGTTGATAATGTTAGTCTTTTGGTTCTTGCTGGTTTCACCAACCGGAACAGAACATTTAGAAATCACAGTAGTAACATCTTGCTTGATTTTCCATGCTGACTGCAAATCCAATGGCTGTAGCCATGCCGATTTCAAGTCCTCATCAATGTGTGTCTCAATAACTCGGTGGAGTTGGTGGACAAAATACGGCGCTGAGAGTATACTCAATGGCAAATTATCAGATATCTGTCCCACATTATTAATTTGAGCTGATATGTCTTCAAAAATATTGAACTGGTACACCAAGTTTTGTAGGGAAAAGGAGACATCTCCATTCAACGAAAACATTACACCAGTACTCAGCTTGTTTAGATGTAGGGCTAGGTCGTGCTCATAGTTTTGCTGTTTGTTCAACTCTGCTATGCCCCTACCAAAAGCTTGAATTTGGTTAAATTGTTGCAAGTGAAATTTTTGAATTATCTGCAGCAACTTCGCTGAACTGGTGTAAATGATTTGTATTTTTGTTGTTTCAAATTTCTCTAAATACTGCGCTAGTTCAGTAAAACCCTTTTGCAAGAGATATGCCAACTCTTGTAGCTCAAGACTTTGCTCGTTGTACTGCTCAATGGTATCCTGTAGGGTCTCATCATGGCTCTTTTTCATGATTGAACTTTTCACATTGTTAAACATACTGTTGAATCTATTCGTCGTTTCCGCCATGTCGTTCATGAATCTGGATGAAGGGGAAGTAACTTTACGGTCTGTGCTGGTTACCTGTTTGATGGGGGTAGATGGTGCTGATTCTTGTTTAAATTCAGACACACGAATAGCCAAGTCCGACCATTCGAACCAAACTCCTTCGCTTTTGAACCGCTTTTGGAAGATATTAGTAGGATTGACCAACTTCAAAGATACCAAAGATTGTCCGAATTTCTCAAAATTTGATCTTGTCGGTTTCAACCCTTTGATTCGTAAATCGTTAAGCACTTCACAAAGTGACTCACTGGCAAAAAGATCATTTTTGTATCCTGGGATGGGTATCGTGCGTTTGACAGTGGGGGTATCAGCAATCAATTTCGATAGTACGACTTGGAACTCTTCCATGGTTTCGAAGGTGACACTACCGACAGATAATGGAAATTGCAAATCGATATCAAAATCTTGTCGTACACTACTTTGGGAATCTTCTTCAAAGTAGGACTCTTCATCACTGTAATCATAGTCATCCTCATCTAGCTGTTGTTGCACCAGTAGAGTGCCTTGCGCTTTTGATGTCTCCTTCAGCCTTAGCTCATCAAAATACTTTGTCTTGCTCTTTTCCACCTTTCTACTCAATGCAAGATACCCTTCATAGAGCTCTTCCAATCGGCTAAATTCCTTCTGTATACTCGGTTCATGATGTTTGAGGTATTTCGTTAAATCGTCAAGAACAAACTTGTCAATATTCGATGCCAATTGTAGCAACGTTGTTGATTCGCCCAACATTTCATTTTTGAATAGCTCAACACAGGAATAGTATTTTGGAGTTTCGCCGAATTTACCACTGAATGAGTCAGATGATGCCAATTCATTGCTGGATGTATTCAAGTACTCGCTATTGGAATGAAAATATTTCAAGTAATTAAAAACCAACTTTCGCAAATCGTGTAATTGTTTCAACGAGACATTCGTATGGGATTGTAGGTTGTGTAGACCAGTTATGTAATCTGGTGTCCAATACAGGTTTGCAAATGGCTGCATTTTTTGGTTTGGCCGGTGGGGAAGAACAGTTCAATTAATCGGCTATTTTAAGTTGAAATCAAAACAGAAAATTAGCAAAAAAAAAAAAAAAAAAAATAAAAAAATAAAAAGAATTGCAAAATGGCGCGTCGTTCAGATCAATTGATGAAAAGTTACTACAGCATCAATCTGTTGAGATCCACCACAATTTCAATTGAGATGGTTGGATAATCATGAGTGAAGATGAACAACTACAGCAAGAAATTAACCTACTAGAGAGGGATGTCGTCAAATTGGAAGATGAACTAGAACAACTTGCTCATGACGAGTCCGCACTACTCAAAGAGGTGGCAAAACTTGAACAGCTTCAAGAGGAGCAGAATGAACCACTAGTCGAAGATCATCGTGATGTCGTACCCATAATCAAACACACTTACTTTGACCCTTCGATTGCTCAATTTTTCGACGACGCAGAAGCTACAACACAAGTCCAGCCACTTGAGAAAAGGTTCATTGACAAAGCTGATACGAAAGAAAACATCATGTATGAAAACATCCTTCGTATGAGTGGGGTCACAGCATTTCCCATAAATAAGCACTTGTTTCCCAATGATGAAATTTTGGGAATAAGGTTTGACACCTTTTCATCGAAAAGCAGGTCTTTCAAGCAACCTCACTATGTAATCTTATTGAAAAGCAAGCTCAAGAATGAGCAGTCATTTTGGAGGGTTCATAAAACCACTTTGCCTGTGCACGTTCCTTTAGATCGGTACCAGGAGGAGCTTGAGAAGACACATGATCTTGACAAGTTTGCCACACTGATACACTTGTATCTTGCAAGGGACAATGAAAAGAAAGAATCTGATACTTGACACCTTGATGAAGACGATTTAAAGTGTTAATCTCGAGTTTAGTAAGTTGTATAGTTTGTAAAATAGATCAAGCTTATATTTCGGTAGCGCGAATCTCATCCAATTTATTCATCACAACTTCTTTTGACAACGATGTCTTGGAAAACAGCACTACAAACATCTGCTACAATCGTATCACTAGCAATCATATTGAATGAGCTACGGAAAGCTTACCTGCAATCTGGCACCAACAAATCAGACTTGACCTCACTCCCTCCGAAATCTAGAGGTATCGAGTCGAGGATCGGAAACACTGCTCTAATCGAGATCAAATCCTTATCAGCAAAAACAGGGTGTAAAATATACGCCAAGTTGGAATTGAGTAACCCAGCAGGAAGCTCCAAAGACCGGGTGGCGTTGGCGATAATAAGAGCAGCAGAGTCACTCAACCAATTGGTACCTCATCAACAAAATGTCATCTTTGAAGGAACGTCTGGGTCTACAGGTATAAGTTTTGCAGTTTTGGCTAATGCGTTGGGTTATACTGCGCATATATGTCTCCCGGATGATACGTCGCCGGAAAAGCTACAGTTATTGGAAGCATTGGGAGCTGAAGTTGAAAAAGTCAAACCTGCAAGTATTGTTGATCCAAACCAGTATGTGAACGCGGCAAAGAGAGGAGCTGAGGCTATCAACAATGACCCTACCAGCAACAGGAAAGCCATCTTTGCTAATCAGTTTGAAAATGACTTCAATTGGAGAATTCACTACACTACTACTGGACCAGAATTGGTCAAACAATTGGATAAAATCGACGTGTTTATAAATGGAAGTGGTACAGGCGGAACCATAGCTGGAGTGGGCAGGTGTTTGAAAGAGCACAATCCGGACACAAAGATTATTCTAGCGGACCCACAAGGAAGTGGACTCGCCAATCGGGTAAATTTTGGTGTATTATACGATACAGTTGAGAAAGAAGGCACTAGAAGAAGACATCAAGTTGACACTCTAGTTGAAGGAATCGGACTAAACCGTCTCACTTGGAACTTCAAACAAGGGGAGCCATACATTGACGAAGCTGTTCGAGTTACTGATGAACAAGCATTGAAGATGGCAAAGTACCTATGCATCAATGATGGATTATTCTGGGGTAGTTCAGCTGCTATAAATTGTGTGGCCGCGGTCAAAACAGCTTTGAAGTACGGACCGGGTCAAAACATAGTGGTTGTTGCTTGTGATTCCGGAGATCGTCATTTGTCAAAATTTTGGAAAAAGGCAGTGAAGATTCCTCAAGGTGTGTCTTTGGAGGATGTGTTGTCATGAGTGTTGCAATTGAAGGTGCAATTGAGATTTGACTTCACCATGGAAGACCACTTGCGTTTCCATCACAAGCTGTTGCCCAGTCGTACGTGGATGAGAAGAGTTTCCCAAATATAGGTGCAGGCAGCAGAAGAGTAACCCAGTAGGAGGCGCCCAAATTACGAGATTAAGGGAGAAGGGTTCGTTTGAAAGATAATCTGAATAGAGCTCTACCTTCTGAGCTGTATTGGTGGAATGCTGTTACCATATCTAGAATTGCGTAGATTTTGAAGCCTGATCATACCGGCACACAAACTATACTAGAAAGCTTCTACAGTAATGCATCATACAAGGCCCCCGCCGGGGTTTGCTATGTTTTCCAATTCAGGCTGTTGATTTCCTCATTGTTCCTTGCCATTACAGTTTTATGGAGAATACCCACGTGGCATATTCGTGAAATATGCGGTAGTGTATTGTTGAGGCAGTCGATGTGAGGCAAATTGTAGCGGTGTTAGTGTTTTGACCATCTGTGCTCATTTTGTTTAACGTTTTTGACAGACTTTCACTCGTTTTGCCCCCCAAAAATGATCTTGCTCGCAATACTTTGCAGAAAGATTGAGTTTTTTTTTTTGGTTTTTTCTTTCTTTTCAATATCCTATTCAGTTTGTTCATGGGACCAACAATCTCGTCATCCACTAAGTAACTTTTTTTTGTGGACCAGCAAGGGTATTTATCAGTTTAGATGTAATATAAAGTGTCGAATTGTATTGTGTAGATTGTGCTTGATTGTAGAATTGTAACTTTGGAACTACTCTGTACAAATGAGAGTGGCTTCAGGCAATTAAGGACACCCCCATATCGCCCATGCACATCTCCCCCTACCTTCTTCTACATTCTAGTACGCTAACAAAATACACTGTAAGCTTTAAGTCAAATAAACCAGACTTCTATATCAACCACATCACTTTTCATGTTCCTTAACCATCGTATCCTTTGTCTCTCTATACAATTTAATAGTGCTCAACGTAGAAGCAGCAATTCCCATCCATATTTGCCAAGTCTGGAACGGCAAAGCAATGCTGAATACACTATAAGTATTGAATCCCAAATCAGCCAACAACTTGTAAATATCGATCCAACAATTTGTCTTTTTAAACATTATATCCTTCAATTTCGACTCATCTTCACTGTTGGATGATGAATTATACGTCGATGAAGTCAAATTGAGTATATCGGCACCTCCGAGTAATTGTTTAGATAGTATTTTGGCCTTGTTACGCACTTGGATGGCAATCTTCAAATCCATTTCCTGTTGGGTCAAATTGGTCAATGTTTCATACGCATTGTACAAGGCTAGCCATGATTCGCAGTACCATGCATACGACTCATGCTTAGTGACAAATGTCTTGTAAGTTCCAGACGTTAAAAATTTTAGTTTGTAAAGCAAGATTGATTCGTCATTGACTCCGTAATACAAGCTGAAAATTTGACTCAAGGTTGATCTATTGAAAAGTTCGCGTTCGTTGATTTGTAGCATCTTATTCTTGAAGTTGATGTTGGTCTTGAACTTGACTAGCAAATCCCTTATTCTGAATGGTGTTTTACCAAATCGAAGAAATTGTCGATACATGGATAGCCCATTAATCATTCCAGCAAAACGAGTCGTGAATGTAGAACACACAATAATGGCAATAATTTTGATAAAATCAGCAGGATGCTTGATAAAATTTTTCAACAATTCCAATTGTTTTGTCGAATCATCATACCTCAATTTGATAGTAGCAATATTGACTTTGTCATCAGACAAGTAATCCTGGGCTTGCGTTGCATGAAACACCAATAATCGTAATGTGTATTGTCCAACTTTAGCCATCTTGTCCTTGCCCACAATGTTATTCAACATGGCCCAAAATATCTTCCAATTGCTAATTTTTGGCGGTTTTGGTGGAATTGTGGATGCTGTAGAGGAGGCTTGTGATAACGACTCAGCTTTATCAATTTTTTGTGTATCATCATGGTGCAATGGGATACTATTGTAAGCAAAGTCGTTTTTTGACTTCAGTGGAGTCTCATACCTGATATTTGACCCCGTTGCCATCGCTGTTGTTGTTGACATCTTCACTTGATCCTCTAAAATTTTGGAGATGTTTTCGGGAGAGTTCTGTGCTGATTCTATCCACTCAGAGTTGAAAGCTTGTGGTGGTGGTTGTGAATATAGTTTAGACGATGGGTAAAGTGGAGATTGTCTCAGTCTGTGTTTATTCACTTGTGATATTGAGTGAAGGTGGTGGTGCTGGTTATCTAGCAGTTGGGGATGCAGCTCTTGTTGTGGGTGCTGTGGATGCAGAGCTTGTTGTGGGTGCTGTAGTTGTGGCGATTCCTCCAGCTGTGTGTTTACCCTTGCTGTATTTTGTGGTTGAGTGTGGTGAATACCTTGTTCGAAATCCAGCCCTTGATGATCAATATGAGATGGTCTTCTATCGTATACCAGCGATTGTTGTTTGTAATAGTGTGAGTGTTCAATAGGCGCTTGATTCAACAATGGGCTAATGGACGAATCTATCTCATTCATTGTAGGAAAAAAAAAAGGAGGGGTGAAATAAAAATTTGGATAAAAACAGATGGAAAAAAAAATTAAAAAAAATACTTAAAGTATCAAAATACGAATGAAAATTGTAATGTAGTAGTGGGGGTATTACGTGGGCTTTGATTATTAGTCGTTACCACTTCCTTTGTCGTAGTTTGTTCTTGTGGTGTATTGTTGTTGTTGATGTTATTATTGTGTGTAATTCTAGCGCTTATTTTTTTGTTTCTTTTTTGTTGGAGAGAAATTTTTTCTTCTTCTTCTTCTTCTTCCGATTTTGGCTGTTGATATTTCCTTAGTAAAACTCTACTTGACACATCATCTTATATACAGCTCAAACTAAGCACCTCTGACTACCTACATGCCATGATTTGACTCTCGTTTTACATAGCTTTTGAGGCACTCTGACTCCGGAAAGTGAATGGTTGCTCGATATCCGCAAAAGATTTTAAGTGGCCCCAATGCACCATCACCACGTTTTGTGTCAGATTAATCAAACAAAAAGAAAAAAGTCACATCGTTACATTTTCATACTATTAGAGATGTGACTTGGCTTTCCTTCAAAGTGTACCTACGTAACATCTCCCTCTCCCTCGCTAAATACTCATTAGCCACAAAACATTGTCCCTCTTATTTACAGAGTAAGTTTACCAAGAGACCCTGTGCCCTTTGATTTGAGTTGAGCAGCGTCAAATTCAGTGACGTTGCGAAACTGGTCTGAATACACGTAAGATTTTGTGCCTAGCGCTAGTAACATAGAATAAGAGTACGTCCACTCTGCCTGATGCCTTTTGAGAGAGCTTCTCCTACTCCGTTCTCTATTTCGAGGCAAACACATTCTTGTTGAGGGAAGAAGTGAACTACGTATATGCGTGCGCCTTCTCCGCATTTCAGAAAAGGGGACATGAGCTCTGGCAAAAAGCCGAGGGTTTTGTATTTCGAAACCGGATCAAAGGGGAAGAAGAAATTGTATTTTTCTCTCAACCGACATAGATCTAGACACCTCTAACTACTTCGCATATACCTCCACATTTTCAACACCCAATGGGTCAAAATAGGGAAACTCTTCATAATTCGGGATTAGATAAAATTCATCAACGACAAGATGATACAATCTCCGTTCCATCTCATCATTCAACCCCACTTTCTCATGATACCACAAGACATAATCTCGCCAAAGATTATGTTCCTTGTACATTTGAAACCTGGCAATAAAACATAAACCGGCATAAATGAACAATATCTTCAATGCAAATGGATGTTTGGCATACAGCAAAACACGAAACTGTTCGGGTATAACCATCAAGAAGCGGAATAAAGGTATGGGGAATTTGTAATAGCCACACCCGAAAAGGGCCTTGGTTAGACAATCTAGCGTTAATAAGAACATTTGGTATTGCAGGGATTCGAAATTGAAAACCATTGGTTCCCCCATTGTGGATGATGACGTTGAAGAATCATCTTGGTATTCATACAATGTTTTCAAAAGGTACTTGATTATAGGGTACCCGCATTGCTTTAAAGGGGGACTGTATATCTCTTTGCTTACTCGAAAAAATAGCAATCCGCTTAAATCAGACTCGAGTACTGTACTTGCGCAATTGAGAAGTACTTCTCTTGAACCACGAGCAATTGAAATCAAATCAGTCTCTTCATCCTCGTCCACATCCTCGGCCCCACACTCTTTCGCCTCTTTTGCTCCGTTTCCATTGTTGAAACTAATTAATTTGATCAACCCATGTGGTTGTACTCCCAAAAATGAAAAAATCAAAATACTCGATACCGTCAACTCCTTCGCCGTCAACGGATCAGTAAATGAGCCCGTAGCATGTACTTCATCAATTCGTTCTTGAGCCTTAGCTAGCGTTTTAAGGAACTGTGACGTGGTCCTCATATAAATATTATTCTTTGTCAATGTGTCAAACTGTAAACTGTTGGCGTCAACAATCGATGAGGAAGACAGTATGTTGTCAATTACATCAATGGCATCACCATCTGCAACAGTATCCCCATGCCTCACCATATTTCCATCATTGTCCAAATGCAGCACATCTTCCAACGACACCAAAGTGCCCAAGGCCACAGCCGCGAATGAAAACATCAGTTGTCGTACCAAGTCACTCTCCATAAACAAATGCGGCACTTTATACTTCCATGCATTATGTATACCTTCATTAACACCAAACGAAAACAACTCGATGCAATGTCTATCGAAAAATTTCAACAATCGTAATTCAAACCTCAGAATACCCAACATTGAAGAAGCTTGATTCAACATTAGACTGCGAGTGAGGAAATCAACGTGCGTGGGAGTCTCATACGTGTCTCTGTCAAGCAAGAGTGTTTTGGTTCGTGGTGAGAGTTGACCACTGAATAATATCAGTGATGGTGATCTGTATTCATCAAATGCCGGTGATATAGGCGCTGAGCTCAGGGTGGTGGTGTTGTATAACTCTAGTATTTCGGAGTATGGAGTGGCCGTTGTAGTTGCCGTTGCCGTTGCCGTGGCTGTGGCTGTGGCTGTAGCAGTACCCGATGAATCCATCTCTTCAATAAACCCTGATGAACTCTTGGCACAAGAGTTTGTCTTTGATTGCGATTGACTCTTTGGTGCAGTAGTAGCAGAAGCATACACGCATTTCCTATGTGTGTGAATGCAATACTCACAGGCCGGTTTGCCCTCATTGCACTATAAGTTGTACGTTTAGTATGCAAAATACACTTTGTCGATGGTATATTGATGATCGTGACGTACTTTGATTCTCAATTGTTTGCAACTCAAGCAACCATTTCTGGAACGCTTCTTCCTTGGTTGATCAATCATTGACATGATATTTGAATATCTTTTGGTGAAAAAAAGAGTTCTCTGTTGAAATTTTAAGCCGTTTGCATTCTTTAAAATGGCGCTGTTTAGTGGTGGTAGTTATATTTAGACTGGTTTGTTTAGAATAGAGTGTTTATTACCTAATGAAAGGTTTTTATTTAGTTTTGGTGTATTGTTGGTGGCTTATGCATTGTATAACAACAACAGTCACACTGTAAAGGAACTGAAATTGTAACACAAAACTCAAATGCACAAATTTAACTTATACGATCTTTATTTACATCTGAGTCATAAGAACCCACCCAGGACTTTGCTCTAAAATTGTACTACATTCGTTCTTGCATCTGTATACATCTTTGACCCAAAACATGTGCTTCAAGTAAATACATAGTATCAATAAATAAACAACTTAAAGCTGACGAAGTATATATCTAGATGACACCAACTCAATACTTTCAAAGTATCCCATAAATAACATCATACTCAATCTATCTCTCTCTCTCCCTCTCTCTATTTATATATGTATATTGATCCTCTAACTTTCGTTTCTCTAGTAGCTAGCCCCTCCCCACCCCCCTTTCCCATTCGCTTTTTTATGAAAGTCTGTCTTGTGTCTTTTGGCCCACTCTCTGACTTTGTTTCTGTTGCTGTGTCTTGCCATTTTCTTCCACGGCAGGGCCCATCATAAACGCACCAACACTACCCAAATACCCCTCATGCCTCAAAAAGTAACTTTGCATATCACCTTTCGACCAGAAATTAACTGCATAACTCAAAGTATGAATAGTTTGCATGTGTCCCAGAATATACAGTCCACCAAAATATACCCGTTTCAAATTGAATCTCAATGCGTGCAAGTAGGCAATCTGTCCGATATTATTACTGACACTAAACAACAAGCTCCGTGCAATATCCTCTTGTTTAAACTGTGACAATCTTTCAGCGGTGGTCATTGGCTTATTATTGAATCGCAATTTCTTAAACACTTTAGCAAATGACGAAGCAATATGGTTCGCTTTCAAGCCAATCTTGTTGTAATTCAGTCCATAGATATCCCCAACTAACAAATCAATATTTTCGTTATCTCCCTGCAGGGCCATCTCCAACATCTCATTATAATCTTTCGCATCAGTTAGTAATGAAAGTAACCCCCACAACGTACCACCACCTAAGGAGCTACCTCCAATTCTTTCAAATCCATCGGGCCCTGCTTTAGTCACTTTAATCATGGAAACACCTGAACCTATATTGACCAATAAGTATGGGTAAATCTCTTGCTCTGATTGTAATGGCTGGAATCGGGTGCATTGGTCATTTAAATCGTAAACAAAGATTTCTTGAGGGATCTTGGTGATAAGCCAATCAAGCCCCTTTATCAAACACTCCATTTCATCCTTGGCTATAATTTTCATGGGTAGTTTGCGCTTTCTAAATGTTTTGGTCATTAAATTGTAGAATTTATGAGCTCCGCCACCAGTTGCCATAATGTACGTTATAGGAGGACGTGAATTGGTTTGTGAGATTGATTTCGTGATCAAATGGATCATGAACCTCAATGCTTCAGCTTTGAAATTCTCAGTTTGGAAATCTTTGAAATGCAACTTACCTCCAGTTGCTCTATGTTTTGAAGAATGTGGTGTAGATGTTGATGATGAAGAAGAGGACAGCGAGGATGTGCTAAAGTACACCAATTTGGTCAATGTTCCACCAATATCTACCGATATGTGTATAATCTCATCATTATGTTTGGGCAAGTTGATATTGTTCTTGGTGATGACCCCGTTTCGAGCGCGGCTATCATCTTCTTCAGCTAAACTCTCCCCTAATTCGTCATCTTCCAAATCTGATGAAGTACTGGATGAGGGTGGTGTCAGTGTGTTTGACGATGATGGTGACGATGTGCTGTTGTCGTCTGCTATCGAGCCTCTCAACAAATCGTCATTGGCTATGTATGCTCCACTACAATCAATTCTGATGGTTCCAGGATCAGCAGATTGTAGATCTATATCCTCATGAGATACACTAAGCCTGTGTCTTCGGTGGATGGTAAGTGACGAAGGTGGAACAGATGCATCTTCACCAGTGGATACAGTTGTGGCCGTTGCAGCGGTAGACCCTTTTCCTTTCGATGTGAATGGACTGGTAAACTCTATATTATGTACAGTAGTAGTAGTAGTAGTAGTAGTAGTATTGGAAGCAGTGGCTGTAGTTGTAGCATTGGTGCCATTGGAATTTGATATGGTCGTTTGACTGATATTTTCATGATGACTATTTAGTATATTGGGATTAGGGGTTGTGGAGTTGCTGCTATTGCTGTCACGGCGTCTATGGCTAACCTGATCAACAGATTGCATAGTTAGGTGAGATTAATGCGAGGTGTTTGGAGTAGACGGATTAATGGATGGGATGATTGTATTGTCAAAATGTATCGTTTGTTATTTTCTAGACTGTTGTAGTGGTGTTGATTCTTGGCTTGTTTTGTGAGGTAGGGACTGGATGGATGGATGGGTGGATGACAAGTATGAAACACGTCTTTTGATAGTAAATAACTGACAGTTGAAGGTAAGATTTATGAGTTGTTATATATGTAAAGTATGAAAAATTAGTAGAGAAAAGAAAAATATCTCGACCGATACTTTAAAAGAGTGGGGCCGGTTGTGCATACAAGAGACCACAAGAAACGCTTATTTTATTTTTTGTTGAGTAAGATTTTAATCTCTGTTCTTATACGATGAGATAGAGAATAAACTAGTTGAGTGAGTATAAATTGTATATAAAAGAGCGGTAGTAGTGTAGAGATAGTAGTGTAATCAATTGCTTAGTAAGCTCACCTTCCCAGGAAACGCTTTAGGGTTTAGGGGAAGAAAAGTGAAGAGATATACGGAGATACCGTATACTGCTTATACGCATTTTGTTTCCGTCAAACTTCCTCTCACTCACTCACTCACTCACTCACTCACTCACTCACTCACTCACTCACTATCTATCTATCTACTTTAACCTAGATCTACCCTTACCTCGCCATAACGAATTAGAGTAGATATCAATTTCGGGTTTTTATACTTTCGTATTTTTTTTTTTTTTTTTGTTGAGCAGCTCTACATTAGTCGCAGTCGGATTTTCCATTCAACCGCTGGACAGTAAAAGACAGTATTCAAACAGAATTATCTTACTCTGCATTAGAGACCAACCAAAACTCAATAATTAATCAATCCAACACGGTAGCTTATGAATTGTGTGCATCACCAGGTTACACTTGCTTGACTCCGCCTCTGTTTTCCTTTGACCCCTTTGCACAACCCGCACCGGATATTTTATCCTCGGAATAAACGCACCACCATCTATTCACGTAAACCCTATTTTCTGAGAAAAGAATTCCCTCACAATTACTTCCAAAGAAGGATTGTTGTTGTATGAATTGTTTGATCATTTCCCTCTCAACCGTGCATTGCCGTAATTTACGTCGTTCCTCCCTTCCTCTCGTCGGGCTGAAGATATATTCATTTCGCGTTTGTTTCCCAAAGAAGGAATCGCCGACAATAAACCCAGCTTAACCTATCTCGTCGTGAAATCATAATATTCCTATCTAAAACCATCTATACGTAAAAAAAAAAAAGAAAGAAAAGAAAAAAGAAAACCAGCTTTTTTGTAATGGGTGAAGGAACTGAATTAGATATAACAAATGGAAGAGTGATTAAGGGCAAGTTTATCCATTTGGCAGCTTTTTTAGCAAATAGCATCTTCATTGCATTTTGTGAAAAGAAAAAAAAAAGGAAAGCAAAAATATCAATAACCAGATTGATAATTAATCAAGCAGCCAGCAGAGCAACCTCAACTTCCAAAGCTTGCTTTCTCAAATATCCCAAACGATTTCATTATTCCTGATCAAATTCAAGATGTTTATAGCCAAAATGTCATCCTCAATCTCATTTACATTTGCATCGATAGCTCCATCACCATCATTGCTGCAATTGATATATGCTTCATTTGTCACGCAAACGTCAATGGTGTTGGTCTTGGAATGAGTTAAGGATACTGGTGTGTTGGGTGTGGAATTGTATGTTTTGTTGGTGTTGGTGGTGGCAAAACTGGCACTTTGTGTCATATTCGTGCCACCCTGCTTGAAACATCTGATTGCGGAATTGTGTCTGTTTAAAGTTGTGTTTGAGTTGTTGTTGTTGTTGTTGTTGTTGTTAGTAGTGGTGGTATGCAAATCAGAATTGGATGTCATAATACTGCTGGTACTTGATTGATGGTGGAGTTGGTGTCGCTGTGGCTTATGCCGCTGCTGCTGCTGCTGTTGCTGTTGCTGGTATATTGGATTGAATTCATGAATATCAGGTAGTGGTGGAATAATGACCTCTTCTTTGGCTTCACCAAAGAAAGAAGAAATAACATTGCTGTTGTTGTTATAGTAGTTGGCGTTGCTGTTATCGTTGGATTGGTTGATGTTGAAACCATCAAGGTTACCATCATCGTCGTCATTTTCATCTTCGGGTGTTGAATCGGTTGTGTTTGTGTATGTGAAATGATCATAATCTAGTGGTATACAAGTGTCAAATATTGACTCGTGAGCAAGGGGTGCAGTGTTGTTGTTGTTGTTGTTGTTATTGTTATTGCCTTGTTGACGTTGTTGGGTAGTTAGAGGTAGATGGAAATGAGAACCACTCTTAAACATGACACTCAGATGATTATTGATATTCTGAGCAAATTTACTAAATGAGTGTGAGATGGAATGACTTCGATACCGAATAGTAGACGATGATGAGGAAGTGGAAGAATGCAGTGACTGCTGTTGTTCTTGGTTCAACTCTGGTGTAGATTGCACAAATGACGACGTAGCAAATGTAGATGAGACAATTGATCTGGGTGATGTGTTTGTACTAGTGAATGGACTTGGTTGTAGACTTGAATAAGGTGAGGATAACGATGCAATTGAACATGGGTATGGAGTAGATGGTGATGGTGATGAGGAAAAAAATGTGGATTTGCTTCTGGTTAGTGTGTTTGTGGTTGAGATCAACTCCTTTTTGATAGACTTTAATTTGGCTCTGAATGATTTGTTGTAATTACCACTAGTACTGCTACTTGCCATCATTGCTTTGCTTGCTATCTTGGTTGGAGTTGTCTTCTTTTCTGAGATCTGCACGTGGACAAATTGTGAACCTCAGTTACAATTGATTATTAATCTTGAAGATGCAACTGTTTTTGCAATTTGAATTTTTGATGGGACGATTTCAATGTCGTATTTTCAGTTGTCTTGTCAATTGTTACAATGTTTTGACAAAGGAAAGTAAAAACAAATGACGCTCTGAGATGATGATTGATAGGCAGTCAATTGAATTGGTTAGGCATATAAAAGTAGGAACCTGTGGTAGATATATATATATATATATGGTTACATATTTGTCGAAAGATCAATGAATATGTGTCTGTATATATATATATAAATGATAAAAAACAAAAATGAGACAATCCCCAAAGAAAGACAAAAAATAAAAAAAATATGAAAAATTATAATTTTTGCGACTTAGCGTGTATGCAGGATAAATGTTTCAATAACAGAAAAAGAACATAGGGGTTTGTGTAATAATTAGCTGGTTATATTTCAACTTTGTTGATGGTCTTCTTCAATATGTCTTTTGCCGCCTTTTCATCAAAAAACACATATGTATTAGTTAGAACCAATTTTCGCTCTCTATTTCTTATACACTAATCTCTCATAACCAATTGCAAACAATTTAGACTGAGCCATTTTTGGTATATGATTGCTTCATGTCTTCCCTCTTCCCTCTTCCCTCTTCCTCTTGCCCTTGCCCTTGCCCCCGCCTTTTTTTTTCCATTCAACAGTACTTCAGTGTGTAAGGATATGTTTGTGTGCTCATACACTCCTGTGTAATGTAATGTGTCCGAACTCTTAAATCCTCTCACTTCTCGCAGCTTTTGTGTTCCTCTTGCACTGTTCAATAAAACGTCCACATTCCCAATCACATGTACTAATACCACACCCTTTTTTGCAACGTGGTTCAAAAGAGAAGCGTTCTGCTACACTCGACAAAAAAGGGTTTCACTTTCCTTAGGATGTGGCATTTCATCTTTTTCAGACTATAGGTCTTCTGATAAAACAGATCTGCTCTTTTAGATTCCGTATATTTGATCAATTACACAATTAACAATTGTCTTGTTCTGTTATCCATCACCAAAACACAATATAAATATATGTATGTATGTATGTGCGTTTGTTTGTTTGTGTGGTATAGTCAGAATTGGGTCTAGAACTCTACAAATATGGTTTTGTTCTCTTGTTTTCTGCATTTGGAAAATGTGGTCCAATTTTCTAAAAAAAAAAAGATGCCACACTTTCAACTGAACTTTTACACTTTTACGGTTGTTTTTCCTTCTTGGCTTTTACTAGTGACGAAGTGTAACAATTAACTAAATGAAACCTCCCCTTTGTCAAAGTTTGGCATAGCCTGTGATAGTTGTATCTGAGGATCTTTACTGTTTTTTTTGATCTGTGTGACTTTGTTTCGGTGTACCTTAATCAACTCCAATTGCAATCTCATTGTCTTTGTCGTATCCTTTGTTTCTGTAATGCAGTAATCACTAATTACTCTCCATCAATTGACTTCCAATCTAAGAAGATAATTCAGATTGTCTACGGCACAATTCTCACTTCCATCCCGCTCGCAAAACACATAGGGAGAATTTACATTCCTCGCAGTTATGCATTTCCTTATCTAGGCAAGTAGGTCGCAAGATGCAAGATGTAGCACATTGCCTTCATTTGCTATCACGGAGCCGTGCCTTCTGGAGGCACAAAATACATGATAAACAGTAGTACCCCTAAAGAGGAAACAATACACAAGTCCCATAACGCCTGTAAAAAAAGAAAAAAAAAAAACTTGAAAATAATGCACAATAGGGTAAAAACATCCTCTCTTGGACGTTCAACCAACTGCTCAAGCTGACCATGTTTATCCTCTCATGTTTGTTGCAATTGCAAGATTAGCTGGAGCTCCTTGTCCACGCTTGAATCTATTTCCGTACTCTTGTTTATAATTCCGTTGTTTTTAAACGGGCGGCTAAACCCGATTGGTACGCATAATGAAGTGGGGTGAAAAAATACGGTTATTAGTGACGAGGGGCAAAGGCATCAAAGTAGAATGCTAGAAACAATAGAAACAAAAGAAACAATTGAGTACAATTACAAATTAGATCAAATAAGAGAGGGGGCATAAAGGGAATTGTGACATTGAATGGTTATGAGAATTGGAACTTGTCCTGCAGAAGTTTTTAATTGAGGCGGCAAGACATTCAAAAAAAAAAAAAAAGTTGCAAGCAAATAGGAGGCGAGGGTTCACTGAAAATTAAGGTTTCAAAATATTTCAATTGTTTTCCAACTACACTTTAATCAACCTCGGTATATGAAGTTAGAGTCTTCAGGGAAGGGAATGTATTTAACTCGATATGGTGGCTTTTGTTTGATTTGATTCTCCATATTTGGTATTTGTTTACCATTGGTCTATATTGAGATAAACAGAGAGAGTCGATGGACATATGCAGCTGCAGCTGCAGCTGCTGTTGTTTGTATTGTTTACTTTATTATCTTCTAATTGGGCCTAAAAGGATTTACCATTTGTATTTACTTTTGTGTCTCACTTTTTGTATCAATAGTTTTTTTGTTATTCTCTTTGCTGAGTCTAGAACTAACCAAATCTAGTGTTTTCTCGTGCCGTTCGAGTGTTTGGTCTTGTGCACCCCCCCCTAACCAGTTATCATCCGTATACAACCTCCGGTTTCTGAAATGTCACTATCTTCTTTTCTCTTGCTAGACTCCATCAAAACAATTGCGCCTTCTTTAACTTTAAATGCACTTCTGTGGACTATGACTTGAATTTGTGTAGATTGTTACTGGTAATGATCAACCACAACTTTACTTACTTCTGTGTGAGTCAGTGTGTGTGTGTGTTTTATTTTTTTTTTTTTTGAGGGCCAAAATAAAGTACGATGGATTACAAGATCTACCATTTGCGTATGATGAATCTCTTGTTGTTGTTGTTGCATCACAATATCCTATGAAGATTACCGTTACCAATCACTGTCAAGTCACAAAATAGGGGGAGATACAAGAGAAAAAACGTACCACAGTTATCTCATAGCCCGAAATCAAGTGACTAAAAACAAAAGAAAACAAGCAAGGGGCAAGTGGATGTGGGGCACAACGGAGAAAGTCCCAATGCGTTACTCGTGTGATCAACAATGACTACGAGCCATAGTATTCCCGAAGCCGAGGATAAAGTTTTGTATTATATTAGAATTGTGGTAAATTGGAGAAACACCGACAAGATCCATATAACAATTCTGCTTGACAGTTAGAGTGCTCTGCAATTACTATAGACTTAGTCAAAATGCATCTTGATTGTATTTTACAATGCAGAGAGCAGCTGGCAGCCATTCTATATCAAACAGCGTGCCCACAAACTCTACTCAATCACGTGCACGGTGATACACGTCCGTTTTTTGTTGTTTATTTCTCAATTTCCTTGCGTTGAGTCGTGTACTGAGTATATTTTTTTCCTTCCAATTTTTCTTTGGTACAGACACGCGCGCCAATATTTTTATTTCACCCACCAGGTCCAAATACTAATTTATTTGCTAGTAGCACTCTTTTCTCTTGGTGAGATGAATTTGTGGGCTACAAAATGCCTTTGGGAAATAGTCAACAGTCATGACATGTAAAGCTATGCCCAAAGTGCTTCTCTTTCAGCAAGTATAAAGCTATATGCAGCGTAAAATAGTGCAGAACACGGTGCCTGCACCCACGATCACGAGATGCAATCAGTCAATATAGTGTTAAACATAAGCTGCATAGAGTACAGTAGAGGGGGTGCTGTTGTAAAGTAGACTGTCTGGTAAGCACAGAATTAGGAGAAAGCCTGATGTTTTGAAGCATTATGAATTCTACTGGATGTAGAATATAATTGTTGAAGGAAGTGTAACGATAAAGAGCCAAATTAAACTATAACGAACTATTGTAGTTGTAGGTATTTATAACACTGTTCTATTCTCTATTGAATTAGCTGTATGTAGTATTTTGTTCTATGTCAATAGGAAGTATATTGGTTGAGTTGTTGGTGAATAAACAATTGATGAAAATTGATTGCAAAGAGAGAGAAAAATGTATTAAAAATGAAGTGAGTATTGGTGTTGTGTCGGTTATTTATTGTTTTTATTTCTTTCTCTCTTCTTTCTCGTGGGTTTTGTGTCACATCAAATATACATTCCAAAAAATTAAAAAAAAATTAAAATTTGAAAAGAAGAAAAGGAAGACATTCGACAACAACAACTACAACAACAACAACGACAACAACGACAACAACGACAACAACGACAACAACTACTACAACTACTACTACAACAACAATGCTGTGTATAGTCTTCTTCATCTTCTTTTTAAATTTTTAATTTTTTTAATTTTTTTATTTTTATTTTTTTCCCACTCTAAACACCCAAGTGAACATCTCACTTTTCACACGTTTACCAAAGAATGACCCAACTCTTCTTATACTTGGGTCTCGTAGGTACACTCTGACTGTCTGCATCTACTGTCAAGGTTAGCTGCCTTGAGTATGCGCGCGAATATCCCTTCTTTTCACTTTTGCAGCAAAAATAATCATTACGCAACAACGTAACTTAAAAACAAATATTGAGGACGCATATAGACAGAGAAAAAAAAATTAAAAAATTAAAAAATAAAAAATAAAAATTAGTAGTAGTTAGTATTTGTATAGCAATATGGAAGAAGAACAAGAACAAGAACAGAGAAAAACCTTTTCCAGTTTTCCCAAAATTCCAAACAAATAAAATTTAAACCTTTTTTCTTCCATCTCCAACCCATATCATTGCCTTCCAAATCTTATCTCATCATACTCCAACTGTATCATACTACTACACTCTCGCCTAATCACATCACGATCAAAATCAAAAGTTAAACTTATCATCAACATCCAATACCACCACCACACATATTAGACTATTGATCTTCACACAATTATGGTCTTGTACAAGCGAAAGCAAGTTCCATTTGTTCCTCCTCCTCCGACCCCTTGTGACCCATCGACTCAAGTGTGGGTCATACCAAACACTAAAGAGTGGTTTCTCTCTTATGAGGAGTTTCTAGATCGGATGGATTTCTACAATAGGAGGAAATTTGTATGTGAAATCACAGGTAACTCATGCCTCACTTATTTTGAAGCATTACAAAGTGAAGCCAATGAACGCAAAGAGGTTGATCGCAATTTCCCCGAAAATTTACGCGAACATATACTACGATACTTGCAATTTGATCGCACATCGAGATTGGACCAGTTGATTGACAAAGTGTACCTGGCTTTCAAAAGCGACTACTTTCCTGGTGAAGTTGTTTATCTCAAAGGATTGGATCCAAGTAATCAAACTCTCAAATCCCGCGGAGTTATTCGGGAAAAAGTTCAGTATGCCAAGGAGCCTACAAAGTACCTCGTTGTACGATCTCATGATAATCACCAGGCTATTGTAACTGGTGAAAACATTGTTCGAGACAGGAACCACTTCACTAAATGGTTGATCAAGACATTTATCAAGTTAACAATGTCACGTTCACACAAACTTGGAGCTCCATGGGTGGTTAAGGCAGCTTATGCCAAACAGTATGGTATTCCAACTACGTATCCAGAACATTTGCGTTGTTTCATTGACTCAACTCCAACTGGTGAACCCACTTATATCCAACCAAAAAAGAAAAGGATCGATTCAGAATTTAAGCAAGAATTGAGAATTAGACCTAAAACCGCTACACCTGTTGTAGCAAATGACATGGAATCTACGCGATCAGTTTCACCAAGTGGTGGTATTCTTTTGGACAAAAAGAAGCAGAAGTTGAAGGAAGAGGTGAAACGAGGCTCACCATCAGTGGAGCAGTTACCTTTTAGGAAAAAGTTTCCTATTCATCATGTCCCTCTGGCCGTATTGAACGATTTGGAGGATGCCGAAGCCTCTAGTAATGAACACAACAAAACCTTGTTTCTGCAGCCGACTAAGAAAACAATTGTGGATGATTTGAGTATAAAATTTGATATTCAAAATGAAAAACCAATGCCAAAAATATTGACTATTGAGAAGCAGGAAGAAGATGGACATGATCACTCTTCAAAGAATGTGGATGGCTCAGATGGCACGATTGACAAAACCAAGGAGGAAAGGGTGCCATTGAAAGCGGCGCAACAAGCACTTCAAGTGTGGGCGTTTGTGAATGTATACCACAACGTGTTGAATATCGACACATTCACCTTTGACGACTTTATCACTTCGTTGAATTACAATTTAAATACTCCAAAGCTGAGATCAACCATGGTGGATGAGATTTATTGCTCATTGCTATGCAAGATAGTGTCCAATGAGATGCCAAGTGCGAAAAATGCAAAAGAAGCTGAATCAAAGGATGTGATTTACGGTTTAAATATCACTGTACCGGAAGAACTTGAGGAAGATGTTACTGAAGCTGAGCAGGAGGAGGAAGGAAACGGTAAAACAGATGCAACAGTCGAAAAGGAGTCAAATGGACTGGATTCTCATCGAAACGAAACAAATGAAGACAGAGGCTCTGATAGTGAGTCCGAGCACAAGCCTTTAAAAGTTGAGGATGATGGTAGTGAAGTAGAAGAGGATGAAAATGGAACAGTAAAGCAAGAAAATGGAGCTGACGAGGAAGCCCAATCTGAAGAAGAAGAAGAAGAAGAAAAAGAAGAAGAAGAAAAAGAAGAGGTGGATCATAATGCTTACGACTATCTCAACTACAGAGGTACTGCATGGCACAACAGGTTGAGGAAGCGAAATTTCAAGGATGGGAATTGGCAAATTATCCTCATTGGAGTATTATCGTTGGTTGAGCATGTACCAAAGTATAACAAAGTGGTTCAGGACATATTCAAAGCGTTGGCACCAATTGGCGAACCGGTTTCGGCGTCTGCCTTGAGAGCAAACTTTTACGAGCATCTTGATATCAACTTGAAACTCCATTCTTTGTGCATCTTAACTGACTTGCTTATTACGAGCCCCTTGGTGAGAAACTATATTGAGGAAAGTTTGGAAGAACAAACAAGTTTAAGAAGAACAAGGTTGGAGAATATCAAAGAATACAGGGCCAATCTCGATACGGCACACAAAGCGCAGAAGCAAATAGTCGAGGCTGTGCCACCAGTGGTTGATGATACGCCTGATTCACAAACCGACCAAAACGCAACAACGGGAAAGCAGTTTGAGCATGGTTTACACCTGCAGAAAAGCATTGAAATGTCTCAAAGTGAACGTGAATATGCCTCCACTCATCCCGAATTTGCCGAGCAATGTGAATTGCGCAGGAATGCGTTGCTTAAACTCGATGAAATCAAAAGAAATAAGAAATTGATTGAACAAAAATTGAATGAATTTGACTGCCAGCGGATAAAACTCTTGGGGAAGGATCGTTTGTTTAACCGGTATTGGTGGTTTGAAAACAATGGAATGCCTACTTTACACAAAGGATCGGCGAATGAGGATGAAGACGATGATGAGGATGACGAGGAGAAGAGGGAAAAGGAGAAGGAGAAGGAGAAGGAGGATGAGGACGAGCAAGACGAGGAAGTTGATGATGTTCACGATGAAACGTATCTCATGGGTCGATTGTGGGTCCAGGGACCTTGCGATACCGATATCATCTTCAACTTCAAAAGGGAAGTTGAGGAAATTAGACTGTTTGTAGAATCAATGACTGCCGATAGTGATGAGGTACTGGCAGATACTAGTGAAGTGAAGGACGACCCAATCAAGGAGGAATCAGTGGAAGATCAACCAAATGACACAATAAAAGCGGATCCAGATGCAACTGAAGAAGTGACACGGAAAAAGACTCAAATTAAACGAATGGATTTCACGCATTTGTCTTCAACGTTTAAACAATCAGTCGAACTGCTCTGTCAGTTGAGATTTACCGATAGAGAGATTTGCTCCACCAATGGCAAACTTCTTGTCGATCAAGAAGGTGCTTTGCAAGTGCCACTCAATGAAATAAGCCACATTCAACGAAAATTCATTGAAGAGTACTACGCCCCTATTTTGAACAGTTCCTCATGGCGGTACTATGATGAGCCAGAAGATATCAACAAGTTGATGTCGTGGTTGAACCCCTGGGGCAAGCGAGAATCAGCATTGCGTAAGGAATTATTCTTGGTTAAAGATGCAATAACATCAAGTATGGAAGCTAGGCAGAAGGCACTTTGTCTCAATGGGAATCCAAGTCCCCAGGAACAACAGCTACAAGATGAACTCAAACAATTACAAACCAGATTGAATGAAATTGAGCAGGGTAATCAAAAGGAGAATACCGACCCCGATGTGAATGACCCTATCGATGGGGATGCTGCTGATGACCTTGTCCAAATTGGCTCTAAACGAAGATCAAGAGCGAGAAGAGCTAGTCCGCCAGTGCGTAAAAAGCCAAGACTTGACACTGTGCAAGATGTAATCAAGTATGGTGAAGTTTCCGACATCAAGAATAAAATCGAGGAACTAGAGCGAGAAGTAGCTGAGAGTAAACGAGATGTCGAGATTAACCGGGTTTGCGAATGGGTGAATTCGAAAGCATTGGATTTGTTTGGCAAATCGATTTTTGAAGGAGGTGATAGAGTAAAGAAATCAAAACGTAAATAGCAGCCATTTCCCATGAGGACATTAAATGGATATTAGAAAAGTTATATACAAATCATATACCTGCTATTTGTTTTTTTTTTTTTTCCACATTCAGTACCTCCTCTGTCTACTTCTACTAGCAATCTCCCGAATCTTTTCCTCTCGCAGCCTCTGCTCATTCATTTCCAACTGTTGTCGAAGTTCATTACGACGCGTAATATCCTCTCTCGCTTTAACTTCAGCCTGGTTCAACGCTTGATTCAAAGCACTAAACTTTTCAATATTCAACAGACTTCCACCTTCACTTCCAACAGAAGCGGATGCCTCACTACCCGCAGCAGCACCAATGACCCGCTTCTCTAACGATATAGTAAACCCGGAATTATTCTTCCAGTTGGAAATCGCAGCGGGGATGTTCCATTTTTGTCGATCTTCTTTTGTCACCTTGGCTGATTTCTTCAAAATGGGGCCTACTTCTCGTTCTTGATCGTGGCGTTCGTGTCGGTTTTTGCGGAGTTTGTGTTTTGGTGGGAGTAATGGGTCTTCTTGCATCGTTTCGATTTGGATGATTCTTCCATCACCATCACCATCACCACCACTACTATCATCGTGAGCCTCAGCAACAGAGGAGGTCGTAAGTGGGGAGATCGTATTCTCCGCGTTTCCGCGTATAGTCAACTGTGTTGATGCATTGTCTGTATAGTTTATGTAAGTTGTTTGTTCCTTCCTTTGTGTTCCTAACTTGGCCTCAAGAAGTGCCGTCAATATATTTCGAGTTTCTTCAATCACAGCAGTGTCAGGTGGTGGTCGCGGAAAGTCATGAACCAAGTTGGGGAATCTGACTTTGAGAGGAATTGTAGCGTCATACGTTTTGGTAGAGTCACTGGCGCTGGTGCGATATGAATTGTCTAGTTTGTTGTTGGTGACGATGGTTGAGCTTTCATCATGTAGGACAAGAGCTTGTGAGGTATTATTTGATGGAGTTGATTGCGAGTGAATTCTATAGTGGAGTTGAGGATTGTAGTTTGAGTGTTTTGGACGCGGTAGTAGTGAGCTAAACATGATATATTGGGATTGGTTTAGGGAATGTCGATAGTATGGAGCTTCTACTGTTTTGGTGTGGTATTTCTCTCTCGATGACTTCTTATTAATGTGTCGCGGGTCAGTAAAATGCGACAAGCTAAAGAAAAGCAAAAGCGGATTCATGTGGGGAAGAGAGGCTCTACTATTCCAAATAACTACGTGGTAGGATTATGAATGACGATGCCGCTAGTATTAGATAGAGGCACTATCTGTATGGACCAGTACACTTTATAAAAGAAATGCGCAGAGGAATGCTACGTGTTGTTGAATAACGTTGAGGAAGTACTTCCCAATCCGGAAATTGAGAGATGCGCTATTTCCTCTCCTCTTTTTGAAATGTTTGCAACATCAGATGTGAGATGTGCAGATATGTCTTGCGCCTTGACTAAAAATGCACCACCTGGTGGTATTTATAACAACCCTGTGTCCCTTTTCATTTGCTTTTGCAGAATTGCTAATGAATGATCAAGGTACTGGTACTTTTATTGAATATGTCCACAACAACAATCAAATCTAACATGCATTTAAAACAACAAACTGCCGTTTCTCACATTCGTCAACTAACCTATGACGACGTTGCCAAAGCTGCAATCACTTTGCTAGATGCATTCAAAGAGGATCCGTTATCGAAATACTTGGTTAGTCATGTAAACGACACTACAAGACGCACGCAATGTGAATTGGCCCTATACGAAGCGTATTTACGACAACACATGACCAAAGGACTAGTGTTTGGCCAAGGCGAAACGAAGCTGCTGTTCGAAACTGTCAGTATTTGGGCCACTCCAACTAGTTGTGAACAGGGATTGGACTCATTTAGTCATTTAATGGAGTCGGGGTACGATAAAGTGTGGGATGTATTCGGTATTGAAGGAAGAGATAAAGTATTTCAGGGTTTGTTGCCACTTTTGCATGATAGCTTTGATAGGATTATGACGCATGATCGAAGCTTTAGAGGCAAGGATGTGTATACATTGGTTTATGTGGGCTCAACTGCTGCTGCTCGTGGTAAAGGAAATTTGCGCAAATTGTTTGAGTTTATGTTTGACAACTACATTGATTGTGGTGCAGGTACATTAACTTATTTGGAAAGTTCATCCCCTTCCAACATTCCCATCTATGAGCGATTTGATTTCCACGTGGTGGAGAAAATTGTATTGGGTGAGGAGACTGGTGTTGAGGGGAAAAACTGCGCTGTGATGCATGTAATGGTCAGAGGCATCAGAGGCGATGACTGGACAAAGGAAAGTTGTAGGCTATAAATAAGTGTGTTTAAAGTAGTTATATACAAGGGGGGAGTTAGGCATTCACAAAGTAGGCTGTTCATCTGCTTATTCGTCCATTGACAAGACGGATTTTTGAGATGGTAAAGTCATACCAGCAAACTCCTCCTTTGTCTTTTGTTTGATCAATTCTTCTTGTTGTTTGGAAATTGGCTGCACTACTTGATCAGGAGGCACAAATTTAAACTTTCCAAATCCAAATGCTCTATCGGTCATTTTATTCAACACATACAATTGTGATCTGACATACACCAACAAAGCCTCCACGTGTCTTATATCGACATTGTCATTGGCATTGAATACGTTTCTCCATAATGCCGCAGCTAAAGTGATATCATCAGTCATCAATCCTTCATCGTAACTCAAAACACTTCCTAATAACTGAGTATGGTAATCCTTCAAATATCCTTCAACCAATCTTCCTGATTTTATGCCCAATTCAGTTGTCATTCTAGACAGCAAGTCTTCAAATATACGATCAACTAATTTCTGTTGGTACTGTTTAGCATATTTGAAAGGTAGAGCTCTCATTCTCACTGAAAGGATCCAATAGTGTAGAATAGTAATTTGAACTTGTTGCGAAAATGAAATTGGTAATCCCAAAGTTTGAAAATAGAATCTTGCAGTATCACTCATTGGCTCATCTGGATATACCAAAGCTTGTCTTTTACATTCACCAAAATAGATCCCACCTGCAACGGGTCCACTTCTAGATTTATCCATATCAACCGAAAATGTAGACACGATCCATTGACCGATTTTTTCTTTGAATGACGATAGTCTTGCATTATTTGGATCATCTTCCGCTTTTGACAAAAACGGAGCTTTCGCTTTTGGTTGGCGCGGCTTGATTTTCAAGTCTTGTTCTATTACAGGCAAGTGTGATTCCTGAGCCATATTGGTGGGGGATTCAACCGCATCTTGTTCTACTCTATGCTTATCGAGGATGGAGTTTCTGACATGAAATTGGACTCTAGAGGTTTGTGATATGAGCCTGATTGGTGTGTAAGCCAACTTTGCGTGGCTCCTGAGCATGTTTTGAAAAGGGTTTGGTAATAAAGTTGTTGTTACTCCATCTGTAGCATAGGCGTATTGTCATTTTTTTTTTTTTCTTTTTCTTTTTCTTTTTCTTTTTCTTTTTTTTTTTCATCCATTGTGAGAGCGTTGGTGGAAGGAAAGAAAAAAAAAAACAAAAAAAAATAAAGAAAATTAGTTCACTGAACAACAAGAGGTGGACAGTATACCAAACCATGAGCAAGTCAATTGTTGATGCTTTCAACGGCTTAAAGATTAACGCTGACTCATCACCATCCGAGCTCAAACAGATCTATCAAGTATCATATGAGTACTTGTCGAAAGTGAAGAATTTCAACGATTTGCAATCATTCAAAAATTGCCTTGTTGCATTGATCAATTTGGACCTGTATGGACAAGCCACCAAACTTATCACCAAGGTTCCCGGAAAACTCATAGCGCCATTGATCTTGGAGATTACTTATGTCTATTACAAGATTGGGAAGACGAAGGACATTTTGCGACTTTACCAAACACACGAGACAAAAATTGAATCTAATATAGTGCAAACAGGGTTCAAGCATATCTTGGCACAAACGTATTACAAAATTGGCGAATACCAAAAGGCTTTGGAGTTGTATAAAGAGTTGATCAGTGAGCCTTTTGATTCTCAAAGTGACCTATTGGTAAATGAGCAGGCAATAATCTCACAGTTGATTTTCCAAAAAGGAGAAGCCTCGCTATTGAGATCTAGCTTGGAGTTGGACCCTCGCAATTATGACATGTTGTTTAACGAAGCCATCATTGAAGTTGCCAAAGCAAACCTCACAAAGGCTTTGCAATTGTTGCAACAAGCCCATAAGGTGTGCTCAGAGAACAACTTGAGTGACGAGGATGTTGAAACCGAATTGCTCCCCATTAATTTGACAATTGCATACGTGTATCAAATACAAGGTAAGTCAGCAGAGAGTGACGAAATTTTGTCTGGTGTCAATGCTTCCAACGTGCACGACACCTTGCTCAAGTTGATTTTGAAAAATAATATTCAATCAGAAAAGCCAATTGGTAATGCAAACTTGATTGAAAGGCAATTAAACTATCAAGAGAACATCCAAAAGGTGAAGCAAAAGATCACCGTGTTTCAATTGGAAACTATATTGAAGAACAGCTTAGTTCTAAGGTTCGCTACCGGTACCGTGTCTAATAGCCAATTAAACTCAGAATCTCTTCTGAACCTTGGATTGGTTCCAGCGGCATACAATGCTCTATCCAAAACCCGAATCAGCTATAGAGACTTGAAGGAGGCAAGGAACAAAGTAGAAGGTAAAAAATTGGTACAGTATATACAAAAGGAGACGAGATCAGACTTGAAGGAAGCTGCAATTTTGCTTTTGGTCCAAATTAATTCCCACAATGGCTCATTTGATCAGAGTTTACCATTCTTGGAAAAACTTGCAAAGGAGTCCCAGTCACAACCCAAGTTCTCCCCTGGTATTATAGGCACTCTCATGCACGTCTATGAGGCCACGCGCAGTATCAAAAAGCTCAAGACTTTGCTTACGGAGTTGACAGAGAAGTTGTTATATGCAACAGAAGAAGCCTTTAAGGATGAAAACTACTACAATTGTGCCAAGATTATTGCCATGAAGAATTACAGCTTCAACAACGACAGTTCGAAGCAATTGTTTGAATTCTTGCACAGTTCGAAACCAGATGATGAGTTGGTAAATTCTTTATTATCAAACACAAACGACAACTTGTTGCCAATTTCCGAGTTGGAATCGTCCAAATCGATTGACGATATCTTGTCTATCGACTTGAATGAGTTAATACCAACTAAAGCAAAGACAATTCAGCCAGTTATTAAAAAATCAAGCAAAATCACAAAGAAGAAGCGCGCTCCGAAATTTGGAAAAGCCAAGGTGATTAAGCCTGAGGGTGAATTTAAACTAGACGATGAAAGATGGTTGCCTTTGAAGTTGAGAAGTTATTACAAGCCCACTAAAAAGGATAAGAAGAAAATGGGTGGAGGGCACCAAGGTGCAGTAGAGGCATCGCCAGCTCCTGCAGTGCATACCTCACTGGGTAGCAGTGGCAACAAAAAGAAGAAGAAGAAAGGTAAAAAGTGATGGAAAAGTGGAGAGAGTAAATAATTCATTGATGACTATAAACGAGTTGATTGCAATATTTTTTTTTTTGCGTATGTTGTAGTATCCTTGGAACTTCTTGTTGTTGCTCGATTCACAAAGCGCGTTGACCAAATATTGGAAAGAGCAAGAAACATTTTGGCAATCTTCCTCTCAGATCTCAAGCGATTTCACCTGTAAGTTGATTAAGGAACTTGCAAAAGTCACGTTCCAAATTGCAGTTCCACTACACAGGTAACAAGATCACCATTGTTGCCAAGTACGGATTCTGCATTTGTATTATATAACTCTCTCTGTTTGTACCTGATGATATTTAGGTAATTCCCCCCCGTGCTGCAACTTTCAATGAGGAAAATAGCTATCTTCTATGCCTTTTTAGCAAACCTTTATGCATTACAAATACCACTTGTGCCACCTGAACAAGATCTGTTTTACTTGCCCCCACCTAATTTCGAATTAGCTCCATTGGGTTCCATACTTCGAGTTAGACCAACACCGAATAAACTTGTCAATATATGCTTCACGTTCGAGATAAAGCGATCCTGGCAAATATTGTATCGGTCACAGAACTCCGTAGGGAAGCCGACAGCTATTGTCATGACCATAATGGAGCCATACAATTCTCACCCGTCAAGAGTGTTGTCTTATCAAACATTTCAAGATTCGGCCAATATCAATTGCAGCCCTAGTTATGGATTTCAATATGGAGCACCACTATCGACCATCACTTCTCAGCTAGATATGAGATTCCTAGTACCGGCCCTAAAGCAGGGATACTACATAATCAGTTCCGACTATGAGGGGTTCAATTCCAGTTTTGTTGCCGGTAGACAACTGGGTAATGCAGTTTTGGATGGTGTGAGAGCAGCGTTGCAATCACAGCGTACCACGGGCATTGAATCGACGGCCAAGGTGGCCTTGTGGGGCTACTCAGGTGGTAGTATCGCCTCAGGTTGGGCTGCGTGCTTGCAACCGACTTATGCTCCCGAATTGAAGCAAAACTTGTTGGGTTGTGCATTGGGGGGTTTTGTGACAAATATAACTGCCACAGCTGAAATCACTGATGGAGGGTTCTTTGCTGGCTTGATCCCCTTGGCTCTCCATGGGTTATCAAATGAGTATCAGGAGTTTAAGAGGGTCCTCAACGAAAACATGGATCCACAACACGTTGATTTTTTCAGTCAAGGCTCGGAACGTTGTTTTGCAGGAGGTTTGCACTTTTTCAAATCCAGAAGTTTTTTTCTGGGTGTCAATCGTACTTTCCCACGTGGATTCGATTTGCTTCATGACGGCACCATTGGGAAAATCATCCAAGATAATTGTGTTTGCCACTTAGATCGGACTTTCTTACCACAGATTCCCATTTTCCTTTACCATGGGTTGTTTGATGAGGTTGTGCCAATACTTGGGCCACGGCATATATTCCAGCAATGGTGCTCCTGGGGGATTGAGTCCTTGGAGTTTGCTGAAGATTTATTGACGGCGCATGTGGGGCAACAAATTGTCGGCGCTGCAGCGGCGTGGACTTGGATTGAAAATCTATTCAACGGAGCAAAACCCATTAAAGGCTGTGAATATACCCAACGTTTAAACAACTTGTACTTCTATCCGGGAGTGGAGCAGGAGACAAAGGAGTATTTCTTGGGGTTTGAATTTAGTATTCTTGACTATATCTTTGGCGGGAAAGCATTCGACATTAGCGTTGTATAAGTAATCATCGCTTCGGTGCTTATTGTACTGTTCATATATTGCATCTGGAGACCTTTGGAGGTATTAATTGTATGACATGCTCTTCTCCGTCAACAGAAATGTCGTCGTATTCAATGTGAATGGTCGCAAGCAGCCCCTCGCGTGTAGACTTTCAAGTCTTGGTCAGAGCGTATAAAAGGTTGCCAATACACCGGTTGTCTTATAATTCGGAGTTTGCTTCTTTGTTAAGCAGCTTGTATTCAGCATATAGGTAATGTATTGACTGTAAGAATTTAAATTGTTCCTTCGGAAGCGCTCTGCAAAAGTAATTGAAAGTGCTCATTATACTTTGATTCTGTAAAGGAGGGGAACACAAGTAACCGCCCGTTGCAGAACTCGGAGTATATTCTCACCAGTGTGTCGCCTATTACCATTTTGGGGGCATTAAAGACATATTTGAAGTGGCCGAGGGTTCAAGAGAAAGCTGGGTGCAGTGGGATAAAATTATAATATTGCCAAGGAATCAACTCTCCAAGAATGTTTCGACAAATCTCCCCATGGCGCTTGCTTCCTAATGCAGAAACAGATCCTGTGACATATTTGCAATGTGACGCTACTCCAGGACCTGAAAGATGAGCGGCTGAAGGTTGATCGCCAAAAACCTTGTATCAGGATACAAGCGACACTCCAGAATCGCCACGATCGAAAGTCACGGTATAAAATGAAGCGGCCTTCTGTTTGTAAAATTGCATAAGCGCTTCAAACTATTCCATAGCTTCAATCTACCATGACGATGAAGCAAATTGTACTTACACCACTCAGAGTAGTCCGGAATGCACTCTGGGGGGTTCCACCATCCGACCCCAAAGAGAGGAAGTACTTGTACAAACTTGACACTTTCGTTCTCACATACGTGTGTCTTCTTTACTGGGTCAACTACCTTGATCGTGCCAACATTGGAAATGCTTATGTGTCCGGTATGCGAGAAGAGTTGAACTTGAGCGGTAAAGATTTCAACATCATCAACACCATTTTTTACATTGGCTATATTATCACGATGATTCCACATAATTTAATCTTGTTGAAGATCAGACCGCGTTACTGGTTGACGTTCTGTGCTAGTGCTTGGTCTCTTCTCACTTTGGGGACATACAAAGTGAACTACTTTTGGCAGATATGCGTCATCAGGTTCATACAGGGAATGTTTGAAAGTTGTATCTTTGGTGGTGTGCACTTGATTTTAGGGTCCTATTATACCAATAGTAGAGATTTGGTTCTTCGTACTTTTGTTTTCACCTCAAGTGGTTTGGTTGGACAAATCTTTTCAGAAGTTCTTCAAGCCGCCATCCATGAACATATGAATGGGTGGCACGGATTAGCAAGTTGGAGAGTATTGTTCATTATGGACTTTATGTGCAGTTTTCCTATAGTCATCTATGGCTTCATCTTTTTCCCAGATGCGCCAGATATTGGTAAGCCTTTTTATTTCACAGAGGAAGAGCATGCGATGGCATTGGAGAGATTTGTCAAGCCCAAGAATCACAAGTTTGGTTGGGATGTGTTTGCCCGTGTTTTTGGTAGCTGGCACTGGTACTTGTTTGGAATGTTGTGGATTGTTGGTGCCATTAATGAATCATTTGCAACCAATAGTGTCTTTGCGATATGGTTGCAGTACTACAACTATCCTATCGCGGATCGTAATCATTTCCCCATGGGTGTGTTTGCTGTTGGGGCGTTGTCTACTGGAGCTGCTGCATATTATGTACGAAATGTGGGTAATGGAAGACAGCATTGGCAGGTATCATTGATCATTGCAGTTCTTGTTTTGATTTCTCCGATTCTTCAAATCACCAAACCATTTTCAGCGGCGTTCGTTTTCGTTGCTCAATACTTGGATGGTGTATCGTATGCTGCCCAAACAATCTCCTTTAGTTGGGCGAATATAGTGTGCGCCGATGATTTACAAGAGCGAGCAATTGTAATCAGTTCTATGAATATGATGGGAAACACAATGAATGCGTGGTGGTCAATTGTGTTTTTCGCAGCAGATACTGCACCAAGGTTCCATAATGGTGCAATTGCCCTCATGAGCTCTGCTGCTGCTACGATATTTGTCGTTGGGGCCATCGCGTATTTGCAAATTAGAGATGAAAAGAGAAAAGAAGGTCTTGTTTGTGAAACAGATCCCGAAGGATTGGAGGTTGACAGTTACCCTGAAAAGAAGTTCTGATGATTTCTAGCAGAGTGAACGGAGTCATCCAGGAGGCTGGGGAGTCTCTCACATTGGCACTTTGTAAAAAAAGGTATGTTGCATCGCAAACATAAGCTAATATGTTTGGAGATCACTCTTGTATACTTTACAATAAGAATATGTTTGGAAATTAATATTACGAAAATATGAAAGTCTTTCATGGTTACGGCGTCATCATACCCTACTTGTCCATCATTTGGTGAAAAACACACCTGAATCTTTCCTTCAAATGCAGAAAGAAAGCCACCGACTAACCAGGTAATGTTTATCAAAACATTTCTCTGGCCGGGTATTCAAAGACTGGTAGTTTTCAAAATGATGGTCAAACATATCACCATACACCAGGGATTGTTGCCAAGGGTCAGTATAATGCAAATTTTACCATTTTCATTTACCGCTTATCATTACCCGATTAGGATACTAAATGCCACTCAATAGTTTATGGATCGGAAAAAAAAAAAATATTATTCTTGATTAGCGAAAGATAAGATTTCCGTAATCAAAACTCCTCCATTTACAATCCCAAGTTAATGGGAGTCCTCAAATAGCTAGCGGAGTGAATCATGTTATCGTGGGTAATTTCCTTCTTCTGTTACTTACTTGCTATTTTCCGCAGTCATTTCTGCTTGAAAATTGGGCCCAAACCTGTTCTCAACTTAATCGGGCATTTTTGTGTAATGTCATGTCAACAATGACATAACGGTTTAGCATCA